CACCCCTTCCTCAACTGGGAAACGGAAGTGTGTAGACCGTTGGTCTCAAAGGGCTGGTTCTCAAACCCCAACTAAATCCACCGCAAGTTCGCGAACTGAACCACTTCCTATCACCCGTCCGCGATTATATTCCCCTGAAGTAGTTCCTCTTGATAATGAGGATGAGGACACCACACAAATTACATGGCCAGCAACCACGGACGAAAACGAGCCCTCGCCACCGGCTACAACACCACCTCCAGAGAGGCGTTCTCGAAGACAACGTAAAAAATCATACACCGATGTGCTTGCACAACCGGATTATAATGGCTGATAGCGAATTCCTGCTTTTTCTGTTTTCCAAGGTGTTTCGGGTATTAGTCATGCTACCAGCCTTCTCATTGGCTACCGCTCGTTTGCATTATGAAGTATCAGTTAAGCAAAACAACGTTCCTTTTTCCTAACTTTCTCATCTCTGCCCTTCTTTTCATCGTTTCAGGGCCACAGCGTGCGACAGCACGCGTCACCAGTATGTCCTGGACGGGGGTGAGAGAACCCTTAAAGGGAGGAGTTTTATTGGGGTTGCCTCACGCTGCCCATGTGACATCTACACCGACATTACGGAGGGCTTCTTCCCTCCCACAACTGCCTCACAAGAGTCAGTTGCTTGCCTCTGGTGGTAGCTCGTCATCTCTCACGCAGTCAAGACTCTATTTTGTTTACATCCTTCCTCTACTGCAACAGCGCCGACAGGCCTTGACCATTTCGCTCTTCACTATGACGTTCAGCCAGTCCAGCAGTGTCACGCCTGCCCCACTCGATTCTGCTTGGCCTCCGGCCCACATTTGGGAAACTATGGGCGCAGCGGACCGTGCCAGTTGGCTAGGACAGATACAGAGAGACAGGGCCAGGCGCCTTGAAATGGATGTAGCAGAGACCGATCTCCGCCGCAGAAGGCCTCGTGTGGATCTGCAAGATGATGATAATGTCGAGGAAAATCGTGAGCCACCCCCTGAGGTCAAACCACTCATCGACATATTCCCGGGTGTCTCCGCCGCCCTTCTTACTCGCGTCTTCGAGAGGAAGTTGAAGGCGACTGAACTCATACGCTTCAAAGAGAAGTCAGTCACCGAGCTGGATCAGGAAGACAGGGTCTTCAAGATGACCGAGTCGGGAGGCACAGTAGGCTTCAAGAAGGCAGCGGCATCGCTTAAGGACTGGGGCGCCAACCCTCAAACGTGGACGAGCTGCTTCCTTACATACCTAGCCGTCATAGGATATCTCTTCAGCGAGAAATATCCAAAGGCAGTTCCCAACCTACTCATGTTCATGAGGCAGATCCTCGACCTTGCTCAAACTTATCAGTGGTCAAAAGCAGTGCTACCACTCGCCCTTAACTTCCACCAATACATTCTGGATAAAGGAGAGCTGTCGACGGAGAACAACCTCGTCACAGCCCCATTCCGTGAAAAATATCTCCGTCACAATCTTACCCTGCCTGCGAAGTCGCCGGCAAACACTTCCGCCCGACCTCGCCAAACAAGGTCTACTAGGTCTTCTAATAATGAAACCGAGGTGTGCGATAAGTTCAACACCACAGGATGCCTCTGGGAAGGCTGCAAGAGACGTCATGAGTGCACAGCATGCGGTCTAAGCCAGCATGGCGCCTCCTCTTGCCGTAAGAAGACATAGCAAGTGGACCCCACCATTAGGGAACACACTGCAGAGGCCGAGAGGAGCTCTAACCCCTTACCACTAAGCCTAATACCGCGGGGGCAACCGCCCAGGCCAAACACTGCTGCCCAATACCCCGTCTTCAACCCGGAGCTCCCGAAGCTACGGTTCTCTCCGTCACCACTATATGCAAAAGGCTGGAGCAACCTCCTACGCCACTATCCAGGCGATCTCGGATCTACTATCACTGGCATCCTGACCCACGGCGTCCAGATCGGCTACAGGGGCAAGAAACAGTGTTGTCATTCCTCCAATCATCACATACACGAACCTGATATGATCTCGGCCAAGCTAGCGGAGGATCTCAACCTCGGTCGCATTAGATTAGCCTCTAGGCCCTCCTTCGTTTCGCCGCTAGGGCTAGTCCCGAAGCACGATGGGGGATGGCGCCGCATCCATGATCTATCCTGGCCCCCGGGACAGGGTCTTAACCAGGGCATACCGGACTCTTGGTCAGCCATTGAATACATGACAATCGATGCAATCTACGAGCAGGTCACACAAGCCGGCCCAGGTTGCACAATCATTAAGAGGGACATTAAGGACGCCTTCCGAATAGTCCCTGTTGCCGAGGATAACCAGCATCCCCTTGCCTTCCAGTGGAACGATTCCACTTATGTCGAATGCTGCCTCCCCTTTGGTCTCGCTACGGCCCCATTTCTCTTTAACCTCTTCGCCGAGGCTCTCCATTGGATACTCCAATGCCTCCTTCCTCTATTCTATATCAATCATTACCTAGACGACTTCATCGCAATTACCCGGTCTCCCTCAGTGTCCGACCCTACGGGTCCCTTTGACGAGGTTTACAACGGAGTCACTGACTACCTGCGTATCCCCCGCAATACCATCAAGGACCAGCAAGGGACTTGCGTTACAGTCTTGGGTATCCAGATCGATTCCATTGCAATGGAAGCCCGCCTGCCACCAGGCAAGTTGTGCCGCGCCACATTGGACGCCGCAGCTGCCCTGAACGCAGCGAGTCTCTCCCTCAAGCAAACAGAGCGTCTCACAGGCTCATTAGCCTTCTGTTCGAGAGTTGTCCGACTTGGGAGAACAAGGCTACAGTCTCTATACACGTTCCAAGCCGCTTTCCCACATGGGAGGAGCGCGCGCCGCCGTATCTCCCACGAGGTACGTGACGATTTGGAATGGTGGAGGGACTCCTTGTCTCTCTTCAACGGCGTACTCCTAATTGACCCCTGCCGCCGCTCCATCACGCATCTCTACACAGATGCCTCAAACACAGGCCAGGGGCTCTTCTTCTTCTCATCCAAGTCTACATCAGACTGCTGGCTGGCCCATTGTCACCAGCTTCATCCAAGCAATGCTGCCTCACTGGCCCTTGCTCAAGACGCACACGCGCACCAAGTCGCACACGCGCACATCAATACTCAAGAAGTAGACGCCATTTTACAAGGCTTCCTACTCTTCAGCCACCATTGGCTTCATCATACTCTCGTTATCCACACGGATAGCTCCACAGCGTACACAGGACTTAGCAAAGGCTTCCTCCATGGTCCGCCTAACGCTCCTCTAAAGAGCCTGCTTATCCTAGCGGCGGCGAGAGACATCCAAATCGTGCCACATTGGCTCCCTTCCGGGGAAAATACATTAGCAGACGCTCTCTCCCGTAATAATTTTCAAGAGGTTGCTAACATTTGCCCCCACTGGCAGGACCTCTCGGTATTGAACCGCCCGCGTGGTTCTCTTCACGAGCTCCTCAGCTCAATGCAGGCCACCTAAAATTACTCTGGAATGGACTCAGCGCAAACACGCGTTCTGTATACCTCTCCGTTCAACGTAACTACGAAAAGCACTGCGCGCTACAAAATCTCTCCGCATGGCCTGCCTCCAGACAATCGTTAACTGCGTGGCTAACTTCACGACTCCTGGGCAACTCGAACCAAAAGGCCGTTAAACCCGATACCGCACTCGCCGACCTTGCCGCGCTACGATCTTACCATACCGATAACTTCCTTGACGATAAACTCTTTGATAATAAGCATTTCCGACGGCTTATAGACGGCGCTAGAAGACTCAACCCCGTCACAAAAGTACGAATCAGAAAACCGATCTCGCGCGTCACTATCACGAAACTATCCGCAGGCCTAGCTTCGCTCCCGTTACAGCCCCCAGAGATGACTGCGAACCTTCTAGACAACTTAAATTTCGCAACCGCCTGCCGGGTAGCATTTGCTGGGTTCCTCCGCCTCGGGGAATTCACCTACAAGACAGAAGACCTCAACACACGCTCGATCTTCTCAGCCACAAAGCTTACGCGCTCCGACGTCAGATTCTCGTCCTCGTTAGATCATGTGCAACTCACACTCAAGCGGAGTAAGACAGACCGCCGGCACGAAGGAATACAGATTGTTCTCGCAAAAACAGGAGACGAAGCCTGCCCAGTAGACGCGCTTCAGAAGCTGCTACTACTCGACCCTAAAGAGCCTGATGCCCCGTTATTCTCCTTCCACCGAAAACCGTTCAGCCGCAACCATTTCCTCTCTACCTTGTCCACTAAGCTAAGAGCACTTGGTATACAGACGGACGGCTACTCGGGCCACAGCTTTCGGAAAGGTGCGGCTCAACATGCGCACGATAGTGGGATCCTCGACGACCAGATCCAGGTGCTCGGGAGATGGACCTCGGAGGCGTTCAGAGTGTATTTCACCACGAACGCCTCAGTATTGTACAAGCTCAATCACCAGTTCCAGACAGGCTCGCCAGCTCCGCTATCTCTACTGCTTCCTCCACCGTCCCCTCCACCATCCTAGTTTGGCCCGGGTCATTTGGGCCTTCTCTGACGCTACAGTCTAATGCGTTACGCATAAGACCGCAGCGACAGGTGACCCGTTACGGCCAAACTGTACAAGTTCCTGTTCCCATCTTGACTGCGAGAGGTCACCAATAAATGTAACTATTTGCCTCCTCCCAGACACGATTCAAGTTGGAGAAAGGAAGTAAAGCGGACGACTAAGTCTCCCGAAGATAGCCCTAACCAGTTACCAAACTGCCTAATTAAAGTTATTGAGGAATGCACGGACTCACGGACGCTGAATAAGACTGTTCCTGGGGTCCACAGTAGTAATTCACTGGGCCCTGATCTCGTCATTTCTCTATCCCATAAGGTTTCTCTGGCCCCCCAAACTTTCCGCCTTGCAACGTACACATTTAGGTTCTAAATAATAAATTTTAATTTCAAGGTTATGGAACCATGAGTTTTGTCAGAGTAAATTAAAAACCGTACGGGCTAGTATGCATCGAGTAGCCAGGTCAGTATAGACGACATGCAAAAGCATTTCCATGGCGGGGTGGTGATAGGCGTTGTGGATCTTGGTACTTGCCTCGAGCACGCTAGCACTCATTTGGCCCACCGCGGCCCTGTAGACGTCTCTTGTGTCGCTGACAGTCTTCCAAAGCTCGGTGTCAATGTTGTCCTTCAAGCAATCTTTGAACATATTACAAGCACCATCATACGTATCCTGGTCATGACCGAGGACGTCATTCAGCTGAACGTCGGTCTGAGCTTCGAAACTCAGTGAGTAGAGTGAGGATCAAAGAATTGAATAGAACTTGATTACTCCTAGCCGAGTCAAGCTTTTGAATCAACAACACGGTGACTGAATTATTCAAGTTCTTTAGCAACTTGGTGTGTGTGTGTGTGTGTGTGTGTATTTAACGGCCGTGGCTCGTGACTAGCACGCTATCCACTGTCCCCGATCGGGGCAAAGGCCGCCAGGGGGTGAGCCCTGGGTGTCTCTAACTATTACTAGTCCTATGTACAGATAAGAGACTTTAGCGCGTTCACAGAGCTGCCTCAGTCAAGAGAAAGGTCTGCAATAGCAGGTTAAATAGCAATGCCAGCTGCATGGATCCGTCTCCACATCATGATCCGCCAGTCCTCCATCTCTCCTCGTGCTTTCTTTCTACTTTATTTCATTTTTGGGTGTATTGTCTCAGGCATGCTCAAGCAGGGGCCGTCTTGGACAGATGTCGTCAAAGAACCGAGTCTCTGATAGCCAGGCAGCCAGCTGTGCTGCGCCCTTTGGGGTTCCCAGTAGGAAGGGAATTGTCTCTGAGGGGGGGCCCTGAGGGTCGGGGGAGCCGTCTCTTAGCTACTCGGCAGAAGAAGAAGTGAACTGGAGTCTTCCTGGCTCCACACCGGCAATGTAGATGTGCGTCTTCATGATTGAACCGCTCATGGTAGTCTGCAAAATCGCCGTGCCCTGTACGAGCTGCTAGGATCCGCCCAAGAAGGTAGCGTGGGAGGCGAAGTTCATCCGGGCAGCTAGTGAAGGAGGTGATCCAGAGATCCTGGTAGGACTGCGGAGCCACAGCTTGCCAGTGCCTTTGTAAGCTAGAGATCATAGCAGCCTTTGTATGTCGCTTAAGTGAGGCAAAAGAGTAAATAGGGGGGACGGGGGGTTCCAAGGCAGCTCCCCTCTTTGCAGCTTGGTCAGCGGCTTCGTTCCCAGGGACTTTTGCATGCCCAGGGACCCAGCATATACGTACAGTGCCCCCATTAGTGTAGGAGAACCTCTCCCGCTCGGGCCAGGCTAAAGCTAGGGTTCGGAAGGTCTCAAAAACTTCCTGAGATGAGCCTGAGAAGGGTGAGAGCAGGCGGGTGGCCACTTCTAGGTTATCTAGGCAGACCCAGAGGTCGGTGGCAAAGCGTGCATTGTAAGACTGTGTGGCTGCTTTGATACCAGCAAGAGCTGCTTCTGCTTCGGCATCAAAAACCTCTTTGTTTGGTCCGAGGGAGAATGATGATTGGAGGCAAAGTCTTCCTGTCTGGTATAGAGCAAACCCGGCACCTGCCATACCATCAGGCAATTTCGACCCGTCTGTGAAGACTTTCATATCGGTGCTTGGGAGGGAGGAGTAGAAGACTTGGAAGTCAGCAGCTGCCTGCTCCTTTGATCGTCCGCTAGGTGCCTTTATTCGTAGATGGGCGTCCGCCCGCGACTCCCTTAGGAGCCACGGGAAATTTAGCAACTTGGGTGAAGTGTGTTCGGAATATTCATAGTGGGCGGGGTCACATGACTAGCATGTGGACCCACCCATCATTATTTAGATCCCCTCGCCTAGTCAGCTCAATCAAGCTTCTTACACCTCTCGTTAATTCATGTGTTCCCCTTAATCTTAACAAAGTGGAACGACTGGGCTGCATTTACAAGCGCAGGAGTTGTTCCAAAATGCGAAGCTGGAGGTCGATGCCTGAACGTAGAAGGGGCAGGCTGCGATATTCCTTCCCCATGTTTGGTGTGTGACTTCCACAGGTAATCAAGATTTGTCGGTTTAGAAGAATTCCCTATCACAATATGCTAATATACATCCCTATCGAGACGGGAAATTTTCAAAAGCAACGCCAAGTCCTTCTTGGTCGCGGGAATTGATATAATGAACCAAGGCCCGCTAAATCGAATAGGAATCAACTACTTCGGGCTCGATACATGATATGGAAGACGATGTCCATCAATAAATGCCCGGGATCAGACGGTACGGAACGCGGTCCTTGATAGCCTGCCATTGTTCACCATACTTTGATTCCAGTTAGTTTGTTTCTAGCCAAACCTGGATGTACTTATAAGTGACTTACTCTATCAAGAAGATACTGGTCAAGGACTGGGACACCTCGAGCTGCAAAATCGTAGAAAAACCAAGAAAAGATGCCTAGTGCCCATGGCCAGCCAGCCGAGGTGTATGCATAGGCGGCTCGCCAAATTGTATAACCGCCGTAGTTGATGTGTGTTGCCGTAGAAAATAAGCCTCCAGCGTAGGGCTTTCCTTTGTTGTTTGAATCTTTCTTGAATGCTGTTCTTTGTAGCTCCGAGGCCGCCTCTACCACAATACCAACCACGTAGAATCCGACACCGGCCAGCAGGAGTGGGTTCTGAAGAATTTCAAGGAAGCTATCGGGGCCCGGTGCTTGAGATGTAACCGCCCAAACGGACAAGAGTGCGTTTAAAGAGTTGCATATAGTGTTGAAGAGTGCGATGGCAACTGCGGACAGGGGAGACATTTCCTGTTCTAGGACGAGAAGGATGTTCAAAATCTGCTTGACGCTGCTACCGAGAGCCATAAATGCGATCATGGCGTACTGAGGTCGTAGCTGACCGGTCGAGGTATGGGCAATCATGTCACGACTCACAGCTGCCGCACCGAGGCGCTGGATCAGGCTAGATGCCCAGCCTCGCTGGAGAAGGGCATACTGGAAAACAGAATCAGCCGCACGTAGCCCGATGAACGTCAGGATTCCAATAGTGTTGGTCTTCTTCACACGAGAAACATTGTCCCGAGGCATGGTGCGTAGGTAGTAGGATCGTAACTGGGCAAGGAAGGCCTTCAATAGCGCGAAAATTGCTATAGTTTTTGAGATCGAGATTTCTTGTTTTTGTATTACACAGGAAGTGGACGAAGTAATATAAGACCTTAGCTGCCTCTGGGACTAGAACAGTTCCTTTACTTGCGAATTAATAATAATACCGGCATCGGTCTCCCAAGGGGCCGAAGACTGGTGGACATTTTATGTAACATCAGTTTCATAACTGACTAACTAGTTAGTTAACTAACGTAATCCACGGCCCAACCGTACACACGGTCCAGCCGGACACCCCAAAACCCATAGTAAATGCGATAAATTACCACTTCATATCTCAACAGCTAAATCTATTTATGATAAGATATTAAAAGTATACGATATAGATAGTATTTAGAATCTACTGACAAAGTGTAGGATAATTACTGGAAGTATTAATAGAGATATATATATTTACATCCTTCACGTCAAAATTACGGCGTATTTTATGGTAAAGCATCGAAATAATCATCTAAACCACCTAAAGCTAAGGTATATTATTTCACATGATAAGCAAAGCCTATATCCGAATATCTAAGTAAAAATAACCTATGGTTGTTGATATATCATGACCTGAAAAATCGCGTTTACTATGGGTTTTGGGGTGTCCGGCTGGACCGTGTGTACGGTTGGGCCGTGGATTACGTTAGTTAGTTAGTTAGGTTAGTTAGTTAACGTAGTTCACAAGCGAGTCGTACACCCAAGCGAGCCGTACACCCCGAACACCATAGTAATTTCGATATTTCACAACTTGATTTTTCAACACTCGAGACTTGCTATGAATTCTTAGGATATTCTAGTACTTAAGGTATTAATTCATATATATTTGTCACGTCCAGAAGTATTTTGGGGCAACGCAATGTTGGTTTATATATCTGCGTCGGTCATTGCCAGCGTATTTTTGGTAATGCACGTAAATAATTATTTATTATACATCTCAGCTAAGTTATTCTATTTTTTACGCTAAGAAAAACCATCACACCGAGAATGAAGTAAAACCAACTTCTCATTGTTGATATCTAAGGGCCTGAAAAATCGCATTTACTATGGTGTCTTGGGGTGTACGGCTCGCTTGGGTGTACGACTCGCTTGTGAATTACGTTAACTTAAGAGCGTTGGCAATGACTAAGCCAAAATTCAGAATAATCTACATGACAAGAGGCTAAAATCTGCTTTTTTAAGCACAGTACTTGGCGAGGTAAGCTTTGACCGGGGAGATGCAGATATTTCAGCCACGTAATTTCGGTTGAAAAAGTTCCTGTCGCAACAAATTTGGGCAAAATACCGCTAGACCAAAAATGCTCCATGGGCTATATTCTTAGTCTATACGGTTATTTATTGCTTTGAACAGTTCCGTCAAAGCAATAAATAACCGTATAGACTAAGAATGCTGTCGATGAAAGTGGAGCAGTTACAGCTGCCTCCTATTGGTTTCCTTCGTCCCCCGCCTTTCTTTGTGTTTTGTATGTAAATTACGGGGCTCCGAAGTCACTTTCGAGTATCCCATGGGTCCTCTAAGACACGGAGGAATTGGTCCCATCCACATATCAACTATGGACCAACTCTGCAGATGTGTATTTAACATACCCTCTGCCTGCCACTCATTTTATCTACAATCAATCAATGCATCCCGTTTTAGTTGGTTCCGCCTGATCCTCATTCGCCAGAGTGCATACTAGCAGATACGAGATTACCTCGCTCTGTTAAATGCTGCCTACAGTGCATTTTTGGTTTAACGGTCGTAATGCCCACCTGTGTCAGGTTCTTGGGGTTGTTACACTAAACCTAAGCGGGCTAGCGTTCCGGAGCCATGAACCTACTCAGGTTGCAAGTGGCAGCACTTGCTGTTCATCGTCATCAATAAGTGCAACCCAAAATGTCTCGAATCAAGGGGAAGTTTCCTTGTAAGTGATCAAATAATCCCGCACACGGAGAAACGGACACCGAGGTGGCCGGTCGGAAGCCGTGGTGCATAAATTTGTAAAATATCGACTGATCAACGAGATGAATATGGAGGGCTATTTTGGAACAGTGTTATTTTGTGTAATTCGAGAGGGTACTGTATGTACACGATGGATATCCTATCGAACCAAACATGTGTGTTGAAACCAGTCTGCCTATTTGCCTGTGCCTCAAATCACGCTCAACCTTGATTACAGGGTAGTAGTTCATACCCTTCTAGCTTTAAAGGCTAAATGAGGAAGGCTAGATCTAGCTACGATAATTACTGAAAGACAAATCAATCTTGTCAACGTGCGAAGTCCGCAGAATGTTTGCCATGCTGTCCTGGAAAGGAAAAGGGCCGTTGGGCCCGCTCTATGGAAGCGCCGAAGCGGTTCACCTTCTGAGCTCTACGGTAAATAATTGGCAACTGTAGCCTAGTGTCGAGTTAGCCGTTTAATATTTAAGCTTCTTTGATAAGTGCTAATATCTCAGGCGAACTGATCTTGGGTTATAAGTATGCTTACTTTTGTTACAGCCAAAAGGAAGTCGGAGCAACCCTGTGCATTCAATGAAGGAATCAAGTCTAGAGAACAGAAGGAGGAAGAGAATATATCTGTCGGGGTTGGCGTTCGATATATCCCACTGATAACGAGCACCATCTGTTATCATCCCGATTTGGTAACTTTGCACCCATCGCCAAACATGCAATATTCAGAACGTAAACCTAGCACTTCACATAGTGAGCACCAGACTACCCGTCACAACTTTGGAAAAATTGCGCGACCCGTCCCTTGGCGACCTTAGAATATTGAATTTTCTTACGCTTCCTTGAAGAGGGATGGTCGGCTGTATCCAGGCAGAGTTTCAGGGATCCTAAGACACATTACGCGGAAATGAGACTATGCGGAAAACAAGGAGTAGGCTTTAATGGAATCAGTCACAATATTCTCGCAGAGTAATCATATACAGTAGAACTTCTCTCAGGCTGCAAAGGCGTAGCTGCCACTCATCGCGTAAACTAACCAGTAATCTGTTCGCGCCGATGCCAAGAGTGTGGCAACTTCCCTTGCTATTCTCAGATTTCCAATGTCAGCTATACTCTCTAGAGTTTGAACAGCCCAATTCTTTATTACCAGGTCATTGGAGAGTTGACCAGCAATGTAGAGTGGAGCGAGGATGGTGCAGCAGCGTAATCTTTGCAAAGGTGAGAAAGGCATCTCATTGTCCGGCCAAAGCCCCGGAAGGATAAACTGAGGCACCATTGCACATATTTGCTCAACAACAACCGCGATATCTTGGAAAGCATCTTTGGTAACACAACTGTCTCCAGAACTGTTTGTTTGGATTATGTCATCCGTAGCCAGTCGATGGAAACGTACAGCGTTCCAAAGTTGGGCCGCGAAATGGTCGGGATAGATATCCAAGCGGACACCTAGTATCCGTGGATCGGCGCAAATAACCGAACGTGGCATCCAGGATGGGGGAAACGCCGCTTCAAGCGCTACTAATCGGCTATGAATCCCTCGTGCCATCTGAACAGCCTCCGATGAAGAGACTCTGCCATGAGCGATATTGCACTTAAGCCGGAAGGTGTCAGCTGCGAGGGCAGTGAAGTCCTTTTTAATACCGGTAATGTATGGGTCGAGTTCTCTCATCAAGCCCATCGACCCTTTTGGCATTAACAGGTTGGCCAGTCCGTAGCTAATGGGCAACGTCATTGACAGGCGAAAGGAGAGCTGACATGCAATGGGACTCGAGAAGTTTCTGGCCCCACGAGCCTTAACCAGAGACATCGCGCCTCGAATATGACTTGTCCATGACGGTAGACTATGCGGATTGCGGTTCACCATCTTCTCGTACAGGTCGAGAAGCAACACTGACTGGAGGGTCTCGTCACTCAATGACGTTGTGGGATCCTGGAGAGCCTGGCCAACTTTTCGAATGCCATCCACGTATTTCTGGCGAGCCATATACAATACGGCAGGGCTACCGCATTGAAATGACACAAAGGCCAAGCTAACCGCATCTACGCATGACGATAGGTGCCCCGAGGAAGTAGCCTGGTCATAGAGAGGCGCAAGAGCGTGATAGCTGCGTGAGAGCCCAAAGACGTAGAGCGAGAAGAAAGTGTCCCGCGCACGAACGACCCACCCAAGCTGCAAGACAGGAGGAAGGCCATGCGGCGAGTTCTGCCGGGCAAGAACCTTCCGCTGTGTAGAGCCAGTCTCGTCATGGATCAACAGCTGGGTAGGATCGAGATATCCATAACAGAATAGCTTGGCTCTATGGCATTGGCTGCATCCACCGGGCCGTAGGTCACACTATTTAGATTACGTCTAGGTCAATCTCTTTGAGGGTACAGTGAAAGTAACTAAGTTGCTAAGGGGGGGGGGGGTGGGCTTACTCGGAGTTTCCTCTTCTTGCATGGAGCACAGTCTCTTGAGGGTTGTCCGGTGTTCACCATCGTTAGGTAGGCGTGCCGCTCTGAGATTGTTGAATAGAGCCAGCGAATAAGACGTACGTCTAAAGATGCGCAGATACCTGTACGCTCTAGCGGTCAGTTTATTCCGGTCTATGACATACGACCGGCGGAATGTGCGACTTAATAATGCCTTGGTTCGATTCGTCCACTACCTCAACTGCGGTAAGCCAAAGAGGGTTAGCCTTCCGGAAAATAGGTTGCTGCTTGGTAGCAGGGGAAACGATCTGCTCGTGGGCCAGGCTCCTCGCCCGCATGAGCCGACCTGTATCTTGTTAGTGGTACACCCGAGCGCTGCGATGCTTTAATAGGTTACAACTTAGGGGAAATACTATTACTTGAATAAGAGACGTTGCAAAGGACAGTAGCGAATATGATCAAATATACTTCTTACCGCAGTGAGTTGTAAGCAGCACCAGGTCTACTGTCGAAGTTGGTTTGGGGAAGGTGAATGATGACAAATTAAAAACAGCGTACGGAGTACAAAGATACGAATATGTGGGGTGTATACGGTCATACACATACGCTAATGTACCGTACGGTCTCGTAAAACCAGGAAAAAAGTCTAACTTACAGTGCCCCTCAACAAGTATTTGACCACCTCTGCCTACCGCCTACTATTTCCATCCAAACTAGCCTTCATTTAACCAATGAAAGATTTTTAGAAATGTTATTTTTTGGCAGAATCTTATGTAAAAAAGCGGAGCTGGTCAAATACTTCTTGAGGGACACTGTAATTGGCCTAGCTCCCAAGGCGGCCACAGCCAATAACGTACACGTCATCGATGTTGAAATCTCCAAGATCGACCACCAGCGTATTTCCTGGGACTACAACAGAAAACAACTTATATAGTATTATAGAAACTGATTGCTTGAACAAGCTAGCCTTCCGCCTCTGCACCATCGTGACTGCTTTGGATAATAGTGTGCCACCCCCACTCAGGCATACGGCAGCTTAAATACTTGTATCCCTGCCTGAGTACCACGCAGTACAGTACAAATACTTATGAAACACCACTGTACATCCCGCGGATTTTTCGCATCTTCTCTGCGTTCTCTGCGGCGTGGCCTGGCGTGCGAATAAGATTCGAGATGTACAGGTTTATGAGCGGCAGCCTCGTAGCTTTGTTAACATCTTTATTGTGTTAGAGCAACTAGTATCTGTGCAGCGAGGAATACTAAGTTTCTGGGAAATCTTGTTCTGCTTGAATCCGTTTCTACGCCGTTAAAATGCGAACACGTTCCTCGTACGTCAGCCGATCATTTCGTGCTTTTGGCATAGTTGAGGAACAGTGGAGAAATTTGGCGTCTCTGATTCTTATGATTCTGCTTATAAATATAGGCATCTTATTCTAGCGACTTCCATATACGACAACATCACCAAACGCGAGACAGTCCGTTCATCCCTTGTATGAGATGACCAATATCGGGATCGGCGGGGTGCGGTCGCCCCGACGTTCCGAGCGTTGCATGTTACCGTAGATGCACTATATATTTGCGTGATGATGGACTTGAGAAATACCTGGTAAGGCATCCAAACCTCCGCGTTCTGGATTTCCTATTTGGCTTCTATTGCACTCTTCGAAATTCATCGCAACCCACAATGGCGACAATGAAAGCATGGCAATTTCGGTCTTCTAGCGGCCCAATCGAGAAGAATCTTTTTCTGCCCGATTCGGGAATTCCCAAACCGAAAATCACAGCCAACGAGGTACTTGTTGAGGTCTACAGCACGGCGCTCAATCCCATTGACTACAAGATTCTTGAACTTGGTCTCCTTACAAAGATGATCTTCCGGTCACCTGTTACGCCTGGCTTGGATGTCTGCGGCCGCGTTGTTGAGATCGGTAGTCAGGTGGATTCCTTTCGCATTGGCGATGTCGTATACGGCTCTTGCAATGGGGTCTTCGGGCATGGAGCTCTTGCCCAATTTGTACCTGTCTCAAAAGATGCACTTTCGTTGGTACCGGATGGGTTCAAAGCCGACGACATGGTCTCCATCGCTACCGTTGGAATGACAACATACCAAGGCTTAAAACCACATGTTAAACCAGGCGACAAAGTATTCATCAATGGTGGATCAGGAGGCACCGGTGTTGTGTCGATACAGATTGCAAAGGCGCTCGGATGTCATGTCACGACATCTTGCTCCACGGGCAATGTTGGACTGTGCAAGAGTCTAGGTGCGGATGAGGTTTTGGACTACCATTCCGCCGGAATAATCGATCAATTAAAAGGAAAGGGGCAAATTTTCAATCTGATCCTCGACAATGTAGGATCCCCGTCCAGTTTGTACAGAGTATCACACGCATTCATTGTACCGGGCGGGAAATTCATCCAAGTCGGTATGGGAATGAACGTGAGCGCCATGAAACAGCTCATCGGCAATTTGATGCTCCCTGGCTTTCTTGGAGGTGGAAAAAGAAAGTACTTATTTGTGATGGCAAAGGCTAATAGCGCCGACTTCGACCAGCTCGCGGCGTGGATGGAAGAAGGAAAGATACGTGCCGTCATTGACTCGACTTTCGACTTCAATGCCACGCCGAAAGCGTTTGAGAGGCTGAAAACGGGTAGAGCGAGGGGCAAGGTTGTCGTCCACGTGAAGGAGTTGCGAGGAAATTTGTGAGGGATCTCACTTCAGAACTATTGGCTATCAAAACGGGGGTCGGCGTTACATTTCTTTTTTTTTGTGCTTTTGTACGTGAAACTAGACATTTTGTGCGTTTTTTTGATACGGCATAGTTACAAAAGGATATACGGTACAGCTCTACGATCGCGTGTAGAATTTAATGCATTCCCTCAAGTACTTGTTCTGCTTTGCAGCACCCGATTACTGCTGTGGTCTGGCAGTATGCTTTCACTATTGTAAATTCTTCCTATTCAACGGATGGATGGATGGATGGATTATTTCATGTACCCTGGCCCCTCACAAGTTAGTTGCTAGATAAAGTGATGTATATACGTCTGTAGGAGTGGCTGCCAACAGGATTGTCAGCCCTCGGTCCGGCGCGGCGTATTGATTAAGCCGCTGGATGGAGAGACTGGACACTCCTGTTCCATGTGTCCGAAACCCGAAGTGGCCCATTCGCAATGTCTTTTTAAAACCTACGTGAAAACGGACTTCTTATCCCTTCATGGCAAGCAAGGTCTACCTCACATACCATCGCTTCCGAACTTTTGTCACATATCACACTACAAAGTGCTACTTAATCAATATCACTTCCGAAGCTGTTATAGTCTCCACGATGGCGAAAGGCGCTTCATGTTTGATCCCCCCACCCTGAGCAAATTTTGTAGGTTCGTTCAGGGCAAGGTGCTAACCTGTCGCCGATTCTGTAATAGGCTAGAGAGACAGTCAAGTTCACAGGGTGTTGGATACCATCGAATCTGTCAAGCTCTTCCCGAGTTAGGCAATCTGAACGCAATATAGATCCCAGAATGGGTCTTCATGACTAGGTTCTTTGTTTGCTATATACGGTAATGTACTTTGTTAAGCAAACAAAGGGAGCTTCGAACCAAAGTGGGAGAGGCATAAAAGTTCTGCAGGCTGTTACCCTTGATCTCCAGAGATCCTTACTGATTCGCCCAGACTCTCTCTTCTCAAACTCAACCCAGTCTTCCAGGGATCTTCATACAAAGCGTTTATTTTAGATCTACTTCTCATTCCACGATGCCCAAGAACAAAACCTTGCGTACACTCCTGCCTGCGAAGGCTAAACACAGAATATAGCACCTTGAAGCAGACTCGGCCAAAAGAATCCGACACAACGTATCTCTTGCTTGCACAGGGTACCAGAGAAAGAAGACTAAGATCAAAACCCCGGCCCTACTCCTAGGTTTGATGATAGGGCTGACATCACAACCCCGGTATAGTGCTTTGGAGCGACGCCGTGGACGAGATTTTAAGGGGACCGTTACCTCCACCAACTCACCCATAGGTGACGTAGAATAGGGCCCAGTACTCAGGAGTTGTTTCATAAGAATGTGTTGTGATTAGCGGCTGTTGCTGCTCAGGAATGAAGCCGCAACACCAGAAATAATTCATATCCATTTCTACCAAGCCCAAGTTGATTTCGGGTCTTTATTTAGGGCACGTTGATAATTATATCGTCTCGAGGAGCGTGTACGGAGCTCATCGCGCCGTTTTATAAAATTTGGTGCCCAATTAACACCAACAGTTGGCGGACGGGTTAATCCACGCGAAGTAAGAAGGACATTGGCCATTTCTCGCACGGTAGATGGTCTAGGAGCTGCTCCACGCGAATCCATAGAGAAGATCTATTCAACAAGCGAATCCTCTTCCAATTGGGTCAATTTATGGCTGTTTGTGAGTATACCGACGCGTGATATTACCCTGTTGGTGCGATCCCTAAGCGTTGAAGGAGAGATGTCGTATACAGTCGCAGTAGCGCGAATCGATTTGAATCGGTCATTTTTAATATTGTGGAGGGCTAGTAGGATCTTGCCCTCTTGATGCATCGAATCTTGCGAGGGTTGCGAGCGATTTGGTGGCATGGTAGGTGGTTGAATAAGGTAGGTATCCGTAGCTGCGCGTTTTTTGGTTGGGTGAGCGGCCCGCTTGTGAATTAGGCAGGAAGCAGATCAGGTCGACAGTAATAGGTGGGTCAGGCCACACCCAACCGGAAGACACTCTCTGAATTACGTTAGTTAGTTAGTTAAAGTTAACTATCTTAGTTAACTAACTAGTTATCATCTGGAACGTGGATGACAAAGCCAAGTCGGAGGTCCCGAATCCCGAGGTCCGAAACCATCTCGGAAAGCTTACTAGAATAGACTCTTTAGGCTTAATTGAAGTTAGTCATTGAGGTCATCCCGCTTTGACTGGCGATCGACAAATCAACTAGAGTTTGCGGAGAAAATTCCACCAAAATCCGACGACATGATATCCTCTCTTCATCCATAGTCCTCTGAGTTAGGGATGCTTTTCCCGACAGGACAATGAGCCCCTCGACTGGTAAAGGAGCGTCTCATCGGCGCGCCTCCCTGAAATGCACCTATTGTGAGCGTGCGTTCTCGCGCACTGAGCATCTCACACGGCATGAGCGCTCTCGTAAAGTCAAACCCGGAGGATGTTTAGCCTTTGCCAACTAACTCACCGTCTCAGACCGGAACGAGAAGCCATTCAGCTGCAACTACTGCGACGCCACGTTCAGCCGGAAGGACGTGATCAAGCGACATCACCTCCGATATCATCAAGCTATTGCTGAGATGGTTGGCGTGACGTCCGAGCCAGCTTTGCCGACATTTCTGCATCCCGCACCACCGGCACCTGTGCAGCCAGTCATCATGTCACCTTCACCCCAGGACGTCTTCCTTGATTTCTCACAGGGAGAGAACCCCGCTGTTGCGGCCTTGAGCAGACAGGATGGGCATTCCAGCCTACTCATGGATAACTATATCATGGATGCTTTTCTTCCAGACTTGGACACTCAGTCAGCGCCAGATGAATGGCACGCAGGAAACCTCTCTGGTCTGATCTAGCGTGTTGCCATGATGAATTGCTTGAGACTGATGTTTCTCACTGCAGGCACCTTCATACCTGGTGGTCTTACTGGTCGGCCTCTAGACCTACCTTTCTGGAGAGGCTCCCTCGAACTGTCGGAGAAAAAGAGAGGTCAACTGTTCACAGAGACGAAAGACGTTTTGAGAAAAGTAAGCTGGAGAAGCACCACCGCTGTCTGGATTCTCCTTAATCTTATTTCTGCAGGCAGGGATTGGTAACATAGCGGAATTTCCGACTCGTTTGAGCTTAGAGAGATTCCTCGTGACTTTCTTCGAATGTTTCCTTGATTACCTCCCTTTCATTCATGTTCCGACCTGGCAAGCCGAGGCGGCACATCCTTGTCTTCTCTTAGCGATGCTTGCGGTTGGCGCAGGGCCCTACAAAGAATACGATGTTGCCCATGCTCTTTATTACGCCGCGAGATCCTTGATTATGACATATGTATGTCATGGATATCCATTTCAAGTTTTGTTATTAACCCATGTCAGCTCGGAAACACTCCTTCATCAGCCTCCGAACACCCTCTCTGGGTGATGCAATCGCTGCTGATCACAATCTCGTATGGCGTTCGTAGCGGTGAACGAGAAATGTTCGACGACGCAGTTTCGTGGACCTCATCTCTAGCAAATGTACGTCTGGATCGAACATACAATTGAGCCTTTGCACTGAGCATGACATGAATCCTAGGTTGTTCGCTGGGGTTCGACACCAGACAAGTATTGCGACCTAGAGCATGACATACAAGGATCATGGCAAGATTGGGTAGAGGATGAGATGGCTGTTCGGTACGGTCCCGCACAAGCACTCTTGTATTTGTTCCCTGGAGGCCTTACAATCATCAAACAGGACCCACTGGGCTGCCTACACGGTTTTATGCGTTCTGACCGTCTGCTTCAATGTCCCTCCCGTACTGATGAGTCATGAAATGAGCCACATTCGGCTACCGTGCAATGAATCAGAGTGGTCAAGCGCTACTTTTGAATCATGGATCAAGGCCAGGATGGGCCGTTGTCGAGACTGCCCATGTTTTGGAGAAGCGCTGGAGATCCTCCTTGGTTCAGGAGCACTGCAAAGGAACACTATCAGCCTTTTCGGAACCTACGTGCTCCTGCATGCGATTTTGCAGAATATCTGGGCGTTGAGACGGAACATCTGGCTAGAACCAACGCATCTCGCTAGCTGCTTACAGAAAACAGACGTTAGTCTCGGAAGGTGGCATTCGTGCTGGGCGGGAAACGTAGAATCATCCGTGTCACCGCGAAACCCTCACAGTGCCGTGACTGCAAATCCAGCAGCACTCTTTCGCCTGGCATATATGTGGGTCGGAGTTGATTTCTCTTCGGTACGGGCTGCCATTGCCTCTCATGATCCGGAAACGATAGAGCGAAGCTTCAAGCAGCTATCGATCCCAATAACAGGATCGGACCTGACATTTAAGATCATCATGCAAGCAGTCGACGCTCTTAAGACACGAGTTAAATTAGGAATGATGCTCAGAGAGCAACGGCTGGGCTGTTTTCAGAGTCTTGAAGTCCATCTATTTTCCCTGGAGTGCTGTGAGTACAACTCTCGGCGTTCGATGGTCACGTGTACCTAGCTAATCATCTCTGAAATCAGGCCTTTTCGCTTGTGCATGGTTGAAGGCGGCAGAGAGCCGTCCCGAGCAAGAGTGGTCAGCCGACGAAGCACAAGTCATCCAGCTGGTCCGCGAGATTTTGTCGGAAGTAGATTTGCCTGCCACTCGTTCTCAAACGGCAAATGCTGTACGAGTAGTGTATGCATGGGCGTTGATATTGAAGCGTCGCGCGGTATGGAAACTCCAGAAGATAATTGCAGATTCACTGGAGCAGTTTGCGGATAGCTTTTAATCTACCAGACTCCCAATATAGGGGTCATCCAAGCGGGGTTAGGTATTAGGGTTTCTCGGTGGGGTTGGACTCATTGTTGGGGTGGGGGGCGGCTCATGTACTTGTATTTACTTGCCCCATCGGAGAACTACACCATGATAACATTTCAAAATTATATCTCTCTCTCGTACAGTGCAAGTCCAAAAAATTTCGGTTGCTCACATCTGACTCCACTTTTTTCTCTCCTGTGTTGCCCGAACAGAAAGGGGTCGGTGGGGGCTCGCTTACCTCCTGCTGTATAGCCGAGATTTTTCCGTTATTCCAAGCAAAATATTGCGAGCGGAAGAACGAGCCAGGAAAGCTAAGTAGCTACAGTAGTTTTTCCGGTAGATTTGCGTAGGCTTGATATTCGCAAGAGCGCCCGAGACCAAGGGACCTGTGAACCGGAAGAGTAAAACCTGACAGGGATACCCTTATCCTCAGTCCTCTTGTAAAATTAGATGATTCGAATTTCATCGCCTAATTCGCATGTTGGTTTCTGTTCGATAAAGTTGACACGGTGTCGAGTCCTGGAGAGTATCCAAATGGATACATATAACACTTCTCGTATTTCAGTTACCAGGTATGTCTAGTGGGCATTTATGAGAATTGCCAGCTTGCTATTTGTATTTGTCCACCATCTCGGGCGCTCCATCATTAACCCCGTGGCTTACGCTTTTTCCACTCTGCGCCGAATCACCGATCACCTATTCTTAGCGAATGTCCGAGCTCTGCAATGATATATAAAGATCCGGGCCCGGTGGGATGGTCATTTGCCATACCTTTCATTTACTCCCCCTATCAAAAAGATCGTGCGACCGGATTTTGCTTTCATGTCTCTCTCTGGCCTTGTGGTTGTGGTCGTCGGTGCCTCTAAAGGCATCGGAAAGGAGATTGCCCTGCGAGCCGGTGCTGATGGAGCCAAGGTAGTCATCAACTACATGTCGGACACCAAGGCCGCGACCGCAATCGTCGCGCAGCTTGGGCATGAACGTGCCATTGCAGTGCAGGCTGACGTTTCGAACTCCACCGAGGTGGACGGCTTGATTCAAGTCACTGTCGCCAAATTCGGAAGGATTGATATCCTCATCCCCAACGCCGCGTATGTTCCCGAAAAAGATCTACGGAACGTGACAGAGGAGGACTTCGACCGGGCTTTTGCTGTCAACGTCAAGGGCCCTTGCTTTTTAGCAAAGGTGGGCAGTCCCAAATCCTTTAGATTCGCTTCCCGAAACACTTTTTCGGGAAGCGTGTTGTGGCAGTTGCCCTTTGAATCAGAAATTATGTTGACAACGTTCCAGAAAGCACTTCCGCACATGACTCCCGGAAGTAAGATCATTTTCATTTCGACGGACATGACAGATGCTTCTGTTATACAGCCTCAGTTCCTTCTATATGTGTCCACCAAAGGAGCAATGAACCAGATGGTTAAAGTTTTAGCACGGGACCTCGCCAGCAGTGGAATTCGTGTCAATGCGATCTCCCCAGGGGCGACAAGTACAGACTCCTTTCATCGAGTGGTGGACGAGAGTAAAGAACGGATCCTTGCGAGTCACAACCCGTTCAACCGTATTGCACATGCAGAAGAGATCGCCGCAGGGGTCAGTCTCCTCTGGGGGAAGGACAGCGACTGGATCTCCGGGCAGGTTCTGAAGGTTAACGGAGGTAGTATCGTGTGAGTAATAGATATGCGGAAAAATACGGAAGGGTAACTAAAACTTGTCCCCGGAACTGCACGTCTGTGGATTGATTTTGAGCTAGAAACTAAAGAATTAAGTGACTCAGTCCATTAATCAAGCTCAGGGCTTTGCGGAGCCCATATTATCAAGACCAAGCTAGTACAGCACTCCATTGATAGAAAGAGCGAGGTTCAGATGCAAAAGGAATGGATGAGTGGGCTGATATTCGCCCGCAGAGATGAGATACCTTGCGTGTGAGAAAAGTTAACTTCGATATGATAAAAATCACTTTAACTTTCCTCGGCTGTCGGAGAAAGCAGAGAATCACAGCTTGTTCTTTAGAACATATTACTCATGTTCCGCCGTTCCGACTTAACTCCTGACATGGGAAGTCGGTGGGTGGATCAAACACTCTCGGATGTACATCTTTGACATGTCCAACCAGGAGTCGGGCTTTCGCGCTGACGTGTACGTAAATTTCCCGAATGACCGAGGATACATGATCTGTTCGGTGGGGTAACAGAGACGTAAGAGTTGCTCGGTCGCTCCAAAGCCCGAGCTGCTCCGCTAACATGATTGAAACTGACAGACCGGGGGACGCATAGACCTAGTGATTTGACAAGGGAGAGGATCTGGGTGTCGGCCGTAGAAACATGCCTGGAATTCGCCGTAGAAATTGCGTGTGAGTTTTATATAATTGTTGTTGTCGACAGCGTAAGTCTTTGCTCAGAATTATACCTCCTCATCCTTGATTAAGCGGTGTCGCTAGGCGCCGCCAGATTGTCAATAATAATAATGTCCGCCAATCCTTCTACCCAGGGGCATAATATAATCCGTCTTCCTCCCCCTTCTGGCCTGAAAGTCATATCCCCTGCACCTGTTTACGACGTGAATAAGTTTCCAGATGAGAGGACTCGGAAGCTGTGTGCTCTACTTGAGAAGGGCCATGTTACCGTTGCTCCGCTACGCGATCCAGAGTTGATCCTTCATAGTCACCTGCCGCATGTATGCTGATTCCCTGCACATTGATACATACATGAACCCTTCATAATTTTCACAGACCCTCGCACCTAACTCTACACCTACAGCTTCTAGGTTCTGCGTATGCGCTAGGCGCGGATAGCGAGCAGCTGAACAGGTCTTATGAGCATGAGATTAAACAGCTTGTGCCGATTGCTCGCGGTTTCATTCGAGGCGATGCGATTTCCCAGGAGAATTGGAGAAATTTCCTGAACCACAAAGAGTTTGTAGTCCAGACGACAAATTTCGGAGATTAGGTCTTCGATTGCTCACTGTGAATTCAGGTATACCGTTGCACTCCAGGACTTTTTCGATAACGAAGTGAAGAAGAAGCAAGGAGATTGGGGAAAAGTTCTGGAAGAATATCTTTATTCAGGTCCCAGCCCACTCATCAACGGTTATTCCGGAGGCCGTGAGTTGATAAATCATCTGCCCTGTCAAAGAACACATCGACGCACGGCGACTCTGACAAGCGTTTAGTTGGCCATCCATTCATCCACCTTGCCTATGCGTATGAGTTCCGCAGCAAGGAGGTAGCGACCCAAGCCTTGAGTCAAGGCTGTACAGAGTACAATCCAATTCATCTCTTCCTGGATCATCCTTCGCCAGACACATCGGCGTACAAGACAAATTCCCTAGCGACAATTTTTGAAAAAGTGCGCACGGATTCTAGATTAGACAATTTGTTTGATAATCCTGGGTACAACAATCTAGAGACCCTGCAAGAGGCACAGAATCTCGCCATCTTGTTGGAGCACTGGAATGCGTGGGAAGTGGCTGATACATTGCAGCAATTTGAGGAGTGCTGTGACCTCTCGGTCCTACTCTCCATAAGCAATGGTAACCCAGATGTTTCCTTCGATTTCTTCAACGCGCATATCATGACTGTCGCGCATGCACTGCGAGTTCTGTGGCATTACCTCCCCCCGCAAAGGCACGTCCCAGTCCTGCGGCAATATGCACTCTTCGGGATCATGACCTATGTCTGCCAACTGCGTCCGAAATTTACCATTGAGTCGGTTGAAGCTGTCAAAACAGATGGCCGGGATTGGCAGTGGGTTATTGACACTGCGTTGCCCGATAAGTGGGCTTTGGATGCCCACTTTTTCAAAGTTATCCGAGCTCCGAAGGCCTTCGAGGAAACCTTTGGTCGCAAGGATGACTTTTACTTGAAAGCTGCGATCAAGTACGTGACTGAATTTCGGGGATGGAAAGGGCACGGTAAAGGTGTTTCTGGAATTTCTCCGGTCGAGGATGAGTAGAAGGCAGAATTAGGAAACCAGGTTGCGAGAACTGTTCCTGGACAGTCAGAGACCAGATTACTTCAGCCTCCAAATCTAGCTAGCATTGAGAATGTAGTAACAGAATGGAACCCGTATGCCATCACTTTAGGTTAAGGCGTCCAGTGCGTTTTAAAATCTTTAACATTCATTTGGACTCGTTCACTTCAATGCTGCTATTTACAGCTTAGTAGATAGAAATCTCAACATCTTCCAGGTCAGGAAGGTCCTGGAAAAGGCTTTCAAAATGGTCCCATTCATCGATGCCTTATATATGCGGCGTCTGCGCCATATCCCACCCGATTACCGGTGGCAAGCATTGTTGCCAGTCAAGTGAATGTCCCAACGACGGATTATCAGAGGAAACGGGGCCATAGAGGCTGTGGCCCAAACACGTATTACACCAAGTGTATCATTTCAAGCCATGCTTTTCCTACGGCGCAAGCGTCTCCCATCAATCTTCCATAGACTTTCCAGCCAGATCATGAGGTATATCCACGGCAAGCGGTAATGAGTCCACATAGCTGTTTTCGATTGCAGGCCATTATCTGTCGACCATCGATCGTCCTGGATCTGTAGATACCTCGGCCAATGCCACAGGAAGGGCATGCCATAGAAAGAAAAACATCCCAAACCACTACCATGGCTACACTCGAGGATCATTGTACAGTTTTTGTCTCTCTTCCAAAATGTCTCTTGCGAGACTGATCATTCCAACGTCTGACTGGTGCACAACAAAAAATATCGCTTCACCTTGCATAGGTTGTAGGGCAAACAATAGTAAGGCATCGTGTATCCGGTCCTTGAGCTTAGTGATGAACCAGTGGAATGCAGAAGTAGGAGTTTCACTGGCTAGAAGAGTGTCGACATCATGCTGGAAGCTATTTACCGCCTGCTGCCGTATACAGAGATCGATAATGCCCGGTTCAGCAAAGTGTGATAAATTGAAGGAGCGAAGGATAGGCACATTGGAAATTATCTTGAGAAGTGTATTGTCCGTGAGGTCGCTCTCAGTAGTCTGTAGACTTGGAGTCTAATCTAAACTCTTTGTCATTCACGTTGGATAGGGAATACTGTTGGATCCACATAGACGCCATCATTGGTTCTGATGCACGATTTATGGAGGCTTCGATATCCAACCAGCCAATTAAATGCCATAAGTGACAGCGCATCTCTTTCTCAAATGGCCTAGTAGGAAAACAGGGGAGCGAGGGAGTGGGTGAACGACGTGAAGCGAGAGTGCTTGTGCGATGCGAAGAGCGATACTGAGCGTCGTCCAGGCCCTTCTACTTCGATCGTGCAATCTTGCCGCTATCTGGGCCGATATCAGAATTCGCCCTCTAGATTTGAGACCAGACTTAACCGGAGACAGTACAAACGCCTGTAGCATAGTCACCTACTTTTTGGCGAGGAAATCGAGCTTGATCAATGCCGACTTAGTTTTGTTCTTATACTTTGTGACCACTGTCTCTCTACTTTCACGAAACAATTCTATAGACTGTTCCTCACTGAGGGTGAAGCTGGAAACGTAAAATATTGTGGACGCAAGAGCCATATGTGCCAGATGTCCTCGGTCGTAGATTAAATAGGGCCTCCTATGAGACAATCACAAAGGGACGGTCGATGCAGACTCTTGAAGATAGGATCAACTTGACGGAGAGGAACTTTGAGAAAGGTTCTCTGATTGTATATATTTGAAGGTGCCGTGTGACCAGAGTCTGCCGCTGATTCTTTGCTCTGCCTATTGCCAACAGAACGATCAAGCAGCGCGTGGTTCCTATTATCGAGGGCTAAGGAGGAGCAAGGCTAATCTGTCGTTAGAGCAGAACTGCCATCATCGATAATAACCTACTCACTAGTTGGGGAAGATTCGCTTTTTCTTCCATCTGTAATGGCCCAGCTTGGCTCGCGCAGGTTCAGGTGCTGAGACTTGCTCGCTTTTTCGCCAGTGTTGGGCCTGCCTGTGATCCCCCACTTCTGCTGTGAATAACCTCGTAATACCTGTTCATCATTAGGAAGCTCTCTGTGGCGGCCAGATGCCTGCTTCCCTGATCGGCCGCGGGGCCAGTATCGCCTTTCGACAACAGTGCAGGAGGAACCATGTTTCAGACAATTTGTGCAGGGGCTTCTTTTCTCACACCTCACTTTGAGCTGGGGGCACATTTTTCAGGCCAAATGAACTGGATGTGTCGAAGACATACTCTGCTGGATTTTGCGCTAGATTGTGGGAGAAGCTTCTTCACATTTGAGACATTTGGGACTGGCGGCCAAAGGCAGGCGAGGAACGGCAATCATTTTCAATGGGCAATCGGGATCTCAATAGCATGATTTGTAGCCCGCCGCACGGACCGAAGAACGTGCACTTTCAATGAATGAGACCCTACATGTGGTGTCGAGAGATGATGGACATTCTTTATGGTGTTCCTTCAGCCATGCTACGCCTCACTCAGGGAACCCTTCGAGGAGATATGGTGAAGGAGGAATCGAAACCAGGCCCGAGGATTTCAAGCTAGAAACCTGGAGCTATTGAGCAGCTTGGACTATAGCGGGCTCACAGTTGCCGGTCGCCATGTAATTAATCGTCTAACCTCGACTGCACCCTTACACAAGTTCAAGTCGAACATCAAAGCCAATACTACTAAACAATCTTGAAACCCAGAGATCTTGGCATACAATAACGCATTTATTACGCTTGAAGGTGTAAAGAATGGCCCTAGGGGCCTCGAAAAGGTAATGGATTATTATCACTCGACAACACAGCCGCGTCGGAGTACCGGTACTTCGGACAGCCGAACCTGCGTCGGCCGATAGGTCCAGACTGCTGCCCATGTGTTCCCGATAACTACTGCATTCTAAGTGAGGAAAGTTCTCCGAACGCCAGACAGAGTTACAATACTGGTGGGGTAAAATTGATAGGCCGTGTTCATTTCTATGCGAAGCTTACGAATATTCGCCTCCACAAAAAGAATAACCTTCCTCTAAAAGAGGTCTACAGAGGCAAAGATATTGGCCATAATCTATCTTTTTGCTAAACTAGATTATGGTTTCCCCATCTGGAACCACGTAGTGTACTAGGCGGATCCTACGGATGAGTGAGCCACAAGCAACCGAAGAAGTAACGGTAGGTACCCCACCGATAGCGCTGGCACGATTCCGACGATTCCGCTTGGGGAACCATGTTTCTGTGCATCTGAAAATTGCCGTATTGCCAGTTTTTGATCGTATTGTGGGGACGTACTTCGGGTCGTTCTACTAATGACAGCTGATGATGGTGGGGTTTGTGACCCCTGCCTGGCTTGTCTGGATGAAAGGAGACATAGTGATCAACCCATATGATCAGCAGTTGTCTTATATCAAGTCTGGATCATACTGGCGTGGATAATGCCGCAGGTCATAAAAGGAATTGGACCCCGTGGTGAGTGCGAAAGAGGTATTTTTTCGAATCCGCCAGACTCGTCCCTCTACCACCATGGCTTTTCCATACAGAAAGATTCTCATTCTCGGGGCTACGTCTGGTGGGTACTACATTCCAGTGCTAGACTCCTACACATAATCCCTCTTTATTGGATTATTGGAGATGGTATTAAACCAAACCAAAAAATTTCCCAGGGTTAACGGACATTCCCAGGTATCGGTCGCGCTTTGGCCGCAAGTCTTATCCAAGATGGTCGCTTTGTGATCGCAGTCGGTCGACGAAAGGAACATCTGGATTCCTTTGTCCAGGAGCAGGGCACAGACAAGGCCGTATCTTTCCAATTCGATATTAGTCGGTTGGATGAAATCCAAAGCTTCGTGAAGAGGTACCTCATTTTATCGGCTTACAAGTCCTTCCGAGATTGACCGTTTGCATACTCATGAAGTTTCCGTTGACGTGGCTAGTGTGACATCGTCCCATCCCGATTTGGACTGCGTCTTCGTCAACTCGGGTATCCAACGTCGCTCGGTATTTAGTGAGCCAGAAACGATCTCTATGAGTGACATCCAGGAGGAAATGACGGTAGGTTGAAGCATTGGCGTGCGCCGACAGCCTCTTTGCCTGGTATTGAGCGGGTCTTATTTTAGGTCAACTACATTTCCTACGTTGCGATGGCTAAAGAATTTTTGCCTTTTTTCATGGCTAAAGAGAACACCCCAACATCCCTTATATTGTAAGTCGTTTACAAGTGATTCACTATCGACATATTACTAACAGACGCGCGTCAGCACCTCTTCAAATCTTGCACTTGTTCCCATTCTCCGCTGCTCCAACTACTGTGCTTCCAAGGCTGCTCTTCACCAATGGATCTTGTGTCTACGTGAACAGCTCAAGGGCACAAATACCAAAGTCATCGAGATCTTCCCACCTATTGTACAAAGTACGTATAAATGACGATCGGACTCTTCCTGGTCAAACAGAAACAAAAGATTGGAAATTGTTAACCTTGTTAATTTGCAGCCGAACTCCATGATGCAAAGCACCAGCCCGACATGGGGCAGGCAGGGAAAAGTTTTGGCATACCGGTAGAACAGTTTACTGAAGAGGTGGAGCTGCCCCCTGTTGACCTGTTATGGATCAGGTTTTGACCCTCTCTGCGACTGATTTCTAACTTGATTATGCAGACCATGGAACGGCTTCAGGCGGGTGATGAGCAGATCCCCGTAGGGCTATCCAAGATAGCCTTTGAAAGCTGGGAACAGCAGCGCCAAGGAGCGTTCCACCGTATAGTAGAGTTGATGAAGAGTAGCGAGTTTTGATCTGTGCTTTACCTGGGAAGTTTGAGTTTGGAACCGGTGGTGTGCTTTGCCATCGGACAATATTCTAAGGTTCTTTCGATTTTTGAGGATACAATGGGAGTAGAATTCTCGCAGTCCTTCTTTCAATTTTAGAGTCCATTCTTCACATCTACATCTATATCTCTTTTATAACAAGCGTCGTCGAAGCTCCATGCGAGCAGCAAGATCCATGTGCACTTGCATTTGACGAATTTCGACCGTTGTAAAAAGTACGGTTTAGCGGCGACGTCCGTATTTTACAGCTGACATCTCACATATGAGGCCTAGAAGACTCGTGATCTCTATCAAGATATCTTTTCAATCGCCACGTTTTCTTCGCTTCCGTAACTTCAAATCAGACAAATTGAAAGGAGTAACAGGTACATAACCATACGTAGACAGACCTGAGCCATCAATCTGGCTAGTAGGGCGAAAAGAAGCAGAAGAATCCACTTCATAAGTCTCCCTGTTTCCGTCGCCATAGTCATGGAACACGGCCCGTGTCTCTAGCTCATTTTTGTGAACCACTGCCCCCGTTTATCGCGCTATTTTAGTTTCGGACAGATATGGGGATCTGTCCAAAGAACTAGAAATATCATTTGGTCCCGGTAGCGGTTGTAGAAAATTGATTCTCGACGATAGGGAAGTTTCTCTCGGTGGAGCTATAGGTAGGCTTCATCAGGGCCCACGAATGGGCCGAGGACTTCGGCCCATGGCCCAACCCCCAGCCTACGATGGGCCCCCATTAGGGGCCCATAGAAGCCTATTTTTGCACAAAATCGAGCCCTTGGCGTTTATAAAACTTTTGAATCATCAAAATAGAATAACGTAGTTCACGGCCGACCTGATAACCCGGCCGACCTGATAGCCCCAAAACACCATACTAAATGCGATTTTTTAGGTCACGGTATATCAACAACCAGAAGCATTTTTTGTTTGATTTTTAGTAGCATCTAAATTCTTAGCATTAGGAACGGTGTAGCATGACTAAAATATTCAGAACAGGATTATTTACCTATATTACCAAAAATACGCTCCGATCGAGCGATGCAGACATATATATCAACATTGTAACAACTTAAAATATTTCTCGACCTAATAAAAATACTTAGCATACTATATCAAACACTAAGGTCTCCCAAGACTACACTCTTCGCCTTCGGGGTTGAAATATGAAGTTGTGAAAAATCGCATTTAGTATGGTGTTTTGGGGTTATCAGGTCGGCCGGGTTATCAGGTCGGCCGTGAACTACGTTAACGTAACTAATTCCCGGCCGATCTAGCCACCCGGCCGTCCTAGCTACCCCAAAGCACCATACTAAATGCAATATTTCACAACTTCATATCTCAACGCTTAAGGATAAGTAGATAGTCTTGGGATATATTAGTGTTTAATATATGTCAGAACAAGCTAATACAGTACGGCATGGTATGCAATGAGCGGGGATTCTTTTGGAAGGGGAACCAATCAGTAGGATTGACAGATTGAATTGATTGATTGTAGATAAAATGAGTGGCAGGCAGAGGGTATGTTTAAATACACATCTGCAGAGTTGGTCCATAGTTGATATGTGGATGGGACCAATTCCTCCATGTCTTAAGAGGACCCATGGGATACTCGAAAGTGACTTCGGAGCCCCGTAATTTACATACAAAACACAAAGAAAGGCGGGGGACGAAGGAAACCAATAGGAGGCAGCTGTAAGTAACTGCTCCACTATCCTCGACAGAAGCATTGGGATGCTCTTTCAAACCCTAATCGCATGCCAGATATGGTTATTCCGGTATTTGAATGAGCGTTCCCGTATTGAATGGTAATATATCAAACGAGTACAGTCAGGTTACATAAATATTTGGACCCCGGGCCCCACCCTATTATTACATAATATTCTGCCTTTACAAAAAGCTTCCCCAGAGAGTCCAAGAAATTGATTTCCATAACGATGGATAGAATATTAGATGAAATGAGAGGGCTATGTGTCTATAGGACTATCTGTTTACAGATTATTGCGCAAATTGCGGCCTCTTAGCAATATGCTAAATCTTCTAGTTAAGCGGATATAGTAGGCGGTAGGGAGTGTTCTAGGCGGTGTGAGCAGGGGGTCTAAATATTTTTGTAATGTCACTGTAACCACCCGAGTAAGCTGTATGGCCATAAGTTAGTTAGTTAACTAACTAACGTGATTCCCGCCCGTCCGGATCACCCGCCCGTCCGGATCACCACCTCCAAAATCGCGTATTCCTACCTACCTACCAACTTCAACCACCTACCATGACACCAATTCGCCCTGAATCCCGGCAGAAAGCTGCAAGTCAAGAGGGCAAGATCTTATTAGCCCTTTCTGATTTGAAAGAGGGCCGCATCAATTCAATTCGCGCAGCAGCAAAGCTATATGAGCTACCCTACACTACTCTTCATGCGCGTACTGAAGGTCGAATGTCACGCGTGGATAAGCGCCCAACAAGCCATAAATTAACCCAATTAGAAGAGGATTCACTTACTGAGTGGATAATCTCTATGGATTCACGTGGAGCAGCCCCTAGGCCAGTAACTGTGGGAGAAATGGCTAATATCCTACTGGCTGCGCGTGGTAACCTACCACCACCTACTATCGGCAAGAATTGGCCCTCATCCTTCATTAACCGCCGCCCTGAGCTTCGTACACGCTTCTCGCGAAGATACGATTACCAAAGAGCCCTAAACGAAGATCCGAAATCGATTCGGCAGTGGTTCGCGACCGTACAAAGTGTAATTGACGAGAACGGTATACAACCAGAGGATATCTACAACTTTGATGAGACAGGCTTCGCAATGGGCCTTATATCTTCGCAGAAAGTAGTCACAAGGGCTGAATACTACGGTCGGAGATCTCTTCTACAACCAGGAAATCGCGAATGGGTTACTACGATCGAAGTAATCTGCGCAGATGGCTATTCACTACCGCCATGTATAGTCTTTAAAGGCAAAGTGGCTATTGCAGGATGGTTTAACGAAAACCTACCGAAAGACTGGCGAATCGAGGTCTCAAAGAATGGCTGGACTACCGATGAGATTGGTCTACGCTGGCTAGAAAAGCACTTTATCCCACACACGAATTCGCGCGTACGAGGTCGATTTCGGCTATTAATTCTTGACGGCCATGGTAGCCACCTTACGCCCCAATTCGACCGAATCTGTGCCGAAAACGATATTATACCACTTTGTATGCCTGCGCATTCATCGCATCTACTACAGCCACTAGATGTTGGGTGTTTTGCAGTAGTTAAGCGCGCGTACGGTCGCTTCGTTAGCGATCTTGCGCGTAGAGGATATAACCATATCGACAAGCACGATTTCTTAGTGGATTACCAGAACGCGCGCCTAGAAGCGTTCCAATCAACCAATCCTACTATCAAAAACAGCTTCGCAGCTAGTGGTCTAGTACTATTAGATGCTGAGAGAGTGCTTAACAAGCTTAATATCTCTCTACGAACTCCAACACCACCAAGCAGCCGGCCAAGCAGCAGATCTAGCCAATTTACACCACAAACGCCTAGAACAGCCGCTCAGCTATTTAAGCAAGCTTCTATGTTAAAAGATCTACTAAAGCGGCGGTCAAATAGCCCTCCGAGCCCATCAAAAGAGATGTTAGACCAGATAATCAAGGGGTGCGCTCTAGCGCTACACGGCGGTGCTTTACTAGCAGAGGATGTCACGAATCTACGCATGGCGAATGAGAAGATGGTCAAAAAGCGCAATCGGTCAACTAAAAGGATACCCTGCGCAGAGGGTTTAACCATTGAAGAGGCTATACAGCTAGCTGAGCAGCTAAACCAGCCAGAGGAAGACGATGGGGTAGATTCGCATGCAGAGGTCGAATTACCTAGTCAGCCAACTAGGCCAGCAGCTAGGGCTCCGCCTAGGTGTAGTGGGTGCAGGGAGATTGGTCACAGGATTAATGTATGTAAAAATCGCTATATCTAGTTAAATTGATAGATTTTGGTTGAGATAATCGATTTTGAAATATTCGAATGGGTGTAGGTGATCCGGACGGGCGGGTGATCCGGACGGGCGGGAATTACGTTAGGGCAGGAAGGGGCGATGCTGAATAATCATGCAACCAGGACCCACTCTGGTATCGTAGGCTGCCTCCAGTTCGACACTTTACCCCCTACCATAATGATGACCGCAAGGTACAACCGAGATGACTTCACGCAAACGAGCTCTCACAATGCCCCTTACCAAGCCAGCCAGGATCTTCTGGCGGAGACAAAAATCTCTAGAGCAAACGCAATCAGTCCTTTTTAAGAGACTTCCACTGGAGCTGCGAGAAGTGATCTATGCATGGACTTTCCACGCTCCTGACAAACTAGCAGGGACCTACCGTGCTGCATCAGACTTCCATATTTTCTGGGACTCTGGGAAACTTGTCTTTCGCCGTTGTTCGAGTGCAGTTGGACTATGCTCGCCTCACTGCTATCGAAGGATTTACACCTCTTGTTATGCTTCGCGGAATCTATTAGCGGTTGTGCTCACCTGTCGCCGAATGTAAGTGATCTCACCGTCGGAATCCGGGACTTCTTTCAAAATCGAGATATGTCATCGATTTTTTAGTTCGCTGGAACCTGTATGTGGACTAACGGATTTATAAATATAGCTACAGTGAAGCCATCACTCTCCTATACGCACGAAATACGTTTATTTTTAGGAATCTAACAACAATCACCTTATTTACGTCAACCATTCTCCATCAGCGCATGAAATGTATTCGAAGCATTCGGTTGGAATGGATATTTTCAGAGACTGAGATAGATTACCCTTACGGGACGGGAGCAGCTTACTCTGAGCTCGTGGAGAAGGGGTTCGATAGACGCTGGAAACCTCTCTGGAGGACGTTCGCGTGCATGAGTGGATTACAAACGCTCTATATCAGACTAATACGTGACTCGCTTCCTCAAATATCTATATGGGAAGACCAGATCCTTGAGCCTATGCGGCAGATAGGGGGGCTTGAGAAGTTTGAGGTGGAGGTAAACTGGGTGGTAAAGCCGAGCTCTGTAGGGCCATTCCGATTAACTCTTGTGCGTGAGAAACGAGAAGATAATAATAGGGGGATTGACTAAGGGTATAATTATCAACAGAACATACGGTACATCTCGATAAACAACATTATTGCGACGATCGCGAGTTGTCACCATTCTGCCCATGTCCTGTCCACTATTAGATCATCTAAATAACCACAACTTCTAAATACAGTAACTAACTAACTTAGTTAACGTAATTCCCGGCCGTCCCGTACACCCCTCCCAAAATCGCTTCTTCCTACATACCAACTTCAAGCCAGACTGAATGGATATCTTCATCGGATCGGCAAGACTGATTGTGATTTGTGCGAGTGTGGCATTGAGCGTGAAACTGTCCCGCATTTCTTGCTTTGATGTACACGGTGGAATGAACAGCGTCGCGCACTGATTGAAGCCGCGGGTCCGAGCCTCGGTAGTCTATCGCAGATGCTAGGAGGTAAACCTGAGATCGTAGAGGATGTGAGTGAACCGAATGGAAGGGCATGGAAACCCGACGTCAAGATTGTCCGAGCCGTCATCGCGTTTGCAATGGAGACGGACGGTTGGCTCTTGAAGGGTGAGGAAGAAGGCTGAATTGGAGATCGCGCATGTGGTAACGCTATCAAATGTACATATCCTATGGAGCGGTGCACACTAGCTAGGAGGCTCCATACGACCTAAGGTCGTGAAAAGCCTGAGGAAATAATAATAATAATAATGGATCGTCAGGAAGGACTTTAGAATTTTATTGGAGCTCACTGTTGAACAATCGAAGATTAAACGTTGAAAGGCTTCACTTGTCACCGTTGCGAATAAACTCGCACCTCGCCCTCTCGCCCCCTCACCACCTCACCACCTCACCACCTCACCACCTCACCACCTCACCACCTCACCACCTCACCACCTCACCACCTCACCACCTCACCACCTCACCACATCACCATCTCACCCCATGCGATAAAGTTTCGCTGCTTGATATTCTCTTGCGCAGAATTGGTGTATATCAACCGGGAAAATCTAATGAAAAAAATAGGACAGAAAGTTGAACTAGTGGAATTCATTTCTGTGGACTCGAGTTGTTGAGTTAATATTAGGGATCTGTTAAAAATACGCCCCCATTACTAAACAGTGTAAGGCGCAGTCTCCGTATTTCCTCCTTTTGTGACAGCGGTACATCCTGCTACAGCTAAATTACTGTGGCAGCAGATGAATGTCTGTTGCCTACTGAGAAACTAGTGTTAATGAACTTCCCACATTCTTATTCACATAGTAAAAGCAGCCTTCTACAACCTAATTTTTGCCTTTTTTTGGCCCTCAATCGCCATGGAAAGCACCCAATTCGACGATACGCTCTTGCCTGTGTTTGACGAGCTTGATATGGCCATCTTTATGCCCTCGATCGACCTTGCTGCCCCCAGCGAAGCCCCCATCGAAGCCCCCGACGATGCCTCCGACGATGCCATCCTCGTCCCAGATATGACCTGGCCTACGTATTTGGCTGGTATAGACTGGATCAACGAGCAGGCCTGCTTATCTGGCAGCGGCTTCGGAGCGGTGATCAAAAACTCTAAGAAAAGGCGAGATCGCACGTTGAAGACGGTGTATCTTCGCTGCGATCGTGGATATAACCGACCAAAAGCTCGAGATCATCCAAAGAGAAAGTCCTACAAAAAGGCCACTAAGTGTCAGTGGCGCGCTGTCATTCGCCTCGAGCCCACTGGAGATTGGACCCTTCGCGTGCAGCAGCATAGGCATAATCACGGCCCTATTCCAGCCTCAGCTATGCCAGTACAACGCCGCCGTCAGCGTGAGCGATTTATATCGTAGTTCGGACCCACATCTCGCAAAGAATCACGCCTCAGCAGATTCTCACAAGCCTCTACCAACAAGGTTTTACCTCCGCTCGTATTAGAGATATCTACAACATCCGCCGTCAGCTCTATTTCGAGCTATTCGGTGGCCTTACACCTATCCAGGCACTCTTGATTAGGCTTCTAAAGGAAACGGGGAGTGGAATTTTCGGCACTCAGTCCGGGAGGATCGGACAGTATTCGCACTTCTCCTGTAACGCTCAACGGCACTATCACTATCAACGGTACCAGCTGTAATCCTTCCGACGCTAAGACTTGGGGACCGCCCTTTGGCCCTGCTTGCAAGATTCCTCCTGGCTGGATCAAGAATGGTCGTCCTGACGCTCCTGCGAACGGATGGTACCGCTTCCGCCCTCGTCGCTTCTTGAAGAAACACCCTTAGGTTTTGCATCGTCATATTTTCAGATGCTTTGCTATTCATTATTCTAAGATGTTCAACTTTCGCCCACTAATGGCTGGGTTGCTGTCTAACTCTTGAGTCACTCGTTTGGAACTGATTTTGTCACTATACACCATTTGTTGGGAAGCCGCGCCGGCGCATTCTAGATCGAGACAATAGATGTGTCATCATCCCAGTGTTCCCTAACTTATTCCGCGAAATATCCAATGGGCCTAACTGCTAGGTACCAGTTGAGAGTGGGCTGGATAAGAAGTAATAAGAAGCGAAAGTAATCATAAGGTGGTGGTGTTGGAGGCAACGTAGTGCGTTGGCGTAAAAGCAATAAGCCAGCTCTGGCGCTCCAATCATCTCCTGTGTTCCCTTCGATACTGCAAACGGCTGTATCTGGAACACCTACGTTGGCTCTATCTATTCTAGCACCTGTCCTGCCTTTGCCGAAAACCCTTGGTTTATCGGCTGAGATCCTATTGTTTGCGCCAATTCCTGGACTATTGCTACTCCGGGCCCGCGAGCGAGCGCCTGTTTGAATACTGGATGCCCCGATAGTGTCGTTGAGCTCTACGAGTGAATCTTAGGTTCTGCAGAAATTGAGCCGGAAACGCAGCGGCTTTCTGATATAGATAGGTACTTTGAACATGGGATTGTAACTTTTGGCGATTCTGTGATTGAGGAGGGACGAATTTGTTGGGAGTACGGAGGAACTTGTTGAGCGGGGAAGCTATAAGATATCTGGCGCTAGTGCGAGAAACAGTATATGGAAACATCGGGAGCTTTCGGGTGCCAGTTTCCACATCTCCTATTCTTGCGCTCTCCTGGGCCCTTATTTTGACATAAGCAACTGCCGCGAGACAAAGACAGTTGGGAGATGGTGTCTAGTCGGAGCAAAGCTAATTCGAGCTTACTTTGCTGCGCAGCCCATCTCCGAAACGCGTTGGAATATTTAAGCGGACGTTGTGGATTAAGCCAGAGTAATGACGTTGCGCAACCTTACGGGTAGTAATCATCAGTGGGGCTTGGTGGAGATTTGGGACAGCCATATGCCCTCAAGAATGCAAGGGCTTTAATACTGAACAACGTAACTGCGCGGTCTCCCATGACCGCATATCACACAACGACTGCTCTGGTGGAGAAACATCACTAGTAGCGCAGGCCCACTCGAACACTACTAGTTCGGAACACAACCGGTTCGGCAAAGCAGAGCGTTGAGGCCGGTATGTCAAAAGGTAAGGCATACAATCTGTTGTCCCTAAAATAACCGCCTGTAGCTTTAATTATGTTGGTGAACAGTAGTCAACGGTGTCGTCATCGGAGAAATTTTGAGGAATATAATGAGAAGCTAGTTAGTTCAGTTTTTCGAGGTTGGCGGATCGTAGGAAAGCTGAGGAGAGGGGCTGATCTGCCACATAAGATATATCTCGGTGCCGAATACGCTCTAGACCGCACGTTATTAGCGCTGTGGAATTGTTAGCATATGTACATCATGGGTAAGAATAAGGTAGGCGTGTACATTTAGCTGGCGTCTCACTTGATGCGGAATAAGGAATCGTTTTCGTGGAGGATGGGCAGTGAAGGAGACACGTAGGAAGATTAAAATATGAGGCATCTAATGCGGTTGTTATAACCCGATTGCATCTACCACAAGCAGGAAGGGGATATATAGATATTAGAATTAAAGCACCCCAATATAGATCGAACGTCAAGGGCCAAAACGGAGAATGAAGGAAAGAAATAGCGTGGGGATACCAGTCCATCCTAAACAGAAGACCTCCAGAGTTGAGTAGATTATTGTCGGGTTGTGGTTCTGCCGCATTACGATTGTTGGGGATAACTCGCGTAGTTGAAAGGGGAGGGCGAACTTGGCTCGCAGGCAATACATGCCCTGTTGATTTGGCCGCATCCGCTCCGCAGGGTGGGTCAGGACTCGGATGGGGCAAAGGATGTCGGGAGACTGAGGGTGGAGGCGTTGGATTGAGTGTAGGGAAGGCCAGCCATGGATCCCGAGGGACTGGCATATGAGTATTGTTGGTATTCGTGGGGCGCGGAGACTAGGAGGGACTGGAGAGCCGACAGAGTTCTTCTGTGAGGTGGTATTTGTGGCTCCATTGCGTGATGTGACTGTAACCGATTGCTTTGCGGTTGCGAGCCTAATTTTCAATATTTTCGTTAGGTAAAATCGTTTCTCTGACCATGATAAGACAAGTTGAAGAACCAACCGATATTACTCATGTCATAGGTTATTGGCGGTCCCTGAGAATCTGTCGGTGATACCGAGCCCTTAAACAACTGGTGCTGATGGTATGGTGCTGCCATTATCCCACCAGGGTGCCGTGGGACACAGTGGTCCATCGGACAAATAGGTGTGGTCGACGCAGAGCTAAGAGGGGAGACGACGTAGTCGGCTGGGTGTGGACGTTGGAAACGATCCGTGCGCAGCGCTCTCCACTCCGCAAAGCTCTGGCTCGGGACCCCATAGCCCTGTGGCAAGGCAACGGGGAGCTGTCTAGTCGATTTGTTATCAAACGGCGTGCGCAGGACTTTGGTAGTGTCAAAATCATCCGGCAACGCTCGCGACTTCAGCATTCTTTCGCGATCGTTTGGCATCAGACGCTTGAGCTTGGCTCGCCTATAGTTATAACATTGTTAGAATAACGAGCGAGAATTTCTCTTCTTTTAGAGACCGTAGAGAGGGTCAGCTCTACCTATTCTGGAACCACACTTGGACTTGATGTGGCGTTAAGCCTGGAATCTCTCGCGACAGACGTTTTCGGTGAGGAGCATCTGGATGTGCCTGGCGAGTGAACTCGCTTATTAGGAACCGAGTTTGATTGTGTGTTAACCTGTTGCTCGGGTCAGCATGCCGTGTCCTGTCCAGACGGGACCTACTTGGCTCGACGCCCTGTGTCCTTACCGAAACCGCTTTAGTTTCTTCTTCTTCTCCAGTGATGGTGATATGTGAGGCATATCGCTGCCTATCGTCTCTCCCTTCCGATCTGCAGGACCGATCGGGGAATCTCTATCGTGCTCGTGCTCTTCATTTGCGTCCAGACTAGGCTGGGGAGCACTGGTCGTCTCTCCAGTGCGACAGGGCCCGATGTGCAGTTGAGACATTGACAAACTCGTTTGGCTCCGAACCAGAAACTCTAGCTTGGCTCGTGTCAGAAGATCTTCTCTCGCCGCTCTAGGCATAGGACTAGCCACATCGTCCGATAGGATATCTCTCCCGCGATACGGGTCAGAGGCCAAGCCCGAGCCCGGCGCGCTCACAGGCACCGGAGTGGTCAAGGCATTCTCAGCCTTCGCACCAGCCCGTTGCATTTCCGCAGACGACGATTCTCGAAGAGAGATCGTCGTTTCTCGCTCCCCAGGCAGCGTCAAGAGCGGGGAAACCGTCCATGGCGTCGAAGAAACCTGCTCTCCATGACGAGCAACTGTGGATAGATGAGATGTGATTGCCAGCGACGGGGGAGCTGGTGAGGACAACCAGGGCACCCAGAGGCAAGGGACGCCGATTGACATATTCAGAATGTTTTGATATGCCCTTCTTTGATCGGAAAATTGCAGTCTCTCGAACAAGTTAAGATTTAGACAAGCACAGACAAGATGGAAGTCCACGGATCCCGAAAATATGATTAAACGAGAGCTAAACACGCCAAACCACCTTCCACACGTAAGAAGAGAAAATAAATGAAAAAAGGGACAAGAGAATTAAAACACCTTTTGCGTGAGACGAGACGAGGGTGGGTCTGATCGAAGTGCCGGGGTTCGTATCGGAACCTTTTGTACGTTCCATCCAGTACTGCGGAAAACAGTGAATTGCCGGTAACGTGGCCATGCTCTTGCGATGTTGCTGTAAGAGAGCGTGGACTGTCCTGTGAGAGCAGGGTCCCACAAACAGGGGGTAGAAGTGAGTTTCGGATGGACGCGGGCCCCACAGGCATGGCCAATGCTCACGATCAGAGAATTAGGTTGCTTACGGAGTAGTGCTCGCTGTTCCCCCTGCGATCGGTCGGGCCGATCTGGTACAGCACTGAAAACAATTGGAAAAATTTTCAACTGCATACTTTCTTAGTGTCGCCAGGTTCAAAGACCAAATCAATGTGAAACCTATATTCAGAAAATTCCGGTCCTCAGCTATAGAGTTTAAGCCTCTCCGACGCCACCTATATCTCATCTTACTCTCGACCATGCAGACAGTATCATGACAGTATTCTTTGCCGTTATATTCACCAGGTTCGCCGCTCTTCTTTTGCTCTACAAAAGTTGGATGCCTTTGTTCATCCCGACAGCTAAGCGTTCACAGCGAATGCAATAACCGCTTGAACAACCCCGATTTTCAGTATGTTATTCTTGCCAGTCCAGTGAAGGTACGTGGAACCTGGCGTTCGGTTGGAGTTGAGTAAGATACCGTAAAGTATTATCGTGTGGGATCTGGGAAGAGCGGAATCCAATCTCATGTCAACCTCCAATCGGTGTCAGCCGGTGACATCTTTTCGGATCATTTCGGATCATTTCATTGGATGACTAACCGACACCTATTGTCAGAACAAGCTAATACAGTACGGCATGGTATGCAATGAGCGGGGATTCTTTTGGAAGGGGAACCAATCAGTAGGATTGACAGATTGAATTGATTGATTGTAGATAAAATGAGTGGCAGGCAGAGGGTATGTTAAATACACATCTGCAGAGTTGGTCCATAGTTGATATGTGGATGGGACCAATTCCTCCGTGTCTTAGAGGACCCATGGGATACTCGAGAGTTACTTGAAGTGTTGTCTCGGAACCCCGTAATTTACATACAAAACACAAAGAAAGGCGGGGGACGAAGGAAACCAATAGGAGGCAGCTGTAAGTAACTGCTCCACTAGCCTCGACAGATAGGATCTAGGAGGAGCGATATCGTATGCCAGCAATTGAGTGATATTAAAGACAGCGTAAACTAATATAACCCCTGAGCGGGAGTATGCTATTCACACATCCCGAATGCCAGGATACCGTATAAGGCTGGTGGCATCAGGGAGGGCAACCTACTATCTAGTACGGCCTCGGCGTTATTGAAGACTGCTGAAACCTCAACAACGCCTAGATTGGATACGCGTGTTGTCAGATATTTAAGAGAGATGAAGTGCAGAATTACAGACTCTCAAGGGCCATTCAGACTTAGTTGATTCGGTGGTCTTCTTGCCGACGGCCGGCTACTGGTGTCCGGGTCATGGGATAAGACTGTCCGGCTCTGGGATGTGGCCACGGGCGCTCTACAGAAGACTCTTGAGGTCGAGGGAGTAGTCACCAAATTAGAAATTTCTGCAAGTTGTTCATACCTCAATACTAATCTTGGGAACCTCAATATCCAAACCTCCAGTGACATGCTGCCCTGCAGTCCAACTAGAACCCAGGCCAGTATGCTCCTAGTAGAAGGTCAGTGGGTGACTCTTCGAGGCGAAAAGGCACTATGGCTTCCTCCCGAGTATCGACCCCACTCTTCGGCAGTCAAAGACAATACTCTTGCGTTGGGACACAAGTCGGGACGAGTTTCAATCATCGAATTTGTGCCTAGTGAGTATCAATGAAGTTTTTAAGTTCATGCTCCACTATATTTCTTTATGTCCTTTTGTTGGTATCACCAGCTAGGTACTGTGTACACAGTTAAGTGGACAGCATGTATGCTCGAAAGCGAAAGTCAATTGATTCATAGATGATAGATGTAGATCGATCAGTCAGGTCAGCTTCCAAGATACCCCTTAATCCCATGCGCCGACACTGGGCAGTCACAACACCGGAGCCACAGCTCCGCGCAAGAATGCGTACACCAAGCAAGGGATGTTATCTCTCGGCTGACAGAAGGATATATCCCGACACCTTTTCTTGATCCAAATATCTTATTGCTGCGTACATATCATTTTTCAACCTGTCTATCACAATCCAATCTGAGAGACTTCTTTCGTTTCTTAGCATCCTGAGCGTCTCCTCGCTCTTTAATCATGTCAGCCATGTTTGTCCCAATATCCGATCCAAGATTTCTGAAACCTGCAATGACACCCTGACGGTCGCCATGACCTTTATCTTGGCTCATCTTGAACTTGCCTTGAATTGTCTCGATTGTGATCTCGATCCCAATGATAGACCGTTTTTTCCCTTCAATGAAACTCTTTGGGGCATCAAATACACTCCACGGTGGCAGACTCTCACGATTCCCCGTGTAGCCCATGATGGACGTTTCACAGTGCTGTGATAAATCGTGAAGCTGATTGGAAAGGTAGCTCCAGGTCTCTGGCAAGGATGAATCATGGTAAATGGTCGCTTTGCCATATATCTGAACGGCTGTGTAGTTCCATGTGGGCACTACCTTGGCGCTTTGGGGTTTGGTTTCAGTGTAGAACTTGGGAGTCACATAATGATGATCTGCCCCTGTGAACATAACCATTACATCGTGTTGCAGTTTCCCATTTGGCGCATTGGTGACTTCTTCCAACATAGCCTTCGATTGAGGATTTTGCCTTGCCATATGCCCTCGCAACGTGCCTTTCACAGGAGCCTCGACGTCATGAGAGTGAACATTCAGAGCCCATGGTATATGACTAGATTGCAGCAAAGGGTAGCAAGACGAGGGAATCGCGGTTGTAATAAGTCCAAGAGGATTCTCCCGGATAAATTCAAAGAGCAACTGTAATGACGGCTCTGTATAAAGGTCTCGTTGGTACATGGTGGCGAGAAAATGAAGGCTGAAGTTGAAATCTTCGAGCGTGTGTAGGAAGCTAGGGAAAGAGGTAGTCAAAATTAGTGGATCAAGGGAAAACTAACGAGGTGACTCACATGGCGTGAGTCACGACTCTCCCTGTGGGTGCGACTCCCTTCTAGTGTCGGAACGCAGCAGGATATGTGGATACCCGGAGCAGGACATACTATATCCCGCCAAGATCAGTCATATAGTAGAGCCCATCTAATTTGCCAGCAAGGGGTCTCATAGCAATCCAGACCTATCATACATTCCATTGGTGCACCCGTATGCTCCACTTCCCTATTTTTCCAATACTGCGTACTTAGTGAGTCTGAGGCCGGACTGAAATTTACTCAGTGAGCCTGACTCTGAGTGCCCTGATAAAAGCGGCGGCAGCTCAGATAGGAAAGCCCCACCCGGCGGCAGAGGAACTGGTACGTACGTAGAGTGCCCTAAGTACTGTAAGCAATCAGCTGGTTACATATAAAAAATGATTCTGACAACACACCAAGCCGGCACATGGTTTTTATTCCACAACAGTGATTACATGACATTGAAAGGAACTGGGTATATCAGGGTGCGACGGGAGGTGGAGTACTGGAAGTACGAACGGCGTGCTAGCCTTATTCTATTTTGCATTTGCTAAATCGCTTCCAGACACGCTGGTGCTACTGAGGATTTATCTGTCGATCATTCGGACACATTTAAGCTTGTTGCTGGGGGAGGCGGCTTTCAATATGCTGACACGCCGGCTCCATTTTGTAACAATTTAACAATCCTTCTGGAGTTTGCCACAACGCCACGGGTGGCACTGATGATGGCTACACTTGGTTTACCAATCAGGCTAATCACTGGCATAACGAGTATTACTGGCTCGATGGGCAAGTTACTCTTCCAACTCTGGAAGCAACTGGCTTGTACAATGTTGCTGTTGAGACAATTGGTACGTGAATCTCTTCGTCCGAAATCTTGAAGACTAACGGTAATCTAGACTATGCTTCAAATTCTGTCAGACATTAATGATGCTGGCACAGGCCACAACCATGTCGGCGCCTCTTATGACCCTACATATGGCAAATGCCCTTGTGCTTCATAGGTAGAACAAGCTCATATTACTCAAGAGAGTTGAGAATTTTCTTAGATTGATCTGAGAATGGAAGTTTTCTTGGTTAAATTCTACGGCCTTCAGTACTCCTCATTGCCTCCTATACTGCAATTTGAACCCATACATTATGGTTATCACTTGATTATACGGCCATTCTTCGCTGTTCTTCCCACCGTGAACCAACCTATCTGTGACATTCAACACCACAACTAATTCAATGATATTCTAAAATGGGAGACTTCAACCCTCTCTTGTTGAATCCTGAACCCGACATGTGCATAAATTAGCCAATCAAGAATCACCGTTGCGGATATGACGGGTTCTACGATCGGGTCGTTACGTCGACGTAAAGCTACAAGGTAGCTTTCCCAAGAGCGGAAACGATTCAATAAAACTAGATTAGTCGAAAATCGTACTGATATGTATGAGGTTTGTGCTGATCAGGAACAAAGCCGTGAAATTGGACGTACTGATAACAACCGCCACTACGGAAATCTGTGCCACTGTGTCCGCAACATATACCCTGGCAACAAACTGCCCATCTGCGGACAACTAGTGGTGCCGCTATGTCCGTGAATCCTAACTACGATCCGTTCGAGTCGGTAGCGGCTGAGTTGTGGTACGCACACGTGTTGCGATATGACGCAGTTGCTGCTTAGGAATACAGCCGCAAACGTCGGAAATAATTCCTGCACATCAATACGAAGACCAAGTTGATTGGAAAATGTTGTGTATGTGCCTCACGCTGTGGGAGAATTGTCAGATTACTTATTACATACACATCCGTCCTGGCGACTTGCTTACTGCTAAAGGGGCAGCATCAGCAGCGGCTGGCGATGTTGATCACTTGGGGTAGGCTGTTCGGTCGGCACACTTGAGCCAGAAGCTAAAAACAAAAGGGATAACAATAAACAGCCACAAAAAACAGCTATGGAGTGAGCAGTGTCCAAACCAAACCACACCAAAATCCCATAGCACCAATCTTAATTGTCGTCGAGAAACAGCCGGACACATCAAATCCAAGCAACCGTCAAACGCTTTGCCTTGCCCGCCTCTTTTTGATCACTTTGTATCGAGGTCCAGATCGAGAAACGCTATTACGCATAGGCGAAGAATGGGAAGGGCAGTGGCTCATTTGACGAACTGGCAATATGGAGCTGGGTCGACTGCGAATAAAGAGATCATGGCGATAGGCGCCCCCAATTTTGCGAAACCCATGGTAATAAAGCCGCCGAACGAGAGACTGGTAGCTCTTGGTGGAAAGCCGTGCAAGCAAATGCGCAGGGAAGTTGTCCTCTAGAGCAAGAAAGATAGACTGCCCATCTTCTGACCAGCGCATTGCTTCTGTATTTCTCGGATCATCGAGAACCCTTTCACGAGTTAGTAACAAAAGTAAAAAAAATTGGGATCTCGGTTTTTTTTTCTTTACTCACTCGCTCAAGTTCTGAACAAAATCAGATAAATGTAATCTGGGTCCTTGACTTGCAGTACTCATGGGCTGTGGATTCTCGTGTTGCATACTATTTCCCGAAACAGAGCCTCCTGCCTCGCCTTTTCATGTAGATCTTCAATGATTGGCAGAGTAGTTTGATCACTGTTGGGTTGGTGAGTATCCCCACGGGTGGGAGGTCGATCTCTGTCGCTTAATGTCTCTTCTCTCGAAGCCCTAGCCTCAGAAGTGGCTTCACCAAGAGGATTGCCTCGAGCACCGCCAGGTTTCGGAGCTTTCTCTTGAAGAGTAGCATGGGGCTGATCTTGGAAGAGTTGAGCAACTACATGGTGATGATTCGTGAGATGTTGCTCAACTACCAACATATTTTCCAAAACTGCCATCACCTGGTTTAGCTTTCTAGGCACCATTGTAGAGTGAGGTCTGACTATGAGGTGCCCACCTTCATGGATTATCTGCCGAGCATCTTTAAGCTCCTTTAGAGCCGTCTCACTCGACCCAATTTCCTTTTCGCAATCGTCTTTATCTGGCCAAGGGTACAGAAAACGCCAAGGCCTACCGGATCTAAGCAGTTCAAGGTCATCTTCGGGTAGTTCCACCAAGGATTCTCCGATCTTTAGCTTTGATGGTCCTTCAAAGTGAGGGCCGGCAAAGAGGACGACCCTCGTCCAGGTCAATGGTTGTCCCTCTCCCTCACGGGGGGCCTCGGGGTTAGGAAAAGGTTATCTAGGCACTTGCTCAGGCGAATACTGGCCAAGTCCTCTCCGCGACTGAAGGCAATACTACCGCCCCCGTTTAACACTGATAAGTAACCCTCTAGTTCATCAGAGAACTCGGAAAGGGAGATATCGGTAAAGCGGAGAGGGCGTAGACTTCTATCATGGCGGCAAGTGATGAAGTCGTACGCTTCGTTATAAATAATTTGACGAGGTTGATGGAAATTTTCGTCGTTGGTGGGCATCTTTCATGAATCGAAGGCTTTTGAGCACCCCCTGGATAATGAAATGAACAAGGAGGTTCGATGTCATCAGCGGCTGCCTCAAAATTGAAATTGACTAAAATCTTTCCGTCTCTGATTGGTTAAATGAGGCGGAGCGGAGACGATATCGTGATGACTCAGCCGCTGTTCCAGCCACATATCAATGCGAGAGCGTACCTTCATCCGTACCTGCACAGCTGCTGCTGACCCGGCCCCTTCAATTCCCACGGCGTCTGACTCGGTGCTTGTAAGAGCGACCCGATCCGTCATTTCGTCGGCTCCACTGGAGGGAAATGAGGAGGTTGTTTGCTCATGCTCACAAGTTGTTGGTTGAACTTTGGCCGAAGCCGCTGACAGCAGTGTCAATGAGACCAATGGGGATGCACAATGTTGGCAGAAGCCAGGAATAAAGGTGTAGCCTTCTAAGTTCGTGGCACATACGCAAGTGAAGCCCACCATACGAAGACAAAGCACGCGCATACATATTCTCACAGCGTCCATTTGGCGTAGTGATTTGAGGCTGTTGCAGATCAGGAATCCAGCCAGACCGGAATGAATTCGACATATCCCGATGTGAAGCGCGAAATTCTTAATTCATAGCTAGCTTCAACCTCCAACTGACCCTTCGACATCATACAAATCATGCTTTGTTTAGCAAACTACCACAGTTGTCCATCAAAGAAGGGAGACCAGTGTATACTCAGCACTAATTGAAATATGTTGTGATACAAGACGAGACCGCATCAGGAACAATTCCTGCACTATCTACACGAAGACGACAGTTATATGGACATCAACTTGGACTTTCACTTCTATATACAGTCACTTGTGTCTGATCAAGAGGAATGATCAGATTCTGTTGTGCACTGTTACGCGCCGACTCCTTAGTCGTTAGGAGACTTCACCAGAGGCTCGCCGCTCTTTTTGCCCTTTTCAATTAAATAACCAGGTGGCAGTAATGGCCCAGTCCCTGCAAACAAGTTGAGATATTTTCTTGCCAGAAACTTGGGCGTTCGAGGGTATTGGGAGATGCACGGACCTGAGGTCTAGGTGCCCAATTTTCCAGCAGAATCTCTACGGTAGTTGGTCGGGATTCGCTAACCCACAATTCCCTCGGGGGGATTGTGTCCGAGGTCCACTAGGGTATGCTCTCAACGACATCACCGTTCTGTGATCTATTTCAAGCTCGCTTAATCCGGGTTAAAACTATCAGCGAAACACCCACGCCACCTAGCATGCCAGCGCATCGCCGAGGCTTTTATCATTTTCGCTCGCCTTTATCTTCGTTGAAACCGAACAGTCGGAATTTTACGAGACGGATAATATTGCGAGAACAGGAATATTATCTACTCCCACTTACTTTAGTTGTTGAAATAAGGGTTTGCAAATTGATTCTTGTTCATTCTTCGAGTTATCTTTTACAGAGACGGGGAGTTCATGTATATATACTTGTTCCTATTCCCTGCTACAAGGTTCAGCCACCGTAATGTTTGTTGAGATGAGGGATAGGATGTAAGAGGAGCAATAGCATATACCAGAAATTGAGTTATATTGAAGATATCATTTAAGATCTAAGATAACCCTTGAGTGGAAGTGTGCTATACACACTTCCCGAAGATCCACGATACCGTATAAGGCTTGTGTGTCCCAGGGAGGGTGGCCAACTAGTACACTATTCACTTACTATATCTTTGGAAATTACGCCAAGGTCTTGATTTTATGCAAAAATGGGCTTTCATGGGCCCCAGTGGGGGCTCATTGTGGGCTGGTGGTTAGGGCCCATTTGTGGACCCTGACGAAGCCTATGGGTCAGACTGGGAAAGTAAGTATAAGTGTCTATGTTTTCGAAATCTACTATACCTAGTCACCAAGGACTGCTCATTCACCTGAATTACAAGGATGATAAGGACAATGAGGATGATATCTCTCTTCCTAGTAGTAGTGGCCTATGCGGAGGGAGCAGTACTCAAAGACGTTCATCTGGGTGAATTTTAAAGCGTGCAAGATGAGATAAAGACCTTGTCCATGAAAAGCTATCGAACTACCAGGGATTGAATCACAAAGCCTCATCTGTTTCTTTCTAATCCTCTTTACTTCCTAACTAAATGGTATAACCTATCCTCCAGTAGAGAAGTAAGCAGGATACTTAACAATGCAGGCAAAAAGAATGCACAAAATATGCATGTCACGGGATTTCCTGTGTTTGAGGAACCAGAACCTGAATCTTAGCGGTTCCAAGTGGAATCCAACCTGGATAATCGACACTCCTGCCGAGGTCTAGCGGTGTCTATATCAATTTCCTAGGTAGATATTTCTATCTTTCTCTTCAAGCACTGATCAATCTGCTTGGCCATTTGTAGGCACTCTTCGTCGCGCATGGTGGGGGTAAAAACTTGAATGGAACACGGCGCTCCCTCGAGCGTTTTGAAATCGTCTGCAATATCGGAGATTACCTCCCGCTCTAAAAAAGACTCCATGAACGACAGAGCTAGACTCACATTCAGGTCCGATCTGGTGTTCCCCAACTGCATAGGTTCCGTTAGAATCTTCCTGGCCCACCTGTCCGAATGGGATGATGCACGAGGGATACTAGACAGAGGTTGGCATTCAGTATATGAACCTTGGGAGAGGAACTAGATTGGAATAGAAGTGTGGGGGGAAATAGAAAGGAAAACTCACATCGAGAGAATTCAAAAAGGCAGTATAAGGAGGTAGCCCAAATGTATCATGCGGCACAGCAGTGCTTTGAGCGGGCGGTGCAATACAAATATCCAAATCATGTCGCACCCACATCTTCCGGTAATCTTCACGCAGCTCAGCTCTTCGGGCGTTAAACACAGCAAGTTTACTCAAGCGGTCAAGTTCACTCAGATCCGACCAGGACGGTTTGTGAAACCCTTTTAATTTCTCACCCTGTTTGTAAATGTACTCCATCCCAGGTACCACAGGTTCTCCCCCGGCTTTAATGTGGTTCATGCCGGCCGGATCGAGGCTAAATATGCCCCAGGCGACCTCGTTCAGTTGAATCACCTGCCCTTCTTCGGGAGAAAGATGGATGATCTGGTGGCCTTCCGCTTCCAGCAGGTGGGTGGCTTCCACTAGGGTCCGCCGAACGGGAGGATGGAGAGGGAAGATGGGATCCTCAGCGACGACTCCGATTCGGAGGCTGGGTTTTTGGGGGACTTTTCTCCAGGGAACGTCGATGACGGTTGAATCAGAGAAGGCAGGTCGAGCGCCCATAACCGACTGGAAAAATATTTCTATTCCGTCCAGACCCAACGACAGTGGGCCGGCGCAAGGAAGGAGGAATTTCATGCCGGGAGTGGTGCAGCCGCGCATTCCCCCGTTCGGTACCCTGGATGCGCTGGGTCGGAAGCCGTATGTTCCACAGCACAGGGCAGGAATTCGGATCGAGCCTACATATATCCACGTTAATGTATTGGCGGAAGGCTTCTTTTCCATCTTTAGGGAAAGCTACATACCACCAATGTCCGTCCCCACTCCCAGTGGAGATCCTCGGAGAGCGATCAGGGAACCTTCACCACCGCTGGAGCCTCCGGGTCCGAGGGCGCTATTCCAAGGGTTCAGGCAACGTTGGAAAACATTGTTATGGGAATCTGTGGTCTGGAATATGGCTTTATGAGAAGCCTATCGGGACCAGGATATTGGAACCCAACCTACCATCATTGTCTGGGGAACATTTGTCTTCACATAGAGGACCGCACCCAGCTTGAGCAGGATATCCACAAGCGGGGAATTTCTGGTTGACTTCTCATCAAGAAAAGAAAGCATTCCAATCGTTGACTCGGTACCTTTGTAGTGGAAATTATCCTTGATGCTGATGGGAAGCCCATGAAGTGGGCCAGCCACCTTCCCCTGGGCTCGGAGGGCGTCGAGATACTGTGCTCTCTCCTGAGCTTCGGTGAACATGGTCTCCGTAAGGCACGAGACCTATTTTCGTTGTTCAGAATTAGGGAGTAAGTACGAAATCAGAGGGAGCATCTCTTACCAATTGCTGGGCAACCGCAGCTCGCTTACTATATGCCAGGGTCACTTCCGCGCAGGTCAAGCTGCCGTCTGCTAGTGCGGAGAGCAGTCCTTCAACGTCATATTCTCCAGTAATTTTCAGTTCGCGTTCCGTCAGGATCCCGGATTTACGAATCGCCTCAGTGTTGATAAAGTCATTCCGATGGTCGGAGAACGGCACCGGAAAGGTCGCCTTGAAGGCATCTGAGATCCTCCATGCTGGTGGAATTGTGTTGGCAAGCTCCTGTTGCTTTTTTGCGGCTCTCTTCTGCCAGGAGGGAGTTGGATGTATGACAGAGCCCATGTTAGAGATCAATAAGTGGATAAAGTTCAATAAATTCCGGACAAAGAGAGGATGTGCCCTCTGATCATGTCCGCTTACAGGAGGTTAATCGATTGCTGGAGAGAAAGTTAGTCAGAAAAGAGGGAAACTGGGGGCTACTCCATTAAATGTAGGGAGTATATATTTGTGACCCATTTCTCAAGCAAGCCCTGCCGGCAAAAATTTTGCATCAATGTCAAGTTTCTGGGATTCTCAAACTCACCTGGCGATACGAGCAGCTCTCTTTCTGGCGGTTCTCCTCCCTTCGACGACGGCAGAATGTTACTGGCCCAATGGTGATGCTGCTGGAAGCTATGTTTCCTGTCCTGATAGCAAGGTTTGCTGCCTCAAAGGCGAGGCCTGTCTCTCGAATGGTCTCTGTTATGCGGCAAGATACAACATTGCATACCGCGGTGCCTGCACGGATTCATCATGGCCGATCGCCGATTGTCCGCATGCATGTTATACCAGTACGTATGATATGCCACGGCAACTTGCGGCCGGGTCTATTCAAATGCTAACGATGTGCTTCTATGTTCTTTATAGCAATCACGGACCAGTGGGCTAATCTCCTGACATGCTCTGGCACTGCGAGGGGCAATTTCACTTGCAGCACTGCAGTCGATGGCAAGACTGCCTGTGAGCAGAATGTGGAAACATGGGTGTGGGAGGGAGACTCTGGTGTCAATGTGACAGTGGCCCAGAACGGCGTCTCCTCTATCTCGTCAACCGACATATCTGGCTCTACGACCAACTCGACTAGCTCTTCGACCAATATCCCGTCCACTACATCCTCATCACCTTCCTCAACGCAAACTTCTGTGTCATCTTCGGCCAAAAATACCTCATATAAGTCAGTACTTGACCTTGGAGTAGGACTAGGTGTAGGCCTGGGTGTGCCTTTGATACTGGCTGTGTCGGTCTTAATGTTCTATTGCCTTCGAGTGCGACGCCAATCCAAGACTATTGGCGACTACCAGGACGCAACCAGGAACTTGACTGGGTATCGTCCGAGCCAGGTAATAGGAACCAGGGAAGCACCTTGTGAGCCATGCGAGCTCGGCGCAGAAAAGCATACCCCGGAACTACATGAATAAGTCTTTAGATAGATATATTGGCAGGTTAGACAGCCTAGAAACATTACTGTTGGCTTCGAAGAGCGTCTCATGATCGTGAGGATGGTCGATAATACGCAGATTAGGAAGAGTAGTCCTCATCAATATATTCTTTCTCGCAATTACCATAAGCCAAATACTAAATCTCGGGAATTGCAACTGGATCTGGCCTTTCTGGCGGCGTAGCAGTTGCAGAGGGACTGCGTCACCATGCCAAAATCGCAATATTTAAAATAAGCCTCCGTTGTCTTCACAAAATTGCGGCGTTTCAAGTCACGTGCGTTTGGGTATCTTGAACACTCCGACGCCTGGAAGGATGAAAGGACTCACCCTGTGGATCTGCGTCCAGGCAGGCTTTAAGTCTGGAGATATGTGTCCGTGGTTGGGAAGCTGTGGTGGGAAGGCTTAGGCTTTGGGCCCCGTGACCCAGAACAGTGGTATCAACTTTGTGACAGCTACGGAGTACTTGGAGGGCTTATCAGAGCAACGGAATCAAAGGGGAGATTTTAGTGAATTTGAAAGATGATTGATTCCCATTACATGCAATGGGGGCGCCCAGGGGGGTTGAAATACTCCTGAGCTTACAGTATAACTGAGGTCCTTGAGATGTTGAAAATCCTGGTGCCTAATCTCAACAGAAATGGCTGGTGATCACCATACAAAAGTGTTGCTTTGGGTAAGCGTGAACTTGTCATGGCACACACTACTTGTTGCGGTACGAGGAGCAACCCATTGGGGTTGACAGTTTTCAACCGCTACATGCTGTATTTCTCAAACTGGAGTGCAAGTAACTCATCAATATGATGGTTGAATAGGCAACGTTAAGTGTCCGCGGGGTGTCTTGTCCTACCTAGTTGCGGTAGGTTCCACAGTTACGGAGTTACCCAGTTCACCAAGCAATCATGAGCAGCCATACACAACAACAATCGGGGAAGCTTCAGGAAGCGAGGGATTTACCCATTTAATCCCGATTTAGTGGTTAAACCGCTTACTGGCGAGAGGAGCATGAATTTGTGCCGCTTAAGGGCTTCGATCAAATTTTTTAAGGATAATGCGCGTGGGAAACTGCCACAGCCTTCGCGCGAATGTCGGGATATCTCAGTTGCCCTATCCTCAAGCTCAATTGAAGAACCAAACACCCCTCGGAGCGTTAAAAAAAGCTTCCAAAAGCTACGTAAAGTAGCCCAGAGCCCAACAGATTTAGTCGAGAGAGTTCAAAAAATGGAACGGCGGATTACTCGCCTCGAAGACGCGACAGAGCCTCGATTCGAAGAGCTTATTTTAAAGGACTCTCTCCTCGCCAAGGTTAACAGAATTCGCAACGAATACACCAATACTAATCGCTCGAGAAGGCAAATTACTAAGGCTAAGGTGCTTACTACAAAGGATGCTAATTCGCGCATTGCTATACGCCCTGAGGAGGAGAATCAGCAGTGGGTTCGGCGGGTACGCAGAGAGAATGCGAAACAGCGTGCGGAAAAGCTTGCTGAGGAGGAGGAAAGAATCGATGAATTAAGGAAAAAGGCCCTTGCTGGTAGTGAGGTTGATCGTCTATTTGAGCCTTTTGGCCTATTTTCCGAAGATACTGAAGGGGATAGCTCACTAAGGGTGTAAATATTCAGACATAGGTAGATTAGCTACCCGATCGCGCGAGTAGTATACGCGATATTCGCGCGCCAAAGCAGCAAGTTTTTTGATTTTTACTACTTTTATAGACCTCTAAGGCCTCCTTGATTCGATTCTCTTCTTCCTCGTAAGAATTGCTCATGGTGGTGGCGGATAACGTGTGTGCGAAGGTAGGAAATGGGGGGGAAATGTGCGTTGGAAGTTGGACCACCCTAACCCAGTAGGGGTAGGGTGGTCAGTGCCACGGGTATGTGGCAATGTGATAGAGTTTTCCCCCATATCTATAAGAATGTTTCAAGACAAAATACGAATTTGATCTCCTTGGATCCATGTAGTTCCAGGAACCAGCCAAGGCGTTCCTCGGGCCTATGAGATGGGTAGCAAACATGTCCGCTTTGTGCTTGGCGAGGAGAATTTGGCATCAGAGGCGCGTGACCATCTTGATGTACCGAACACGAGTCAGACTGTGTGGGGGGGACAAAAGCTCAGCTGCCTGGTGGGGCCCGTATACGGCGGTGTATAGCGGCCATTCTCTGTTGGAATCGGGAAGCACACCGCGCTCTTATTGGGGGACTAACTCCTAATATAGCTGACTACGTCGGGCGCTAACCCGAATGGGAAGGGAGAATCCTAACACCCCCCCTCGAACCGACACAGGAAGCAAAAATACAGAAGCAAAAATATCCCCAATCCAGAACGCAGCCATTTCGATCCGTCCAATCAGGAGAACCCAATCTGGTTCCTGAATATCCTGAATGGTTCCTCAGCCAGCAGCTTCAGGAAGCCGTTGGCTGCCATGTCCTTCTCGCCAATACGAGTCGGGTTGATCATTTGCTTGAAGGCCTATTCGACAGGGCGGCTGTGTCTTGTCGCGTGTGATCATCACTCTACTACCAGGCTGGTTGTAAAGATAGAGCGCGTCTATTAGCTGCTGTTCGCCACCACTCGTTATGGGCTCATCGGAGGTCAAATAGATATCAGGTGAGATAGATAATGCAGATGTTGCAGATGTTGCAGATGGTGCAGATATTGCGGATGGTGCAGATGTTGATGATATTGATGATGATGATGATGATGATGATGTTGTTGTTGTTGTTGATGATGCACCCACCGTAGCGAAAGTCTGAGTAGAGACCTCCGCTGGTTCGTTACCGGTGAGTTTGTAGATATGGTTAGAGTCCCTGACGGCGAAGAATCGCTGGTTCGATGAGTCCTCTAAGGTGTAGTGAAATGGGGACACTGGACTCTTGCCAATGGTAAAGCCCTGATCATGTGATCCCGCCTCGGATACAAGATGTGAATCTGCTCCAGGAATATAGCGGACATCTTTCAGAGTGATAGTCATGCCATCCAGCTTCATGTCGACAGTACCAATACCAATAGGATGTCTCATGTCTCCCCAGATTGATCTAACTCCTTCTCCATGCCTTCCGAGCGGGGCATAAGAAGTAAAAAGCTTTCGGTCCGAGACAACGTGATAGCTCGCACAAGTGTCAAGATACCAATTAGCAGACTGGAGACTGCCAGCAGAGATAGAAGCCTTGGCCTGAGCTTGCATGTCGGCCGTAAGGCCTGGAATATCAGGGATTGGATCTCCGTTCCGCTCGCGAGTGCGGCGGACGAAATCAGCATAGTCTGAGAGCCATGTCGTCGGTGCCTGGTCTGGATGCTTACACCAGCAGCGAGCAGTCTCATGTATTGCTCTCGAAGATAAACAGTAGTCGCAGCGCGGCTTCAATTTCGGAGGTCGATCGGAGTCTGATTTCTCCGGTGTTCTCGGCCTTTCGATGGATGTGGGCGTGGACCCGTTCGGAGTCGGAGGCTGGCCCTTCTTCCTTGGATCCTGTGTGTTGGCTCGATATTGTAGAGCCGTCATCAATTGTTTGAGGTTAAGGTTCACAATTGGTTCACCGTTGCCTCCAGATGCGAAGAATTCGTCGAGCTTGGTCTTGACAAATTGCGATTGCCAGTTCCCAAGACCAAGAAGGAACATGTCATGCATCACGTCTTCGACTGTGACGCTAAGGTTGCGTAGCGTTGCCATATAATGGAGCCACTGAGTCTGATATGCCATATAGTCCGACCCTTCCAGCTTCAACGCGCACATATCGCGAAGAAGATTGTACCGCTCCTGCGCCCTGGTCATGCCAAAATTGGTAACCACAGACGCCCACAACGTGGCAGCATTCTCTGCAAGTTCGGATGGTAGGATATTGTGTACGTCGACACTCAGTGATTGAAGGATGCGAGCATGTAAAGCATCATCCATTGCTCTCCAGATTTCTCGTTTCAGTCTGCCATAGAAATCTGGGGGTTGTTGTTGCCCCTTAGTCAGGATATCACGGGCGGAAATACCGTGGGCTTTGATAAAGGCGGCATCTTTGAGAATATTGGTTCTCCAGGAGATGAAATTGGTCAAATTGAGAGTTGTTGGTTTGGGTGTCCAACGATCCTTGATGCTGCGGCGGAGCTTCTGTAGCTCCTTTTCGATGAGAGCTTCTTCTCGGTCAACCACGGCCTGGGAATGTGTATCGTCGATCCGCAGGTTGGGATCCATAGTTCGATCCTCTGTTCTCGGAGATGGATATAATGATTCGGGGGTATCTCGGGCCGTCGATTGCGACAACGCATCGAGTCTGCGCCCCTGTTCCGCTTGATTTTGCATGAGAGAATAAACGCTAGCAGTCAATTGAGTCAGCATCATCTTGATGTCTGTATCGTTCGTCTCTTGACTCGGAGATGGTGGTAGGGGTAGGTTCCGTCCATCGTCTAGGTCTGTATGGTCACTCTCAGGGGGTATATCGTGTTGGGCCCTGGATTTAGGTCCCGAGGGCTGTCTTCCTCGCGGCATGGTTGGTGCGACTGTCGGCGCAAACTTCAGATATCGCCGTCAAAATTGAGAATGAAGACAGGGTGATCCGTATCTATTGATCAGACCGGGTAACGTCTCAAAATGCAATATAGCACATAGGAATTGTCAACATAGGGGTCATAACCTGTTGGAATCGGGAAGCACACCGCGCTCTTATTGGGGGACTGACTCCTAATATAGCTGACTACGTCGGGCGCTAACCCGAATGGGAAGGGAGAATCCTAACAGAGAATGGCCGCTGTACACCGCCGTACCCGCGGGGACATATCAGCAACATCACTGGGTCTGGTCAGAGAGATTATTTTGTCATTACAGTGGGAATTTGGTACTCAGTTATATCACCCAAATGCCCTTGCCGTTTCCAACGTCAAGGATGTGCTATGCGCTTGCACAGTTAAGTTGCTTATGGTAGATCCCATGATCAATCTGTGAGGTTTCATACTGTTAGCAAGTCATCTACTGGCTCGAGAAACAGTGGGTTGGTCCGATCCATCTCCATAGCAAGAGCAACAAAGTGCCTAGAAGCCATTGTCAGAGAGATTTGCGACCTTGGCTAGACACCCATACATACCTAGCATCGTAGGCTTGGAAGGATTACCTGCAAGAGATTAGCAAGAAATTAGCCGATGCCCCTAGCAGAGAACAGAGGTTTGTAGCAGTAACATGATACTTACCATCGAGGAAGATAAGCGCCTGTAGACTGACATCTACACCGGCATTACGGAGGATTCTTCCTCCTACAACTGCCTCGCAAGAGTCAGTTGCTTGCCTCTGGTGGTAGCTCGTCATCTCTCTCGCAGTCAAGACTCAATTTGTCCCTCCCATCTCCCTTCTACATATAGAACCCAGCATTGCAATATACTGACACATTACCGCCCTACAAGGGAGCACGGGCGGGCCTCACACTCAATCTATATGGGGTTTGATGGTCGTATTTGCTTGAAGATTCTGGAAAAAGGATTTAAAGGAGGTAAACTATGTACGTAAACATCGAATACTCTCAAGAACCATAGCTGAGGGTCTAGCAGATGCCATGGCACTGCATTCTGGTATGCTGACCATTATTTTTGGCCGACAGCCTGACCAAATCGAGCTAAAGCTTCACTTATATCCCAGGGATGAATGCAGCACTCGAGAACTGCCAGCTTATTTGACTCACTCAGAACACGATCCACCGCCAATAGTAAATCGTCGTGGGTCCTGATGCGCATCGCAAATAGAGCTGGATTGTTTTGGTCTCTTCTTTCCACATCTGTCAGATAGTTGTTCCCGTTTCCAGGGCTGTGGGATATATTGCACAAGGTCTCCGCAAAGAGAGCATAGTTCCAATTGCTGACGTAATTATATGGACCGTCGTGGATTGCACTCTGATAAATTCGGATAATTAGTTGTTGATCCAAAGCTGGCCTCGAGACTCTTACCTCAATTCTGTATCCCATGTTATTGAAGATGAAAATCACGGAGTTCATTTTCAATCGAATCATCGTGCTCAACTCCTGAGCTGTCATTTGGAAGCTCCCGTCCCCAATCATTAAGACAGAACGCCCTTCTGGCCGGGCAAGTTGAGAACCCATTGCTGCTGGTAAACTCCATCCGATAGAACCATATAACATCTGCATTTGATAGTCTACCCTGGGCGGGAGTTTGATCATCTGCGCATTGAACCAGCTGTCACCAGTTTCCGCTATCAGGGTATCATTAGGTTGTAGTAAAGACTGGATTGACTTCAAAATTCCTGCTCTCGTTAGGGGCTGGCTAATAGAGCTCTCCATACTTGTCCCGTTCGAGGGGGTTACCTCATGGCTGGCGGAATTGTGGCTCTCCATGCAGTAGCCGGTGAGATTGGAAAGGACAATACGCTCCGATAGATCAGCCATTGTGGCAGGACTGATCAAATTACCCTTCGGTGCCCGAAGATGATCAGGGCTTAGATCTAACATCGGGGGGGTGGGCCTCTTTACCAGGTTGTAATCGGACGAACGTGTCCCGATCCCAACCCACAAGTCAGAATTCATCACCACATCAATGCATGCTGGGTCCGAAATTGACCCCCAGAAAGTACCCTGAAACTGGGGATGTTCTTCAGGGACTAGGGACTTGGCGTCGGGCTGGCAGAACACAGGACATCCTAACTTCTCGATAAAAGAAAGCAGAGTATCCCGGGGTAGGCCGTGTCGCGCAAGTGGTCCAACAAGTATTACCGGGCTTTGTGCTTCCCTCCAGTACCTGGTAAAGAGATCTAATGCGTCTTGAACTAGACTAGGTAGAGATCCTCGTTGTCGCGAGAGGATGAGCGGTCTGGGAATGTCGCATGGGTACTCGGCAAGATTAGCCGGGAGCTCGATATAAACCGGAAGTGAGTTCTCAAGACAACGGAGAAGTGCCTGATCCAGGACAGATGCCGGATTTGCTTTGAGATCCAGACGGACGGAAGCTGTAGTCACATGCTCAAACATTCGGATTGCCTGGTCTCGTTCTTTCAGCCCAGTCGTATGATGAATCAAACAATCTTGTCCAAATGTGTCGGTTGGAGGAGCCCCGGAGACAACAATGACCCGCAGTCGTTCGGAATATGCACCGGCAATTGCGTTGAGCAGCGACAGCCCTCCTACCATGAAGGTGACAAATACAACTGCAGCCCGAGCTGGAGATGATCGTGAGTACCCATCGGCAGCATAGCCGGCATTCAATTCATTGCAGCAGCCCACCATCCGGAGGTTGGGGTTTTTCAGAATTTGGTCGATGAGAGTCAGGTTAAAGTCCCCTTAGGAGCCCAGTCAGCATGGTCCTCAGAGTCAGAACCTCTCGCGGGCCGAGCCTTACCGGGAACGACAAAATAATCCTTGATCCCAATCTCTTCCAGCCGCGATGCCAGCAATGTCCCAATGTTATATTCGTTGGGACGAAATTTTGGGGTTTTCTCTATTAGATCATTCACCATCGTCTGGGGACTAGGAATTTTCAGCACAGTTCGTCCTTGCATCTTGCCCTGCTCCATTTTCTCAAAGACTGCGGGAAGCTCTTCAAGGGAAACTGTTTGATACTGAATAGGAAAGCGCTTCTTCGCATAGATTGCCAGTGCCTCTTCGGTCTCAGCAGGGCTTCCGACGTACGACCCCTTCACTATTTTTTGCTTCAAGACCGTCGAAAATAGATCAGCCTTAATGACGGCATTCTTAGGTAGACCGACAACGACGACCGTTCCTTTTGGCCGGACGTACTAGGTACAAGATTAGTTCAAAGGCAAGACAGTATGTCAATCTCAAGGAGCTTGCCTGAATAGCCTGACCAATTGGCCACTCTACTGATGCGACCACAATGGCAGCATGAGGTCCTCCCCCCGTAAGTTCCTGAATTTCAGGAATCAGATTCTCTTGGGAGGCGATATAGTCCACGAAGTAGTCAACTCCAATCTCTTCCACCAGCATAGCTTGCTTGCTGGACCCTGTCGAAAGCGCTAGTACACGATATCCAAGTTCTTTGGCATACTGACAAGCGAGGGTACCGAGGCCCCCACCGGCTCCGGCAATAGCTGTGGTCCTTGATTAGACGCAATAATGAATGTGCTATGAGATTGGTAGTATTACCAACAACCTGTCCTGGTTTGAGATGACTTTCTTTTAGTGCTTTGTATACCGTCACTCCAGCACAAAGAATCTGATCATCACTGACGTCAGCAACATCAACGTTAACTGAGCCATATCAAGTAGATTCTGACTGACAGGGGCAGCTTCGTCCAAAGAAACTTCGTCCGGTATGCGAACAGCATTCGTTGCTTTACAGACACAATACTGCTGAAATGTACCATTAACAGTATAACCAGAATTTTTGGCATTGGGACAGAGTTGCTGGTCACCATCGTTGCAGAACTCGCAACTTCCACAAGTTTCATTAATCCACTGTGTATCAACCATCTTATGTCAACATCGAGAAATTTCGTGATTGAAAATTTTCAGAAATGAGGATTACCTGTACCCCAACTCGATCTCCAACTGATACTCGACTGACGTTGTCCCCTCGGGCAACTACCACCCCGGCTCCTTCATGGCCACCTGCCCGTAGTGAGAATATTTATCAAGTGATTCCAGAGTATAGAAGCTGACTTACCAACCAAATTCTTCTTGGTTTCAATGGGCCAATCTCCTGTTCTAAGTTAACCGAAGATATTCTCTACGTCTATCCCTGAGTCAAACCTTTCCATGCGTGCAAATCAGTATGACACACTCCTGAATATTGGATTTGAACTAATATCTCCTCAAAGGAAATTGATGGCACTCGAATTTGAGTGTACATCAAAGCTATAGTATTTAGCACAATTCTTGAACCAAGATACGATTGAGGATACATCGCAGTATTTACCTGAAGCTTTCTTTTCAAACACCTGTGCCCACTGCATCGTCGGGATCTCTAGTACCCCGTGAGTCCCGTTCATTCTCTTTGAATTCATTGTTGTCATCTTTGCGCTTTAAATTAATTAGAAGCCATAAGATGGCATAGCCGGTAGGATATGAACTGTATTGAAAGCCAAACGATAACTCTCTGGGGAGCCAATGAAGATTTCAAATAATAATGGCCTTCAGAGCTGCTTTGAAGAGTTTTAGTGAGTCTGATGCGATAACACGTCCATTCCGTACTGGCATGCTTCTGCTATTTATCCTCTCCTGGGCTTCTAGCTGATTCTTTGCCACTTTCCAAAAATATGTTGGGTTTACTAAGTATCATGTAAGTTAGTGTGCCGATTAGGTGCCCTTTCGGATAGGTCAGAAACTGACCTGCCTATCGTTCGGACAGGGGCTATCCGGAACTACTAGATTGAGTCGAACGTGCATGACAACAATCATGGTTACACCGAGTAAGTGTCGTGTAGCACACTTGAAGTGACCCAGTCCTCTTTAGCAACTTCATCTTCTTCTGGGCCTTCTAGCTGATTCGTTGCCACTTTCCAAACCCATGTTGGGCTTACCAAGTCTCAAGCACGTTGGCGTGCCGAGAGGCCAAAATGCCGCAATGGAATGCGATAAACACGAAACCTGGTACGACTTTCCTTTCAACCAGATGACACCATGTTAATCCTGCTGAGATCACCGCGTTTTATGCTTTTCCAGAAATTTCCTGCTATCAAAGCGATCCCAACTCGTTTTTCCACTTTTGCAAACACTACTGGAAAATTACCAGTCACAACAAGCCAGAGTGAAAGATCCTGAATCCTTGTTCAAAATCAGTCAAATGGAAAGAAGTCAACAACGGCCAGTATATTAGGTCATTTGATCCTTTTGAACAGATCTTTTCGTTCTTTTGTCATGATCCGGCCAGACCAGAGTCTCGGAGCCTCGACATCGTGGCCAGCGTTGGAATGGAAACCATCCATAACGATGCAAATAACATTCCGGAGACGATCCAAAAAGCATGGATCAGACTGCGTTATCTCCATCCTTCTCTTGCCACTGAAGTCGGCCAAAAGGAATTCCGGTATATGGCTCTCAAAAGTGAAGAGGATATTGAAAATTGGCTGGAGAAGACTTTCATCGTTAAAGAGTGTGATTCGCATGCGGAAGTACAAGGCTGTCAAGACCTCAGTATCGCACCTGCTGCCCAGTCGCCTGTACTCTACTACTTCCCTGGCAAGAAAAGATTAATTCTGCGCATGGATCACATGCATGGGGATGGACAAGCGGTTGTGAACATGGTACAAGATCTCTTTACTGAGATCCGGCGATTGAACTTGGGTGGAGGAATTGTGAATGAACCTTGGGGTACGGAAGTACACAACCTTGCTTCTAGTGCATTCGACGCTGCGGGAATAACCGCCTTGGAAGATTCCTGGTCCTCGAATCTTGTCTCGTCTTTGCCCCAGCCACGAGCAGAAGGAGAGGCGTTCGAAATACCTTCCTTTAATAACACGCACCCACCTGGAGCAGGCAAGACACAATCTCTCCAGTTTTCCGAAAACGAAACATCTGAGCTTCTGGATCAAGCCCAAAAACAGAATTTGGGGATCACTGCTTTTGTGCATGCAGCACTTCTCCATGCCGGAAAGAGAATTAGCCCCAATTCTGAAAGCATGGTCCATTCAACCGTTCTTATTTTCAGTTTTCGAGAAAGATGTACCGACTCGCCTCCCAATGCCAATGCAAGGGCTGCTGCTCTGCGGATTGGCTTTTAGCCTATACAGGTGCCTATGTCGGATGATTTTCAACGTACAGCCTTGCGTATTAAACATGAATATAAGTCCCTTGCTCATCGAAAGCCTGCTGCCCTTATCACGATGGTACCACATTTACAGAAATGCGAGTCAGCACTGTCTCAAGAATACTTCAAGGCAATACTACCCAGCTTCATTGGGAATCTCTCGAAAGTCTTCCCGAAAAGCTACGGATCTTTCAAAATCCGGGACTTCTAGATGGCTGCGGTCCCAACCGACGAACGAATTTATCTTGGAAGATCTTGGTAATAAATTGTCTATCAGGGCCTGTTACAACCAAACATATCATACAGATGAGCAGATAGCCAACTACCTTCTGCAAATTAGACAAAAGATGTATGCCGGTCTGACAACTGATGTTGAAAAGCTCAATTTCCAGTCGATGTTAACCTTGCAAGGCTAGACCTGAGTCTGACTGGCTCGATCACATGCCAGCTAAGGTGAACGATCACACGTGTGTGAAGTAATTGGGAAAAGGCAATTCCACTGATCCGCTTTGCATTGGTTTTGGCAAGGTGCTTTGTTGAGCTTAAGATCAATTTGTCTATCAAGAACTTATAGCACATGCATTAATTTTGGTTGAGCGTAAATTATTCTACCCTTGCGAGACCTTTGCAGCCTGACTATATTCCCAAACCAGATTCAACAAAGACTGAGACTATCGACTATCGGCATGATTCTTGCTATGCTTCTCAGAATAAACCCTTAATCATCTGCGTTCAGATGTTTACGGATGCTCTCTCATTTCCACTTGCTAGTCATTTGCCCCACGTCTTGTGTAATTGTCGGGACATATCCTCCCGTCAGAATAAGCAAAGACAGGTTGTACGTAATCTTGCTAAGCTGCGGCTCCCGCCGCATAGATTCAGGGGCATTGGACGAGGACCTAGGAGAAGAACATCTATCATACACGAATCAATCAACTTTTGCTTTAGCATAAACTGTCCACTTAACTGTGTACACAGAACCTAGCTGGTGATACCAACATTATGACTTATGAGGAACCATACTGAAGCCCTCAACAATTCTTCGCGAGAATAAGACAGACCTGGTAAAGACAGCTGGTTGTTTGTATTACTCAATATTTGCGGGGTCGGCCTTGACTGTGACATGAGAGATTAAGGTAAAGAAGGGAAGTGGTACACCGGCTATGTGCGATTCTTTTGAAGGAAGAAGTTGGTGGGTGCGAATGAGTTTGCGTCTGTGGGTGGAGCGCGTAGGCGTTGCATTGCTAGCCCTGGTGCGGGCAGGAGATGCTGCTTCTAGGAAAAGACTCTGCATCTCCGTCCTTTGAAAGCGGGGATAAGCATGGCTGCACGGTGTTGAGGAGCCGTCTGATCACCTCAGGGGATGACTCTAACACCCTTGCTTTGAATATATCGTTGCTGACAGTCGGGGCAGCGGAGATTATCTGTATTACTGCCATTTTGAAAAGGGCAATGAAGGTTTTAAGCGTAGAGATGCTGGTTTGCTAGCGATAGGCGAGTTGGGCCATACGCTACCGCAAATGCCTACGGTGGCCCTGTTGACGCGATGAGAAGGGAAATCGTCTTGAATGAATGAAAAAGAAAATGGAAGACCATGCCTTCCTAAGGGTAGTCTGCTGGGGCAGTGAGCTGATCTGAGATATTGCAAATGGGTTGACAATCTGGAATTGGGTGGCCGAGGCACATTGACACGGTGTAAATTGTCGAACTTGGGAGTGGTATTTTACCACTAGCAATATGCTTATTCATCGAGTACCCACATTTCTTTGGTCCTTTGTATGTAGTCGCAGGCATATTGACAACATCGGAGTTACGGACGTAAAGTCTGCTCCGTCGCTGATCCCATGGGGGTACTTCAACAGAGCCCCCGCTCATGTTTAGGGAAGAAGAATCAATCCACTCGTTATCTCTCAATTCGCTAGTTCTCATACGTATGCATACCCGTAGCTGATAGTTCGTCATAAATTGCTGGCCGATATCCTGCGACATTATGAGGTTCCAAGGTTGAGCAAGGAAAACCTATGAGGAGTAAGGAAAAGGGGCAGGTTGAGCTATCCCTAGGCGGTGTAACCAAGTACTCGAGTTACCATACTGGCACCCAAATGTTACCCACATATTACATACAAACACAATACATAGAAAGGTGGGACGCAGATGGGAGAATCCCATCTCACTGTATTGCAAGACCCCACATTTTCTCGACAATATGTTTCTCCCACTTGGAAATATCTGGTGTGGAACTGCAATTCAAGCCTTGCTCGGGTCAGCATATAACCTTCCCAGTGCGCCGCCGTTAGATAGCCTGTCGAGCCCCTTTGGAATGTCGGCGAAAGGGATTTCCTCAATAAGTGGATCAATCTTTCCCGCTGCGATAAGCTCAAGCACTTCCCTAACTTCTTCTACAGACGAACCAGCAGATCCTATCAAATGGGCACCTTGGGCAACAAAATCGTAGGTAGACAGCGTAGCCTCTTTGGCCGCAAGGCCAACAAGGATAATTCGTCCACCAGACTTCACGGCCTTCACCGCTGCAGCGGTAGTAACGCCTGCACCGGCAAAATCCATTACCACATCGAAGCGGATTCCCGAAAACTTATCCAGGCTTTTAGCGCACGTTAACGCTCCAGATTGTAGAGCGGAGACATATTTCTTGGGGTCGATATCAATACCGTACACCTTTGCTCCCATGAGACGTGCAAGGCTAACAGCCGAGAGGCCAAGCCCACCGAGGCCGATGATAGCAACGGTGGAAGACGAAGAAACACGACCTTCCACCACAATTGCATGATAGGCAGTGGCGATGGCGTCAGTAGCCACGGCGGCTTGAGCGAAAGTCACGCTGTCAGGAATCCGCAATGTTTTCGGGACATTGAAGACAGCGTATTCTGCATATCCACCATCATAACCAATCCCGGGGGAGGTGGTCACATCTTGAAATGTGAGAGGATGGTCCACACCAAGGCCAGAAACAACCCTTTCACCAATGCTGAACTCGGTCACATCTGGTCCAAGCGTAACAATGGTGCCGGCGATCTCGTGACCGAGTGTTATAGGTCGTTGCCAAAAAAGCATATCATCCTTGCCAGAGATTACATTGCAATCCGTATGGCACAGGCCGGTTGCCTTGACTTTAACAAGCACTTGACCACTCCCTGGGGACGGGATCCGAACATCTTTGTACTCGAGTCCTTTGGAAACATTGGAAAATTGAAATGCTTTCATCATATTGTCCGTCTGGTGCTGAGGTGGTAGATTGCTGGATCTGGTGTATAAAGGTCGAGAAAGTAATGGTAGAATAGAGGGATCGGTGAATTTTCTTTGCAAATACAATGAAGACAAGATATTCCGCAGGATAGATGGGCGTGAAATGGCGGACTACCCTTTAACAAATAGAAGGTCAAACCCCAGAAAGGGCCTCGGGATTGTTATATACTTTAGCAGTATTCCATGTTGATACTATTGATACTCTACTGCGAATTACGATCTCAGAGTTTCTGAGCCGAGGCTCCGATTCGGATTTATTTGACGGAGTAGAGCTGGGGCACCATATCTACGTGCACTTGTTCAGGAATGCTCGTGGGGTCTGGGTGTCGGGGGGACAGAGTGTACCGGAAGTGTGGACCCCGGGGTTGAGCTTGTGGTCATCACGCGGAGGTCTCGAAGATGAGTTGTTATGGACCTTCGGGGTAAAGTCACGCCGTCGGTAAATTATGGTTCCGATCCCAGGTTGTACAGTATTGGCGGCGTGAACAGTGGGTTGGTTGGTTGATTGGTTGGTTTCATTTACCCTGACCCCTCGCATCGAGTTGAGACCCGGATTGAAGTACAAGTGTGATGATCATTCTCTGACTATGCAAGTAGGCATAGCTATTTGTAGTCACAGTAGCTGCCTTCTGCCCAGAGTGGTGGTGGTGGTAGCCTAATAAACTGCCACTGCTATATCTAGACCTAGCCAAGCGTGGGTTTAAGTTGGGTTTGTGACGAATGTGACGTGGTGTTGAAGACAAAGGAAGAAGATATGGGAATAACCTCAGATACTGCCATTCACGGGGTATCTGCCTCAGGTGTCTGTTTGCTTTGATGGGAAGGTTTGCTCGTTTGCCCATGTATTTAGGCTCTCTCTATCTTCCCTGCTGGTCTTCTTCTTCTTTCTTCCCTCCTCAGTCTTGATACCTTCGTCGAATGGTACAGTTTGATCCTCGATCTTTCTCTTGACCTGTAACAGGGTTTTCAATTTCTTTACCCGCCCACGGGTAACCCGCCGCGGGTTTTGGCCTTTATAAACCCGCCCGTGGGTTCTTGGCGGGTGCCCGTTTGATTGATTGATAGATTGATTGCTCAGGCTTTCCGCGGCTGAAGGCTGCATGTAGCCCCTTAGCAAGTATGTACCGAAGCTAATCTACTCATGTATACATCTTCCCACCTGACTGGTGTTTTTTCACGTTATCTCGCTGACCAGCCTCCCTGTGTTCTCCACGAACCGGAGAGCCTCGCGTACCACGGACAGGTTCGGCCTACTTTCTGTAGGTAGTGGTTCAGTCAACTGTGTCCCGCGTGCGTAGCTGTATTAGAAGCGCCGCCTGGGATCTCGACAAGTTATCGTAGAGAAATTTCGCATGTTTCCCGGGAAGGGCAGCGTCAAGAGTTAGTGTCTTACGACCCAGGCGTGTCGAATCAAATTCCTTCGCCTGCATATCCAGTCTCCGACACACTTGCCGCCAAGTTGCGGGAGCCGTTTGTGTCTGCGCGCATCGTGAACAAAGCCGGCAATTCGGTCTCCCACTTTCCAGCGCTATCCCGAATTCTTGCCGACCCGAGTTACCGCATAATCGCAGCCAATGGCGAAGTTGCGCGGGGAGATGAAATCGATGTCTTTGAAGTCGATCGGGTTCAGCGCGACGGCGCGCACCTTCACTAAGACCTCATTGTCAGTGATGCTTGGAATGGGGACGTCCTTGACTTGGGCGCCCTGTCAAAGCGGACTACAGAGAGCGAGACTCAGCACCCGCTTGGGCAAGAATCGATGCATGATGACCGCATTCATCTGGTCGGTGGAACGGCAATGTTGTCAAATCGGCTTCGATTTAGTCGATGGGAGGAGGAAGAGAAGCAAGTACTGAACAGACGGAGGAGTCCCGCGCAGTGCATGTGAAGAATGTTGCGAAAAATAACCTTACGTTGATGTGGCGAGCGAACAGAGCGTTTAATAATTACTCTCTGGAAAACGCTGACTGTTCTAACGGGTTACAGGCCTGATGAAACTCAGGCCAAAGGGAGCAAGTGATGATCACCAGGTGGTCAGTTCACGGTCCTTGCATTTCCAGCATGAATATCGAAGAAAAAAGAGCTTGGTTCGCCTGCAACAGCGGCATATTATTGAGAGTGGCGGATTTATTACATTTCATGACGCTTACAAACCAGCATATACCGGGCAGACATTCACGGACCCGCATTGACTCGCCAGTTTTAACTTTGAGGACTTCGAGGTGATTACGGTAGTGCAGTCCACGGCCAAGTCAATTGAGTCTCACGGAACTGCTGATAGGAGTGGAGCCTCGGGCCATCACCCTAGGTCGGGAACGATGAGTCGACACTCCGAGCGTGCGACTAGCTGTCAATCAATCACTCATCCACCCGATTCCGAACCTAGGAATGGAATCGCCGATTAAGTGCTGACGATGAGTGGGAATCCCATTGCCTCGTGTGCGGGCCTCTTTAGTGACGATACTGAACTCACACTCAACCGACCCGACAACCGTCCTGTGGCAACCTAGGAGATTGATCAAGTTACGGGAACACAGCGTAGAAGTCTCGGGCTGTCAGGAGGTTGACAGATTGCCCTATAAAACATTCAACCTGTCCCTGTCACATAGACCCTTCCGCCATTATCTATCCTCAAAAAAACCTCTTCACTCCCGATTGCGATTCTAACAACATAACACTACAATGACGACCCTTCAAATCGTTCCGACTTCATTTGTCTCCGTCAATGGATTGAAAATCGCTTACCGGCGCTTCGGGGCAAGCAGTCCATTGCCTTTGGTCTATGTCAACCATCTTCGTGGTAGCATGGATACGCTCGATCCGCTTCTGTTTAACAGTATCGCCAAAAGCCGCGAAGTGATTGTCTACGACAGTGCTGGTATTGGACACAGCGAAGGAAGCGTGCCCGACTCCATTCCTGAGATGGCTGCGATCGTTGTCAACCTTCTTGCTGCGCTTGAAATTCAAGAGGCCGATTTCATTGGCTTCTCCATGGGCGGTGGCATCGTGCAGCATATTGGATCTGAATACCCTCAGATTGTTAACAAATTGGTCCTATCGGGCACTCAACCGGGAATCGGCGAAGGTGTGGCTTTGCCTCCGCGGGAGGTCTTGGAAAGCGCTGGAGCAAACAACGACCAGCCACCTACGGAGGATGACATGATGAACCTTTTCTTCTATCCCTCCGAGACCAGCCTCGCCCTCGGCCATGCCTGGTGGAAGCGGATCCACGAGCGCAACGTTGCAGGTGAACCCCGGAAGGCGTACCTTACCGGGACCGGGGCACAGGCGCAGCTCGCTGCGATTTTCAAATTCACCACCGATACTCGCAATTTTGAACGTTTGGCAGACATCAAGGCCCCAGTTCTTGTGACGAACGGCCATACGGACATTATGTCGCCCACTTCAAACAGTTTCATACTGCAGCAAAAGATCGCCAATGCCCACCTGCACCTTTATCCTGACGCAGGGCACGGACATCTCTTCCAGGTGCCGGAGCTTTACGCAAAGGAGCTTGAGCTGTTCTTAAACAACTGAGTTGTTGATTATTGTATCACTTCTATTGTTGGATCGCATCTGCCGGCGACTCGGTAGCAGGTGCCTACATGTCGAGGACCGAGGGCACAGATCATGCGATGATGCTAGTCAACACAATCACTCGGGGGAAGGGATTGATGCAAGTGTTTGCTGCTAGATTACTTCAGCTTTCACTATAAATCATTTTCTTGGTCTTAATGAAATTGAACTACCTTAGCTCTTCTGCATATCACTACACTTTCATTTTTCTTGAAAGCACCGCGGCCTACGACATCTGAGGTTGCAGAGTCTGCTGATCAAGATTGAGCAGCAACCTTGAGAACTGTCCAGCTCAGAGTCTATAAATTAGAGTTTGGTACGAAAAGAAGATTTGGACTAGAGGCCCTTCAGCCTCGTGACATCTCGTTGACTGAGAACACCGCCGTCACACTTTGAGATGATCCAATGCCACTGTTACAAGTAGTCAATTTACCGTTTCCATCGTTCTTGGGCGAAGAGACGATAGAATCCTCCGGTCGGCTGACTACCCAACACCATGCCCGTGCAACTTTACGTGGTTGATAACGGTATGGTCTTGTTCTCGATGCTGGCATATGGGTTTACTTCAGCACTGTGTGAAATTATCAGCAACCCCGATGGAGCTCGAGAACCCTACATCGTTGAATGTACATGTTGAAGCTGCTTCGGGCTGTATCCCAGTTTCAACAGGCTGGCAGATCTACTTCAATGCAGTTGACGATCGTGGCATGATACGTGCTCAAATGATGGATGAACCTAGATTAAAACTGGGCACAGTCCTATTTGCGCTCTGTTTGGCTCCCCAGCCCATTCAAAATGGCTGTGACAAAACGAATACTGGGATAATCAGAGAAACAAACAGCGCCAAAGCATTCGAGCTAGGAAAAGACCTGTTTCGGCGGACTTTGTGTGGAAGTGTATAATTCGAGTCGAGCGTCAAAATGAACGCTGGTAATGAGAAAGAACGGTAAAACATGCGACGAAACGAGTGCTGCTTTCAACGAATCGAGGTGGGCCAACGGTAATTATTTTGCCTTCTGTCGATCCTGTTCGGCCTTCTCCGCGGCGCGGATCTTGTTGTTGACGTCCGGCAAATGAGCAACAGATGGGAGCAACGTATCCTGGCTGTAGGTTAGCGAGGCTGAATTGGGCCAGTAGTTCATATATCAACGGGAAAATGCCTACCCATACAGTCGACCAGCCAAAAGTTGAAGCCAGCCAAGTAATTAAAGCCCCGCCTCCTGACCAAAGATGCTGCTTGGGGCTTGATCGGAGTGCGTTGTTGACCACGACATCGGCATAGTAAGTGACATCCATAACATTTTTCTCTACCTCAGTTCCAGCCAATGCAGGCTCGATCACATCCTTTGCAGGGTAATAAAGCGAGTTCTCGGGTAGACATGGCGCACTCGGGAGGTTGTCGAAGAACTTGGTCCTAATTGCGCCAGTAGTGACGAGGATTGCGCGGACTCCCCAGGGAGAGAATTCGAGACGCATCTAGTCAGTCATAATAGCAACTGCAGCTTTGCTTGCGTTGTAATATCCATGCCATGGGAATGGCATTTTGCCTACCACCGACCCGATGTTTGATGAATGTTCCTTTCGAGGCGATCTCAGGTGGTGCAAATGCTTGAGTCACGGTGACGACAGCAAAGACGTTGACATTAAACATATTTTTGGCAACTGAGACATCCAAGTCCAGTAGAGACATGCTGTAACCTGTTAAACCGTTAGTACTTAGAGACAATTTGTGAGAAAAATTGCTTTGAAGGGGTGAGACTTCCTGCGCTCGAGTTGTTGACCGGGATATCCAAATATCCACCGGTCGCAGCCTTCACGGTTGACACTGCTTTTTTGATTGACTCTTTGTCAGTAACATCGAGCTGTACAATTTCGAGACCCATGTCCTTTAGATGTTGGACTTTGGCGGTATTCAGAGCGCTGGCGAAAACTCTAAGGGACTTCTTGTGGAAGGTTTTCGCGAGAGCGTCACCTATTCCACCTTCACTACAACCTGTGATGAGGATTGTTTCTGACCCATTTTCGCGATGAAAGGTATTTTGGTGGTGGTGGAGTGCCTGGGCAGCAACTTGAAACTTGTCTGGTAGGTAAAGCAATAATACAAGTGATGTCGAAAATGGAAGTACGTGAGCTAAATATATGATGGACGCTTTCACTCCTGTGTCGTTCGGACGGACGAATTCCAAGTGAAGTTAGACGAATTGAACGTCTCCGCTACTACCTTCTTCCCGGGCGCAGATTAGCAATCATGAGGTCATCGATTCCGCATGGAATCTAGCAAAGGACATAAGATCCAGGCAAAGCTTAACGGTCGGGTTACGGCGGTGTATAGACGCCATTCGCCAATGCATAATTAATAAGCAAATTTACCCGGCAGAATTTTGATTACGACCAAGTCCAACCTCACTCTCGCATCATGCACGGGCCACGAAGGACTTTCTCCACCCACCGAAATCTGCTGATTTGCTGCAGCCATGAAATCGATCAGAAGTACCTATCAGATTAACGTTTCCAACAATTTATCTAGCTTCTGAGGGCTTCGTTGTTAGGCAGGATCAAGAGATCGTGTGGTAGCCTGCTTGGGGGGGGGAGAAAGGGGTGAAATAATCCCCTGCGGAAGTTGGAGGGAAGGCCTAGTACTAAGGAAACAGACGAATCACATGACAGGAATTCTGCCTGAGGGGTAAGGCATTAAGGGGGCGGCCCTAAAGGCGGTCAAAATATGCATGATTCCCGACCAATCAGATACCAGGATTGCTCATTGAATTATGCATTGGCGAATGGCGTCTATACACCGCCGTAGTCGGGTTGCTTAGAAGGCGTTCCTGCGCCGGGTTCTATCTTTGCCCCGAGCCGCCAGCTAACCGTTTTAAGGTTGCTTTCGGCCCACATACTCAAGTCAAGCGCAACCCCAGCGGGACCCATTTTTTCTAAGGTCACACGTCCCGTTATGGCCTTGACTCAACAAGGCTTGGAGAACTAGGCCCACTGAACCCTGATATACCCAAATTTGCGACTATTCGAGGGCGTCAACTAAAGCAAGCCCAACTACACGCCACCCTTGCACCTGTGTGGTTGGCGTGCAATGAAGACACCTGAACCCCGTAGTCCGTGGAGTTTATCGTATGTATAATCTGGGATCCGAGATCCCCTATCTACTTCTTCAACTCCGCATTTCGCTGTATGGCAATTTTATACATACAGTAAGATACGCTCAAAGTACAAAGTATGGCTACATGCCTGAATGTGTGGCCTCGAAAGAATTCTTTCAAACCAGATGTCAAATCGGAAGGGCAAGATCACCACAGATATTGTACAGTAGTATGTATAGACACATCATGCATATTTCGCTAAGTAATTGGTGGTCAAACTGATGAGTTCAACAAGTTTACACAATTGTTGAAAAATGCAGGGCCTCCTCCACATCACCACGTTGAAACCCAGGTGTTCGACCCAGGCAAACTCCTCTGGGGATCAATGCTATCAAAGTCAGAATTATCATTACGAACAAGACACAGCGGCGCAGACTTACCTGATATAAAACGTGAGACATTGATATTGATCTGCCCTTCCGAGCATCTTGTTGGCTCACCTGCCGACACGACCAGGAGCACATTCTTTTCGCGAAGATACCCGTCTAGATCTTGCAAGTCAAACCAATCCCCTTCTAGCTGCTTTCGTAACTCTGCCGTAACCAGTGATAAGGGGTCCTCCACGGTGCCCCATCTCTGGAAACGAGGGATAAAGGCACCCGCGCCCTCGTCAGGATAATGGGTTCCCGCACGCCCCAATCTGAAAAAGGGGACTTCCTCCCATCCGTCCAACGGCTTCCGGTTTACTTGAGCATATAATTCTGCTTTGAAGTAAGATGTCAGGCGGTCACGGTTCATCATAGTGAAAATGAGCCCAAAGGGCCTTTGGAGTTGATCCATGCCAAAGGACTGATTGCTTAGAGCCAGATGTCCCTGATAAAGAGCTACCACGAGCAGCCTTTCAATGAATTCGGTCTCGTCTATTATCAACGCTCCAGGTGACTTAACGGCCACCGGTAGGAGAGCACTTTTAGGATGATATACTCCGCTGTCCACCAGGTGCAAGTGACGGGGGACGTCCAGAGATAAGCGCTTGGTGGTAGGTTGTGGTGGGGATGGCGGCAAATCAGTTGCTCTATTGGAATCAACCGGGGTCCTCGTCCCCTCGTCGATGCTTGCCCCGGATGCCAAAGTAAGGAATACCTTCATCGTATCGCGTAAATTGGTGGTTAAAGCAGAGTGTGACCTAAGCACACCACTCTGGACCAGTTGCTCACTAAACGACAGCATAGCAAAGCTCATTTTCTCCATCGACGTCTCCAGAAAGGATATTCGATTCCTGAGGCTTTCCATTGATGCTTGCTGTCGCGAGCGATATGCACGTTGTGCCAGGCGAGTTTGCATGCGCCTCCGCTGTCACAAGTAGTACATCCGGTCAGTACCCTCACATCATTCGTGGAGGTTGATCAATGGCCCACGAACCTCTTCAGGACTTCCGTTTCTACCACCATCGTCTCGGGGAGCTCCGCGGTTCTCCCCTGACGGTGTGGTATTCTTGGATCCACGTTGCTTGCGTTTTTGTGGCCCCGGTGCCGTCGGTTTAGGAAGGGGTGTTTGGTTTGTGTTCGTCGGGTTCAAGGAAGATGCAAGCTTAAGAGCTAAGTCGCCATGACTGGGTGATGGCGTATTATATTGAGCATTTCGAGTGTTATGTGAATTGGGCAGGGGATAGGAGCGAGCTGAGAGCAATGAGTTGATATCAGAGGTCGCGGACTCGTGTAACGAGGGGTACGTAAGTTCAGATGAGGATCTGCTTTCATAGAACTCATCCCAATTGAAGGGAGGCAGGTCGCTTGACAGCCGCACTTGTAATTGTTGGTCCATGATATAGTCACGGTCAGTCAATCGGGAACCTGTGGGCCAGGAGATAAGACAGCCTGTATTAGAACCCGACCAGCGCGGGCTGATCGTCCAGACAATTAGATTTCAGTAGACAAGCCGTTTCGAGATTAGTGATCTATGGAGTGATTCTACCCGGGACTGGAAGAAGGATGCCCCTGGAAGACAACCTGTAAGGCTAAACTTTGGCTCGGCATGATCGCTCATCATTCCGTTTGATGACGCAACTATCCAACGAATCACGTCCCGTGCAAGCTTGGGTGGCTTGCCTCAGGAGATGGCTGGTTTCGGGTGTCGTTGGACTCTGTTGCGCTTGGCAGACTTTCCGCTGATGCCGTTGGTGGCGTTATGTTGGACCCATTATCCAAAGCTCCAAGGAGCGTTTGTTCTACAATACAACATGAGTTGGCTACCTGGGCCGTCTCCATCGGTGTATTTGACTAATCAACCCGTTCCGGTGGCAATGAAAATTCCGTCCCGATCTAAGCCGCTGTAATGTAAAGCCATTATCATCGTACCCGATTCTCCGTTCCTATGAACGGGGACAATAATTAATAATAAATCCACCCCCTACGCTACAAAAGCCCATCATTTCCTAGTTGAACCAATTATCCCTACCTAACTACCACTAACTACTATTACGTCATGTCTGCTCCCTTAATTTTCATAACCGGCGCTACAGGTTTTATTGGTAGCGCCACGGCTGTCGAAGCTCTCAAGGCCGGATATCGACTTCGAATTGGCACCCGCAAGAAATCAGACAAGCTCGAATCGATACTATCAGACTATGGCGAACAGCTGGAATTCGTCACCATCCCAGATCTCACCGAGGAGGCTGCTTTTAGAGGCAAGCTTGACGGGGTGGACTATATCCTCCATTTAGCATCACCTCTTGCTCGCGGCACAGACAAGGAAGCTTTCTTTGGCCCCGCGGTGAAAGGAACCTTGGCTGTTCTCAAAGAGGCAGCCAAGGTGCCAAGTATAAAGAAGGTTGTGGTAACGTCATCCATCGCTTCCTTGATTCCTCTTGTTGGGTTGCCCAGTGGCGGTGTCGTCAAAGGTAGATTCAATGCACATGGTGGCAGAATGCTACTGTTGTGAAGTTTGGCAATATGCTAACATCAGCCTCAGAGGATAATGACTGGGATCTCACTGTGGACCCAGCAGCGGATTTTGTCGACCCTCATAATCTTGCCGCAACACCGATGACTTTGTACCGAGCGTCCAAATTACTTGCAAACAACGCGACATGGAACTTCTGGAAGACAGAAAAGCCGCAGTACTCGCTGGTCACCCTTCATCCGTCGTTTGTCTTCGGGCACAATCTCGTACAAAGCTCCGCCGAGGAAGTCCAAGCAGGGTCTAATGGCATTCTGTGGGGTAGCGTGATGGGAGGTGTTCCAATTGCGGGCATCACGGGTGTGCACATTCAAGATGTTGCCCAAGCCCATATCAAGGCGTTAGACCCGAAGATCAAAGACGGCTCGAAATATCTGATCTCTGGGGTGCCAACAACGTGGAAAGAAATTGCTCGTATTGTGCACACGGCCTACCCCAATGTTGGTGCGAAGATTATGGAGCAGGCTGAAGGGGCTTCCCTGCCCGTCGATACCACCAAGGCCGAAAATGAACTTGAAATCCACTGGCAACCTTGGGAGGAGATCGTGCGGAGCGTGATGGATCAGCAACTGGGCTTCGCTAAAACTTGAGTCGTACAGGCTGTTAGTGCTTTTTTGAGATAGATATTTACTTCGAGCTTTGAGCATAGATCAGGCGGTCCAAAATCGAGTGAAGCGAGTCCCAACAGATGGATATTTAGAAAACCAAGCATCCAGACCTTTGGCCGCTATGCAACTTCCTAGACGGGAGTAGAATGCGAAGGAACCTGTCTCAAGGCCCACCTACAGTAGTTTCTACTTTGTTTAACTCACAGAGTATCTCGCAAGTTCATATTAGTGGTTAAGCTGCGGAGCAAAAGCTCCTTATCCTCGGTCAAATGCAGAAATTTCACTTCAATTGTGGTTTGCTACCAAGGGCACGGCATCAATTGCGCCACGGCTTGCTCCACAAAACTTCGAATACGAGGCGTATTGGCGCTTTACTATTAATCTAGCGATGGATCTTCCAATGCGGCAGCGCTTCGATGATCTTTGCGCTGAAATCAGTTGAGGATTGTCCGTATGGGCGGGCAATGCATAATAGGCCGACCTCATAGGCGGTAAGGATATCTCGACATCACCCAAATGCACGATGATGTAAAGCAACAGTTTGGTCTGTAGGCCCATTCCTTCTGAAATATAAGAAACAAAGTTGAACTATCAAGAAGAAGATTGCATAATTTCTTTGGATTTGATGAAGTATACAGCGTGGCGGTAATTCAGAAGACCGAAAGTCGACCAACGTTCCTATGCCTATTAATTGAACCACGCACAGTCAAGCTTTCTCTTATAGTTGCACTAAGTCGTCTAGGACGCAAATTTGATTCATATTACTTCGCATAATACAACGCTATACTAAGCTGGAAAATCCACTACTAACTTGCCCCCGGCTACAGCGCCTGCTCGTAGTTTGTTCAATCCATCTAGAATACCCTCAAACCCATCCTTTTCCTTCACAGTAGGAATCGGTTTTAAGATGTGTGTGATTGTTGGAAGGACGTTGTAAAAGCGGACAAGAGCTTCGCGGTCGGCTGGTTTGGCCTCGAACTTTGGGCCAATTGGGGGTAACCACTGAAAAGGGTGACCAAACACCGTATACGCCATCACCATCTCGTACGACACGCCCGGTATGCTTGACTTGCCGTTAGGCAATAGCGTGACCACCGTACCGCCAGTGTTCTTCAGTACTTCTGCACATACGGAAGTAGATTTTCCTTCGGAGAAACAATCGACGGCCTTCGAGATCTTAGGATACTCCTTGACGACATCTGCTGCAACGGTTGCCGACCTGTAGTCAAACACTGCAGTGGCGCCGTACGCCTTGACAAGGTCGAATGAACGCGGCGAGGCCGTCGCAACAACTTCATACCCAGCTGCCTTTGCAATCTGGATGTGAAATAGCCCAGTGCTGGTGGCGCCAGCATAGATGAAGATCACCTCATCTTTAGGGGTTGCCTGATCACCTTGGACGAAGGGGAGGCCATGACGGACATTGAGGGTCAACATGGCAGTCACGGCTGAGACGCCGTACGTGGTGGCGTCCGTGTCGCTGATTTCATCAGGAACCTTCCAAGCCAAATCCGCATCGACTTTCAAGTACTCGGCGAAAGCGCCCTTGTCGGGAAAAAGGCCACCGTGGACGGCGCCCGCCACGCGATCGCCGGGTGTCCATCCAAACCTGACGGCGCTGCCGACCTGTTGGACCACGCCGGCATAGTCGCAGCCGATGATGGAGTGAGGAGGAGAAATGACATCTAGGTGCTTAAAATCTGTAGGATTCAACGCGACCGCCTTGACTTTGACCAAAATCTCGTTGGGTGAAATTGTAGGAATGGGAACATCGTCCTTGACCTTTCCCCCCTGGCCACCGACTGATTTGCCACTGGCGTGGTTGAAAATTCTGGTGGCAATTCTGCGGTTGGAAATAAGAGCCTTCATGATCTGGATGCACAACAAATGACCAAAAGGATACGGTGAAGAGTACGGAGTCGCAGGTAGGGTACTTATGGAAATGGTCAATTATCAACGCCACATGTCTTTGCAGATAAGGCAGATCACGAGGAAAGTTTAAAAATGCGCCACTGGAATTTGCGGTGGGGATGGAGCAATTATCTTGCCGACGGCGTAAGTTAGTGGGGTCGTGACGGAATGGTTATGTAACTCACCCGAATATCCATGGATGGATCCATAACGCGGGAGGAGTCAAGGCACATCAGTATAGTTAGGTCGCTGAGAAATGTGTTTAATAATCAGCTGATCTTATTCCTATATCCTACTTATACCTTAGGTTACTCGTGCTTCATACAACTTCAGTATACATAGGCGGTGTTTCGCGGTTCCTTCATAATCATCCTCATTTCTCTCAATATGTCGGACTCAAAGCAAAGGTCAATCCTTATTACCGGGTGCGTTGAGACCTATCCACTCCCTCCATATTCCCTGACCTAACCGCTCACCCACCAGATGTTCCCAAGGGGGTGCCGGTAACGCCCTAGCCTTGCAGTTTGCTTCTAAGGGCTTCCGCGTCTTTGCGACCGCCAGGTCGCTGAAGACTTTGGCCAACCTTCAGGGGAAAAATATCGAAACGCTGACTCTTGATGTCACGGACGCGAGCAGTATCAAGGCCCTAGCGGCAGAAATTTCAACTCGTACAGGAGGTTCCTTGGACATACTCTTCAACAATGCGGGCACTCGTGGGTTATCTCCAGAATACTCGATTGCAGGTTTTCGCACGGAAATTAACGCTGCTCGCACCCTAGTTTACGAAGCACCCGCCATCGAGGCAGATCCCACCCGCGTGCGTGCACTCTTCAACACGAATGTTTTTGGCCTCATGGAAGTGACTACTGCCTTCACCCCTCTTCTGCTCGCCAGCGTGAGCTCAGGCTTTTCACCGATAATAGTTAATGTCGCCTCCGTCCTAGCGCGCGTCCCGAATCCATTCGCATCCGCTTACAACGCTAGCAAAGCGGCTGTAGCAGCCTACTCGGACACTCTTCGACTCGAGTTGCAGCCGCTTGGCCTCAAAGTCAAAACGTTGTACATGGGAGAGGTATCGACTCCCTTGATGGCGGCGGACAATATCAACTTTGGGCCGGAGAGTATCTACAACGTCGTGGAGGATTCTGTAAAGGCGCGAACAAACACTCACCTTGCAAAGACGATGGCGCCGGCTCAGTTTGCCCGGGAAGTGGCAGACGAGGTTCTCAGTGGAAAGAGTGCCACCATTTGGAAAGGTACTAATGCCTTTGTGGTTTGGTTTTTGAATGCTGTGGGACCAAGGAATGTATTCGACAGTACCGTGTTGAAGGGGGTTGGACTAGACAAGGAAGAGGCCAGGTCGAGTATTTTTAAGCTTGGTCAAGCAAAGGACAAAAAGGATGCGCCAGGAAAGGGTCAAAGTAGCCAGATATAACCTAAGGATATATGGGGGTCAGATTTGCCGCGTAATTTCGCGCGTTATTATGGCGAAACCGCCAAGCCCTCAATACATCAACCATGGAATGGGGGTCAGATTCCTGTATTGACCTTGGACAATGGTCAGGGGGTGCAATATGCGGCGTTATAACCAGCTAACCGCAGGGTTATTGTTAGTCAGCCCGCCCCCCCTTCAAAAAAAAAGGGAAGGGAAAACTGGGCGAGTGCGAAGCACTCGCTTTCGAAAAAAAAAATTTCAAAATCATCTTTTAAAAAACACTCTCTAATCACTTGTTTTGTGTTTTGTATCCTCATTCTCTAAAAGTCTACCGTAATTTTTGTGGTAGAATTGGGTGAGAGATTTGAGTTTCAAGGCACCGCGACGCTGCTCGTCTCTCACCAGAAACCTTCTGATCCCCCCCATTTTGGCCTTGGTGAAGCCTCCCCCGGACGTAGTTATACCAAAGGCACAATTCTTTTATAGTAAGGTCACTATATGATATTGATAGGATTTGCTAATGTACAAGACGTGGCGTGGAAGGGGGAAAAAAAGAAGACATAATCGGGGCAGTATTCGAGCGAGCGAGCAATCAAGGCTCTCGTCGGGATAGGCGCTCATTGATCTCAATTCGAGTCAAGACTGCTAGGCCCTTTAAGCGGCTGGGGAAGGCCTCCCCAGACTCACTACACATTACTCCGTACATTACATTGTTTCGCTTGCTCGCTTGCTGCGGTGTTCTTTCTTCCGTGCGACCACCCTCAAGAAACCTAGCATTCAGTACGGAGTACAGCGTAGCCATTCAATTTTGGAAGAGATCAACGCCCTTCTCCACATCCCTGCGAAGACGATCCAGCGACTTACCCATAGCATTTAATTGTGCAAATACATCCGCTAGCGCATGCCCCTGCGCCACGCGCTGCTCGATCATGCGGATCACCTTCTTTCTTCGCGAGTGCCACTGCCTTATTCGCTGCTCATAGCGCCATGCACACCCGAACTTCGCCTCAAGAAGCAAGATTGAGTCGCGTTTGGCAGCACCCGCCCCCAGTCCCACATGCCACTCCCTCCACGCATCCTCTACGGTAGCCACATTCGGGTCGTACGGCTGCACGGGCCAACCACCAGGAGCCAGAGGGATGAGCGAGCTCCCGGCCCCGGCGGCGGCGGCGGCGGCAGCGGAGGAGGAGTAGGAGGAGGAGGAATGTGCGGAAGAAGGGACTGCCGTGACTTTTTCCACTGCGGCTGACGTGGAGAGCGAATGGGCCTGAGGCGACGGAAGAGGAGCGGTGGTGAGATGGTCAGCAAGATAAGCCGTTAAGGCATCCGAGTTGACAAGGCGCCTGGGAACTGTGACAAGCTGCTCGGGAAAGCTCGCGCGCAAGGAGTGCAGGCCGTCATTTACGCGGGCAAATCCTTCGCGGAGGGCGAGCTCGACGCTGGCCGAATGAAGATCCACTCGGGCAAGTACTGCCTCTCGAGTCGAGCGCATGGTCTCCTCAAGGGTAGGCAGAACTCTGCGGACACGCATATCCATGGGCTCCTCTGCCGTATTGTGCGCCACCAGAACGGCGTCAGCAAAACGACGCCAATCCGGGCCACAGAAGATGGGGTGCTGCCACAGCGGGAACAGGGGGAACTGCTGTTGCAAGACGGCGGCATCTTGCAGCATGGTGATCCGAAGCCAGGCGAGGAGATCGAGAAACTGCTTTCCTGCTATGTCGCAATCGTCAAGGCCGCCATTAGCAAAGGAGCAGCCCGACACAATGCTGGCATCGTATCGCGCCAGCCAGCCGTCGACCCAGGGCCAGATCCGGCGCTCCAGCGCGACAGGTGGCAGGACCGCGGCCCGACGGAGATGGTAGTTGCCAGCGGTACGGGGGAAGCCGGCGGCGATACGCATGTACTCGCGTGGCAGTCGGGCCAGATAGGCCGTCGACATCGAGCCTCTCTCCCAATGGCCAGCACGGCGAATCTGATCCTCCGGAATGCCTTGCGCATCAGCGATCCGCGCCGAGGCACCACGCATCGTGTGCGTCACCTTTGATGAGTGGATTCCGGCCTCGGCGAAGGCCCGCCGAATCCACAACGCCTGCGTTTCGTAGCTGAGGGAGTTCTGCTCCTGCTGCTTTCCGGGGATCAGCCGCCGGCGGTACCAGGATCTCCGAGAGTTGAAGTCCGGCGGTGGCTCCCCCGCCATGTCAAAGCGCCAGAAGAGGTAGAGGGCGAGCGATGCGAGCGGGCAGAGAACAGGATCCCGGTGGCGCAGGATGCCGGTGTAATCCGTACGCCCAGCTTCCAGGGTCTTTCCATCCGTTATCATGAGGATCACACATGGTGTCCACGAACCCTCACCCTCCTCCCCGCCAAGCTGCTGTAGGAAGAGATCCGGAAGCTCAGCCAAACGGTTTGACTGGCTGCGAAGCACGCCAGCATGTAGAAGCTGGATATCCAGCCGGGTTCGAAGCCACGGCCCCAGCTGATCCTTCATGGTGAGTGTCACCGAACATAGCCTATGGTACTCCTCTACAGTGTAGCCATCATTCAGCTTGCAAATGGCTCGATCTTCGAACGTCTCACGTGCTCGCTTCGCCTTCTCTCGCTTGAGGGACTTCATCAGGCCGCGGAGGAGCGCACCACGCGGATGCGGGTAAGGGTTCAATCCCAGGCTGCTCTGCTCGGTCCACAAGTCAATAAGCGATGAGATGTAGCCACGGTCGATCGACTCTGGTGTCAAGGGCACCATTGGCGGCGTCAAGGATAATGATGCTGATGATGGTGGTGGAGAGAAAACAAGGGTCTCTTTGCCAGCGGGAAAGACGCGCAACCTGCCCATCCTCTGGGCGCCGTTCTTTGGTATTCGCATAGTCAATACATCTTCCTTGAGGAAAAGAAGGATCTTCTTCTCATGAACAAGATCTGCGTCTGTAAACCGGCGCCTCTTGCAAAAGGCAGCCCAACAGGCAAGCCCCTTTCTATACCCCTTGGATGTTGCCCTGGGCCGCATCGCCCTCCGCTGTGCCAGCACCTTATGCGCGGCGTCGTCCATCTCGGCATCATTTGAGCCAGGCTTCACCTGCGCGATAGAATCCTCCTCAACCTTCTGAAGATCGATATCAACGGTGACATCAATCTCAGCATCATCGACCCGAACTGCCGGGCCAATTTTCTGGAGGTCCAATTCTCCCTCATTCATTGTGCTTTGCTTTGGTTTTTGTTTGTCCAGAGAGAGAGAGTGTGTGTGTGTATGGTCTGTGAGAGAGAGGGGGGTGACCTGGTTGTCGGTCGTCGCACGGCGTGTCGTCGTATATATATATAATAATGATGGTGGCGATAGTTAATGGGAATTGGCTTAGGTTATTTTTTTTTGGCTCGGTTATGCCAGGTTATTGCGCTAAACCCCTTTCCAACCTTGACCAATCTGTATTTCCCGGCTTTCAGTTGCCCAACCCCCTTGACCTGCCTCCATGTTCGCGTGTCAAAAGAGGTTTAGCTCCATGGTCTGTCCTGGTCACCGCCCTTGGTCACCGCCTAACCAGCGCCTATGACAATGTGACGGGAAGCAAACCGATTAGGTTTAGCGTGCGAAAAATCCGGCAGAATTTTTGGATCATGTGATAACATAGTCTGAAGAAACTGAGGTAAGCGGGAGCCGCAGCTTAGCAGGATTACGTACACCAAGCAAAGACATGTTATCTTTGCTTATTCTCACGGGAGGATATGTCCCGACAGTTAGGAATTGGGCTCGCCGAGAACGTGGTGTTGCAACGTATAGCGCAAAAAGGCACTCACTGACTGCTTACAGACTGAGCCCGATCATTCCGACTGAATTGAGTCGGTTCCGGCGACTGGCTTCTTTCAATGGGCTCAAACCGAACCCTCCGATTGCGTCTGCTCTCAGGCTTTGCAACTGGAGACGATGCGCGACCATGTTCTGTGGGGGTGGAGGGGGTGGATCCCAGCTTCGTATGAGATGAGCGCGTACGTTTCGAGAAGCCCGCAGGTTTTGAGGAGCCCGCAGAGTTTGAGGAGTAGGTCTCTCCCTCCAAACTGTCATACCATTTTTTGTAATCCCTGAAAAGTTTGCTGCAGCGATATTCAGCGGCTTTCCTGTCATACTGCGCCATTGTCAACGAAGGAACTCTGACGTGGTCGAGGATGAGGGGCTGCCAAAAAAGAGGATTTTCTGAAATAGATTGAGGGGAAGGTCCTATCTGCCACTTGAAAACGTGCCGGCAGGAAATTTATCAGTGGCCACTCACTCGAGTAGTGCTACATTCATTCATTCCCTGAGAATGGCTGAAGGTGGAGAATTGAGTTGAAAGTGGGGCTCTGCGGCTGGGGAAGCTTGCAAATATCAACGTTGAGCCATCCCCAGTGAATGTCCAATCTTCACAGCCTATGAATTGTACTGTACCTACTAAAATTTTCATGTCTTTTCGCCTTCAGCCGCTCGTAGCTGCCAGGTATGCAAAATCTATGGGAGAAGTGGTGGACTGCACTGTAAATCTGTAGGAAACACTTCGTTTTTGCTGCCAGTTGAGGTGATTCAACAGCCGTTGAAGTATGCGATCTAGAGTTTGCGGCCAATCTCACAAAGCGCCCCACTTCGAACCATGGCGTGTGTCGATCTAGGCGGGGCGCCCCTTGAATCCATAACTTGGTAACTACCTCATATATTGAAGATGTTTACGGTGAATCACCTTCCACAGTCGTTGAAATGAACGTTGAAAAGTGCAAATAAAGTTTGAGAAATGCCTGGCGAGAAGAAAATTCCTAGGACATTTGGTAGGCCGCTTGGATGGCATTACGGTATTAGTTGGTTCCATTTTGAACACACGAATGCATTAACTGGAAATACTTCGTCACTGTTGTTCACCAGCTTCAACGGTTATACGCATTACTGATATCTATTTACGTACTGGAATGCGGACCGACAGATTGTCTAAAATAGGTCCGCAACCTTGTGTTAGCTATACTTGGCTTATTCTGGCGTCGGTGATGAGTTCAGCGTTGGGTCGACAGTAAAGCGAGGGCCTTTGTTTGTGCTGGCAGGCCGAAGTGTCCATGCCTATAGGTTCAAGTAATCGAATTAGGGATTATTTCTCGGTGCTTGAAAATGTGATTGTTGAGTCAACTTTAAACTGTGAACAGAAAGAATCGGGTAAACCGTGAAGCTCCGATCATTTCATTGATCATCGTCCAACCGTAGAGGCATTTCAAGGTCTTGACCTAGAATCCCGCTGAAAATCTTTTCGTCAATCAACGGTTTTTAAACGATGCCATGTCCATAAACTCATCACGGCTATTTCTACACTACATGGGCTTGACTTCTCTGGTGACAGTCTCAAGTTGGCATTCTAGATGCCACTCAAATTAACGGATATTGAACGTAAACATGATTTTCAACGGGCCGCAGATTTGGACAGCTACACTCACAATTATGATAACGGTTACCACTGCTAGTAGAAGTCAACCGGTGCTAACAACCATGTGAGGACAGGACAAGTCGAGATGTCTATAAATACCCTCTACTCCCCCGGCCCTTTGCTCTAGTCATTCGGGCTTGACAGCGCCAGACACTATCAGCGGACAGGTGATGAGTTCTCCTTCCACTATTAATCACCCTTGGACTGTTCCATTTCAGTATACTGATACAGACAGAGCACCTCGTTGGCTCATAAGAGTCAGTCAGTACTTTTGACGCTCCCGCGTGAAGATACGCTCCTTCTCTTCATTGACCGTCCAGTTGTTATCTCGCATTGTCCTGTTCGAGAGAGCCAACGAGAAGAAACTCGGGCTCCTTGGAATGGTATGGCAGCCCAATCAAGTTGACCCCTTCGCTGTCAAGACCTGCCCTCACTGTCAACGGTGCAAAACGTGACCATGTTACGGGTATGTGCCTCGTTCCCCTTGCCATGGCTCACACTAACCCCGAAGACTCTTTGTGCTGCCTAGAATTGGGTGCATATGGCCTGAATACACAAGTGCATTGCATGTGGAACTCCCAATTCCCGATTGCCACTTAAAAAAAGTCAGTCAACCCCTCCTGTCCTCCAAGACACTGGTTAATGACTGGCAGCAAATCATGAGTTGTGCGTCAGACATCGCAAGCGTTCGAGTGTATCACGATGAATGATCGTATCGCAAAGCTAAAGCTTACACGCTATTTTCTGGCTAGCGGCACTAGTAGTATTAATAACCATCGCACTACCCGTTCTGCCTACTGTGAAACCCTGCGACCGGGAATGTGCTCCAAGAACGGGACCGGGATAGAGCTCGCCGCGGTTTGTGAATTGTTTGAAGCCACTCAAAGCCCCATGATCTGAAACCACACTGCAGTCAGCTGACCGACCGAAATAGGGAAACAACCAAGAAATACGGCCGTCGTCGAATCAGAGACGTAGCAGTTGATCTAATCTGTTATCTTCCGCGTTGCCCCAACAGCATACGTACGGCGGACCGATGGCGGATCCAAATGTGAGTTCCTGAGCGCTCCCACACACTCCAACGCAACAACACATTTTCAATGAACTTCGAACGGTCAATCGTTTCTCACACCATTCGCAAATGGAGGATCCCACGCATGGAGACAATAGTGTGCAGATCACCACCAAGCAGCTGCGATGGCTCGTCGACGACACCACTCGAAGCCCCGTCAGAGAACCCACGAAATCAGAACTGGGGTCAAACACGAATAGCACGCCTTCAAAACTGTCAATGACAAGTGGAAGAAGTGTGATCGCATCGGAAGCAGATCGACGGCCTTCCCCTCCTTCTTCCTTGTCGCGATCGCTGGCCGCTGCGAGAGCCTGCTCTGCGAATCTCGGACTGCGGTGAGCCACCAGCGACTTGGAAAGACCGCGACTGCCTTCGATTTCCTCCGTTTATCTTCAAAACAGTGAAGACGAGGATAAGAATGCCTTCGGCCTGTACCTCCGTTAGTCCTTGGTCCAGCAAACAGTCGCATCCGAACGGCCTCATCGAATGCGGTCGCTGCGCAGGATGTGCAGTGGCCTCCACTAGCACCACGAAGACCGAGTATGGCACCTGGTTCGACTACTCGGGGTCGACTGAGCCCGCATCAACACGAGTGGTTACACGAATCGGGTAACAACACCAAACGGCCAAAACACAGTCGGAATCATTGTTCACCCTACCGCAATAATCTTTGATCGGGAAAGCGTTCAGACGCAATCCATCAAGATCCTTGACGAGAACGAGCTACTGGAAGAGGTCCATTCGTTGGTTCGCGATTCAACCGCCTGTCCTGGTCATGCAAGGTAACACTGTGAGGTTGACACCACGCCAGTCAAATGAACGTCAATGCTGCCCGCCAGGCATGGGAACGCAATAAGATGTATTGATAAGCATCCGACAATAGTCAGATCCTCTTGAAATGTGAGAGCTGAGCGTTGAATCTGCGCGTGACGAAATCGCGGGCAGGAATGGAGGCCCTCATTATCGATCACCAGACTCAGAAGCTGGATATTCCGGCTCATCCAAGGAACCATCGATCCCCGTGTACCGAAGGCATGTCCGCCACAGTGCGTGACAGGTGTCATAACAGACTCTGCAAAGCGGCTCGGTCCGATTTCAAAGCCTAATCCATGCGAACAGACGGATCTCGACCTCATCCCACCGACAGATCCCATGGATCTGACAGCAGTCGAGATCTGTGCAGCCGACTTCTAGATCCTTCTGGTTGAGTCTACCTTCTGTCAGTGTCGCTTCACGCCTCGGACGGGCGTCAGCGGATTGGCGTGGCTACCCTTTGGGACACCGTTCTCAACCCCAATTGCTTGCCAGGACCATTTCTTACCACCCAGAACATGTCAGTGGTGAATCAACTCTTTCAATTCCCTAGCTAATGACAGGCAGGGAGGGATAAATTGGAAGAACGGTACCAACACATGGAGCTCGCAACGTTCTGCGAGCTGTTCGCCTAGCTTCGCGTGACCGCGGTTACATCCGCACGCTATCAAGGCAGAGCGGAGTGTTTCCGGCTCACCAAGACAAGATGAACAGCAGAGCCCGCTGACTTCCAAGAGACCAGGGATCGATATCGTGATGGCGAGGGGGACGCCCCTTTTAGTCCCACCCCAAACCAACACCACAACCGCCGTAGATGCCGGATTCCATCGCCACCGGTCACACCTGTTAGGGCCGGAACTGCTTCAGCAGCCTGCAGTCTCACCGCAAGATATAGGACCAGGCGGGAGGTCAGTGACAAGATCGAAATGACGCAGCTTGCACTCCAGTGGAGGTTCAACCAACCTACGGTCTTGAATAATGTATATTTCGCTCCACCCGTCGGGGGAAGTCTCTGGGCAAAATCTTTCGACCAACCAACAATGAGCAACTAGCTGCCGTTGATATTGCAGCTGCCACTCCCCAGCGTCTAAAAGCACTACTCAAGGTCCAATACCTGTGCGTATTGTTCGTGAGAGAGTACTCTCAGAAACAATGTGGTGCTCCGAGACAGTGACACACCATGTCAATGACCAATCAGCTTCAAGTTGGTGCTCCTGCTTGTCAATTGCGGCGAAGGCCAAAACCATTACGGTCTGGATGTCCGCCGCGACCGCCGCCAAAGCAGTCTGAGTTCCGGCCACGCTTGCCGCCAGTGCCTGCCGCAATGCGTTGACTGATGGCCTTGGATGAGAGGCCAGCACCAATTTCGATATCTGGCTCCTCGACAACCATTCCCGACTGTATGGGGCGACCTCCGGTGCCACCATACTCCGCCGTGAGCAGCCATTTGCGATCCGCATCGGTAAGTCGCTCGATCGGAATGACGCTGATGCCAGTCTGATAGTCACTGCAGTCACGCGGGCCGAAACCGACACCCCATCGTGTGCGGAGTTGCATCTCGCCTGAACGGAATGACTCTACTCCTTCGCGAGCGCTCACCGCATCCTGGCGGCTAATCATCTTAATGAAAGCATGACACTTGTCAATATTGACAATACATGTCTGAACGACGCCGAACTTGTTGAAGAGCGAACGGAGGTGAGCCTCGGAGGAGATGGCACTGACAAAGAGGGTGCGGCTCAGAACCTTGATGTTACCCGGGCTGATGGAATAGTCCCACTCGAGGGGCTTGGGACCAGGCGAGGGGAGATTATTGTCTTTCCGCAGCAGGGAATGAGACCGGCGTTTCCAGCCCGGCGGGCTACGTTTACGGTATTCGTTACCCCGACGACCACTAGCATCGCGAGGATCACCTCGGCGCCCAGGAGATTCACCGTAATACTCGTCGTGCACCGGTCTGTCGTGGCGGCGAGGCGGCGAGGCGGAGTGACGTCGGTCCCAACCAGGAGAGTGAGAAGGACGGCCATACCCACCGGGAGGAGAGCTAGAATGGTCACGATCCCTCCTGCGATCACAATCGACACGGTTCTGCGTGTCAGGGTGGCCGCTGCCACCAGAGTCCTGGCAGGGTATCGCGTCAAAGCCAGGAAGCTGAGCGGGGTTGCCCCACCCATGGTATCGGTTATGTTGACGAGTTGCAGGGCCGCAGCCCACTGGTCCTGCGAGATGCCCTGCTGCGACAGTAATTGCAGCAGCGGAAGATGCCGGGACATCGCGTTTCCATCCATCGCCGGAGCGGCGGCTGGCCACTGCGGAAGCATTGCTTCCAATGGGTTCGGAGTCTGGCTATGGCTCTGCAGCTGCGGCATGGCAGGGTTCTGGCCAAGGCCACTAAGAGCGGCAACTGGATTGGCCATGGTGTCAGCACCAGCACCTGTGTATGGGTTAGCCGTCGAGGGTGGCAGTAGAGACGAATCGACAGACGAAGCGAGATGCAGAGCCGCGGCTGCCGGGGTCAGGGTAGCGAGCCGGTTGGTGGGAGAAGCGGACGTCACCGTGCTCCGTTTAGCCATATCGGTCAGCGGTTTGAGTATACCGGTGGTATCTGTTGCCGCCGCGGGCGAGCCATTGGTACTTTGCAGCAGAGCTGGGGCTTCCAAAGGGCTGAAGCTGGGGGGCGGTGAGCCTTTTGGCATGGTGGCCTGAACATCTATGAACCATGGTAGAAGCGATTGAATCAGAAGGCGATAAGAGCAAAGATCCTAGGGTGGACACTTACTATGTGTAGGGGTGTTCAGTTTCTCGCGGAATGAGGTGAGCATAGAGGGCGGGAAGGAGCAGCCGCACACCCAGATGTCGACGAGCTTCTTGATCTTTTCCTACAGCGTCCAGAAAGGCATACGTGAGTGATAAGATCCGCCAAAGCAATAAAGCGCAAAAAACTGCCGACACCACGTCCAAGATTGAGCGGTCGCGGGAGAATACGGCCATTGGACGCGATTTGCACCCAGAGGCCCAGCCCCAGCCTGAACATTCGCGCCAAGTCTATGTGTACCTTTTGATCTTGCGGGGCATTGTTGATGATGTCGGTCATCAGCACGGGCAACAACTTGGTCACTCGGTCGACGCCACCAGCGAAGGTCCCATCCGGCGCGGCGCTTCGTGGAGGCCGGCCAGCCTTGCGAGTGGCGTCTACCCAATGCCGGGTTATAGAGTCGACCACAGAGAGAACGCCCAGCTTGTGGGTGGCGGGGGCCTTCTTGAAGTGGGTGTAGATTTTTTGGATGAGAACGGGTTCATCCTGAGGTGCAGGGTTAGCCTCTCATCAACTTGATCTCAGCCATCTTAACAGTCTCAACCATCTCAACAATCAAATATCTCAGGAGTAGGGAACGTGGCGTACTTGAACATTGGCGGTGCACAGTCTGGTGATACTGTGAACCTTGGAGCCTGTAATCCCGGGAGGCTTCAGAGCCAGCATGGACCGAAGGTAGCTATCCAGCTCCGCTACAGCCGACGACATGATGGGCTCGCGAGTCTCCGCGAGACGGAAATGTCTCAAACAGCGAAGGTCCTGGGTATGTGTTCCTCGCGGATAGGCGGTGCTATGTAACTCTCTTAAGGCAGTCTGCAACGACCAAAAAGAGAAGACGGTGGGCGGTGGTTCTACCTGCGAAGCGAGCAGAAGAAAGAAAAAGTCAGTTGTCCAGGGAGAAGAAAATCTGTAAAGCCTTAAGGGTGTTTATTCGCGACCATGTTCCTTCGAGCACGAAATATCTTGTGGATCGTCGCAACTCCTTCAAACTACATCACGAGTGTATTCACTGTCGAACCAGAGAACCTGCCGCCTTCAGCTGGAATACAGCCCTTGCGAGGAGAGAAGAGGAGACTGCCGAGGGGTTGCCGAAAATAAAATGCTGGTCGCGTGAATTACGAGTCCAAGGAGTGTACGAGTGTAGATGTACAACCTATCGCGTATTGTAGAGATCCCAGGGAGGCCTGTCCTGCCTGAAAGTGGTGAACCGGCGACGTATTTATTTACGGTGTAGGCAACTAGTGGACGAGGCGATAGGAGAAAAATGATGGAAAAGCGAGGAGGGGGAAAGGGAGACGGAGAAAGGAGGATGAGAGAAAGCAGAACCAGGAGCATTTGCAGGGCTGGGGCGGTGGGCAATTCAGCGTTGGAGCACTAACCTGCATGCTACCCTTTTGACCGAATTCACCATTTGAAGCTATTGCTCTCACCCACCATGCCAAAAACCCCGAAATCTCCAACTCTATTGATGAGGCCTTCGAAGCTGCCCAACACGAAAAGAAACCGAATGTCACCAAGATTGCGCGTGAATATGGCGTCCCTCGAAAGACCCTAGCCGTCCGAGTCAACAAGGGTGCGCAGTCTCGCACTGCTAGGAAACCGGTCAATAAGGCCCTCGAAGGGTATCAGGAGGAGGCTTTGACACGCTGGATAGTCCAAATGCGCAATTGGAAAATGCCACCAACCCCTAGGCTTATGGAGGCTTGGGCGAATCGGGCGCTTGCGCGCGCGGGCGAAACTCTAGACAGATTAGAAAGATGTGGGCGTATCGCTTCGAGGTGGGTCTCCCAAAGCACCTTAGATTAGGCCCAGTGAAGAAAAAGACGAGGGAATCGAAGCGTATTCAAGCCGAAGATACGGGTTTTCTAGCTCACTGGTACGATCAGCTTGCAATCCTACTAAAAAGATGTCCCCGCGCGGCTAGTCTATATACTGTACAGTGGTGCTTCGAAAGTCTCCGTCCACCCCTTTTTTTTCTTCCACGCCAAGACTTTTCTGCTAATAAAATAAAATGCACTCGATTCTCATCCAATACCTAATACTTACTGTACCACCCTTCTGCCTCGGTTATAGCCTGCACTCTATGTGGCATAGTGGCTGACAAGTTAACTAGAATATCCGGGTTTAATAGATCCCACGCCTCCTGGGCCTTCTCGATCAATAGAGCATGCGTAGTGTCGTTATTTGGCATGTTCCTGTGTCGGGACATATCCTCCCGTCAGAACAAGCAAAGACAACATAACGTATCTTTGGGAATTGCTAGGGACACAGCAACTTTTAGTTAACTAGGTGGATCAGAAGGATTCTTAGTGGTAAGTAACCACTCCATTTTCCTTGACAGAATATCACAGTTTCAGTCGGGAGTACTGAGCTCTATCATCAATCTTGAAATCGGCGGTACATACCCCATTATATCGGAGCCAGAGAGACGGTTATGTTTGTCCTTTTTTTGGCATGCATTCAAACTGTTTTGTTGAATATTTGGATCTATCATTCTCTGGGCTTCCGCTAAAGCTGTCCACTTTCCATTTCTCCTTCAGTCTCCTGTCTCAAATTTCGAGCATGAGTAGTGACTTCAATTCCAATGGCTCTCGTGATTTTTGATTTGTTGATTGAGTAATGCTCAGCAGAGACAAACAGCCAACGCTCCAGTAGCACTATTCCCAGCCATAAAGGTCAAGGAGGATTGACAAGAGTATCAGATGCGCTCTGCGATAGTGCAAAAGGCTTGCAACTTAAGCAGCAGCCGTTCGAGACCTTATCTGAGTACACTTCTCAGCTGAGATATACACCTATTTCTCCACCTTATGAACCCTCCCCAGATTATGCGCCGCTTTCACCTTATTCATATGGGAATTGACAGGCCTGTCTCAGGTACATGTCAGCTATCAATGGTAGCGCGTTGGTTACCGGTACTTTGACCTAACATCAATCTTTTCCTTTGGATTCTATTGCTTTGACCAGTTCACCCCTTATATCTTAGGTCTGATACGACTTCTTTTTGTCGCCATATGTTCATGCTGGTAGTTGTTGGCGATTTGAACTCATATAATCTGCCTCTTTGTCGCGCTGCCAAGCATTCGGACGGAGTACTGAAAGGTATTGATGATTCTGGAGACGAAAACGAAAAACAGGAAATCAAGCAATTGAAACGCTTTGATATCCGTTATTGAAACACCAAAGTGGAAACGAAGAACAAAAGTACATGAAAATTGCTATACAACTCGCTGGCCAGCTGTCGCAGGATGGTTTTAGTGTCAGGCCACGCCATCATTGCTCGGCATCGGTCTATCACTTTCTTATCACTTCCCAACATATATAATTAGATAGCACTTCGCCTTTTTGGAAATGTTACTCTTCAAATCTCACGCCAAATGTCTCGTTCACTGGGTTTGATGGAACCCATTTGTAGGTTGAGGGGGAGGGTTTGTCTTCCATGAGTAGCATGCTCACTTGACGATCCAAACAAGACAGGCCGCGAACAACCCAGTGCAACCGAGTACACCACCGGGCAGGGGTCCCGAATCGACGCATTTGTAGCCCGCGACGAACTGGATAATAGACAAACCGAAGAATACCAAAGCAAGATGTGCAACATAGCACTCATTGGACGTCAAGTCATTGTCACTGAGGTACCACAGCGCAAATAACACAACTGCAGTAATGGCTGCGGTAATTGCAGAGAGGCCAAAGCTACCTCGGCGATGAGGGATGAATGCAGTCCACCTCCGCGCATTAACTCACGGATCAATATGGCAGAAGGTAGAATGAACGTGATAATTAAGAAATATTTCTAATGTCGTTTTGCAGAAAGGAAGGAGGCTAAGCTAACATTTCTCAACCATGGCTTCTGCGACGGTCAAAATGAATCGGGCATGCTGTAGGATTTGTAATAAAATGGACCAAAGCAGTGAATAAGTCGAAGGATAAAGCGAAAGAAATCCTGTAGCATTGGGGAGTCAGACCAGCCTTAGAAGACTTCTGGAGTGAATTCCTTTGTCTTTTTTTGATCATGCTGCGTGTTACTATATTGCTGAAAATAGCCCAGGTACAGTGTTTGAAGGACGAACTGCCGAACTTAGCTAGTAGAGATTTAATGCCCTGCTAGGTCTACTACATCTGACCAATAGAAAAGGATCCTATCTCGGACTGCACAACCGATGCCGGGAGACTGACAGTGGAGGCGTTGGATTGTGTATAGGGCGTGGTGCCCATTGGCTCCTGTCGGCTGGCATATGAGAATGGCTGGTATTCCTGCGACGTGGAGACTGGGAGAGCCTGCAGGGTCGAGAAGGGCCATCCATGCGGTGGGATTTTAGACCTCAGTGACTCGTAGCATTGTGATTGAGAGCTTATTTCTTCATTCAAAGGTTAGATCTAGGCTTGGAGGCTGTTAAGGCGGACCAAGAAACCAACCCGTATTACTCATAGCATGGGCTGTTTGCATCTCCTGAGGATCTGTTGGCCATACTGAGCTCTTAAATGAGCCATAGGGTGCCTTTATCCCACCTGGGTGCCACGGCATCCAGTAGTCCATCGATCGCATATTGGGCAACCCAGAGGGATCTAAATTAGGGCCAAAATTGCCGTGCACTTGCATCTCTGGACGGACGGAAGAGGGCTGAGAGGACACATCCGGTAGACTGCTGGATGTGGCGATCACAGAGTCGTTGCGGCTCCTTCGGTGCAGATCAGACATGGACGCAGATGCAGCAGATCGACCCACAATCATCCCGGGGCTGTGCAGACCGCCACTCCGTCCAGCATAAGACATGCATGTTCTTGCGTTCAATGTAGAACTGACAGTTGAGACAAGGTAGTCGTCTTCGTTTGGGCGCAGGAAACAATCTGTGCATAATGTCCTCAACGTCCCCAATTCTGGATTTGGCACACCGTAATCTTGTGGCGATACAACGGGAGTCTGATGCATTGATTTGCTTTCAAACGGCGTGCACAGGACTTTGGTTGTGTCAAAGTCATCCGGGACAGCTCGCGACTTGAGCATCCTCTCTCGATCATTTGTCGTTAGACCCTTGATCTTTGCTCGCCTAAAATGAAGAATATTCTTAGAAAATAATGAGAGGATAAATATCTCTACGTCTAAAGAGACAGAATACTGCGATCCTACCTGTTCTGGAACCACACTTGGACTTGACGCGGCGTTAAGCCTGGAATCTCTCGCGACAGGCGTTCTCGGTGGCTGGCATCTGGGTGTGCCTGACGAGTGAACTCGCTCATCAGGAAGCGAGTCTGACGGTGCGTTAACCTGTCGATCGTGTTAACCCTGCTGCATCGACTGGTCCCGGTCGCTTATCATGATAGCCCAGCCCTTACCGAAATCGCTTCATCTTGTCCTTTTCCACTGCCAGCGACCTATGATTCTCTTCGCTCCCCACAGTCTCAGCTTTCTCATTGGAAGGACTGATGGACTCTCTATCGCTTCCGTCGTTTGAGTCAAGACCTGACCGAGAAGCACTCATCATCCCTCCTTTCAGGCCCCGGGGACCGACTGGCGATTGAGATGTGGCAAATTTGCGATTGCTTCCATGAATCTCCAGCTTGACTTGAGGCAGTATATTTTCTCTCCCCGTTCCATGCCTCGGAGGAGCCGCATCGTACCCTAAGATTTCTCTCCAATGATGAGATCCAACATCAGCCGCACTCACAGGCACCGCACTGGTCAAGGTGTTCTCAGTCTCTATGCCAAGCCGTTGCATTTCCGTGGACGACACTCCAGGAGAGACTCCAGGCTCTTGTTCCCTAGGCAGGATCATAACAAAGACGTTGTAGCGTTGAAGAAACCCTTGCTCCGTAATAAGTAACGGCAAGACAGTTGCCAGAAAATATGTACTTTTCCTAAGGTCTGTTCAGTAAATGGTACATTCTCAGTTGGTGGCCATTATTGTTTGAATAGTGGATCCTCTCTACGCGAGGGTCAGTACGGAGTACTGCGTAATAAATTACCATTTATGAAAGGGCTGGTTATGGTCAAGCCTGGGTCGTCGGCAGATGAATTCCAATGGAGCGCGCTCAATGGCCCGAGCTAGCGGTAGCGTCCCAAGATTGGGCACGGTCCAACGTCTGGTATCTGCGTTGAGTTTGGTGCCGACCAATCAAAGAACACCGGCGTCATCTTCCGACGGAGTGAATGGACTAATGGGGGCAGTTCCACTCCATGTATCTCCCTCATCACGCTCTTCCTTAATATCACTCCATGATAATATTCTGCCGAAGCCAATTAAACTCCCAAACAGGTCATGCCAGGTTTCATGTTGCTTTACTGGATAGGCCAAAACGGTTCCTCTGGCACGAAACAATGTCTAACTTCCTCTTTTGTCGCATGCAATGGCCTGAGCAGTTAACGCCGGGTTGAAAGTGAAATCTATATTCGATAGCTTGGTGCAATTTCTGGGAGTGAGCGAGAGCGTGGATATTAGAGATCGAGCTTGTCTAAGCGGTCACTTCCTTTGCTCGAACTATAAATTTGTTGTAGCGATCAAGGCATCCAACGGTGGCACAGCAAAAGGAATACTGCTAATCTGTTGAACAAAATGATATATTACTGTACTAGCTGTTTAATGATGTATTGTATACCATGCACAGAGCATTTTTGGTCTGTTCGGAAAAAGGTACGTCGGGAAATACGGGTGGTGGCGCTGCGCCCATGTTTCACTACGCTGCACGTTCGAGGCCAAGGTGAGATTGGTGGCTTCGGCATGAGGGGATTAAACTCCCTACCTGAGGACCAGGATGCTGGACTGGTTTTCACATTGACCTGGCTCCTGAGCCTGGTGATACATGAGTAAGGTATGTAGTTGAAAAATTTCCTATTGTTTTCTCTGCTGGTTCGGGTTGCCTGTGGCCTTTTTCACTTCGCGGTTGGATTATTGCACCTTTGTCCGTCTCGGCCGTTTCCTATTCTACGCCCGTTTTGAGTTTTACGATTATACGGATTGATGGGGTGGCCCATACACCCCGGGTCGACTTGCGAATCCCATAGGAAGCTCACGCGCGACGCAAGTTGGTTACTTGTTTGTCTCCGATTCTGTGCACTCGCCACGTCTTCGAGCCATACGTTTCGTGTCCCGTCCGAAACTGACTCCGCTAGGCCCATGCAAGAGAAATTTCTTTCTTTATCTCTTCCTTGGATCTCACTTTCAACAGACAGCCAACGCTGCCTTACCATATCATTGTAAGAAAATCCCCAAGTTGCTGGAAGTTTATGGCGTGGGTTCGCTCACTGGGCCCATCCCGCTTGGCCTGTTGCTGCTTACTGTAGCACTAAGGAATTATCTGGGCCTGGATCGTGGATCGAGGCTGGTCCATGGAGGAAAAAAATCATGCACTAACTCGGAGCGTTATTTGAGGTCGGATCGGGCACTGGTACGTCTCCGTTTTTCGTCTCTGTTTCGTACATGTTTTTCTTTCCAGACTTCCCCTGGATACTTTCTTGCTATTGATTTTGATATCATGGGACTGGTTCTCTTGTCGCTTTTTTTCGTTGCTCGTTGTTCTCTTTCACCTGCGGCTTTGTATGGAATAGCTTCTCCTGGGACAAATCATTCTTTACCGGACTCGGTTGTTCATGATTACGTTACAGATGTACAAGACCACGACCTCACTGGAACTTCATCGTCTCGACAGGCCAAGCCTACAAAACCCCCAGAAAATATTCCAGTCGGATGAGGACAGTACGACCAAGTCCGATGCTGGGGAACACCACTCTGCTGCCCCGCCTGTAACCTCACCACTAGTCACAGGGACGCAGTACGAGTTCTATCCAGACCTCTACATGGACATGGGCTCCCATAGAGACCCGGATTCATGCTGCAACGGGCAGGTATCTATGCAGCCACGACCTGTCTCCATGGACATTGTCAAGCGTCGTAGTGATATCTCTTTGGTGGAAGACACATATGTGCTTGACCCAGAAGAGAAAATGGCTCTGGGACTACCCTCACTGGATAGGCTCCCTGCATTTGGGTCTAATTTCTTCCTGCAGCTGGTGACCCATGTCCCACCGAATTCGTCACCATTCAACAGTCCTAGATCTCGCACACCATTACGGTCATCAGCCTTCTCGGTAGAGAGCGCTGAGATCCAGACTGCAAAGAAGGTTTCCTTGAAGAAGCCTCCTACTTCTCCGACATTGGTTTTCACCAACTCTCTGAACACACGGTCGAACAGCCCCAGGAATCATAACCCCTCTCGAACGCGGGACAGAGAGTTGTGCATTTCTGATTGTAGATTTGCTAATGGGATGGAAGTCCCTCGCCCAACGGACATCAATCCTGAAAGGATGGAGGTGCGCACTACTTCCACTATCCCAGGGTGTCCAGCCAACGCACTATGAGGACGTTCAATAATGTTACCCACGTCGTGCCAATACTGGGAAACATAGTGGCACAGGACGTATCCACTTGGCATGGAATAGGAGGGCCTTAGGGACCTTTTGCTAGGGGAAGATATATCTGATTAAGGCCTAGCGCTATTCCCTATGTTCGTGCTCGCCTTGCGTCAAGGTTTTGTTCAGTGTGCATTAACTGTACTATTCTAAGGAGGTGGGATCCGTCTCTTTGTATGGGATGTTACCTTATACGTTGATGTTCATGTTTTCTCTCTTTTGTTTGGTCTTTTTTTTTCTTTATTTGGGGTTTCGTTTTACTTACGAAAATTTTCTTGGGCCGCGACAGTATTAAAGTCGAAAGGAATGTGTTCTCAATCACTTTTTAACGAAATTCCGCGCGGAGCCTTGTAAGGAAGAAAGGAATATTAGCCGTGACAGAATCATCAGTCGACTAAGGAACACAGACCATTTCAGCCGAGCGGAGGGACTGGGGGAAGTAAGATTTATTTGTAGCCAATCCAAACTTCACTAGTTACGTCCCATAATCCTTGCTGTCATCAGTTTGTGGTGAAACAAACAGTATTGGAGTCACAAATTAGCATGGCAGTGGGAACATGAGGTCGAATGGAAAACGCTCTTGGCGCCAACAGCCCTCATTTTCGGTGACGGACGAGAATGCTGACTCTTTCGTGAGGATAGCGACGGTTAAATAAAACCAAACGGAGCATGCCCTCAGTAAGATGATTGAATTCCATACCGTTGAATGTTCACTTCAACTCCCTGCATTAAAACCGTCCTAGATGAGGGTTTGGAGCGCTCGTAGGGCCTCGGTCGGCTTAAGAATCGGCCCCATCTCGATTTCTCCCTCTTCCTCTGCAATATCCCCAGCAGGCCCAGGAAGTGAGATAGCATAATATCCTGGATAGATTCGTATGCATCAGTAATCTCTTTGTCAATTAGATTCAAGAATTGGTTGGCGTTGAATACCGTGAAATATATCTTGGCGTACTGCACGGGTAGGATCTTCCAATTGATTCGCTTGATTCAGTGAATCGTGGAGACCTTTGCGAAAGCAGCTAATTATAAATAAATTGCTCAAATCAAACTCCCAGGCCTCTGTTGTGATGAGGGATAGGATCTAGGAGGAGCGATAGCACATGCCAGCAATAGAGTAATATTGAACATATCTCTTTTAACAAAGGTAACCCCTGAGTGGAAGTGTGCTATACACACTTCCCGAAGATCCACGTTACCGTATAAGGTTAGTGTGCCTCAGGGAGGACGATCTACTATTCAGTAAGGCCTCAGCGGCATTGAAGACTGCTGAAACCTCAACAGCCTCTAGACCCCAGCGAATCACTTTCAAGATACCTACTGTTTTCAAAGGATCTCTTCCAGCCTCATATTCACCAAGCATATAGCGTACGCATTGCTTACGCCAATAGGCCTTCCACATGCCTTAATAGTTAACTATGCCTTCAAAGATTAAGTGCGAGCGCTTCGGGCAGAGATCGACGGATTTGCCTTAGCTCACCCCCAATAGAATTGTGGCACAGCTCTGTTGACCTCGGTTCCGCGGTGAGCCACCAGCGATCTGACAAAGACCGCAACGACGTTCAGATTATCTCCCAGCGCTCCTTCGTCGATCCCAATGGGCCATGGGAATGAAGACCGCGATGAAACCCCAAAATGCTTTCGGCATGCACCTGCAGCAAAATAGGCACATCCAAATCGGGTTGCAATACCAGCCCAATCGGGTTAGCGTGGCTGGAATGGCACCGTATCCGTTATTTCTCCTCCCCCCTGGACTGTGAGGGCCATCGCTGATGCTGCGTCATGCAGGCCAAAACCACCCTCTTACCTCGCGGGGGGTTTTGCCGTTGATATTTGACCTTCTTTGCTCTCCAACTTTTCTATTCTCTTCGGACCTGTCCCAACCACCCATCGCCCGCTTCTCCCCCCCCCCCATTATCCAGTCGGACCTTTGATTGGCATTGGTCTCGCTTGCTTTCTCAAGTTTCCAGCCACTCGCACAGCTGGCCGCTCTGCCTCCCGGTTCATTTCAATTCGAGATGACGACCGTGGATGTGTGTGTCGGTAACAAGTACCGCATCGGCCGCAAGATCGGTAGCGGCAGTTTTGGTGACATCTACCTGGGCACCCACATCATCTCCGGTGAGGAGATCGCTATCAAGCTCGAGAGCGTCAAGGCCAAGTACCCTCAGCTGGCATACGAAGCCCGTATCTATAAATCTCTCGCTGGCGGTATCGGTATTCCCTTAGTCCGCTGGTTTGGTACCGAATGTGACTACAATGCCATGGTGATCGACCTCCTAGGTCCCAGTCTGGAGGACCTGTTCAACTTTTGCAACCGCAGGTTCTCGCTCCAGACCGTCCTGCTCCTCGCCGACCAGCTCATCTCCCGCATTGAGTACATCCACGCCAAGTCGTTCATTCACCGTGACATCAAGCCCGACAATTTCCTGATGGGTATCGGCAAGCGTGGCAACCAGGTCAATGTAATTGATTTCGGACTGGCCAAGAGGTACCGTGACCCCAGGACACACTCTCACATTCCCTACCGTGAGAACAAGAACCTTACGGGTACTGCCCGTTACGCCAGTATCAACACCCACCTGGGTGTTGAGCAGTCACGCCGTGACGATATGGAGTCGCTCGGCTACGTGATGCTCTACTTATGCCGTGGCTCTCTGCCCTGGCAGGGTCTGATGGCTGCTACCAAGAAGCAGAAGTACGACCGCATTATGCAGAAGAAGATTACCACCCCAACTGAAGTTCTTTGCCGCGGTTTCCCCAGCGAGTTCGCCCTGTACCTGAACTACTCTCGCTCGCTCCGCTTCGACGACAAGCCTGACTACATGTACCTGCGCAAGATCTTCCGTGACCTCTTCGTCCGCGAGTCCTTGCAGAACGACTACGTCTTCGACTGGACCGTCTACAAGTACCAGAAGAACGCCGCCATGATTGTCGACGCGTCCGAGAAGGATAAGGATAACGAGCAGGCGGCCCTCCAGGCTGCGACTGGCAACCCTACGGCTGCCAGCGGTGTTGCCACCTAGTCTGGTACGACCTCGGGCCAGCGCCAGAAGGCCACCGACCGTGGCGCCCTTGACAACACTCCGGACATCAAACGTGCCGTGGAAGGAAATGACAGGATTTTTCGACGTTAGGCTGCGTTCTTCCGCAAATGGAGCTGCTTCAGGTGCGTAAGGATCTTTTAGTGACCGTTTGAAGCGGGATGCCGGGACAGGGGCTTAATGGTACTAATCGCGTGTAGCACCTGCAGTGGGACTGGAGATGGCGGTTTGTCGGTTCCATTGCTTCCACTCTGCTGCGTGTCCAGGTCCTTGTCGACCTAGGATGCCCCAGGACTCCATCGTCAGTTTGCCGTGGACGCAATATCCTGTTCTTTGACTTCTCAGAGTTCTCGTTTCCCCCTTGGATCTCCAGTCATTCGATCCAGTTTCGACTTCAGCCGTTTCAATCCGTCATTGGTCTTGGTCCGCTCGTCCTCCCAATCCTTTATGAATGGATTGCCAAGTTGATTGAGTCATTGCGACGAGTTTGCCAGAATCTTTGATGATGGCTTTCTTCTCGGACTACTTTTACCCGTTCTTACGGGGAAGCTGCTCACTCAGTCTCGAAGCTATTGATATGGTGGCCCATTCCAACATCTTCACCTTCCGGCTTTTGTGAGCTATATCGTTATATCTACTCTCCTTGAGTCTCCCAAGCCGCCGAAAAGGAAAGATCGAAGGAGATGCAAATGAGATGCAAATGACGGCGCCAAGTTGGGGGGTGGAAACATTTTTCTGCTCCTTTGGTGGCTTGCACTTGACATCCTGGAACACGCATGATCGTATAATTGACGTACGGAAGGATGGTAAAACACCACTATCCTGTGCCCGGATTAAAAGACTACTCCTCACCGATATCAGAAGAGAATATCTGCCGATCGGAACGCACCTTGAGTCCCAGGGAGTCGAGTTCGACACTTCGTCGCCGTATCATAAAGGGCAGAACGGGCTAGCCGAACACACGAGTCGCACTACCCGGGAGCGGATTAACACGCTCCTGTCCGATACGAAACTTCCTCTTGGTGGATCGAGCTCTTGGAAACGGTAGTCTATCTGAAGCTGCGCGCACCAGCATAATTCTACGCAAAAAGACGCCGTACGAAGTGATCTACGGGATACCACCCAAGCTGTTGCATCTGCGACGCATCGGCCCTGGCGCATGGGTATTGTCCCAAAAGAGCATCGGGGAAACTCGGACCACGATCGTCTGAATGCCGACTGCCACCGCGAATCCAACCAATACAAGCTGTACGAGGTACATTCTGGAAAGATTGTCTTTTCCCGTGATGTCGAGTTCGATGAAAGGGCAACAATGGCGCCGCTCATCGAGGGGAAACAGGCAACGACCTCCCGGACAACGCTCCTCCATCACCTGTCTTTCTTGAACCAATGCTGCCTCCATCTGGCGCACCGCTTACGTCGCCTCTGTCTCCTAACGAGCCAGAGAAAGCGCCATCTGACCCAGTGGAAATTCCCTCACCGGCCAATCCAATCCCGCGCGAAACACAGGCCACACCTTGGCTATTCTTTGTATGGCCAACGACGAAAGCCTTCCCGGCATCTCCTGGAATCGGTAGGCAAGGTGTATGCGACAGGGGCATTGAATACAACACCCGCAAAGGACTTCGATCCCTCGACCTTCCACGAAGCCGCATCGGGACCCAATCGGCTGGAATTGTGGGCTGCGATCCTGAAATAATATGCTTCTCTTCTCGAGCATGGATTGTGGGAGAAGGTTCCACGGAATGAAGTGCCCCCCATGGATCGGATCATTGGCTGCAAGTGGGTATTCAAGACGAAGAGCAATGGAATCCGGAAAGCACGATTGGTGATCAAAGGCTACCGACAGAAACATGGTATCGACTATCACGAAACCTTCGCGGCTGTATCCCGAATGGATTCGGTCCGCAGCATCGTTGCGAGTACCGTGCTGCGTGGATGGAAACTCCACCAATTCGATGCCGTCACTGCCTTTCTCCACGGTGATGTCGATTCGTCTATCTATATGGAGCTTCCAGAGGGCTTTGAGGAAAACGGGTACGTTTGCCGTCTTCAACGCTCCTTGTACGGACTGAAGCAGGCACCACGGATTTGGTACCAGTGCGTCCATCGTGTCCTGGTGGCTCACGGCTTTACCATGGCCCAGTCCGACAATTGTGTCTTCTATAAGCCTAACTGTGTCGTCTGCATCTACGACGATGACTTTCTGGTCGCAGCACCGGACGACGCCGAGATCCAGCAACTTCGAATGGCCCTGGAATCAGAGTTCAAGCTGAACGACCTGGGAAGCCCGCGTTCATTCCTAGGAATCCAATTTGACTTCCACGCGGACGGATCTATTTCGATTCATCAACATCAATACATCCAAAAGGTCCTTTCCGACTTTTGCATGGAGACCTGTCAACCGAAGTCCACGCCGATGGCTCCGAAAGTTCTCCTGAATAACGTTCCCGACGGGAGCGACCTGGATGAAGATACGAAGGCTCGGTTCGGGACCGCAATCGGGTCACTGATGTATCTTATGGTCGGTACGCGCCCTGACATCGCGTTTGCGCTTGGGACGTTGAGTCGTTTCACATCCCGACCGCAGTCGCATCATCAGGCCGCACTGCAGAGACTGCTACGCTATGTCAAGGCCACGCAATTCTATCGCATCACATACCGCAGCGGGCAGTTGATCGGATACACCGATGCCGACTTTGGTGGCTCCGTCGTCACTGATGGTGCATACTCCACGTCCGGCTATGTGTTCAAACTTGCGGGAGCACCAGTTTCCTGGTCGTCCAAAAGACAGGGGGAAGTAGCGACGTCCACGACTCATGCCGAGTATATTGGCCAATACAATGCCATCCTTCACCTGCAATGGCTCCGCACATTTCTGGCGGAAACCCACCTGTTTCGATCACCGGTGACCAACATTATGGCTGACAATCAATCTGCTATTGCTCTCTCCCGCAATCCTGAGTTTCACAAACGGACGAAGCATTTTAACGTGAAATTCCATTACCAGGGAGCCGTTCTGAACAAGGGAGAGATCTGTCTTGAATACGTCCCAACCGAGGAACAGGCAGCTGATGGACTCACCAAGCCTCTGGGACCCTCTACATTCACTAAGTTTTGCAATCTCTTAGGTATTGACAGGGAAGAACTCATGAAGGTGGATGTGTAACCGCGATGGCGCTCTTTCCACTATTTCTCCTCTTCGAGGTTTTGAGTGGTTTTACCGAGGCCTGACCGGTGCCCATGTATTCAGTACCGCCTCGCCAGCAAGGCGATCCTGAGGGGGAATGTTGTGATACCAGGCAGTTGCTGCTCAGGAATGAAGCCGCAACATCAGAAATAATTCCTGCTCTATGTATGAGAAGAACAAAGTTGATTGGAAATCAACTTGGACTTCACGTTGTATATATACCCTCATGTATTCCCTCAAGAAGAATAATCAAGCTTCCTTTTTGCTCTACAACAGCTTCGAGTCTGGGGATGTGGGTCCGTGGTTGGGAAGCTGTGGTGGGAAGGCTTTGGGTTTGGGACCCATGACCCAGAACAGCAGACTCAAGACCACTGTCTGACGACGATGGACGTGGACTCACTTTGGACGTACGTCCAGAGCTTCCAGTCCAGGCGGGCTTTCAAACAGTCAACTGGCGGCCACCCTGGCTTAGTAACCATTAAGGCGTCAGGTCTTCTGACTATAACTAGTAGTCTACGTGGGACACATGTCTTTTGGTCTAGATCTCAAGACGACTAGCCACCCTCAGGATCGTTGGAATCAAGGGGGCAGAAACTCGTCGTATTCGTTCCCATGCTGCTTGGCATGGAGACGCTCACAGTGGGCGATTTCACGACGCTGATGCTCCACGCAGGCTAGACCATCTGGCGGGTTGGTTGAGTAGATCTCCAAAGAGGGAGGCTGACTCAGTTCGGAGCAGAGATACTCGTATAACTTGTTGCAGTCCTTTGGCTGGATTGGTGTCGTGCTGTATATTTGGAGTCGGTCAGCTCCACGATCATTCGGCCTGTAGAAATGGCTTCCGTAGGCTGCTACCTTCCCCAGAGTAACAGCGTTGCCTCCATTGCATGGTTGGGTCGGATATATCCCGGGCAGTCTGAGATGTTCTCACCATGATGCTTGAAAGATAGAAGGCCGACCAGGGGTTGGAAGCGGAGCACGCTACAGGAGATGATGTCTGTTCAATCCACCTCTATCCACTGCCCCACAGGGTTGGTCTGCTATCTTTTTTGACTAAGGTGGATGCTGCATATTCAGACTATTGACAAGATCCCAATCGCTCTTATTCACTTTTTCTACCATTTTGTGAAAAAGAGGGGATGCTTGACGTCCGTAATTACCCACAAAGTTAGTTGAGTTCCGATGATCGGAGCATACTATATACAAGAGAGCGACGAGTCATCGTGCGAACGCGTGGCAAGACATCTAGGAGGCAGGAACAAGGCTGAGCAACTGCTACAGAAAGGGGATAGACTACTGTTTTTTTTCAATGACTCTTAAAACGAGGTCACTTATACCAATTTTTTTCTAGTACTTTTATCTACTAACATATGAAAATATTATACAACGTGTCAGCTGGTCAAACGCGCAGGCTCTTTTGTGACCATCCTACGAATACTCCGGCGACATAGCCGCCCACTGCGAGTGCCGCTGTGTGGGATGACCAACCCAAGCCTGATGCCCATCCGGCGGATCACTACAGTAAATAAGAGAGTGGCTATCAAAGCGAAACCGCTTCGACGCAAGGATATCAATAATCATAATGACGGGAAACAGACACTCGAGCGTATACGCGAAACGATCGAACTCGCTCGCGACATTGGTAACGCTCTGCGCGGTAGTCCGCAGCGAGAACGTGACGGCGCGCAGAATCCCGATGCAGCAGAGACTAGCGAGCCGGATCTCGGTCGATTGCAGCAGGTGCCGGAAGAGATCGCGCGTCGGCGAGGTCCAGGGCGACATGCGGTAGGCGTCGCGGAGCAGGCGGATTAGGAAGAGCGCGCTGCTGGTCTCGACGAGGGCGATGGCGATGAAGTAGCCGACGTGTAGGTAGTCGACGCGCTGCTGGAGAGGTTTGTCTGTGGCGACATCGATGGCGCGGGTGGCGGCGATGGCTATGCGGATGGCGATGATGCTTGTCATTAGGGTCCAGAAGATGGTGCGGAAGATGACGAGGGCCCGGTCTTTGAGGGTGTGGACGAGGATTTGGTAGCCGTAAAACGAGAGGCCAGCTTCCTGGATCTAGACCTGGAGTCAGAAAACAGCTCACCATTGTCAGAATCACCGGGAAGAACCGACCAGCCAAAATAGATCGGCAAAGACGCTGGCCACCACGAGCTGCCGCGTTGGGTGCTCGGCGTAAAAGGCGTAGTAGCAGAGGCCATTTGCGACAGCGCAGGCGATGGAGACAACGATCGGAACGAGATGCAGGGGCGAGACGCGAGTGATGAAGATGGCCCAGAACCCGACGACGGTCAGGAACAAGCCAATGGTGCTCAGGATCGACCAACTGAGCTCGAAATATGGGGGGACCATCTCGGTCGCGGAAGGCCGCGCATCGTGGGACGGAACGGTTGAGACGGCGGAGAGGGCAGGCGAAGGGAATATGTACGGAAGGCAGCTTGGGGGAGTGAGGATGGGCTAGGCCTCAAGACTGCGATCTCGGGTTCAAAGGATCCGTACTTGGCGAAGTCACTTGTCACTCCAGCCTTGGGCTTGTCGAGCCACTCGGGCCAGTCAACGGCGATGAGAGCGATGATGGCGTCGTTCGAGCCAACTTTAAGCGGCGTTAGGGCAACTCATTGGACTCCATTGGACTCCATTGGCTCCCCAGTCGACTGAATCCGGGGTGAATCGCCCCCACCAGAACCAGCATGAACCAGTAGGAGAAACTACTCGAGCGGTCATCGATCCTCCGATTTGTCCGCGCACCATATCTCAGGTTCTCAGTCCCCGATCCTCCCTACGAAAGGTCCTACTCTTGCTGAATCGAGATAATGCCTCAAGCCCTTATGAGGTGGAAAATAGCTACTCCGTGTTCCATCCTGGAAGTCTACGCATTTCCAACCTGATGTACCAGGTCCTTCCTATATGTAATGTTCACTTTCCATTAGTAAATTAGGAAATTTATCGACCTCAGTGTTCGTCAGATTAACAATTCGATACATAATCTACCCCTATCTAACTCCGTAAAGTAATTATTGATCCTGGCGGCTCGCCATCAAAACTAATTCAGAACGGAAGGGAAGAGGGCCAAAAATCTCCACTTTTGGTATTAACTTCACAAGCCCTCGGGTTAAGATACTCCGGACCTACCATCTTTCTTTGATCTTACGATCGATAAGATGATCTTGAACTCTGTTGGGGGTTTCAAACTTACGAAACCCCACTGGGGGCCGATAAAATCGAAATCCCTCAACATCGCAAATCCCCCAGCCCCTCATCCCCTCACGACTCTGTGATCTCCCCCTCTCCAGCCCTGATACATCCCCCGTTCCACGCACCCGCTCCGCAGGCCTCATAATCACATCCAACGCCCGAGACTGACAATTCTACTGCGGAACCCTATGTTTACGCCTCCTGACTAGTCAACCTACCAAACTCAGCCCGGGTCCGTCCCAGAAAGAACTTCTCGTCAAAGCTCCAGCTATCGAAGCGCTTGTTGGCTTGATCAAGGTCTCGTAGTCGTCTTCGTGGCCAGTCTCGTTGATGCAGTGGTACCAGATGCGGCGGGGGGAGTTGGGGTGGGCCATTAGGATTATCCGGTGGATTGGTTCGGTGGGGGAGGAGGTGGTGCATAATGCTAGTCAGAGGTTGTAGCGGGGAACGCCGATGGGAGCCATTTTTTAAAGGGGTTTGGGGGTTAAACGGACGTTGTAGGTATTTTGTTTTGCATAGAGAGTTGTTGAGGATTTTGATTTCAAGTTGAGTGGATTCCGATTGTGATCGTGATGATGGGCTTGTCCCACAGAAGAAGATCGTTCAGCAGAGAGGTTTAGTGTGGCGGTCTCATCCGGGCAGCATAACCCTCAAGCGCATGGAAAGGAAAAGTTCATTAAGAGCCGAGGAGGCTTTGGGCTTACCACCAGCAAAATTGTCCCCCTCATAAAGAAAACCTTTAATTGGACAGAACTTGTCCCAGCTGCCCAAGTCACATGACATTGTTCCCGTCCACCCCACCGACCAGTATGGGAGCCACTGCAGGTGGGAGCCACTGGCTAAGCCATTGTAAAAGCTGCGAGAGGATGCGAGAGGCCGCGAGAGGCTCTTGGGGGGGCGGGAGAAATTAGGCGAATGTCAAAGCCCATGGAGGTGGCGCTGGGCTGTCAGTGCCATCACCCATGCAGTCAGTCGTATCCATCTGGCATCCCGCTGGAGCCGCAGTATGAACATCCAGACCCGAGAACAGAGGTCATAGGACACTGCAAGGGGTACACAGAATTCCGGGGCACGGCATGACCACCGACAACAGGACCATCACCAGCGCAAACACTACCGACGATCATGACTTCTTAAGGGATTTCACGGGGCAAGATTTCGGCCAAATTGGGACGCCGCCAATCACCGATTGCCATATAAAACAGGCACGACATTGGGTATAAGCTGGGTCATCCTGCACCTGGTGGTAAGATATTCGCATCTCCGATCGACATTTCTATTGCCAAGCGGCAAGTCTGAGCCATTTTCAGAAGGATCTCTATGATAAGCTTTCGCTTGGACAAGGCTTGCAAATGGTTGGCACAGATCAACTAATCGACACTTGAATACGAGAACCAAAGTTCCCCATGGGCTTAGCTTCGTTCATTGTGCTTTAACCTAATAATGGAGTCTGCCTTGTCATTAATAGGGCGTCTCTTTTCCCTCGAAGTCTTCCTTTGTCTCCTTCTGGCTGTTGAACACAAATAACTCATTTAATTTTTCCCAATCTTTCTCCATGCAACAATTCCCTATAAAATGAATCCACACACGCCAAACGTGGTGCACCAAGTCGCAACCTCCACATCAGGCAACAGGGGCATTTCCAAATGGTGGCCGATCAGTTTTCTCATATCCGCTGTCATCTTCTTCATAATTGGAGGCGGACTTTGGGGCGGATCGAATTCCAGCCGCTACAACTGCCGTACCTCAGGCCCATATTGTTCCATCGCCTCTCACGGCGAGTTCTATGGCGCAATCGGCTGTTTCGCGCTCGGGGTTGTGTTGAAGATCGCGGGCTGGATTCTCCTGATCGTCTATCTCGTGAAACGGCGTCGTCTTCGGGCTACAGCTATTACACACGTCAATGCCCCTACTACAGATAAGCGATACCATTCGCAACATCTACCTACCTATTCCGGCGGACCGCAATGCACGCCTATGTCGCCTGCCCCGACTCCTATGCCTATCTATAACAACGCTCCTTCGCAATTCCATGATGAAATATACGAAGCCCCTTCGCATAATCTACAAAGCCCTATAGAACTTCCGGGTTTTGAGCAACCTCATGCTCTCCCGGGCCCCCTGAAACGAACGAAGTGAGAGGAAGGGGAAATTTTCTGACTCTCAACATCCCTACCTCAGTGCACATTGACGAAATTGTAAAGGGTCTTTTCTCAGTGCAAGCTTATAATTACCGGGCAAAGAAATCGTCTTAAACCAGACATTATTAAGGCTACACAGTGCCTACAGATGTGGCTGATTATGGAGAAAAAGGCTTTGGCATGTTGGAAAGGTAGGGGGAATTGGAAAACCCCACTGGGGTTGTATAATATGTCCGAATAGCTTCATTTTTCAGCGCAAGTTTTTCTGGTGACTAAGCAAGCCTGCCCCAGCCTAAACAAATCACAGCCTTGCCTAAGCCTGCGTGTACAAGTACGCTTTTGTGTCAGCCTGCCTTAGCCTCGCCTGGAGTTAAGAGGTTGCCTGCCTTGACATGACCCCAGGCCAAGGCGAGGCGGGGCGTTTGAATCAGGCTTGCAAACAGGTAAATCAAATCAAATTGGAGGATCAATTTGATTTGATTTGGATAAAAAATTACTTTACTTACTTACTTTACTTTATTCATAGACTGTCCCAGCCGCCAACTATAAGGCAGCTATGCAGCGTACATCTATAAATACAGGTGTAACCATCTCTTGCTTCTATATAGTAAGCCGGTCTGTCCAAACTGCTTCTTTCCATTGCCTCATAGTTACCTCCGTAGTTGCTCCTGCATCTATAGGTCTAATGACTGTTGTGTATCTGTGACTTGTCAGGCCTTTTCCTCCACGCCATTCGCGGTTGTATATTCTGGTCGCCATACGGTAATGGTTGCTTTCCCAGACCCTTTATAATCAAGATCGGGGGCAACCACCGCGTTCACGCTCCCATCGGTGTTCAGGATGTACTCATCCGCTAAGTGTGAAACACGTTGACCTTTTTGTGAATAGCACAACTTAATAATTGTCGGAATATATCTGTCAAGGAAAATGGAGTGGTTACTTACCACTAAGAATCCGTCTGATCCACCTACTTCACCTTTCGTACGCATTTTGTATGCGTTCCTACAAATCCGCAGGACTCGGCAATTCTTAACCCGAAGTCCCGATTCCACTAGTAAGGCCACATTAACGAGGCCTTCGCACAGATAGAGTTGCTTCTTTTCTTCAATCAATCAATCATACGTTCATTTTTCTACTATTGATTCCGTTACTCCTATTCGCTAAGATGCATAGTAGTCATTACATGGGATTCTAGCTCTTCACAGTTTTGTACGGAGTTGGCTTTTCCGTTTTTGCTACTTATTCTGACTCCAGTAAGCGGACGCCACTGCCCAGCGCAGCTCGTAAGAGATATGATATTATATAACCACACCCTCCGGATCTGATTGGGGAACACCCTGCCTAGGATAACGGCAAACCCCCGCATGGCTGTCCCCTATATAATACCTATGTTTTATCCGTATAAAAAATTATTATTTGGGCGTGCTAGCCGTGACGAGCACTCTGTCCATGTTATGATTGGCCAAGTGTCACCACAATGGCCCCTCGTTTTGGTTAATTTTATCACATCAGTCTGCACATTCGTCCTCCACTTTTGATATTCTCCTCGCACAACTGCTCTCTCGACGGTTGAAAGTCGAACCTCCCTCTCACTCGACCCTAGGGACGATACTTCTTCTCACTAGAAAATATTGTCTGATGCGATACGGGGCCCTAACTTGATTCTCAAGAATATCTCCCGCACTCACTAGGAGATTTGCCTGCTTCATAAACGATGGCTAGTGAACACAAGGTCACACAAAGGTACGCCACGCAATTGAGCTCGTCACCGCATTATCTCACTCCTGGTCACGCCATATTATCGTGGTCTATAATACAGCTCTTGCTTGTTGAGAGCCAAATAACGTCTTTCAAATGATCTTTGTGTTATCCACCCACCTCAACATTCGACGCTGACATCGAATATAGGAAGTTGACCCTAGTCGGGGATTCCTGTTGCGGCAAGACTTCTTTACTACGGGCTGCGCTATATGGTAATTCTCCGGAAAAGGTAATCGCCCTTTGTCCCGCCTCGCAGTAATTGCTTTTCTTAAAATTCTAATTATAATTGAATCTCAATTATCTAGGTTCAAAGCACCTTTGATCTCAGGCACAATGTGCCTTTCGAACAGTGTCCCGGTATTTACGAGTGCAATGTGTCAAATGAAAAAGGGCATAGTATTATAGTACGGCTCGCCTTGTGGGACACAGCAGGGGTATATGACTTTGGCCGGTTAGAGCCACTTAAATATCCCGGCGCACACGTTGTCCTCATCAGCTTCGCCATTGACTCTCCAGATTCTATGGATAATGTAGAGGAAAAGGTCAGTTTGCCCTATGCTCTTGGATTTGTTCTCGCAATAGGAAGCGGTACTCCGATAACAAATTGTTTGCTGATAGCTATTTGAAATTGATAGTGGATATCTGAAGCCGCCCATTTCTGCCCTGGCATCCCGATCATCCTAGTCGGTCTGAAGAAAGACTTGCGCGATGACCCAGTAACTATTGAAGAACTTCGCAAAAATGGGCTGAAGCCTACACCTAAATCGTTTGGCGACGCTTTGGCGCATAAGATTGGCGCCTATAGATACCTTGAATGTTCTAGTCTGACTGGGGAGGGTGTCAAAGATGTCTTCGAGACCGGATCGGCGGACTCACTTCTCGAACCTAAGAAAGATAAAGCAAAGAGGTGCTGTGCTATCTTGTAGTGTAAGTTATAGTGATGCGAGTCTTTGATCGAATTCTGTCATAACTGGACGAAAATTATACTTAGAAAATGTCGAAGCAAATACCCACCTTCGTATTGTCCAGCTAGCTACTAACCCAAAGTGGCTAGCGCCCCTCGCTACACAAATGTATATATGTGCCTGTCTTCAGATATTCTACAAAACACACTCTTTGCCCCATTGGCCTCTTCGTTACTAGGCGAAACCGATTCGCCATGCTCTGACAGAAAACCTATGTAGAGAACCTGCGACGTATGTTTTGGATCCACGCAGTCGCTTGTCGGAAACCACCCCTAAGAGCATGATGGGTTTTTCTTGAGCAACGTTAGCCAATCTCTTTAGGTCAACAAAAAGCCACGGAGCGAATCTTATTATCTTAGTAGCTTTTCTTTACTGAACCACCTTCATACATATTCCACGTACAGAGTGTTCATCCTACATAAACGAATGTGATGGCTTCAATAAGGCGGATAGTAGTTATTCATTCTCAGTTCGAGGTCTCGCTTGATGTTTCCTTTCACCAGCGCTGTTCATACCATTTTCTGTTGATGTTTTCTTGGCTCTAGTACGAGAAGCACTTGCTTGTCTTTCCAAATTTGCGACTACGGTCGGGGCGTCTTGAAGATTCATTTGCTACAGTTTCCGATGGGTTTGCACCATCATAGAAGGTGACAGCCCTGGATTCCAAATTCATGTCGAAGGGGTTCATCGTCTCCCAAAGCCTTAATGACCCTTTCGACAAAGTTAACCACCGTATCTCGCTCAAAATTACGAAGAGACGCTACCGAATAGATCTGTCTGTTCTGGATATTCGTAACGACATAATCGATTTGGTATCAGAAGAGAACAGTGGGCGCAAGGGAAAGGCAGCGATACAGTCGAACTTCTCCAGACTTGTTCCTGGAGTTAGGGGAAATCAAGCCACGGGATATGCTTGGGGTAGAGTCGGTTCACTGGGTCGGCCGCGTCGCCCTGAGTCGTGAGGGTCGCCTCCGCCTCAACTTGGATCGCTTGGGACAGAGAATTGTGGCGGCAATGGAGGAGGCCAAACAGTATGTTGGGTTGCACTCGCCGTTCGGAGATACCCTTGTGGTCAAATTTGTTGCTTGTATCGTCTCAGATGAATTCAAAGCGAACTGAAGGTGTAGCCATTTCTTGAACTCGGCGATCGAGAACCTTTCTTGGAAAAGTGGAGGTTATTTCGAGAAGCCTAGAAAACCGAGTTCCCCAAGGATATTGGCCTATTTACTCCACTGATAAGGTTTCCACAAACTCTGGCCTTTTCCATTTCGGACCAGATAAACCCCTCATGGCTGTATCCAATAGAGTTGCTTTTCGGATACAAACCTTCGTTCCTTTTTCTTTACTTGTCGTTTCAGGGCAGCGGCGTGCGGAGCTTGCGAAGCGCGCGTCACCAGTTTCCTCCTATTTGCTGTTACTTTCATGCGTTCACGTGTGCTTCAGTCACGTTTTTCGTCTCTATAGTTGCTACATATTATACAAAGATGTATCTACGACTTTCGCTTGCTGCTTTTAATCGCTACTTCTTCTGCCTTTTTGCTATCTCGCTGCTCTCCTGTTTTTCGGTTCGATTAATATGAACCGTCTTCTATTCTCCCTTTTTTGCTCTTTCTACCTATGAGTTTATCCTAGCCGAAAGTGATATGATCCCGCTCTTTTTGTCCCTTGATCCTTATCTGCCACGTATTCTGCATATACGTTTTTCGTATGCACGGTTATACGTGTGGTCTTGCGATTTCTATTTATAGTGATTATCGCCTAGTCTTTTACTTAGCCCTCTATGTTTTATGTCTCTTCCGCCTTTACCGCGATTATTCGTCCCAAGGCTTTAACCTCATATCCAAAATCTGCCAATGCTTCCCTATCGCCTCCTCCAGAGTCCTGCCCTTACCGACCCACCCCCATATAGCTGAAAATTTCGACAGGCGAGATAACCGCTCGAATGACTCCCACACAGCAGTCGGATTCGGGCTAACCACACATCCACGTTGCAGCACCCAGTCCACCGAGTTCAGCGACACAGGGATCACCGTGTGCAGATCAGTCAATGGTTCCAGGTTAGACATCATCTCCCGAGCTTGTTTATTCATCCTCGCACCGTAGACCTTGTGCGATAGCTTCGTGATATAGCCGGCTAGATGGTGACTGCTCATTTTCTGCATCACGCGCGCGAATTCGCCCTTTTGGGCGTCGGTTAGGCCTAGATCCACCGTATTCTTCTCCACCTCGTCCCGTAAAAAAGTCCAGATGACCCGCCGCGGCCAGCCTGCGTCTTCGAGGACGGCGAACAGCGCTGCAACGAAGTTGAATTCTGTCTGGCCTGTATTTTTATCGTATTTGTATGGCCAGAAGGCTATACGCTGGAGTGGGATAGGGTCTTTTCCTGTGAATAGTTGCAGTCGCTCGAAATTCGAGTGAAGACCAACTATAAGGTCTGGGTGTAAGCGGTAGAAGTGGTCGATGTAGAGCTGAACAGGCGGCATGTCCTTGTCTTGCATGCCCCAGTTCGGGGAGAAGTGGTAGAACGTGTAGGGGAGGGTGACGATCACCAGAATAGGGTTGATGAATAGCATAAACATCTGGTACACGAGAAGTTGGGCGTAGAACCATTTTTGATTGAGGGGTTTGTTCATTTTTGTGGTTGTGCAGTGCGGGCAGGAATGGAAGGAAACAGAGAAAGAAAAAGAGAGACCTTCACACAGTTCTGCGCTAGGAAAACTGCGGTTATCTTTGGATCGTCCGTCCCGTCATTTTGTTTGAGAATGGTTGGTCGATGGATACAGTAGCCAAGAAATAAATACGAGAACCTTGGAAAAGGCTCGTGTTCAGGGGCGATCACTTTGTGACATGGCATGTACAGTACTCACCTTGGAGAGTCGGGAAGCTCAACGTGTTCCTATTGGGGGACTGACTCCTAATATACGCTGACTACGTTGCCGCTAACTCGAATGGGAAGGGAGAATCCTAACACACTCTAGGGGCTCTCACCGCTTTCACGGAGAGAGCCTCCTAAACCCAATGATTCCCAAGCTTAATGATAATTATTTCCCTTCCTGGCCACAACGAAGCTATTTATACCTATTCTCAACCTGTCTTCCAAAGAAAATGGCATAGCGTCTTCTGGAGTCATCGGCACAAGATCTGCCTCACTGTTTCTTATTCCCCCCGGCCGTACCTAGGTCCCTGCCACAAATACTCATAAGACTATACAATACAAGGAATCCCGATCTCGCACGTGAGTTCTCTCACGTGCGTTCCGCTGCTGGGTTCTGCTCCTGCATGTGAGAAAACCTTGGTATCGTGCTGATTCGGGACACGGCCAAAAGCCCATACAAACTCGGTGCCAAGATGAGGCCAAATTGGCTATTGGTTCTTGGTTCTGTGTTCCTAATTGGCCCAACTTTAAACGGCGCTTCCGAGCAAATCCAACAGGTTCGGCTGCTGGTTCCTGTTCCCCGCAACTTTAAGCGGGCCATTGTATTGCCCATGCTGTCATTGCTGCTCGCGCCGTACGTCCTTACGTGCTTCGTGCCTGCACGTCCTGCGACTTGTGAGCGTTTTGTCTTAGCCTGTCGCTTAGGGTGTGCGTGCCTCAGTCGGGGGAGGGCCTTGTGCGTGTACAGTAATCTCGCTTGACCACCACCGCCTCCTAGAGCGACTGCCGTTCTCCCCGCCCTGCTTCAAACTGCTCTATGGATCTCCCTGAGAATCATTTTGCATTATACACTCTCGGCGCCCGTCTCCTGTCTTTCTGCAGATGGCTTCTTCCCTTCCGGGCGGTGAGCGTGTGCTCTGCTCGGGGTGTGCACGACCCTGGCTGTCCGCACGGTATAAGACGTGCGACAACTGTCGCGGGAGGACCGCTCTCTGGAGACTGCGGAGCTCACGCTCCCGTCCGTCCGCTCCTTGCCATGACCAGCCATCACGTTCTTTACAGGCAACTTCTTTGCCTTCCGCCACCACAGATATCTCTGTCCAGCGCGTACTCTGTCCCGGCTGTGCCCGACCTTGGCATTCCGTGCGGTATAGGACGTGCGATCTCTGCCGTGGAAAAAATCGTCGCAATCGTACGGATCGCATGAGCCGTCTGCTCACGGCTCGGTCAGGGCTTTGGTGGGAACGTCTAAGCCGTATCTCAGTCATACCATTCCGCCAAGACTGGACCGGGCAATGCTCCTTCTGCGGCATTGTGCTGCTCTCGCAGGAGCCGGACGGCTGGTGCTGTAATCAGGGCCGCAGACGTCTGCCGCAGCTGCCACCATGTGAGGAGCTTCTTCAGGCCCTGTTGGACAGGTACGGCGGCCGCCTCTCCACTATGAGCCGTCGCCTGAATAACCTCTTTGCCTTTTCGGCCATCGGCACCACTGGCCGCTTTGTGCAGTTTCAAGGTCTCTCTAACGTTGTCTTAGAAGGACGCGTGTACCACCGGCTGCTGGATGTGGCGGCGAAGGGCCACAGCATGCATTGGTTCCTCTATGATGAGACCGAACGGGCCCAGCATGCGCGGCAGTTGGACGTCCCAGAGGATGTTCTGCAGATAGCCCGCGACTTTCTTATCCGGGTCAGTCCATACGTACGTATCCTGAGTCATGCCGTCAGCCAGGTAAGTGAGCAGGCTACCCCGCTTGCCATTGAGCTTTCCGTCCCCCCGGCTGGAGGCGAGCTTGCTGCTGTGATCAACACAGACAATCTTCGCCACATCAGCACTCGCAAGATCGTGTTCTTCCGCAAGGGAGGTCTGCAGCCACGCTTCGTCCCAATCCTGTCTTGCCAGTATGAGCCCCTGCAGTACCCACTCCTTTTTCCCCACGGAACGCCGGGCTGGGGCTTTCACGAACCGTCGCAAAAGAATCTCCCCTGCACGCAGATCCAATGGTATCGGCATTTATTCCTGACGGAGCCACGTATGCTGATCTTCGGCCGCCTAGCCTGCGAGTACGCAGTAGATATGTTCTCTCGGACGGAGGAAGAGCGCCTGCAATATCTGAAAATGGGTCGCCACCAACAGGCAGCGGGGATGGATGAGGCGGCGCATCTGGATGCACCAGACCTCTTCCAGAACAAGATCCCCGCTGGCTTCATGGGGTCTCGCGCCTGGGCCTCGGACCAGGTCGCCGACTCTCTCGCCATGGCACGAGAGCTCGGGAACCCGTCGTTCTTCCTCACCATGACCACCAACCCCAACTGGCCGGAGATCCAGTCCCGGTTGCTCCCAAACCAGGATGTCACTGATATCCCAGCGGTGGTGTGTCGGGTCTTTTACCGGCGCCTTCATGCCCTCAAGGCCTTCTTACGCGAGAACTTCGGCCCTATACCGTATGAGATCAGCGTGACAGAGTTTCAGAAACGGGGCCTGCCACATGCCCATATTATTATCAAGGTTAGCCACGACCCACCGCTGTCTGAAATTGACACTATTATCTCCGCAGAGCTGCCGGATCCCGTGGAGAATCCTACGCTATATGCAGCAGTGAAGCGTTTCCACACACACTCCAGGGACCATCTGACCCGCCCCACATCCCGCTGCAATCGCAATGGTCGATGTATCTACGGTTATCCCCAGCCGATCACTGTGCACACCTATATTGATGATCTTGGCCGTATGCATTACCGCCGGCGCAAGGAGGAGGACCGCTGGGTGACTCCCCATATGCCGGCTCTGATAGAGCTCATGGACTGCCACATCTTTGTGGATGTCTGCTCCACGGCGCTCATCTTCCTCTACCTGTTCAAATATCTTTTTAAGGGACCAGATCGCACCCGTTTCAGCCTCCGCGGTCTCTCATCCACGCTGGATGGGAATGAGCGAGTGGATGAGTATGAGGACTACGTTAATGCACGATATCTCTCCTCCTCAGAGGCCGTCTACCGTATCTTCGCCTTTGAAACGGTCCGGAAGATCCCTGCCGTCCGCTGCCTTCCAGTGCATCTGGAAGGAAAGAACCTGCCTAGGATGCGCCGTCCGACGGCACCCGGTTTCTCCGCCATGAGTGACCTGCTTTGGTATTTCCAGCGTCCAGCTACATCACACTTCTGCGGGCTGAAGTACACCGAATTCTTTAGCCTCTACTACCTAGAGACCCGGCCGCTTCATGATCCCCTTGACCAAGGTCAGGTCCCCATCACTACTGTGGACACTGAGCGAGGTCTCCAGCAAAAGGTGTTACGGCATCGCAGCCAAGGCGCAATCGTCACGCGACTTCAAACTGTCCCGGTACGCTCGAAGGAGCTCTTCTACCTCCGGGCACTGCTACAGGTGCGGCCTGCTTCCAGTTTTCAGGACCTTCGCACGGTGCATGACCGCTGCTACCCGACATACCAGGAAGCAGCCACCGCCCTGGGGCTATTCCAGGATGTCCGTGAGGCCGTGTATGCGATGAATGACGCGATTAGTGCTTACAGCCGTCCATCTCAGCTGCGCTTTCTGTTCGCCTATCTTCTGCTGGACCTGCCTTTTCCAGCGGTGGACCTGTGGACACAGTTCCAGCGGGAGCTGTGTGCGGACTATCGACTGGATCACAATCCCACCCAGTCGACAAACCTGGCCCTGGAGGATATTGCACGCTATCTGTCTTCGCAGGGTTCCTCTCTGGCCCAGTGCGGCTTGCCAGAGCCACAACGCCATGACTCTGAGGTGGACCTGGAGCTGAACTTCTTCTGTGATCGGCTACCTACTCTGCGCAGAAGGAGCGAGGCAGCGTATGCGAGGATGAATGCAGATCAGCAAAGCATTTTCGACCGCATTCTCAGACACTGCGGCTGTGGTGGATGCTTCTTTATTGATGGCCGTGCAGGCCGCGGTAAGACCTTCCTAATAGGTGCCGTCTGTGATCAATTACGCGCGAAGGGTGAAATTGTGTGCGTCACTGGTACGACCGCACTGAGTGTCATCCACTATGAGCGTGGTCGCACTGCTCACTCCGCTTTCGGAATCCCGGTCCAGGAGACCGATGTGGGCCTACAGTCCAAGATCAGCGTCCACTCAGACCGCGCCGAGCTGCTGCGGCTGGCCACCATTATCATTTGGGAAGAACTGCCCATGGCAAAGAAGGCTGTTCTGGAATGTGTTAACCAGCTGTTGCAGGATGTCATGGGGAATGATCTACCATTTGGAGACAAACTCTTCATTGGCTTGGGTGATTTCCGTCAGGTGGCACCGGTGATCCACGGCAGCTCTGGGCCAACTGCCACTCTCAACAGTTCCATCCGCACTTCGGACCTCTGGTGCCATTTCCAGATCCTACGGCTGACTATCCCAATCAGGAATGCAGGAGATCCCGTATATGCAAGGTGGGTGGACCAGGTCGGAGATGGTACGACTCCTTACGAAGTCAGCGTGTCACTGCAGCACCTGCACCATCTGGCCTCCCTGGATGATGCAGCAAATTTCCTCTTCCTTGATGATGCTCTCCAAACTTCCCCTGCTGCCGTCCAGCGTGCCTTTCTCAGCCCGTTCAATGCCCGCGTGGATTTGTTCAATGGACTGATGTTGGAGCATGTATCAGGACCTGCAAGTATTTCTCTCCCTCTCCTAGCTGTCCTATCTTTCCCACTTTTGTCCTTCTCTCTGCACTAACATATCAGTTGAATCTAGCCACCTACTACAGCCAAGATACCATCAAGGAGCTAGACGATACTACCTTCCCTCTCCCCACGGGCGCCGAAGCAGATCTGCTCTCGATGCTCAACGAATCGGGTGTGCCGCCACATGCCCTCTCCCTAAAAAAAGCCTGCATTGCGAGCATCATGCGCAACCTCTGTGTTGAGAAGGGCCTAGTGAAGAACGTGAGAATACAGGTGGTGAACTTGCTCTCCAATGTGGTTGAGGTGCAACTACTCCAGCAGCTGCATCCTATGTCGGAACCAGCAGACTCTACTTTCTATCTGCCCCGTATCACGTTTGAGTTTAAACCACAGCGCGCAAATTGGACTGTGCAGCGTCGGCAGTTCCCTTTGCGCTTAGCGTATGCCACCACGTTCAACAGCTGCCAGGGCCTCACCTTGGACCGTGTGGTACTGGACTTGACCATGCCGGTCTTTGCCCATGGCCAGCTCTATACCAGCCTATCCCGCGTCCGGATGGCAGATGACATCTGCATCCTGCGGGACCCAGATGAGACTGGTCACTCCACACTGAATGTGGTATACCATGATCTGCTCCTGCCTGACTGAAGTGAGGTGGATGTGAGTATAAGAGGGTGATTGAAGCCCATGGGCCGCCTGTTTGCGCTGTAGATTTTGAATTTATCTAAACTGCCTCCTGTCCAATAAAATCGATGTTATCCTACTCGACGTGCCACCGCGCCAGCGGCCGAAGGCCGCTGCCAATGCAGCTCGTACGCACAGAACATTGGGACCTGTGAACTGGCACGTGACGCCTGGGAGTATACCGACCCACAGGGGTAGGATATACTCCAGGGAGTCGATATACTCTCGGGAGTAGATGCTACTCCCGAGAAGACCATCTACTCCAGGAAGAACTAGATATATAAGGACACTCATTTCGCATCATGTATCTAGTTCTCCGCGATCAATCTCACATTGTTACTTGGTTACTACCTTTAGTACTTTGCACTTCACAGTTCACCTTTAAGACAACCCAACCTACGAGTAGGGGATTCACTTCGTGGCAACACTTGGTGATTGACTTACTCGGCGCGCACTTCTGGCACGTTCTGCAAGACCCTCAACAGGATCCATCCCGCAGTAAGGCCTCGCGAGGCAACGGTACGATTGAGAGACATTCTTGGAATCCGCAGTTGGAACTAGGCAAGTATAACCCGTGGACATTCTAACTCACAGTGACCAGTTGGCAACGCGTAACATATATTAGCACAGTTAGATAAAAGGGCTTCGGCGGTAGCTCTCTTAGCTATAGAAGCTTGCTCGGAGATAATACGAAGCGAATATCGTGACATTCTCTTCGTGATATCCGAGTATATAAAGTGGGAGCAGAAATTTAGCGTCTGTTATGATATACCCTGACATGAGGTTTTTCATAATGTTGGTGCCTGAGGCCAATCATACCTGCTGGGTCGAAAGGCCCTCGGTGGAGGATTGCTATCCTCTCGCTTCTGGAGCGTGTACAAATCCCTGCAAGGAAGATCCCCGGAGAAGGTTACACAAGCCTCGTGTCTTTGCCACTTCCCTGCTTCCTTACAAGGAGATATCTCATTCCTGTTAGGCGAATGAAATGGTATATAATATCGGCCATGGAGAGGCGGCTTCCGCTCCTCAAGAAACAGCCTTTGAACAATCTGACTTGGTTCCTTTCTCCTACCTGATTGACATGCCACTATTCTGACTTGTAGTGTATATTCTCCCATTTGTATAGTCTGAGGAACCTGAGGTTCGGATCGATCCTGGCAGGTTCGACTCTAAAAGCTGTGGAGTCGGACCGAACCGGGAGAGTGGCGACTCTCTGCCGAGGTCTAGTCTTAGGTTCGTCAAGAAGTCTGATAACCTGGAACTGATCATGCCAGAACCTGAGACGAATTTAGGAGAGGTCTAAGAACCAAGAAGGCAAACCGCGGCCAGTTATTTATCAGGGATTTCCATCTAACTACACGAAAATCAGAACTACATTCTATCTACATCTAGTAAAGATGACAAGATTAAGACAGCCTGGCCAACGCGGAAAGGTCGAGGCACAAAATACGTGCCAAAAAAGAAATCATCAACAGCACAGTTCCCAGGAGTTAGGATCCCTCAGCGTAGCGCGAAGGACAGGCACAGGGGGAATCTCAGAATACAAAAAGCCCTCTTGTGAATTCTGGCGGCCAATTCGAAGTTGATAGTAAAATGGGTAATCTATTGGATAATAACTTAGCTTTCCTGCATATTCTATGAAAAGGTGCACATTGCAGCCGAAGCCCTCCAGGGCAGATGGTGCAAAGTAAATGAGGAACTCAAATAAGTCAAATTTACACCGGGTCCCCCACCTCAATTATTAACTTTGGAGGATTTTATGCGTTGTGGACTAACATGCTGACTAGTTTAAAGTGAATTTTTGCAAAGACATGCGTGTATCCTTCTTCTGATCAAAGCCGTTTTGTCGCAGCCCCAAGAAGATGTCTACCCCCAAACTTTTGCAAAGAGCATTACAGGCGCAGCAAAGCTTAAGAGAACTGGGGTATATACTGTAAGTTCATGGGTATTTCAACCCCCATGAGCGCCCTCATTTTATGTTCTTCAATCAATCAATAAAAGTCTTTCAATTCAATCAATCTCCCCTTTTGATTCCGTTGCCCTGATTGGCCAATTTCCAAGTACTCCGTAGCTGTCACATAGTTGATATATACCATGATACCACTTTCGTGCCGGGGTTCGATGGTCTCACAAACGTTGGATTGAGGTATGGTTCACCAGGGCTAGTCTTCGCTAATGCTCTTCTCGTACACCAATAATCACCAAAGAGCATCAAGTTGCGGTGCTGGTCATTACAGAAGTGATTTACCAATCCTTGATGGTCGTGTTGCAGCTTTCAATAGATGCGCGTCCTCGATAGCCTCGATGATATGTCCATCCTTATCCAAGGTATACCATACGTAGGCCCTCACTAACGGGCCATTTCCAGGCCATACTGGGCCCCATTTTCCGACAAAATTGTCCGTCTCAAAATTACCGTTGCCTTGGAATTGCATCGTGACTTCAGCCGCGATGACTGTACCGTCTCCGTTAAAGATGGCCTTCCGAAGAGAGAGTTTTTCGGTCACAGCGATATGCACATCCAGGACCCAATCCAAGAACTCGTTGATTGATCTGTCAGGCTGGCCACTCCATTTGAACTGTGAGTGTGTTAGATCAAAACTAACGGAGTAGTCTGGGGTGAATTCCCAGTCCTTACAATGGCATCTGGTGCATAGTAGGGAGTGAAAGCAAGCGGGTCATTGGTATTTAACCCCTCGAGATAGTTTTCGAGATCGGATACGCTCCGGATGGATTTGGTAGCAAACGGCCAGGCTCTCTTATGAGACATGCTAGGTGATTTTGTCCACAGGAATGAGGCAATGGTGGCAATGAGGATGCAACAGACAGACAACGGGCGCAGTCCACCACTGCATCAACATTTTAACCTTCCCAGTGCCATCATGGGTCCGAGACGCCTGGTGGGGCTTGGTGGGTAAGTGTCGATGTCGCCACCCAAGAGGAGACGGCTGTTGATAGTTCGGAGACACGTGATCTGCCAGGCCTCCCACCGGAATGGGGTCTTGAGAAGGTGGCCTCGATCCCTTGAGTATCCCCAGTATCGCCTTACTCAGTGGGGTTTATTGATGGTAGATAGAGTGCGAAGATTGCTGTAAATTTCGACGTGTCAATTATATATTTTATAGTCAACTGATTGCTTTTCACTTGAAGATTTGGTAAACATTAACTACGATACCAATGTTGGGGAACTCGGAGAACCTCTTGTCTCTGCTCAATATGTCGCCGTACATGAGCCTCGAAACGTGGCATGATTTTGACGGTAAAAAACTGACGCAACTGGCTCTCCTCACCGGTGTGGCATTGTTGTGGTGTCACAGTATTGGCGTGCTTCTGTATAGCCTCTTTTTCTCACCGTTGCGGCGCATTCCTGGTCCCTTCTTGGCCCGGGCCACACGCTGGTGGGAATACATAAAGGTGGTAAATGGTGATTCACATCGGGAGTATGTTCGGCTTCATGAGAAATATGGTTTGTTGTGTACCTGGCCTGCTTGTCGCTCGGAAGACGTCACTAACGGCCAACACAATCCGATTAGGCCCAATCGTTCGGATTGGACCAAACCGGTACAGCTTCACTTTACCACAAGCCGTGAAGAAGATTTATGAACTGGGTGGGAAGTTCGAAAAGAGCCAGTACTACTCGCCACTGCTGAGCCCGGACCCTGCTACACAACACATCTTCCCGATGCTGGATAATGAGCGGCACAAGGATAGGCGGAGAAAGATTTCTGCTCTTTATACCATGTCCACGATGGTTTCGTATGAAAATGCGGTCGACAAGTTGAATGAAGTGTGTATTCGGAAGATACATCAATTCGCGGAGGAGCGTCGCCTGATCGATATCCCCCACTGGATGCAGTATTACGCGTTTGATGTTATTGGCGAAATCACAGTCAGACACTCTATGCTGTTCCTCGGACATGGAAGTTAATACTAACCGTTGTCTCTGTCCAGTTTAATGAGAGCTTCAAGATGATGGAAAATGAGGGAGACACGACGGGAATGATCTCAGGTATTCGTGAAGCCAACGATTTTCTAGCCTATGCTGGAGTCGTCCCAAACGTTCTCCCATGGTTTGCTCGGTTGGCCACCCTCCTAGGCAAGACGTCAAATGCTCGGATGATTGTTGGCTACACCTGGAAGCAGATCAATAAGTATCGTGACATGAACGTGCATTCTACCAAAGAGACGAAGAAATACGACACGTTCTTGAATAAGGTTCTCACCATGGAAGCTGCAGGCTCTATCGGAAATCCCAATATTTTGGATGCCTGTTCAAGCAACATCACGGCTGGATCTGACACCACTGCGATTAGTTTAAGCTCATGCCTGTACTACCTTTACACAAATCCAGACAAGCTCAAGAAACTGCGAGATGAGATTGACACTATGGCAGCTGATGGTCGTATCTCTGACCCAGTCACATTTCGGGAAGCCCAAGGTATGACCTACCTGCAGGCTGTGATCAAGGAAGCACTCCGTCTTCATCCGGCCGTGGGTACCATGTTGGCTCGTGTTGTGCCAAAAGGGGGCATGGAGCTGGAAGGCCATTACTTCCCAGAAGGGGTATGTGTGCCTAAACCGATACTTCTCCCTTGTTGATGTCTTACCGTGATGACAGACTGAAGTTGGAGCAAATGCATGGCCGTTGCATTACAATAAGGACATCTACGGACCAGATCCGCAGGCCTTTCGTCCGGAACGTTGGATTGGTGATGAAAAGACTTCCCTCATGGAGTCGATGATGTTTGCGGTACGTGCGATGATTCCAAGTGGTTTATGAATGATAGCTAACTACCCTGCCTCTTTAGTTTGGAGGTGGCTCTCGGACTTGTCTCGGCAGGAATATTAGCTTGCTGGAGATGACAAAGGTGATACCACAGCTGGTGCGTAAGTTTGACATCGTACTCGATAAAAATGACGAGTCGATGGAAACTCAATGTGCTTGGTTTGTGTATACCCACTATAAGGGGCGGTTCAAAGCGAGAGAGTGAGATAGCGGCAGCGACAAGGGTCGTAGGAAGGGGTTGCTATAACTTTCATCCCCGTCTAACCTCCGGCGCTTGAATTCAACCGGTCAATAACCATTGTCTGCTGAGCCTATTGAATGGTCATTTCCCTCCAAATACAAAGAAAGTCTGCCCTGAGTAAACCATTCTACTACGGAAGTCACTGATTATCCCAAATGTCATCAACTATATCTTGCTATTGACAGCATTACGCGATATATTTACTTAGGCCACCAGTAACCCATACAATTATGAGGTGAGTACATACTGCTACCAAGACTCGGATATAAGCATATTTATAAGGATCTTGAGAGTGCGTTTATCAACATGCCATTCTCTTGACAGTCATCGGGTGCAATTTCTCTAATTCATTGATTAATGCACTGACTATAGATGGCTCGGAAAATTTTTTCTTAAGGAAGCCTTTTTGTATCCCTCAGAGACCGTCAAATTCTTGATACTAAATAATCGCTCCCATTGTAAGCATTGAGGCTTCCAAAAATTTGGAGTCCCAGCCACGCGTTATTGCACTAAGGTGAGACAATTTAATAGTTGATGAATCTTGAAAGGAATAAGAGGAACATGGTAAATACACCGACAGAGAATTCTAAGACAATTTACTCCTGTGACTAACCGAGATTTTCTGATGCGCATTGGGCATGTCTAAAGTGCTTGCAAAACCTCGGTGACCGATAAACATTTCGGAGGGATCCCATTTCTCTCTGATCAACAGCCACTTCTTCAGTGCAGAGTCCGTCATAACCTGGCTCATGTCAGTCCTATTTGCGCACATCAGCCAGGGCCTGCGGCAACTCACCTTTGGTTTTCTATGCTTAACATTGAAGTCCGCAACATAAAGACCAGAAGAGACTTTATCAGCTTTGGTGTAGGCGTCCAGAAGCCACTTGTCCACCACTCCGTCATGCTTTGCATCCTTCCAGCATAGCATCGTCGAGACGTAAGCCTTCTGAGGCAAGCTGAGAGCCTGGTTCCTTTCGTCCGGATAGTAGTCGATTGGGCAAAATGTTCCAGATGAAAGACGAGTAGGTAAATCGAAGAGCGCCGGAGTAATAGCGTCAATGACCTAGGGGAAGCACATTAGAATAAACCGAACACCAAAAGCGCGTCAAGAAAAGTACTCACATCATCATCAGAAGCGTTTGGGTCGACCAAAATGCTGTCAACATTCCACCTCTCACCGTTTCCCTGCGGCTGGAGGCTCTCTTGCGCAGCCCAAAGTTCTTCCCACGTCCTCTCTGCTAAAGGAATGGTAGCAACGGTGTGTTTCTTAAACTCGTCAGGAAGGGTGTCCCATGGGCTTGCGAGAACCCCAGCTTCTTCAATCGAATCCGCAAACATAATTTCGTTGATGAGAAAGAACACACGCTTTGCTTTGGATTCGTGGCCCCCATTGGGATCGTCCTTATCTGCGTAGAAGGTCGCAAAGAACAAATCCACACCGTATTTTGGGACCTTCTTGGAGGTCTCAATCACATATTTCAGTAATGGCCTGAATATCTCGGTGGAGTCAACGATTATCGTCATGTCGTAGAGCTTTCGGGCAGGAATGGTCTTGATCCAGATCCGCGTAATCACCCCAAAAAAGCCCTGGCCGCTGCCGGGTGCCGCCCAGAACAGATCGGCATTCTGAGTCTTGTTGGCAATCACTATTTCCCCGTCGGAAGTGACGATCTCGAGCTGGGCAACCCAGCGGTCGGCTGTGTAGCCCCATCCACGCATGAACCACCCTTGGCCACCGGCAAGGAGGAAGCCGCCCAGGGCAACGGTTCGGGAGTGACCTGCTGGGAAAAATCTGTTGATTCGCCGGAGATAATTGATGACAGCCTCAACCCTATGACCGGGGCTCACTGCAGCGATCTCAGTGGCGGCATCATACTGAATGTTTTGGTTCAGGCTGCTCGTGTCGATCAGGAGGCCGCGTTCAAGGAGCGAATTGCAAAAGAACAGATGCCCGCCGGACCGAACGCCAATCTTCAACCCTCGTTGACGTGCATATTTGACGGCTGCCACAACTTCCCCTGTGGTTGTTGGGCTGACGATCTCAGCGGGGTGGACATCAGGAACCCGCCCGTTGAAAAACCGACGGCGAAGTTCGTCGTAGGCTAAGGATCCCTTAGAGACAGAGTTGGGAAGTGGAGAAGCCATAATTTGTGAGAGAGAAATATTATCAGAGGATAAAGGAAGGCTGTCAATAACCTCACCTCCGCTTTTGAAGTCATTCTTCATCTAGCCAGACACCTGATTCGGGATAAATCACCCCACCCTTCAATGCTATGCTCGTCGCCACCCTGTGCACATGAATGGCATGTCGCAGCCTGTATCCATCCAGGTGTGGAGTCCATACAGTGGCCATGCTTAATTGTACCAACGCCACACGTATGGAGACGTATTGTCGCGGGTCCTCTCTTCTAGTGGGCGGGGCGGGGTAGATGACCACTATATTCTCCAGTTTTAACGGGTGCCACCTCAACCCACCTCGACCAGATGTGGATTGGAAGTCCCAATTGACAGGCAAAGTTTCTACCAGATTTAGGCTGCAACCTGCTGATGGATATAATTTCAAAATCATCGCTAGTTCATGAAGTTAACAAAGTATTGTGGTCGGGCTCCGCCTGCGCAACGAATGCTATCCATTGGTGATCAACACGCCATGTATAAGAACAAATATCGACATTTAAACCAATGAAGAGAACGCATCCCGTGCATTGAAGTTCGCCACAGTACTTAGTCTATCGATCCATGCGACCTCGCGCTATACAGTTGTATTGCATTGTTGGCCGCTTCCTAATACTAGCTAGCTTTACGCATCAACCGGTGATGCAATTTACATGAATCACATTTCACAGCTTAGCCGGGTAAGCTCCATTTGCCGATGAGATAATAAGTGAAGTGTCCTACTAGCCTGAAATCAAGATGGAGAGATTAGATCATCTACAGATTGATCCCTCGTGGGGTTCGGCAAAGGTTACGGTATAGAGCATTCTCTATTTGATCATAAGTAACGTCTACGTCGAAAGTTAATAAGTCAGCATCACCACGCCGTCTCACGTGCTGGAGAGGATGCCGTGATATTACATACAGTATGCAATTTCTCTCAGAGGCTATGTTTTATGGACGACTCAACCCCGATCTTTTTCAACTGCACGGAAGCGAGTTCGTCAATATGAAAATCTATGTTTGAACAAAAATGAGTATGTGTACTGACCTCTGCGATTACGTCGTATCCATATGTAAATTGCTGTGCAGAAGGGTCGATCCTAGGGACAAGATCAGATCTCTGCTTGTTGCAGCTCATTTTCCGCGGAGACAGTCCACATACCAGTAGAAAGGGTATCCGGGTTGCTGGTCATAGAGCTGAGACACTGCCAGCCGATCTCTCTCTTCTTGCTCGGGTCCATCATGCAGATGATTGATGTGTCTCTGGTACAGAATATGAGTACTCCTGCGTTCTGTCCAAGATGACTTTGCTTCTTACTTGTTTCAGGCTCCATTTTTGCAACGCAGTGCTTCGAGGCGCTCTCATAGACTGATACGTCTTCAGTACCTCTGGTAACTGCTCCCGGTTCTGTACCTTGGACAATAAAATCCCTAATGCTGCGCCGTCCTCGAGAGCAGATCCAGCTCCTTGTGCCATGTAAGGAAGCATTGGGTGACAAGCATCTCCCAAGAACGCTACGGTGGCCTCTTTATTAAACCACTCATCCAGCTCATTCACTGCGCACAAGTTAGGAAGAAGTTTGAAGGGTAGGCATTCCTCCCTTTCCGCGCTTTTCTACTCACAGTGCATAAGCTTCCACTTTTCAACTCTGTCAACTTGATCCAAGAACGTTCGCAGACTGTTTTGAGTAAGTGTTTCCGTAACAATGTGAAATTTGAGAGCCGACGCACAGTGGGTCCCAACTCTGAAATATCTCCTTCATTTCTGAAATGCTGCCCGGCATCTTAGCCACATTATCAGGTAAGTTATCTGGAACCAATAGGACGATGTTAATCATGCTATTATTTCGAAGAGGATAGTATATAGCATGACAACCAGGGCCAACCCATAAACAGACCCTAGATTTCTTGGTAAAATCAAGGAGCTCTTTATGCTCCAGATCCTTTGTATGGAGGACAATCCGATACGCAAGGTCTCCTGTAGGTAGAGGAGGACTAGGTTGGCCTCTGACAGCTGACCTTGTTTTGGACCATAGCCCTATCATAATATTAGCTCAAACGTGAGTCAACAGAGCCGATGTACTACTCGCCATCTGCTGCAATGATCAAGTCTCCAGTGAACCTTTCACCCTTGTCAGATATTAACTCAGGTAGGGAAGGGTTGACATCTGTTATGAGAACTCCGAATTGAAATCGTACACCGAGGGCCTTTGCCCGCTCGTACATAGCAAGCTGCAGGTCGGCTCGATGCATGTCCCAATAATACGATCCAAACTTTTCCAGCATTTCCGCAGCGAAGCCTTGACGCTCACCAAGAAGCTTTTTGCCATCATATCGACGCACAACAAATTCCTCCGGGCTACTTGCTAAGTGTTCCAAACTAGGCCCCAGTCCCCATCTGAGCAACAGCCGAGTGGCATTGGGCGTGAGCTGAAGGCCAGCGCCGATCTAGTTTCTCATTTTTAGGTTAGTTCTTCCTTGAATCGTTGAACAACAGGCAACTAACTACTTACCTCTGCGAGCACAGGGGCTGACTCAACGACCAAGACATCGTGATGGGGCGATTCCTCCTTGACAGAGAGGGCAGCTGCTAGCCCGCCGAGCCCAGCTCCGATGACGACAATGTTCAAGGACATAATTCCGTGTTTCAGTAAGAAGGGGAGATGGGATAATGCCGCTTATCATACATACCTCTCGGATTTCCGTTTGCTTCTTCCGATCCCCACCCGATGCCACCTCCTGCTTCCGATGGTGCTTCCGACGGTGGCAATCGAAAGCCAGACCCACGCTGGTGGGGTATTTTATAGTCAGTCAAGTAAATTAGGTAACTTGTTAGTTAGTTACAAGACTGGGCTTAGTCATGCCCCATCTTATCAACGTCTTTCGTCGACACCTGTTGAGGTCAAGATACCCCTCGATTGAAATATTATGTCTCGTCTGGATCTTCTCGCAGGACATTTCCTCCCCGCAAACGCTGCAACTGTTCAAACGACACAAGAAATCATGTCTTCACTGGCCGGAAAGGTTGCCTTGATCAGCGGTTCTTCTGCAGGACTCGGCGCTGCCATTGCTCAAGAGCTCTTTGCTCGCGGTGCCTCTGTTGTTATAAACTACCCCTTTCCCAGCGAGAAGGCCAACGCAAACAAGCTTCTTGAAAGGCTTGGTGATTCCAAAAGAGCTATTGCAGTTGAGGCCGATCTCTCGACGCGAGACGGACCGCAGGCCTTAGTTGATGAAGCTGTCAAGGTCTTTAGCAAGATTGATATTCTCGTCAATAGCGCTGGGATCAACCGACCCATATTTTTGGACGACCCAAACGATTCAACTGTTGAAAAGACCTGGCATGACATTGTGAATTTAAATGGAAGGGGGGTCTTCTTTCTCACCAGGGCCGTGCTCAAACACCTTTCCCGAGAGAATTCGCGCATCATCAACATCGGCAGTTCTGCATCTCGCACTCCAAGCCCACAGTCCAGCATCTATGCCGGCACCAAGTCTATGGTCGAAGTCTACACTCAGTGCTGGGCAACGGAACTCCCTCGCAAGTACGGATGCACTGTCAATGCTGTTGCTCCCGGTCCGGTTGCTACAGACGCTTTTTTAGCCGCCCCGTCGTTCGTTAGAGAGGCTTTGCAACCCTTGATTGACGCCACTCCTGTCGCCCCACGCCTGGGTAGGCCGGAAGAGATAGCCTGGACAGTGGCGACTTTGGCGGAAGAAAGAGCGGGCTGGATTAATGGAGCCTTTATACCCGTAAATGGAGGGAGTGCTATATTCTAGTTCACGTGGTGAATTCGGTCAAATGTCGATGATAAGTCAGATCGCGCGAACCACACATGTAATAGCGTATTCAATCCTCAGACCTAAAACATGGCATTTGTCAACATTGTCGTCTCCAAAAATTCAAACTGTAAGCAACGGAGTATAGGTTGCCCGTTAACCCTGACTCCCAAAATACTGTATGATTCCTCTAGACATGAAACGATTCCCTCGCAGGGATCATAATAGAATAGATCAAAGATAGTGCAGTCTAATCAACATAAAAATTCGTTTTCAATAATTCAGCTGCTCGGTTACGGGGTTTAGTCTAGTCTTTCAGGTTCACGGAACCCTTCCAATTTCACAAATCAGGTCTTCAGATCAAGAGAAAACAGGTAAGTGAATAACTAGAATAATGAGATATTACTAATGGATGTATTTACTCTTCCTCTGCCTTTCGAGCTGCACTGGCCTTCCTCGCAGCTTCAACTTCTTTACCGTCCACCCAGCTACCGTGTAGGCCGTCCATCAACTTGAATGGCAACTTGATCTCGGCAATGGGACCCCTGGTGATGTCCAACGCGTCAAACAGTAACAAAACATTCCTTCCCTCGCGATAGCGGTCGGCGAGGATGAGAAGATATCCGTCCTCCCCGGCGGCCCCTTCGTGGCGGGGCACAAACACCGGCTCCTGAAACGTCGAGTCGTCCCCATGACGGTAGGATTGGAGCTCTCTAGTCTCAAAGTTGTAGCATACTAGAGTGTTGAACCCAGCATTTGGAGCAGCAAATTCGTGGTTATTGAGCCTGACAGGGTGGGTAGGATCGACCTTTAAAATCCAGACGCGAGAGTATTTCTTGCCCAGAAGACGGTCGTCGATGCGACCAAACTCGTTCACACCACGAACGTGTACATCCTCAGGCTGGACCATCGTGTCGGTGCTTCCCTTTGGATCGAATCGGTAACGGAGAATAGGCGAGGTTACCTTAGCAGGATCGGTGAAGAATCGCTCCCCCTTGCTGTTGGGGAAGAAGGGGAAGTGTGCGTCAGTCCAGACATTGGCGTCTAGCACCAAGTTGCCGCCCTCCTCGTAGGCATTAATGGTGTGAGAGTAGACGCCCTGAGGTGTCCTGAACCACTTCGCATCTTCAGGCTTCGCTCCTCGTCGGGGGATCACACCAAGGAGCTGATGGTCGAGCGTCTCGTCCCAGTAGAAGTGATCGCCGCCGTTCTTCATCTGCTCCAGGCTCGCCTTCAATCCATTGATGGGGAATACGACCCAGTTCTCCGTCACCCAGAAGTCATGAATCATACACGGCCAGGGCGCTTGGAACCAGACCTCTTCCGTGATTCTTCCATCCTTGTCCACAGTGAAGGAGCAGATATCGGGAGAGGCTTCGCCTGCAGCTTCGTAGCCGTAGCAAACAAGTTCGCCAGTGTCGGCGTCTGCTTTCGGATGAGCGGTATGGGTGGGACAGCGAAGCGTGCCGTGATAGTCAATGTTGCCAATGGTGTCCAAGGTGATTGGATCCATTTCCATGGGAGGCGCATCCTCCTTGAGTGCCATTAATTTGTTATCGTGAAAGACAACATGAGTGTTGGCTGTTGTGCCTTTGAGCACATCCCGAACGAGTGGTTCATCGGTGTATTTGTTTCGGTATCTGCCGAAGACGGCTCGTCTGGCCTGTCGCTCTGCCAGCAGCTTTGGCGTCTTGACATAGCGCTGCTTGAAATCTACATGTCCATCTTTGATGTAGAATGAACTAACATTGCCATCTCCATTGAGTGGGATTTCAGTCTCGGCGAACTTGGGTGGAAATGCATGATCAGGCTGAACTCGGTAAAAGGCACCATGGATTGTGCTTGGAATCTCTCCGATGACCTCGAGCTCGAAAACATCTGCCTCGAAGCGCAAGTGATCTTCATTCCACTGGCTCATTGCATAATGTTTGGGAAAGTGAGTCCCGCTGCTGGTGGGGACACCAGGAACAATGTGCGCCATGGTGTTTGATGGAATGAAGACGAGCGAAGACTGGAGGTTGGTCCAGATACAATTTGTGATGCGGGCGTGTCTCAGTCACAAAGGTCAATGGGTCTATTTCCTTCCCGAAAATGACATGAGCCCTAGCATCATTTAAAAGACGCTAGGAATCTTGCCATCATCTTTGCCATCAACACTCCTTTTCCTTGTCTCAGCAGTTCCGGACCCACCGAAATGTCAGTGGGGTGTTCTGAGTGAGTTCCAACCCTCCCCACCGAAGTGGTCACAGCATGACGAGGGGTGGACCCACTCTGTAAAACGCACGTGCACTTCCCACCCGGAATGAAAGCAGCGTCTATGGTCTGGCCATTTTGAGAAAGACCTATGCGTTCCATTTTTCCTTAATTGATCCCATATTTTCCTCGATAGACAAACAAAAAAGATCGCCAGAGTCATTCCCATTATACAAACAGATTCATATCCCACCACATCGAGCTTTTGAACCGCCCAAACAATTCATAATGGTTCAGTGGTATACTGTCCCAGAGCTTCAGTCGCACCATGAACAGGCGTTCGGGTCACGGAAGCCGGGGCCCAGGACCCTCCCACCAGGTCACGATGAAGCCAGCTTCCAACGTGCTGTGGATGAATTCAAGGCCATCGTCGGTGACGAGAACGTCATTATCGACGAAGGGTTGGTGAACCTTCGAGATCCATACCCATTGTTCGAGGAAGGATTCGAGGCTTCTGCTGGTTTATGGTATGCGATGCTGAACTCCATCCCCGAAGGAATAGATTGCTAAGATGCACTCCAGTCCAGTATCCGTTGAGGAAATCCAGGCAATTCTCAGAGTCGCTAATCAGCATAATGTACCCTTATGGGTTTGCTCACAGGGAAAGAACTTTGGGTGAGCTTCCCCCAGATAGTACATGACAGTCAGTCGCTCACTATCAAACCTTAGCTACGGCGGCCCCGCCCCTCGAGTTGCCGGGTCAATTGTCTTGTCTCTTCACAGAATGAAGCGCATCATCGAGGTTAATGAGAAGCTTGCATACATCGTGGTGGAACCAGGTGTGACCTTCTTCGAGGTTTGCAACCACTTCGCTGAGAATAAAATGAATCTTTGGATGTCAGTTCCAGCTCTGGGTTGGGGAAGCGTCCTAGGAAATGTGAGTAACACGAAGCATTTAGTCATCTCCGTTGGCTCATGTCTCTGCCTTTGTAGACTCTCGATCGTGGCCATGGGTACACCATTTCCGGAAACCGACAGCACTTCATCGGCAGCATGGAAGTGGTGTTGCCTTCAGGGGAGGTCCTCCGTACAGGCCAATGGGCTGTCCCTAATTCCCCAAGCGCACACGCGTGTGGAAACAGCTTTGGTCCTCAAGTAGACGGCCTCTTTCTGCAAAGTAATCTTGGTATTGTGACCAAGATCGCGGTCGCCGTTGATATTGCCCCGGCATCCTTCATGGATATCAAGATTCACTGCCCCGAAGTTGACGACATTGCACCCCTCATCGATACGCTGCAGCAGTTAGACCGCGAAGGCATTACGCAGAGCCATCATATGATTACTAACATCAACCATTTTGCTTCTCATGACGCAGCCAAACACCAGCAGCAGAGTACTCAAGGTCCATTAACCCCTGAAACCGTCGCCTATTTAAAGGAGAAGTACAACACTGGCTACTGGCGCTGCGTGGCTGCCCTATACGGTCCCAAGGACCTTGTCCTAGCCCGCTGGAAACGCATCCAAGAGGTTGTATCCACGAATATTCCCTTTGCCAGGATTGAAAACACGTTCTACGAAGGGGAAAACGGCCAACCCGTGGATAACACCAAGATCGACAGCTTGTACGCTGGTGTCCCCACAATGAATCCTATAAAGCTAGCAGATTATAATCTTCCTGCTGACGGATCTGGAGCGGGGGCCCATATTGACACAACACTCATCCTGCCGTGCGAGGGAGCAACAGTCTTAGCTTGGTTCCATAAGGCTAAGGCGATCATGGAACTGGAAGGCGTTGACCCGTTCATTGGTTGCCACGTCTTCCCAAAATACATCCTGTTTGTTCAAGAATACGTTTTTGACAAAACGAATCCAAAGCACCGCCAAGGGGGGCGTAAATTGATCCGGTCATTGCTTGATGAGGCACGGGAGAACGGGTTTGCAAACTACCGATCACACATCCAACACATGGGTAAGGTCTCTCCCTGTCTCTCCGAACGTTGGATGTAGCTCACGTTATACTAGACGCAGTTCAAAGCTTATATGGTTATAATGGCCATATCTACCGGAGATTTGTGGAGACACTGAAGGTACGCTTGCAGATTCGAATACTCTCAACTTTGCACAGAGCTAATTAATATCCCATAGGCTGCTCTGGATCCAAACGGTATCATATCCCCAGGGAAGCAGGGTATCTGGCCCCCCAAGAATATATCGTATGCCTCTAGGCCCAAGCAATAATCTTCAAGATTTTAAATGTACCTTTTTGCTTGCCACGTTCAATTACTTTTCCAATAACTTATGTCGCCTTCTGTATTAATACATTCTATTCATATTTTCTTGGATAGGCAATGCCTCAATCCAGCCATGGTGGAAAAAAAGACTCTGCTACTGGCGGAACCCACGTCTTCTGAGAGTCAGTGCGAATCCAAGAACTTATGAATAAATGCGTTGCAATTTTACGACACACGAGGGAGTACTGAAATCACCTCTCTTGTATATTTGTTTCACAAATAGTTTGCACAAGCAATTAGTTAGATATAATATGTGTTTCGTAGACTAGGAATTGGCACCACACCTGCAAGCGACGCACCAAAAGATGTGAGAAGCCAATCAGTGAGGTTTATTCCTCTGATTCAGTGCGTTTCTATATCTCCCCACAACGGGCGTAACAGAGCAACTTACTAGCTTGTTCTCAACCTCAGCCCCGTCGAGCTTGTTCCCACCTAAGTGAGGATCAGTTGCTTCCTTCAGCCTCTGTCGAGCGGGCCAAACGCGTGCCATTTGAATGAGCCGCCGAAACTGGGCGGCACTATTTCACGCAGGCTTGCCATTTTGACTTGAAATGGCTCGCAGGGCCATAACATAGTACGAGAAAGGTCTAATGCTCCTAGCATCCGAATTGACGTGAAACAAGTTACTATTTAGTTCTCTACTAAAGATACAACTTCACAGTTCTGGCCAATACTTGTAAGCCAAAATCGCCCTAGGACGAGGCGGAAAGCCTCCCACATGTCACCAGGCGTTAGGAGCAATGTCTGTATACACCCGAAATCCGCTATTTTTCTTTGCGTGGCGGAATGCTTCGTGATGCTGCTCTAGACCGTAGATGTTGTGCGTCGAACCGCCGCGCTTCCCAAGCTTGAGTACTCCCGAGTTCGCCATCTTCAAGGTAAGATCTACTCCAGTTCTCGTGACCATGATTTTCCCAATAATTTTAAGGTTGAGGTGCATCACAAGAGCATAAGGGACCCGAACATCACCGGCCGGCCCACCACTGAGAACGATCCTACCACTCGGTCGCATAGCTCGGATGGCTGCGGAGAAGAACGGTGAGCCCGTCAACCCGCCCGATGCCCAGTCGTTGTAGACCTCGATACCTCGCCCATCTGGAGTAGCGTTCCGGATGGCCGCGGTATCTGCTGCGTCGTCTCCCGTCATGACGACATACCTGAAGCGCTCATGATTTCCCAGCTGCTTTTCTAAACGTTGAAGCTTCTCTTCGCTGCGGCCAAGTGCTAAAACATTAGCACCTCGTGCAAGTGCCACGTCACAGCTGATACCACCAAAGGTACCCGTGGCCGGACCAATAGCAATCGTCTCACCCGCCTCGATCTTGGCCGCCTCACATACAGCACCAACTCCAATGACGTAGAACGACAGTTCGTGGAGATCTGCGGGGGTATATCCCAGCTCTTTGACCAAGCGTTGTTCGTCTAGCACGAAGATAGTCTCTAGTGGGACTTTTTGATACTGTTGGAGAGCCCCGTCACGCCATTCTCCTTGCATAAGCTTGCGGCCACTGTCACCTTCTCCGCCATGATGGCCTTGGATAATGCCCACATCAGGATCGTCTCGCCCGTGGATGGAGCCGGAGAAGAAAACGAGATCACCGGGCTTTGCAAGCACCGCGTCTGACCCGACAGCATATACTCGGCCGATGTGGCTAGGATGTGGTACTAATGGCAGAGCGAGATTGAACACGGGTAACTTTCCGGTGTGGATGTCCTCGGCGTAGGGCTGGATGACAGTGTTGAGGACCTGTACAACAACCGAACCGACTGTTGCGTCGGGAATGGGTAGATTGATGAGCTCCAGAGGCTTGTCAAATGAACTCAGCCACAAGGCGCGATTTTGGGTAGCGGTCGTGGAGCCCATTGTGAAGGTTCCTGCTTGGTATGAATCTGTAATTATTCATGATAGTTTGAACAAGGGCAGATTTCTTAACGTTTAAAAAGAAAGCCAGTCTACCACAATTCCCGTGAGCGCTCCACCGAATAGGCACCGAAGAGTGAACCGCTCATGGGCAATAGTTGTGGACCCACCCGGCAGTATTCCTTGGCCTGTTGAATCGAAGTACAATTGCTGTTTCGGTTGTTCCATAGATGGTGAGAGGGTTGGCTGATTGATAGAAAGATGATGGGAAGCATGGAGTCATACTCCGTACTTTCTCGTAATGAAAGGAGCCACCGCCCACCGACCACATTGTCCCCACCTTGGCCTCATGAACCCACCCACTGACGCAAATTTCTCTACTACATGTGGTATACTAAAATAGTAGGCTGTCTGCGAGTTAGGGTAAGGGTGTGTTAAAAACCTACTGTAGCACCCCCGTTAGCAAAGGCAGCCAGATCAAGACAGACAAGTCGAGGCATGAAAGAAAAAAGCACACGAAAATAGCAGCATCACCGAGCGTAGATTTGTCGATGCCACCTTGGACAGAAAAGCGATATTCATAGGACTCCAAGAACGTAGGAGAACAGTCACTACTCCTGACAATGGATAGGATGGGACCAAACTCTCTGAACAAATCTCTGTTTACTACGGCATATAAAAGAGCGCATGTCTCCTGACGGAAACAGGGGGGTTTGTTACTTCTTATTCCTCCTCTTAGTCTGGCCGAGACGCCTCTTTTTAAGAACGCGATCAGAGAAGCCTAAGTAAACACTAGCAGTAGCATTTGCCGCTTCCCCGCAAAGCCAGCAACATGGACATGTCAACAGTGCAGGTTACCCCAGAGCGACTTCGGAAGAGCCGGTTCACACTGCAGTAAGGGTAGCGATGTTCCAGGCCCAGATCCTTCTCAGTTATATCGGGACACATTGCGGGATGGAGCAGTGGCCAAGGTCTACCCATCTCCTCTCCATAAATGTACGCTATCTTGACTTATAAGCCTGTCTATGACGGTCATTCCTTCCGTCAACATCTAATAGTTTACTGGGAGTATGCGCATGAGGCCTTGAACGAGCTAAGAACTTATCCAATCATGACATACGAAGAATGGGTGCTCCAGGAAAGCATCAATAGGTAGGTATATCGGCTTTTTTGAATGGTAGTTCTGGGTGATTTCTTTTTAAACTGACTGTCATAAGGTGTCTTGCAGCGACAGTCCTAATTGGAGCTGCACCCACTTCAAAAGCAAGAACGAAATGCTTTGCCACTCTAATATGCGACGCCACATTCGCTCTACCCTCCAGAACTGCCGATTGGCTGCTGGATGAACATGACTGGAGTTCTCCTACTGATACTATTTTTTCTTGACGACGTATTAAGAAACGTTCTCTCTGGACAACTTCCTAATTGTGCTCTCAGCGAGTTTGGCCTGGTTACCATTGTAGCCATGATACACTACCGTGTCTCTTCATTTGAAGCACTGACGACGTCATTCAACCGAGATATGTATCCCGAATTTGTTGGTATAATGAATAAGGCGGTGCAAACTCTCGATGAGATGCTTAGGGATCGACTGGATAAAGTGAAGCCAGGCTAAATACCGAATCAAAACTTGCAATGTGCTACGTCGCTGCTTAACTCGGTCTATTACCACCTCTATGGAAGCCTTCCCCTGGCAATTATGAAGAGATTACTTGACCCTTCTGAAAAACCGACGACGCTACAAAATATACTTCATTCATCGGAACGAATTTATTCACACATCTGTACAAGGCAGTGGCTCGAGCAGCAGATCAATTACGTCTTGATTGCCAATTGGGCTTGGAATACCTGCAGAGGGTTGTTCCTCACGCGTTTGGACCGGAGTGTGCGATGAGCACTTTGGAGGGAAGTATGTGACTTTCTTCGTCTACCGCTTGATAGTTCCAGACCTGAGCTAATTGGTCGTAAGGTTTGCTACTTTATTGGTACCTCGACTGCTCTTCTCCCCCAACTAGAGTTGCGTGATACTGTTCGTGAACTGATCACCGAGGGCTTTGCGGAGGTCCACGATTTGCAGCTGCAGTTGCACGATCATGTCGCCATCATTCCACTCACCTTCGCTAGTAAATTATTATCTGATAAGACGGTCTGGCAATGTGAGACATCCGTTATCTTCATTTATTCTCTGATGAGCTATAAGTTTGGTTCTAACCTTCTATGTACTTAGGGCCTGCCACCGTATCAAGGAAGCTGGAATGCTTCATCAACAGTGAACAGTTGCAAGCACAGAAGGGGAATTCACAATAGCTTCTCAATCTCATTAACCTGCAATTACAGATGGCGCACCTATCGAATTCAGGCCCAAGTGAAGCCCCATAATTTGACCTCGACGTAAGGCCTGGGCGGGTTGATATATCAGCCTTAATATCTTTTTTAGTCTAGTTGTACTAAGCAGTCGGAAGAGAGAACGCTGGACAGACTGTGGTCTCCCTATATTGTATCGGAAAATGCGCCACTCTGCGTACGAGGTGGTCGTGTACATCCAGCGATTCACGGTGGCACGCGGTGAGGGCGAGCCCTCACTTGAGTGGTCCTAGTTGACGACCAAAGTTTAAACATGGGCTAAGTCCGGTTTTGGGGGCTCTGAGGGTTTGTATCAGGATCGGGCCACCCCAAACACCATGCTAAATCCAACAATTCGCGATTCCGTATTTCAACGCACAAGACTAACTTCCTGAACTGAGAGTATTTCTAGTGTTAATAATGTTTTTCTAGGTATTTTTATACACTTGAGAAATACTTTTTGGGGTATGGCAATGTCAATATATCTGTCGCTCAGTTAGCGCGTATCCTTCGCACACATACTAAAGCTTAGTAGAAACGCCTTCCCGTCGCTCGTATACTAATACCTGAAAAGTGGAATTAAGTATGATGTCATTGGATGGCCCGATTGGGTGTGAATTACGTTAATTTGTCCATACTGGCCTTATATCTTTGCTTGAGTGACACGTCTCCAGGAGATATCAACTTAACCACCACTTTGAAATCTCTCACTCTGCACCGGTGCAATGAATCGTACCAATAGCGACTTCTACATCTAGCTCATCGGGATCTACAGCTCCATTGTCAGAAATTTATCCTCTCCATGATGTGAGGTCAATGATGGACCACATAGGGGCGAAATTGTCGTCAGGATGGCAGTTTTGTCTACATAATCTTGGGGCCAAGAAATCATTTCAGGTGGGTTTACTCTTGTTATCTGTCCAGTAGTTCGCAGTGAGGTAGTCATAAGAACTTTGCTCTTACCTGCAAGGGAAGCGATGCATCGTCCAAACTACAAGGTCGCCGCATGTGCTCCATCGTAGCAAATTACCTGCTGCATCATTCTCAGGTCTGCTATGTATTTGTTGCTCTCTGTTTGTTGCGATGAAGTTGCGATGAATTGCGATGCCAAATGCTTCAGCTATTTACATGTAAATTGGGATGTAGGGCTATACATAAATCACAAATCCGACCTTGCGGGCTCGCCAGCCCAAGCTCGCCGTATCAACTCCCGGATACTTTCTTCTTCAACATTTCTAGGATTAGAATACTGGTTTTTCACTGCAATAGTCGCCGCCCTATCAATGTCCTCTTCCTTCAAGCCATAATCCTTCAGCGCCCTCTTCACGCCCAGCCTATCCAAAAGACTATTCAAACCTTTGATAGGATCACCATTGGCGCCTGGCAAGACCTCGGCCAAATCCCTCCTGGCCACGGGCACCGCTGGGCTATTGTACGCCATTGTATGCGGAAGCAAGATCGTATGTGTCTCTGCGTGAGGAAGGTTGAAGGATCCACCAACCACATGGCACAAGTTGTGATGCAACGACATTGCAGTACTCCCCAAGCATTGCCCACAGAGCCAGGCGCCATACAAAGCTTTACTCCTGGCAGAGATGTCGCTACCGTCTTTGACTATGGCCGGCAATGACTCTGCTAAAGCACGAATGCCTTCTTTAGCCAGCAGTCTAATGATTGGGTTGGTGTCTGGTGCATAGAGTGCTTCAACCGCGTGGGCAATTGCATTGACGCCACTTGTTGCGCTAAGCCCCTGAGGAAGAGTGACTGTCAGGTCGATGTCATAGATGACCATTGCAGGCAAAATCTTGGGGTCTCTTCTCGTTGTCTTGAGGCCGTTCGTTGTCTCTCCTAGGATTGGAGTCATTTCGCTACCAGCATAAGTGGTCGGAATGCAGATGTGGGGGAGACTAGTGCGGATGCTGATGGCCTTGCCCAGCCCGGTTGTACTGCCGCCTCCAACAGATACGACACAGTCGGCTTCTAGCCTCCGTGCTACTTCGAGGGCCATTTCGGTGATATCTGTAGGAGTGTGCATCGCTGCTTCTGAGAAAACGCCGACTGCATTCAAGTCTAGCAGGTCTCTGATCTTGTTGGCCTCTGCGGTCTGATATGGCGTGGAGATGATCAGGGCCGCACGAAGCCCTTGCCGAGAAAGCTCATCTGGGAGCTTGGAGGAAGCCCCGTACCCAAAGATGACGCGACTAGGGCTAGATGTGTAGGTGAAGGACTCCATGCTGAAAGATGGGCTGAGTTTTTGCGAATTATCTTGGTATGCGTCCGTGAGGTAAGGTGTAGCTTGGGCTGACACAGATCATTGTGGCAAGAATGCATTATATTTTAGGAACGTGAAAGTCTCTTGACTCCACCCATGGTGGTTCCCACTTAGTAATACTAAGGAACTCTTTACCCACCCGCGGAAATACCGCCCCTGTACTGGATTCCTGGGAATGCGACGCTTTCGTATCACACCGCCACCTCAGGTGTTGTAGATGATTCCACCACTAATTCGGATGCGCCTCCTCAGTATAGCGTCTACATTCTTTGACTGTCCATGAAGGAGTTGAAAGCCTGACCAATGCCAAAAGTGAAATATTCAGCCTAAATCCGAATTCTAACCTATCAAGGCGACAGTTGGATAGGCTGGTCAAGTGTTATTAAGAGGAATACCAAAATGTTTGCTGGGTATCTTCATTGACTTGTTCAATATGTATGAAAACTTCAGTCAATTTGCGGGACCGGCAAACCGTCTACAATCTTCACTGACATATTCAGCTTCTTCAGCGCCTCAACACTATTCCGATCCCTCAACTGCACCGTCTCCTTGTCCGTCACAAGCACGAAATCATAGGTCATCAATCTTGTCCCTTCATGAATTCCCGGGTATTTTCTTGCCAGGTCCTTATCTACTCGGCCCAGATCCACAATCAATGGCTCCTTGACCCCAAACACTGCATCTGATGTCTCGTACGGATCGCCCCTCAGATACAGGGCTGTTATCAACTTATCCCAACCTTCCTTTTCAAACATAAAATGCATGTGGCTTGGCCTCATCGGGTGCCTGTTCAACTTGGATAGCAGCATACCGACTGGTCCATCATGTGGAATAGGGTAAGGAACCGGGACAATTCCTTTGAACCAGAACTTGCCCTCCTCGTCGCTCGTCAGGATACATCTCCCGTCTGGCTTCTCTCTCTCCAAATGTTGGACGTCGTACATGCCACTCGAATCAGTCTCCCAGATGTCAATCTTGACATCCGAGACCGGGTTGCCTTGAGTATCTTTGACTGTACATAAGACAAACAGGGGCTCCCCATTCTGATCATGCGACATTATAGCACCGTTTTCAAGTTGTTCAGCGTCGTGAGTGTGGAACGGCCCCAGAACCGTGCCCTCAGTTGACCCTGCAGGTTTTGGATGGTCGATACTGTCGACTAGCAGGCTCAGCCCCAAGATATCGCTCAGCAAGATGAACTCTTGTCGGACGTCTGAGCAGATCTGGCCTGTGGCAGTGAGGAACAAAATTGCCTCCAACCACTCATTCTGGGATAAACGTGTTTCGCGGGCGAAGTCATGGAGGTGGACAACAAGCCGTTCGAGAAGGAATTTGAATCGCGGCGACGGGTTCTTCGAGTTGACCAGATTCACATTATCTGTAATGTTGTCGATGGTCAGGTCTTTGAGCAGCGGAATACGTTTGTTCGATGAGTCCATGCTGAGCTTGTTGTTGGAGGATCGGAGGTTGGGATCTGGTTTTTATTCCAAAATTAGGAAAAAGGGACGTAAAAGCATCCAAACTCGGATGGAAGGTAATGGGAATCTCTTGGTCTGGAGCTGCTGACCGCCAGCCGAGCTTCCTCTTGAACGGAGATGGTTCTATTGCAGAGCGGGGCCTTGCCGCCCAGCATATTCACGTATTCGCCCTGCCGCTTTAGGTGTGAGTCCAAAGCCCCACCTTGAGCCCCGCCTGGGGACCTGGAAGCCTGCCACTGCGCTAGGTAGTCGCGCGCGGGGGCGGCATCAACTGCGTCAACAGAATATCGTTACCTTTTCTCATAGACATGATTGTCATACTTGAACTTCAGATCACGATTCCAACCTCGTGAAGAGTCGCCGTATATGACACGCATACAGAAAGTCGAGCTATCCAGGGATCCCCCGCGGGTCCACACGGAGAACGAACTAGATAACTTGACCTCCTCAGGTTCCTGGTACTGTAGACTATTTACACACTACCCAGAGCTCGTCGTTCGCCCAGAATTTGCCAATTCTATTCTGGCAGTATTATCATCACTAAAAGTAACAGTTAATGCCCGACTCTACACATACAAGCTCATAAGAGGTTATGTCGAAAAATTTCACAAGACTATCTTGGATGCAAGGCCCACTCTCCTTGTACCATCTTTTCGACTTTCAAGCAGCAACGGTATTGTCAAAGCCAGGTAGGAATGAAACGGACAAACTAACAGGAAGTGGGGACGGATCACAAAAGCGTCCTGTTTGCCTCGTGCCACTCGCGTTCCCCGCCTTACTTTCCCACCCGATATTACCCACCCAGGCTTTCAAGAGAATTCCAGTCACTGAATATTAATGACTGTCGGCCGCGTTGTCAAGATCTAGTCAACTAATATCAGTGATTTTTTTTCCCGAAGAACGATGGGGTCTGACGACAGAGTAAACGTCTCAGTGGAGCAAACGAAAGACACTGTGCCCTTCATCATCGACGGCAAGGATGTCACCTCAAGCTCAACTTTCAAGGTGATCAACCCTGCTACTGGTGAACGAGTCTGGGATGGCTCTTCTGTCTCAAATAGCGAGGCCATCGACGCCATCAAGGCAGCGGAGGCAGCATTTCCCTCATGGTCTCAAACAAAGCCCAGCTATCGAAGGGACATTATGTTCCGGGCGGCAGACCTGTTTCTCAGTAGAAAACAGGAGTTGCTCTCTTACCAGAACAAGGAGACAGGTGCTGGAGTTCAATTCATGGAAATCAATATCAACGCAACGGTGCAGATCTTAAGAGATCTTGGCGGCCGGATTGAAGCTGCGGTTCAAGGATTTGTACCTGTGACTGCAGAAGAGGGCTCCCATGCCATGATAGTCAAGGAACCATATGGCGTGGTCCTTGCCATTGCACCATGGTACGTTAATATTCTCCTCTCTCTCCCTTTGCAAATACGACGAGACTGATATTGTCACAGGAATGCTCCTTACGTGCTGGGTGCCAGGTCAGTTTCATTCGCCCTCGCGACAGGCAACACAACGGTCCTCAAAGGCTCCGAATTGAGCCCTCGTGTATTTTGGGCTATAGGCGACATCTTCCGACAAGCTGGGCTCCCCGACGGATGTTTAAATGTCATCTACCATCGAACTGCTGATGCGGCTGCCATTTCGAATACCCTGATCGCCCATTCCGCAATCAAGAAGATCAACTTCACAGGCAGTACTCTTGTTGGAAGCATCATCGCTAGCTTGGCGGGAAAATACGTGAAACCACTTTTGCTGGAACTGGGGGGAAAGGCCAGTGCAATTGTCCTAAAAGATGCAGACGTGCAAAAGGCCGCGGCCAGCTGTGCAGTTGGCGCCTTCATCCATGTATGTTGAGAATGAGGTACCAAGTACTGGAAAAAGCTCTTTCCACATTTGTTATCGGTTACTGAGATTGTTTTTTGCTAATTACTTGCAGGGCGGCCAAGTGTGCATGGCCACGGAGCGTATCTTGGTTCAGAAATCGATAGCTGATGAATTTAGTGCTGCTCTCAAGGAAGTCACGCAGAAACTTTTCAGCTCCCAGACTCCGCCATTCGTACTAGTCAACTCTGCTGCTGTTGTGAAAAACAGGAAACTGCTTGACGATGCCGCCAGTAAAGGCGCGACGCTCTTATTGGGCGATCCGGAGGCCTCGGAAGACCAGCCCACTAAGATGAGACCCGTCATCGTGTCTAATGTGTCGAGGGAGATGGATATATACTATACGGAGTCCTTTGGGCCAACGGTATCTTTGATTACCTTTGAGACTGAAGAGGAGGCTCTTACAATTGCAAATGACACCGACTATGGTCTGTCGGGTGCCGTCTTCTCCGAAGACCTGAAGGCGGCAATGAGAGTGGCGAGGAGGTACGAGACTGGTGCCGTCCACATAAACGCTATGACAGTGCATGATGAGGCTTCACTTGTGCACGGGGGAGCAAAGAAGAGTGGGTACGGAAGGTTCAATGCTGCACAGGGGTTGGACGAGTTTCTGAGGTACAAGACTATAACGTGGAAAGAATAATCAGTTTTAAGACTCTTTTCGAACGTGACTGAGAGTACCATTTATTACGTACAGGATCGATCAGTTATCATAAGTGTATCTTAGCGTGGTATATTAGTGAGCCTCTTTCCACCAGGAGTGTTAATTTCTTTCTTGTTCGTGGTCTTGTTCATGGTCAGCATGTCATTCTTGGTGGGATCGAGGGGAGCAAATCCACTACACCTACTCTTTCAGCCTTGAATTTATCAGTACTTGTTCCAATAAAACCCTCCCAATGAACGACATTTTGCCCGGTATTGCTCATACTTGTGCCTCATCTCAGGATCCCACACTCACAGTGAGGCCGTCTACGGTGACTCCAAGATTTCAGAAGTCTTAGGTCAAGCTTGCGATATGCACAGCAAACAAGGTATGCACAGCAAACAAGGCAACTTGTGGGACGGGCACAGATTCACCTACCCTCGACGCAAATCCAAGGTCAACCGCTTAACCAGCGCGTAGCAGTACTGTACTCTCGCTGTTATGTTTAATGTCTACTGGCCGGCGCATGATGGAGTGAAACTCTCATAAACCTATAGATCTAAGACTCGTTAGAGACAGCACAGAGAGCGGGTGACTTACTCTTGCCTGGGTGGCGTTCGTAAATATTGAGTACAGACCGAGGGTGACACGTGCAGTGGATGGGGCTGGACAGAATCACACAGTGGCGTCTCCCAAATGGGGCCTCCTTATTTCCCCTTCCATAACTAGCTGTATTGTACGCGGTTATCCAACTCAGTGGCCCAAACTGTGCTTATAAGCGAGCAAGACATCTCGGCAGTCTGCTAGCATCTTACAATTCAGTCTGTGAATAGCATCCATCCCCGTCCACCCTCATCGAGAGCAGGAATCTCCTAATACCACCCCACACACGGAGCACAAGAACACGGTCCACTCGACCATGGATAACGATGGTAGTCGTTCCCAAGCAGCTAAGAGAAAGCGTATCTCGCGTGCATGCGATCCATGCCGCTCTCGAAAGCATCGATGCGACGGTCAACAGCCGAGCTGCTCGGCGTGCTCCTCGACCCAACAGTCATGCAGTTATGATTCTTCAATGAAGAAGCGCGGGCTCCCAACAGGATATGTACGATCGCTCGAGCTATTGTGGGCACTTTTGTTCACGGTCATCCCTCAAAGTATGAGGCTCGTGACGCAACTCATACCAGACATCCGATTTGCCCTCGACTCGCATACAAAGCTGGTTATGGTTAGCAAATTTGTCAAGGACCCTGATATTCTACGGCAGATCTGGGAAGACAGTGGCATCCAAGTTGCACTGGATAACCTCCTATCAAACGCTTCCGATAATTTCAGCGCAGATGAGATCTCCTCGAGTGTTGAGAGCAAGCCTGTGTCAACTGTTGAAAGCCTTCAGTTTACGGTGGGATCATTCGAGGCTAGTCAATTTCAGGTGGCTGATGGAGGCCAGCAGGTCTCAAATCCAGTCTTGTGGTTAGAAGGCACAAACAACAGCGAAGGGATATCGCAGCATCACCTTTCCACGGCTTATACATGGCCAGCAGATCGTGTGGCACTCTCTTCCTTTCCGCAAAACGCTCAGCGCTTGCTCGACCTCTACTTTGCTCGTACTCATTGCTGGTTGCCTATAGTACAAAAACATAAAATGTACGAGATCCTTTATTCGTCTTCACCACCTGCTCAAGCAGGGCACTTGGCGACTTTCTGGGCGATCTTAGCCTGCGCTTCTCTTCAAGATTCCTGTGAGCCCTTCGGCCTCCCTGGTGTCCCTGATGGCTACGGCGTCGTCTTAACACCCGAGCAAATCTTTCTCCAAGCAAGACAGCAAATACCCAATGAAGAAGCTCAAGAGCTCGGTTATGTCCAGGCTCTACTAATTTTGAGCCTTTTCAAATTGGATAGAGGAGAAGTCGCAAAGGCTTGGCGTCTGATTGGTCAAGCAGTCAGACAAATACTTGATTTGGGAACACTGCCTCCTAAAGGCTATAGCTCAAATGCTGCACGATGCAGTAGCCACGACGATCAACAAGCCAGACTACTTCTGAGCTGTTTTGTGCTTGATACTGTAGTGTCATGCCATTTGAAGAAGGCCCCCCATCTCAGAACGATGGATATCCGCTCCCTACCCATGCCGGCCGAGACAGGCCCGGACGAGTGGGAACCTTCGGTCGTGTGCTTGGGCGAGTCTGAGCATCGCCGACCAAGTAGCTTCATGGTTAAAAGACAACCGCTGCGGGCAGTGAGCATCTTCAACCACTATGTCGGCATAATCAGCATACTCAATGATGCAATTTCCGAGCCGTTAGTAGATGTGTCGGACTCGGCCCATGCCAAGCATTCATCCGCTCTATGCCGCTGGTGTGATCAGCTTCCAGAGCACTGCAAGTTCCCTTTGGACTCGAGCCAAAACCACTTTGAGGTCGCTAAAGGACTGTCACCACAGCTCTTTAACCTTCATCTTGCATTCAAGAGCACTGAAATGTTACTGGAAGCTCAACATGCTTCGATTCCGCGGAGCGGGCAATCATCACGTACGCTACGCCCAGAAACTTCTTCTATGACAATATCACGTCTAATATCAATATTTGCAACGAACTTCGGAGTTTCTACGATCCCTGCTATATTTAATAGCTACAAGCTCATTGGTAGCCGACAGGCCACAGGTCATGTCTTTGTGAGTCCCAGTTCACTACGTACACGATCATCAGATCCCCCGCCTCGAGCGTCGAGCTCGGACTTGGTCGTACCATACTTGCCCACCCCTATGGACGATGAAGAGTTTACCTTGGCGGGCATTAAAGGAACACCTTTGAATTCGGGCCGTTCATCTTCGTGCGAGGCACCAGAAGGTATGTTCTACATGACACTAGCTGAGCTTAAGGGGATGTATATTCTATCGCGAATTCGGAGCTCCAAGATGCTAAATAAAGATGTTCTTCATTAACAGACACAATGAATGAACATGAGAAGAGAATCTGGAAGGAATTGTTCGAACTGGTGGATGCTGATGAAACGAATCTTTCGAGTTTCAGCATTCAAGGAAGTATCGATCACTCAAAAGATACAGAATAGTAAGCTGCGAAGCCGTTTATCGACAATTGCTATGTCACCAGAACTTCAAGCATTCACACTTATAGACGTCCCAAGTCCCGGATGAAACTCTGTTATGATCTGTATCACAACAACGGTAGCCAAAGTTGACGGCCTTTGATAGAGCGGATGAACAGGCTCACAATCAAGTCAAACAAGGATGGAAGTGCAGAGATGCCAATAATGGGCAGATTCGTCACATCATCCCACCGACTTCGACGCTAGGACATTGACAGAGCGAAGCCAGCTCAGGCCTTGGGCTAGTATCATGCAGAGGCTCTAGTCGATCACGCCGCATCAAGAGAAGTGGCTCAGCCGGATGTACTCCGTACTGGGAGCGAGACGAAGCCCGCCACGAATTTTACCGCACCCCATCAAGGTTTTCGGGTGGTGTTGCATACATTCCTGCAATTTCCTTTCATGCCCAGTGCTGGGATTCACCTCTTCAAACTGAGGTCCAATACTTCCCTCATATATCGCCGCTTTGGAGCTTGTTGAGCTCGCTGCTGTCTTGAGAGAAAGGCTAGCTCTTATCTGGAGGATCTACACCACCGTTATCTTCATCAGCATCAGCGATATCCACCAGGGATAGCTATGTTTAATCCCTTGCTAGCCGTTTTGGTCAGGTGATGCCACTCGGTCAGACGCTGTCTCTGCAAAGTCTGGCGAGCTTGTCTTCTCCACCGGTCCCATTTTCGCGCGAGATGTCTGCATAACTGCGAAAGGGGCTCCGGCAATACTAGGTAGAACCCGCTCGAGAAATTTTCCATATCAAACGAGGATTGCCTGCGCAAACAGCTTTTGGACATATCCTGCGAATTGTCACGAGGCATTTTTTTATTGTATGAGTGGTGCTTTATGCGAGGTAATCATGTTGAGGGTTAGAGAAATATCAGTCTTCGGCCCTGCCACGAGTACCTATGATGGCATCACCTCTGCCCTGGTGCTCGCCCTGACCGCTTGAGACATTGTCATTGATTACAGTACAGGCAATATTACTCGTCTGGCGAAACAATTTGGAAATCGTTAACATTTTCCACTATGTTGCAGTCGATGTGGTCGCAATCAGAATTAATAGCCCTGGTGGACGCCAAGCTATACACTGATTGGGCATGAAGCCACTACACTCACCGTGCAGTGATAGGGGTTGATCACCCTGAAAGCCGCCCCATCTGGTTCTGTTACAGTACCCTACGCAGATGGGATCTACCTGAACGCCAAGATCATCGACAAGGTGATAAACTTACTAGGCCAGATCGACCTAGCTATTATGCTGGTCAACTAACTTCACGGGGTTCAGACTCAGAAGATGTAGATACTCTACGCACAATGTGTGCAACTTGCGAGAACGTCTCTCTACGCCTACGCACAAGAAGCCAAAAAGAGAACAAAAACCCGAGTTCAATCTATCTGTCCAGGGAAGTTGGGGAGAAAGCCCCTAACGGCGTATATAGGCCGAAGTAGCAAGGAAAGCAACCAGCAAATGCCGATCCTGGAAACACCCGCTGGAACAATCCGCCAAACAGAATGGAGGCCGTCAACTTGGTACGGAACTCTGGAGCCGTTTGGAAAGGGAGACAGAGCGGATTGCGAGTCCACACCGACAACGCTTTCAACCCTCTGCAGTTTTTGGATTAGTTGTTCACAACAGTGCCGTGTAACAGCGCTATTGTCATCAGAGGATGCTCTCTTTTCTTGCAGACCCATATACTTGAAATTTGAAGACGTACAAGAATGTCTTTCATAGGTCTCTACCATGATTTTAAGCACAAAGTCTCTACAATATCTTTACCATCAAACTGTACTCGCCTACAGAAACCGGGGGCTGGTTGAGCCCTTCCAAGAAGGCATAGAACAGAGGCTTACGCTGCGCTCTCGACAGCGGCCATCTTTCAAACCGTAGAACTTGATATCCCCGGATGTTTGAAGATTCGTGATCCAATGGAAATGAAAAGAGTTATCGCTTTAACAGCATCACATGCCCATAATTTAGGCGGTTGCATGAGTACCACCTTTGATGCGAGAGGGTACCACTTGGGCAAGGTGGGGAGTGCTAGGTACCCGCCGAGATTCATTGAACCAGGAAGAAGCGCCACCTCAAGGTTGGGCCCGGGGCAACTGAAATGTTCCCGACTGTCAGGCTCCCACAACTGAGGTTCCCACAACCGACAACTCGACCTAACACCATCCCAAACAAAGTCTTTGGTTTGTTTCGTTTGCTTGTGCATGAATATTCGCCTTTCGGCCTCATTTTTTCGATTTCTAATATCTCAATGCCTTGTGCGGACTGTTACAGGGGACATGACCATCCCGGCCCCGTCCATGGGCTTGAGGTTAAGCTTTTTGGTCACGATGTCTACGTTACAGAGCCACAGTCCAAGAAATCGGCACGAAAAGCGATTATTGTCGTTCTCACTGATGCATTTGGATGGAACACAGCCAATTTGCGCCGGCTTGCTGATTCCTATGCTGAGCGGACTAGCTGCAAGGTGTACGTCCCAGATTTCATGTATGGTCAGTTCGAGTCTCCCATTATTTCTGTATTCTTGTTCGGCTGCTGACTTCTACAGGAACCGCGGCACCTGCATCGACAAAGGCGCTCGTTGATAGGATTCTCAGTGAAGATGGTCTTTGGGGTTGGCTGGTAAAACCGTACGTACTATAGACATCCGATATTTACGAAACTAACACCAAAGCTAGATGGCTGATTTTGAAAGCCGCATGCGTCCTCATACCCTTCAGCATTCGAAATAAACCCATGAAGCGCTATCCAGGTATCCGGAAATTTATGGATGAACTCCGCTGTACTGAAGGGGAAGATCTGAGAATCGGCGTTGTGGGGTTCTGTTGGGGCGGATATGGTGCCACACAGCTGGCTCACGGTGACTTGGCGAGGAATGGAAAACCCCTCGTCGATGCAGCTTACACCGCCCATCCCAGCGAACTAAAACTTCCTGATGATATTGAAAAGATCAAACTTCCCTACAGCATGGTTATTGGCGATATCGACTTTGCTTTACCCCTCAATGGCGTGCACCAAGTTGCCGATATTCTCGACAGCAAGAAAGATGTCGAAAGCGAGGTGGTTATCATCTCAAACGCAAGACATGGTTTCGCTGTTCGAGGCAGGCCGGATGACCAAATCGAGAAGGAAATGGCGGATCAAGCGGAGGATCAGATGGTTAAATGGTTTGCCAGATACTTAGTCTAGACGGGAAAAAGGGAGTATACATTAGCAAATCGGGTATATACAGGAGAGAGAAGAAGCGCCTCGCTCGAACTTATGTCGCAGCCCGTAACTAGTTAGTCTTGCTGATCTATCGTGAATTGGTACCGCTTGATCGTATTCATTATATGTATGCTAGTTCATACTAGTTTGACTTGCTCAACTATTCTCGGGGGTCCCCTATAGCGTCTTATAGCACTTTACCTCATTGTCTACCGAATCTACCATCCAAAACATGTGGAGTAAATAACGTTATCCACGGACGAGTGAAACACATATGCAAGTCAACCGCCCCGTTACGCTAAAGCACGATATCAAGTCAACATGGTACTTTTCAACGAAGGTATCCAGACTGGGAAGAAGAGAAAGGAAAAGAATCAGAATCCACCAAGAAAAGATCCTTCAAAGTCATGGATCAACAAAACAATAAAGCAACATGAGGTAATTCCCAATTTCATTGTAGACCGCGTGAACCGCGTAAATTTTGTAGTCTTATAACTATACTACCACAACTTTGTTCTATTTGGAATTTGACATGGGGATTATTGTCTATACTAAGGTTGAATGTAGGAGTTTGGCATAGCTACGATAGTCACTCAATAAATACTCATTGTTCAGATATAATGTTGTAATTAATCGCTTTGAATATGGTGACGAACTATCAGCTACGGGTATGCATACGTATGAGAATTAGCGAATTGAGAGATAACGAGTGGATTGATTCTTTTTCCCTAAACATGAGCGGGGGGCTCTGTTGAAGTACCCCCATGGGATCAGCGACGGAGCAGACTTCACGTCCGTAACTCCGATGTTGTCAATATACCTGCGACTACATACAAGAGACCAAAGAAATGTGGGTACTCGATGAATAAGCATATTGCTAGTGGTAAAATACCACTCCCAAGTTCGACATATGGTGCTATCTGGGCAGGCTGAGATAGTGCAGGCTAGGCTATTAATCCTTTCGGACGAATATGCAACAAGAAGAGATTAAGCGGAACCAGTATTTTGTTAAAAGGTTGGTTGATTGATGGAAGAAAGAACGAATATCATGGGGCAGGTTGAATTATCCTATAGACGGTAGGTGGGTACACGACGTTACGTCAATCGTCATGCCAGGGATACCAAAATACTAACGTAATTCACGGTCACCCTGGCCACCCGGTCACCCTGGCCACCCTAAAACATCATGCTAGATATCGAATATGCATTCCTCTATATTTCAACCACCAGGAATTCAATTCGGTTAAACTTCTAGCATATCCATGTATAGAGGTAATTAAAGAATATAACAAGACTTAAGGTCTTTCAGACTAGTATTTCTATGCTTTACCATAAAATACGCCGTAATTTTTACGTTTCAGATTCAAATATATATATCTTTCTCGTTACTCACATTTACCTTTCCCAACTATACAGATAGGCTTTTTCTACTGTCTAGTTTATGAAACCTTATTAATTAAACTTGAATATGCATGGTTGTTGAAATATGAAGTTGTAATTTATCGCATTTACTATGGTGTTTTGGGGTGGCCAGGGTGACCGTGAATTACGTTATACAAAGCAAAGGAAAGTGAGTCACTCAGTATAACCCCTGTCGAGGCGGTAACTTCCCGCCTTATGTTTCGACAGGTGGTTCGCTCGTGTGTAAATTATGCTAGTTGATGGGTGGAAAGCTGGTTTCTGGGATCCACAGTGGTAGTTTACCGCATGGTCGGTTCGTCATATTTTTAATCCGTAATGTCTCTAAGGCTCGGGCTCAATTTCCTTCCGCTGAGTAAGCGGATTGTGGATTTGGCTGGAAGCTCCATGATCACGATCGCCGAGATGATACAGATCTTACATTATTAATATCTCACCTTACCCGGCCCGCACGGGATTCTGAAATCGAAGCCCCCGAACTCGGTCCGGGACTGGCTATATTCCGAGGCTTGCCCTTGTATGCTTTTTGGTTAAGATAAATCATTCTACCATACCAATAGCCCAACAGAAACCTACCATCATAAGTTCAACGCCGAAACATCGCAGCTTCAACAATGCAAATTCCCAGGCAGTTTTTAGGTGGCGTGGGTGGCTCATTTGTCCTCATTCAGCTTTTGTTCCTCGCAAACATGGGCTACCTATATGGCACCGCCTTCAACGACTCGCAGCGCATTAAAGCCTTGAAACTCCTCTTCGTCGACTACGACCACGGCATCATTGGCCAATCAGTTAGGGCAGCGTATTCCGAACTGGAAAACTCTAATTTTCCGACGCTAACTGAATCTTTATCGATCGACTTTCCGAGCGCAAGTGACATCCGGAAATCCGTCTGCAAAGGTCACTACTGGGGGGCGATTTACGTCAACCAGGATGCTTCTTCGCGATTATCCACCGCGCTCGCTTCTCCGGAAACCGCGGGAACCTACGAAAATTCCTACGCATTGAGTTATGTTTTCAACAGTGCGAGATATCCCGCCTACGCCCAAACAATCTCTTCAAGCCTACAGATCCTGGTCCAAGGAGCTAGAACTGGCTACAATGCAATCAATGGAACCGCAGCGATGTCTAAGCTCAACACGACCGATCAAAACATCGCCCAGATCTTGCTTGACCCAATCTCCGCCACATATATTGATATTAAGCCGACGGCCCAGGGTGTTCGTTTCTACTACAACACCGTCTCTATGGCGATGGTTATTCTGCCACAATTCTTCTTCATCATGGCTCTGAACGGAATTTCTGCCCAGACTAAAATCTTCCAATCCTTCTCCCTGAGAAAGAATATCTCCCTTCGACTCGGCTTGTCCGTTTGCTTCACCTTCATCGCTTCATTATGCATGAGCGGCTACATCTGGGCGTTTCGAGAAGATTGGGGTACCACATCCAGTCAGTACGGGCTAACATGGATGATCATCTGGCTGGTCATGCACCTGAACTTCTTCATCATTGATTCAGTCACAGCGGTAATTCCGGTTCAATTCATGCCATTTTTTATCCTCACTTGGATCATCATGAATGTCTCAAGCACTCTCAGTCCTTTTGAGTTGTCACCTGGATTTTACCGCATCGGATATGCTCTTCCCGCTTATGAGCTCTACCAGGTCCTCCTCGATATTTGGACACATGGCTGCAACCCGACTCTCTATCGGTCACTGCCGATTCTGTTTGCCTGGTGGCTTGTGAGCGCGGTCACCTTCTTCGCTACAATGCGCAGGCGAGTCCTTTTGGTCTCAGCCAAGCCCGGGGAGCCTAGTATCTCCGACCCCGAGAAAGTTGAACCTGAGGGACGTGGATACTAAAGCGGTGCCAACGCATAATTCATGCAGAATTTAGGCGCAACCGAAAACCTTTGAAATTTGCAATACTTTTTTGCCTGTCCTTTTTATGGTCGGCCTTTTTCATTTGCTGTTTTACTCAATTAGATAGACCAGAGCACCACCCATTCTTGGATTCATACGCAGAGAAATTTCAGCTTTCTATCATTTAGATGTAATTTCCATAAGAGCGGCGCAACGTGGCGAAAACGCAGTCTTACGTAGAGTCTCCATGTCCGTAACTTATTCAATTCTTAGGAATCTTTACTCAACGGAAGAGTAGGATACCGATGAAGTAAATTCCCGGATTACATGAGATTCTAGCTCTTCACAATAACCAATACTAAGTATACCAGCCATCAAATCCAATAATTGCCTGCACCCTGTGTGGCATACTCTCTCATAGATTCACTAATATACTGACATCGATTTACTGCCATGCTTCCTCTGCTGTATCGATAAAAATAAAAAGGCATAGTTAGACCTCGGCATGACCCTCACTTGGGTCCAAAATCGGGAACCTGGACCCAACCCTCAAGTGGGTTGGGTCAGAGGCCAACTACCTAGACCCTACCCTGAGGGTCGCCAAAATCTGTTGAGGGTCACCCGCAACGACCCTCGAAGACTTTCAAATGCATAATTATAATTCTTGGCGACCCTTCCTGAAAGGAATGCATAAAAATGATGATTCATACCTCCGAGTTACTGGTCTTCACGGCTGTTCAGGAAAGAAATTGGCTTGTATAGTCTCAACATTACCACAAAATGAAATTCTTTGAAATTGAAATGTTTTCAATAACCTTAACCTAAGCAACAACTAATTGTCCATGATATGGCCGCTTAGAAGTAAGATATGAGGCTATCGAGCGGTTACGCTGCGGATATGTTGTATCAGTCCGTCGAATATATATTGGATGCAGCGTGGGAGGGGCTCTGTTTTGAACACAAATCGTTCAACTTGTGATTGGAGAAATAGATTTTGGGTTTCAGGTAACCCTGTTGCCTATATTTCCTACATCTTCCTCCATTGTGCCGAGTTACTAAGGTGAGATTAAATAGAGCTGCCGGAAACTTTAGAAATCTGACTACGAAAATGTCTGAAGGACCCTGAAGGACCTAAGGATGACAAGGATGACACTCAGGGCCACCCACAAATTACTAGGGTTATAAGGGTCCTCTTGGAGGTCATCCTTGCCGACCCTGAATACTGATCAAATCATGATCACGGGTATGGAGGACAAAAGGGACTTATGGGTGATCTATTAACCCGTTTCCTTTGTAGCTACGTCAAATTATGCGCGTATTACTTCCTAGGGATTCTGCAAAACTCTTAAGCTTTCTGTAAGTGTTTTGTTTGTAATATCGCTCCATGACTTTCTATCCTACGCTATCTACCGTATGTCACAACTCCTAGAATTTTTGATATATATTCCTAGCGGGTGCTAGTGGCAGATTATGACTTCCCCTGGCTGCCCAGGAATTTACATTCAATCTGATAGGTCAGCCACAATTACCTTTGCATTATACAAAGCCGTAAAGCCTAGAAATCTCCCCAGAAAATTAAATACGAAGTCCACCAATACGGCCAGCAAGTACCACCAGTATAGTGGGCATGCCTTTGCGGTGCGAGATAGCAACGGAACCTTGAGTTATAATGGAATGGTGGCATTTTCAAGCGCCTAAAAGCCTGAAAACAGAAAACTCGTCTATTTGTCTGACCGCTCATTATTGGCTTTCGCAATCGCACACCTCGCTAGCAAGAACAATTCAGCCACAAAAGCGGCTACCATTTTCACGTGGGTCTTCTCGTTGATGGAGGGTGACTGGCGCAATGACACACGGTCCATGATGACTGTTACTCTCTCAAGTAAGCAGAGATCTTTTACGGCCTGGTCACCAGAGCGAATTTGGAGGATGTTGCAAAATATTGTGAGAACAGCAGTCATGGGGTAGAAGGCGAGTGTCCTAGTCGGTAAGGGTAATTCTAGATTGGGTTGGTAAAAAGGATGATATAGTTGGACAACTCACCAGAAAAGACCATCACTGAGAACAGGCTCAGCCGTTTCCAGGTAAAGTAGAGTAGAGCGACTGGCTTCAACGGAAAAAGCTAAACTCGATCTTACTGCGTCCATCACTTCACTCCGGTCTGTAGCTAAAGCTTTACATTGAGTAATGGCTGCATGAATGATCGTAACACAGAGATAATAGCTTAGACGAAGCATGACAGTTTGAACACTCAGACTGGAGTCTGGGGTTTCACGAGAAATGGACAAAGTCGGCCTCCATTTCCGAGGTACCGAAAGCCGCCACTTTTCTAATGCATCGTTCAATTCGCATGCCTCCTTGAGAAGTTCGGCTTCTGAAATCTGTAGGGATCTGAAGGAGTATGATGCCCTGTAAATCTTGGACTTGATAATGTTCAAGCGAAGATTAACAGGGAATATCGCATCCTGAGGTAGTTCACGATTGTGATGGTAACGGGCCATGCTGGCAAAATAATTTTCGTCATACCCCGGAGGTAGCGAGAGATCAACATTGTCATCGACAAAAACTGTAGGAAGGCCTGTTCTAATGGCAACGTCTGAGTCTGTCGGGACATATCCTCCCGTTGGAATAAGCAAAGACATGTACGTAATCCTGCTAAGCTGCGGCTCCCGCCGTATGGATTCAGGGGTATTGGACCTTGACCTGGGAGATACATCTATCTACACGAATCAATCAACTTTTGCTTTAGCATAAACTGTCCACTTAACTGTGTACACAGTACCTAGCTGGTGATACCAACACTGATCAGTGGTTGATTACAACCACAGAACAGCTCGGTTTACACGACCTGGAAGAGGCATTGACCGCAAGGGAACGGGGAAACGGTTGCAGTACCCTCATTGCGGAAGGTGTGCTAAAGGATATCAAAGTATCTCACTGGGAAACGGATGCAGTACCTTTGAGACACGGAGGATTTCCAAAAGATCTACAGTTGAAACCGCAACGAAGATCTGCGTCTACCACGCGAACAACGCGTTAACGGGAAACGGCTTGCAGTACCGTCACGACACGCAACCCAACACACTCATCCCCTCGATCGACTCTATCCACGTCTTCACCGGAACGACCATCATGCTGCCGATCCCGGACAACCTCGCGTACCCTATCGAGGAGAAGACATGGGGGAAATCCGTCGATACACTCGATGAGAAGAACCAGACGGAAGGAATACTAAACGGCCATATAACTTGTGTATTGCGGGCATGGAAAATGATGGGCATTACCGACCGTGCCCTATGGAACGATTTTCGCGAAGAATTCGATGGATGGACTCTGGACACATTCAAGGTGGCAAGGAAAACCGCATTGAAGATGATTCGAATCCACCTGACTACACACGGAGTATGGATCAAGATAGCCATCGGTGTATCATACGCGAAGGGATTGTATGACTGTCTCCAGGAGGACACTCAACACGAATGGACCAAAGAAGACATCGAGGCCTATCTGAAGGAGCACCCGGACAACTTCAACTCTAGATGGAACCCTGCGCGCGATCAATCACCAACCATCCGGCCAAATGCCTCGGCGGCACGAGCTACTTTGGTGAACCTACCAAATCCTTAAACCCCACGAACGAATGTTGAGAAACCATATATCGAACGAAGCGACCAGAGATGGGAAGAAGCCAGATCCGTCACGCTCGATACAGCCTATATGGACAATCGCATACAGCAACAATCCGATTACGGTAGATTCCAACAAAATTCCTCGGACATGTCGTTACCGAGAATGATTGAAGTAGTAACGAGGCAGTACAGCAACGCGGACGACAAGTATGGCGGAGAACTGTATGATGACTTCAACACAAAGTTAGTCAAGTTCTACGACGTCTGTGAAAAGATCGGCCTACAGGAGCATCAGTTCCACATCGCATTCTCGCTTATGCTTAAGGGGAGAGCGGAGAAATTTTATTTCACACGGATCAAGGGAAAGGCAAGAGATTTTCCGACAATGGTGGAGATGTTGAGGGCACACTTCGACACAGAGGAAAACCGTCAAAGATCTATCACTGAGTGGAGAGAGACCACACTCCCAAGGACCATTGCTCAAAACCCTGAGAAGTCACGCTCAGATTGCCTCGAAATGCTCTTTGATACACTGGAAAAGATCCAGCCAGGATTACCACCAGAATACCGGTCGGAGACGACACTGCGGGAACAAACTATCAATGCTTGCAGAGGTGTCGAGGAATGCAAGTTCTCCTTATATAGGCCGGCGAGCACCCTAGAGGGGGTACAAGCAGAACTACGATCCGCCGTTGCCAATGCGATCTTTCCACCTCATGCGGGGCAATTTCACGCTTATGAGGAGTACGACGTGCTCGACCAGCATTGGACTGACCGCACATACGGAGGGAGAGGCCGTGGCCGCGGAAGTTATAGCCAGCACAGAGGAAGCTATGGATACGGTAACAACCGTGGACTCACTCCCTTTCGTGGATCAGGGCCGCGAGGAAGCTACCGTGGGAGTCGACGGGGCCATCAAGGGTCCCGCCAGGGGAGATGCTACGTCTGCGGAAGGCCAGGATGCTGGTCGAAGTATCATACCGGGGAGGAACGAAGACAATCACTCGATAACTTCCGCCAGCAACACTACTTCACCACGGGCCAAGCGGCCACCCCGCAGGATTTCCAGACGTTCCTTAGTGACTTTGAAGGAGAAGAGGAGACAGAAGTGCTGGACAGCAGCGACAGGCATGAATCAACCCTGATGCTCGCAGACATGACTATCGAGGATGACGAGCACGAGGGGTTCTTCACAGAGCTCGGAGAAGTCGACGGGATTAGAATGATATCCATCCTAAACGACCAGTCAGCGTACCACTTTTTCACTAAAGACGATATTTTCCAGCAGCGACAAGCCAACGGACAGGCCATTGAAGTGTTCACACTCGACAACCGGTATTCAGCTGACACCTTCCAAGGCATTATGCCAGATACTGGAGCCTCTGGAGTTTCGTCTGCGGGTGAACCTCAATTCAAGGCATTGTGCAAGTTAGACCCCAAAGTCAGACTCAATACCTCCCGGGCTGGGGAACATAAGATCAAATTTGGAGACGGAGACCCAAAAGTCTCCTTAGGCACTGCCGATGTCGATACCCCAATTGGCTCTATTACCTTTCACATCCTTCCCACGAACACACCATTTCTCTTCTGCCTCAAGGACATGGACGCTATGGGAGTGGAGCTACGAAATAAGAAAAATGTGCTCGAGCGAGGAGACAAGAGAGTACCCATTGTACGTAAATGGGGACACCCATGGATGTTGCTACACAATCTGGAGGAGGCAGCAGCATGGAGCCACCTTACCGAATCAGAGCTACGACAACTCCACCGGCGTTTCGGACACCCGTCGGTACATAGATTGACCCGAATCCTACAACGCGCCGGGCACGAGGTGAATTCGCAGTGCATCGACTACCTCACGAAATTCTGCCACCATTGCCAGATGAAAGGTAGATCTCCAGGACGATTCAAATTCACTTTGAAAGATGACTATGAGTTCAATTACTCGGTCATCGTCGATATCCTGTATCTGGAAGGAAAGCCCGTTTTGCAAGTTATCGATGCAGCCACGTCATTTGGTGCTGCGAGATTCCTGAGAGACATGTCGGCACGTAATGCCTGGGACGCACTTCGTGCATGCTGGATCGATACCTACCAGGGACCCCCGGACTACGTTGTGCACGATGCGGGGAAGAACTTCACATCTACCGAGTTCAAGCAGCTTGCATCGTCGATGTCGATCAAGGTGAAGGAGGTCCCCGTGGAAGCCCATAATAGCGTCGGGAAAGTGGAACGATACCATGCACCACTGCGCCGTGCCTACGAAATTCTCAGGGAAGAGCTCAAGAACGAGAACATTGACAGGGAGATGATCCTGCAGATGGCTGTGAAAGCTGTTAACGACTCAGCCGGACCAGATGGAATTGTCCCAACGTTGCTTGTCTTCGGGGCATACCCGAGAATGACCGAAATGGACCCACCATCACCTTCGGTAGTCAAGAGAGCTGAGGCTATCCGTGCTGCAACCAAAGAGGTCCGACGCCTGCATGCGGAGCGCCAGGTGAATGACGCGCTTGCTATGCGCAACGGCCCGAATATTACCACCACGTTGGACCTACCTTTGCAGTCAGATGTTCGAGTCTGGCGCGAGAAAGGCGGATGGAAGGGCCCATACAAGCTCTTAGCGATGGATGGAGAAATTTGCACCGTGGATATGCCATATGGTCCTACGAAATTCCGATCAACTGTTGTCAAGCCCTACCACAGAGAAGAACTCCCAGAGGGAGAGGGAGAGCAACGTCGGATTAGGGCAGAGGACGACCAAGTGGATAGGACTGTCGATTCGGAACCAGTCAACGAGCCCGATAAACCAGTCGAAATCCAACGACGAGGTCGAGGACGACCACCCGGATCGAAAAATAAACCGAAGCCGCAGACAACCGTGCGGCGGAGCACCCGAGGAAATCCTACTCATCATCAAGACCTCGAGGATCAATTCATCAATGCTATCTGGGAAGGACAAGACGTTGCAATGGCACTTATGACGAACAAAGAACGAGCCGATATGGAACTGTCCATTAAGTTGAGGAATGACGGTGTCATCACGACCCCTGGATTGCCATTTGATCAATCTCGGAACGAGGAGATCGAAGGGCTAATAGCCAGAGGCGTGTTCGACTTCGTACGATACGACCCAGTCAAGCACGCTGGTATACGCATCTTCAATTCCCGTTTGGTCAATGAAATCAAGGGCAAAGCCACGGGTACGCCTTTCGAGAAGTCACGACTCGTTATCCAGGCCTACAATGACGAAGGGAAAGGGATGATTCTTACCCAATCCCCGACGATCCAACGAGCCAGCCAACGGGTCATCGTCGCACTGGCCCCGTCACTGAGCGAAAAGAACATCAGCCTATCGATCCGGGACATTACACAGGCATATGTCCAGTCAACAACCTCATTGAACCGACTGATTCTGGCGCACTTACCCAAGGAGATCAAGAGCAAGTTCTCAGCCGGCACGATCATGGTAGTGCGGAAGCCGTTATACGGGATCCCTGAAGCCGGAACCCATTGGTGGGCGACGTACCACAAGCACCACCGGGAAAAGCTCGAGATGGTCACATCTCCTTACGACCCATGCCTGTTGATTTCGACAGCAAAGGAAGCTTTCGGTGTTGTCGGAATGCAAACCGATGACACTCTGATTTTGGGGTCCGACGAGTTCGCCAAGCTCGAGGCGAAGGAATTGGCAGAAGCAAAGTTCAGCGCTAAACCTAAGGATACACTATCTCCACAGAACCCGCTGATATTCAATGGCTGTGTTCTGACACAGAAGGAAGGAGACGTTGCCGTTGAATTACGCCAGAAGGAGCAGGGTAAGAAGCTCAAGCTCATCGATCACAAATCCAAGGACCTCAAGCAAGCATACATGGAACAACGTGCTCGCGGAGCTTACATTGCGACGATCTGCCAGCCGGAAGCTGCATTCGACCTATCCGTTGCCGCCCAACACCAGGATCCTACAGAAGCCGACGTCAACGCGTTGAACAAACGCATCATATGGCAAATGAAGAACCTGGACAGGGGTATCAAATATGTCGCAGTGGACTTGCCAACTGCAAAACACTTCGTATTCGTCGATGGATCATTCGCGAACAACAAAGATTTCAGTTCCCAGATTGGATATGAGATCATCCTTGCAAATGAGTCCGCACAGAATGAGGAATTTGAGATCACCGGAAACCTAATCCATTGGAGCTCAACCAAGAGCAAACGCGTTACAAGGAGCGTTCTGGCATCAGAGATCTATGGGATGGTAGGAGGTGTCGACATGGCAATTGCAATCGGCACAACAATCAAGATGATCATGGACCAACTTGGATTTGAGAAGATCCCCACCATCGTATGCACGGATTCATACTCTCTTTACGAATGCCTCGTCAAACTCGGAACCACCAAGGAGAAGCGTCTTATGATCGACATCATGGCACTTCGCCAGTCATACGAGCGAAGGGAGATAATGGAGATAAGGTGGATCAACGGGAGCGACAACCCAGCAGATGCAATGACCAAAGCAGACCCCAACACGGCCTTGGAGAAGTTCATCACCACAAACACCTTACGAGTGCGAGTTGAGGGATGGGTGGAGAGAAAATAGAATGGTATAGCGAGATCTACGTGGGCAACGAGGCACAGTACGATTGATCGTTTCTTTTTGATCGTTTCTTTTGATCGTTTCTTTTGATCGTTTCTTTTGATCGTTTCTTTTGATCGTTTCTTTTGATCGTTTCTTTTGATCGTTTCTTTTGATCGTTTCTTTTGATCGTTTCTTTTGATCGTTTCTTTTGATTGTTTGTTTTTGATCGTTCTCTTTTGTTCGTTCGTTTTGATCATTCATTTCTTACTTGAGGGCACTGGCCTTTGCACAAAAGAAAAGTTGCCAGTGTCGGGACATATCCTCCCGTTGGAATAAGCAAAGACATGTTGTACGTAATCCTGCTAAGCTGCGGCTCCCGCCGTATGGATTCAGGGGTATTGGACCTTGACCTGGGACATACATCTATATACACGAATCAATTAACTTTGCTTTAGCATAAACTGTCCACTTAACTGTGTACACAGTACCTAGCTGGTGATACCAACAGAGTCAATTGTGTGGCAAATCCAGAAGAGGTTTCGAAGGTGGGCTCTTGTTCTGGAGTCCATCGACTCAGATGTGGATGATGACTGGAACGTTTGTATGTGGGTAGTATGGGCCCCGAACGTGAAGATAAAACGGGATGACAGTGTTGTAAGGTAGCTAGCAGACTGAAGATTACCTGATATTAGGTCAATCAACGCCTGTTGTAGTCAAATTCAGTCCGTGATCGCCAAGGAAGGATAGATCCACTCACTAGAATGGCGATAGTTTGCAGTCCATCCAAGGTGGGGATTCCTTGGATAATTTGGGGCAGCAGGGATTGAGCCTTCATAGTATATATCTCAGCGTCGACAGGAAGTATTTGCCCCGACCGACCATCTACTGTCGGTAAATGAAGAAAAGTTGCGAAAGCAACAAAGGCAAACACACATGCTCTCATACAAATGTCGGTTTCATTTTGGCGAGATGATTCTGCTAGCGGGTAAATGGTCTGCAACGTCATGTGAAAGAGCACATTATTCAACACGGGGAATATTCGCCACAACAATGACGAGTGGTATGCTTCGAAAAGGTGCTGCACGGTACTCAGATCAGGCAGGTCAAGATGAACCATAGTTTGGAAGTCACTCAAAGGTCTACTTGAGCTCAATTCACGTGTACCTTCCCATAGTGGTTTCAATAAGCCGAGTCTTTCAACGGAAATGTTCTCCCCAGTTTGCGACTTGATCCACTGCTGGCCCTCTGGTGACAGGAACCGAATCCCTGTAACCAAGCTAATAGCACTCATTTCACGCCACGCAAAACGCAGTGGCATGGATGATACATCTGGTGCGCGGTCGAGGAAACTAGTGGATGCACCAAGTAGTTGACTTGGATATTGACCAACCCTCCGCTCAGCGGAAGGAAGCTTGTTGCCTAGATTCGGAATTTCAGCGCGGTATGGTGTGATGGAGAGAGTTGAAGACACTAAACATTGATTCAGCTCATGGCAACGTCGAATGATCTACAAACCTTGATTCATAGTCCTAGGAAAACGTACATGTCTCTCGGAGGAGTTTTTCTGATATCAGTTGCTCTATTCGAATGATGCGGTCTTCCAAGAGAGAATGATTGGGCAGTCTGTATCTCCAATCGATCAGAAACTTTGAACCCAGACATGCGGTTTCATGCAAGCCGATTGTGTCTTTCACACCTAGAGACCCGCTTCTTTCGCTTCCCGCGGAATGTCCTTTCAAAAGTACACTGGATATTATGGTGGCTGCACCAATTACATGGTTGCCCAGGTGCATCACATCTGATCTATAATACATCTTCGGGTTAGGCTATCTGAGTGGAAGCTGTTCGGATTGGTATGTACCTTTCGTTTGTAGCAAGAGTCACATGCGCGCACCGTTCGTGTGCGCGGCTCCTTCGCCTCTTCGCCTGGCCTAACGGCTAACATATGGATTGGTCTCATATACGGAACCTCTGAGAATGGCTGATGGCCACAGGCATGATATAATAAATACCAAGAGACATGGGTTGCTGGATCCTCATAATTTGTAATCTGGGTATTTCGCGACGGTATCATAATTCCCGGCTGAGCGAGCCACCCAGTTGACCGGGCCACCCCGAAACACAATAAACGCGATTTTTCAGGTCACAGTATATCAACAACGAGAACATACTGTTATTTAATTTTCAATTTACTATGGTTCCTTCGTATGAGAAGTACTATAACGCTACTAAATGGTTCAGAAAACAATTAAATACTTACAGTACCAAAATTATACTCCGACAGCTCAATATATTTCTACGGCCTATGAAAATACCCAGTATAAAGTAGTTAACATGAAGATACCTCAAGGCCAAAAGATTTACCTTGAGGGTTAGAATGTAAGTACTGCATTTGGTTTGGTGTTCTAGGGTGACCCGCTCAACTGCTCGCTCGGCCGGGTGGCTCGCTCAGCTGGGTGGCTCGTTCATTCGGGATGTTACGTTGAGGCAGCCCCTTTCCAATTTAACTGTCCGATAGGAACTCGATGAGCCAGTGCGCTTCCCGGTCTTCACAAACCATAAGAACGTAATGTAGTGGACATGATTTAGGATGATCAAATAATCGGTGTGGTAAGTACGTAGACTCTCAACTGTGCTATCCAAGAGGATCGCGTCTAAAGGAAGGAACGCAGAGAGCAGGTTACACCCCCAGCTAGACGCGAAATATGAACCATTAAGGATAATAGAGTATTCTAGGTAGGTTTTGAGGTTGAATAATGTACAGAAAAAATTCGATTCTCTGGTAATGATATCATCAGCGTATAGAATAAGTCGTGGCGCCAATACTCTCGAGTTCCCCCCCCACCCCCCAGTGACCTTAATGGGGTTTGTTCATTCAAGTTTCGGTTGTTTTGCCTCTCGAGAATCACAACATTCCTGCCACCGTCTTTCAATGATATGCAACAGCATGAAGAATTGTTGGTATCCGGCAGATCTCATTTTTCTATTCATACTGGCTTTTATGTCCAGGTATTGTGGCGTTGTGCTCACCTGCCACGATACGCGTATTGGGGGTGAGGAGAATTGGGAGAATCGCAGGACGCGCTAGAGCGAAAACGGAATGCGACCCGCGGTAAGATAAACCGTAATCGGGGTTGTAGAGAGTTAAAAATGATATCAGCACAAGCTAAAAGTGTATGGACTAGTATGCATATTTGACGAATGAGATCAAGCGGAACCAATCTAAGATGAAAAATGATTGATTGATTGAATAGAAAACGTGCGGTCAAGGGCAGGTTGAAATACCCCCGGAATGTGGTGATACTCGGTGGTTATAACACCGAGATTGCGAATTTAACCAATTTACCATACCAAACACAAAGAAATGTGGGTTCCTGGGCAACCAATCGCATGCTAGTGGTAAATAACCACTCCATGCGCTGACAAATGATAATGAACTTTAGATACCTTGTTGTTCGGCTTTTGGCTCTTCAGATAATTCTTACACTGGCGCTTATCCGGCACAGCTGACTGGCCGTTAGCATGCTTCCTTTACTCTTCACAAGCAGTTCCAGTGCGTTAGTGCCATTGCGTCTCCAATTTATCTGAGCCGTGAGAATTTCCGCCGAGTTTATATATCAACTGTGATGGCCAGGCAATACAGAAGAACAGAAGAACAGGAGAAAATATCATGGCTTCAGCACTTGATAGAGTCAACCTTAAATCCGACGCCGACGTTGAAAATGGATCTCAAGGAACACTCGATAATGCGAAAGTCACAGTTATGGATCATGGCTACGCGCAGGAGCTGAAGCGTCAATTAACTTTATTGGACATAATATCCTTCATGTACAATGAGGCTGGGTAAGCTATGTTTCGCATGAATGATGCAGCGCAACAACATATACTGATATGACCGACCAAAGGGCCTGGATCGCCGCGTTGAACTCTCTGACAATCCCCTTTTACAATGGAGGTCAAGGCAAGACTACTCTGGATTGGCCAGAGCCCTACTAATAATTAATAGGTTTTTCTTCTGCGATCTACGGAGTCATTGCCCTCATTCCTGTTTGCATGTGCTTTGTATGTTGTCTCAGCGAGCTCGTTTCGACGTACCCTACAGCCGGTGGGCAATACCACTATGTCGCGCTTCTTGCCCCAAAACAGCACGCTCGCCTTTTGGTAAGGATCGCATTAAATGCACCCTCTCCATGGCAGATACTGTAAAGTGGGACTGCAGCCACAGGAATACTAAATTATTCATTAGAGTTTTATCTGTGGATATATGACTCTTTTCTTCTGGATTGCTAGTTCAACTTCTGGCGTGCTCTCTTTCAGCCAGCAAATCTTTCAGATCGCCGCTTATTACAAACCAAGTGTCAACGACTACTCACGTTGGGCTCCGGTGGGTGTTGCTTGGGGTCTGATTCTATACTCATTTTTTTCTTCCACATTCCATGTCCCTATAGTGACAATGGGAACTCAGTTTTGCAGTATGTTCTACCTCCAACTCTTGTCTGATCTGGGAGTGACTTGTGCTGGTAGTGTGGTTCACATTGTCCCTTTTTATTGCACTCATCGTCACCTTACTAGTTACAACGACAGATAAGAACCCTGTCAAGTAAGTTCTTTAGATATGTCTCGGCATTTGTTTGACCTTAACACAATACAGGCTTGTCCTAGCTACTGTGACAGTAGATAGTGATTGGGAAAATAAACCCTGGAGCTGGATTATTGGATCATCATACGTGAGCACCTTCTTATAATAGAACGCATCCAAGCCATAGGTTTGCTGACAACATTCCAGGTATTTTATTGCTTTTCTTCCGTGGGAGATCCTGTTTTATCGTCGCTCATGTCGGCTCAAAAATAACATATTGCTGACTTTTGGTGCAGTTGGACGCCGCTTCACACATGGTTGAAGGCAAGAGGCATAAAACGCTTCGACTAGGACGAATACTAACGTGGCTTAGACATGGAAAACCCACAAAAGGATGCACCGAAGGCAAACTTGATTGGTTTTGCTATCAACTGTTTTTGGTTAGTCCCAAGTTTCGTTTGACTTTTCATATAGAGCTAATGCTTGTGCCATTGCCGAGTAGTTTGATTGCGGTGATTGTGGTGCTTGGCTTTTGCACAGTCGACCTGAATTCCACTATTGCACAAGCTCCCAAGTTAGTAGGCCACATACCAACAGGGAGGAATCACAGAACCACTAATCAGCTGTAGTTTTCCACTGATTTCCATTGTTGATAAGTCTGTGCAGAATGCAGGAGCTGCCATTTTTTTGTGCTCCATCTGCTATGTAACGCTGGTTGGTACACCCCCACGTGTCGAAAATACCTACGCTTATACTAATGGAATCCACACAGTTCATCGTATGTCCAGGTTGCATCCTGGTAACCTCCCGGATTGTCTTTGCTCTGGCTAGAGGTATGGATTTACTCAGGCTTCGACTAGCAATTTTAGGCTAACTGAGAGACGTCCGCTATTTCAGACAGAGCGATGCCTTTTCACGAAACGTCAGTTCTTAAACGTACTATATCAACGCCTACCGTTCCTGACAGTAAAACAGATTCAGCAAGGTAAATACACGGTATCAAAGTCCGATCAACGCCAGCATCCTTGCTTCATTTATTCCCGGTATACTCTGCCTGATATACGTGGGAAACACCACAGCTTTCTTCGCAATTGTGAACGCTACGTCCATTTTTGCACTTTTGAGTTTCAGTATGTTGCTCTCCTTATTCATATATATAATCTCTTAACGTGCCTTTAGTGATGCCTATTGCGCTCGTGATTATTCGTGGAAGAGACACGATTGCATCGCGTGAGTTCGACACGGGGAAGCTTGGAATAGCTTGTTACTGGATTACGACAGTCGTGGGGGGTTTCTATTTGATCGTCCTATGCTTTCCCTTTTATATTCCAGCAACCGCTGGGAATATGAGTATGGATTCCTTTCTTGATCTCCTACTACACGGTTTCTGATGAAGTCTAGATTATGCCTCTCCTGTGCTGGCAGCTGGCTTGTTTACAACAGGATTAATTTGGATATTCTATGCCAAAAAGCACTTTGTAGGGCCGGTGAGTTAGTTCCCGATATCGCAATGTACATGCAGTTCTTCAGTTGACATTAATACTCTAGTTGGTGGAATTACATGAGGTGTCCCTTTCCGACCACACAACACGCGCTGTAGTCCAGGGGACAGACGTTGTCACGGCTAATGCTTCAAAAGACGGAAAGACGAAGAAGAACCAGGAAAGCTTCTAATCACGTTATCTCACTGTTCCACGCTCCATAGTTAGTTAGCCTCTCAATTTCGGTGGTCCGTCAGAATGGCAGTTGAATCTCGACAAAGTACAACAGACATTCAAACCTAACGGAATGAAGACATCGACTTGCAGAGTATCCAGGAGAAAGCCACCAAGTCGAATTGTCCAAATACAAATTTCTTGAGGGGTTCGAAACCGACTCCACGGGATGTTCCCTATATACAGGTCTTTCGCTTAGCTATCCAATTAAGGGGTAATAGTGGTACATGAGATTGTGTAACCGGGGGACGCACCTTATCATGCAGGGTCTCTTATCAGCTGACCCACAGGACTGTTATTGATCCTCAACCAAAACGCCACTTTTGGGCATGGGCCTCTTGGCCCTGTAAGACCACAAGGCGCTCACAACTGGTAGTAGCTTTATGGCCGAATCCGCCAATCGCTGAGGTCCTTTCAGAGGTCTTTTAAGAGGTGCGTTCGAAGGTCTTCCCGAAGATGCCATGATATGAACTTAGCAGAACCGCACGATGTAGGCCTATCTATAAACCAAGGACGCCCAGTAGACTACCATGAAGAAGGACCTGTACATGTGGGGAGTTTCTATCGTAATCTCTATTAACCGGGACTGATGTTATTTTGCTGCTCTGTAGTGCAATCCAAGCATCTAACCAATGATAAACTGCTTAGGATAGCCAGATCGATTTGAGGGCTGAAGCCAAGCCTGTTAATCAGTTAGTGACCTTTTGGCGTACTCTTGCACTCCTTATCTAGCTTGCACATTTCACTAACATGAGTACTATTAAGTAGCTGTTCTTTATCTCTTATTGTAATCATTAGTCCTCGAAACTCTTAACGTGATAACGTATTGCCCGAGCGACCGTATTGCCCGAGCGGCCCCGCTAAAAACCCATCTCAAAAAATAACGTACCTTGTTTACCACAATAATCATGCCCGCCCAACGGTCTGATCGAAAAAAAAAATTAATAGAGCAAGAGGGCCGTCTTTTATTAGTTATAAAAGCTATAAAAGATGGTAAATATCCCTCTGCTGCAGCTGCTGCGCGGTCTTTTGATTTGCCAGTCTCAACTTTGAAGGCCCGCCTTAATGGACGTGAAGCTGCTTCTGAAAAACGACACAGTCGCTTTATTTTCTCTGAAATTGAAGAGCAATCGATTGAAAATTGGCTACTAGATATGGATACCTGAGGTGCTGCTCTTACACTGCCTATGTTGAGAGATATGGCCAATTTACTCCTTCATGCCCAAAAAACAACCCCCTCTCCTGTTGGTAGAGATTGGGCATCTCACTTTGTCAAACGACATCCAAATTTGTCCACACGATTATCTCGCAGATACGACTATCAGAGGGCTCTTTCAGAGGACCCTCGAATTATTAAACCATGGTTTGATTTGGTCCAAAACACCGTTGAAAAGTGGGGTATCACTTCGGATGATATTTTCAACTTCGATGAGTCTGGTTTTGCTATAGGAGTTAGTACCACACAGAGGATTATTACCTCAGCTGAATACCATAGAAAAAGAGCTCTCTTACAAGCTGGAAATCGCGAGTGGGTGACTTTAATTGAGTGTATTAGAGCTAATGGAAGTGTCCATCCTCCACTCTTCGTTTTTAAGGGGAAACTCTTTCCTGAACATCTACGCATCCCCCTTGATTCAAATCAACCTAGATCTCGTCTGACTGTGAGCAAAAATGGCTAGACTACCAATGAAATTAGTTTATAGTGGTTGAAATCTCATTTTATTCCAAATATTAGGAAAAGAGTAGGAAAATACTGCCTCTTAGTCCTTGATGGTCATAGGAGTCATTTAACCCCTGAATTCGATCGAACTTGTGAAGAAAATGATATCATCGCGATCTGTATGCCTTCTCATGCCTCTCATCTTTTACAACCTTTAGATGTGGGTTGTTTTTCGGTTTTGAAGAGGCTTTATAGAGGAGCGGTTTCAACTATGATGCGGAATGGAGTCAATTCTATTGATAAGGAAGATTTCCTAGAATTAATTGCAGATGCAAGAAAGGGAGCTTTTAAGACTTCTACTATCCAGAATAGCTTTTTAGCTACTGGATTGGCACCATTTGATGCTAATAGAGTCTTGGAAAAGCTTAATGTATGCCTGGATGAACTTCCTCCTCTTGAGATCCTTCCTACGCGACCACTCTCTTCTGGCAGTGATAGTGATCCAAATACTCTCTGGACTCTCTCAAAATTCTCAAAATCGCAATCTCGGATCAAAAAGGGTCTAGAATCTTCTTCTTCAATCCTTTCTTCCCCAACCAAACGGGAGATTGAGAGGACTTGTGAAATGACCATAAAAGTGGTCCATCATCATATTTTTCTTCAGAATCGCTGCGACCAATTGGAGGCTTCTAATAAGAAACAGGCTCAAAAACGAGCAATCAAGCATAAGTTTACTAGCCAGAGGGGCATTTTCGGGAGTCGGGAGGATGGTCAGGATGATGTGGTTGTTGAGGTTGATGGTGATAGTGAAGATATATATTTGCCAGAGGTGCCTGAAGAACCACCTGCAGAACCTGCTTTACCCTCTATGCCTATAGTTAGGCGGCAGGTCACCTGCTCTCGATGTGGGGTTAAAGGCCATACCTATGTTAAATGCCCTACACGTATTAAATAGCAAATTTTGAGTTATTTTTGTGGTATTAGCCGTGGTGAAAAATCGAAGGTTTTTTGATTTGTAGCGGGGCCGCTCGGGCAATACGGTCGCTCGGGCAATACGTTATCACGTTAACTCCTACCCTGAGTAGCATACTGCTCTGACATGGATCTTTGTTAGCAAGAAATTCTTGCTCCGGGATAGAGCGTTCTGCGTTTTCCAATTCATGTAGCTATCTACTAGTCGATGGGACTGTTTAACGCAAATAATCTCTGAGGTTATCAGACATTCTGTTTAAGATGACAAGGTAGCAAGGTTAGAATGTATTTGTGTTTGCACAGTCATGCAGTTTTTGTTACATTTTGTCCAATTCTACTAGACTATTATCTACCCGAGGAAGACTGTGAGCCTAAGTACTCAATAAGCTAGTGTGAATATTAGCAACTGGTAAGTTGGCAATCCTCTACTCTGTTTGTTGGGCAAAGTAGCTAGCTAATAAGAATAGTATTTAGTAAAAGATGTTAAAGCCAGAAGCAAATCAAAATTATCCTGTGGACCAACGGAAAGTATCAAGTTTGGGAAAGACAGGAAGAGAAATCTATCTGGTGAGGTGGGGCTTAATATGTCCCATGATAAGGAGCGCCGTCTCTTTGGCAATACGCCGTTTTCCCATGTATTTACTGTTTCATGCACGAGACTGGCGCTCGGATCACTCTTATCTTCTGTGTCATTTGTCAGCTGGCCTATGCGCCAGCGGTGGTGCCTCAAGGATGTAGGCGTATCTACCATGTTCGCATAGTTGCGGGCACAGCACGAGTCAAATGTAAGAGCATTCATCATTCAAATGAGCCACTGAAAGTTCAGTTATTATTACAAATATTCACGGTAAAAATAGAAGCAGGACAAAGTGCCGGGCTTTTTGTCTTTCTTTACCGGGCTGATTTGCGGAAAGCTAGATACATTATATGAAAGTTTCTTGTCAAACATGAATTGTGCTCTCAATGCATATATTTCTTGCCTCTTTTCAACACGTAATTTCTATAGCTAATGTCAATATAATCTATCTATAATAGGATAGAGCAATGATTTTACCTACTACGAGTATATTACAGCACTCTAACCCCTCCAAAACAATTATTGCATTTCTATGATATGTGACAATCTGGACACAAATTTTGCATGTTGGATTTGTTGAGCATTTGACTATGGGAACACACATGGCTGAATCGGGACGACAAGAAAAAGCGCAATCAATCAATCAATCAATCAATCAATCAATCAACTTTCTATTAACCTGATGCAGCCTAACTAGTGGCATACTGGCTACGCAGGCGCTTCCTCCGGCGGAAGCAAGAGAGGCCAGCTGACAAATGACACATCAATCCTCTGGCGTTGCATTACCCACATGGCCCTTATGGCGGCCCCCAGATTGACCAAACCCAAGCACCTAGCATCTAGACTTTATTGGAAAAATACGGAACAAGAGCTGCCTCTTTGTAACATATCTTAATTCCAGTAATTCAGGATTTTCTATTTTAAAAGAGTAAAATGTAGTAGCAGCTGCGTAAGTCCTTTAAACACTGGTATCAATTATATCGAGAACATCATTGAGAGTGTACGAAACAGAAATTATACCCAACTTAAATGTCTCATTGGGTTTACGAAGCACCACAGGGAGCACTCATTCTGCGTTGGGTATGGTATGCGGACACTTCTTCTGTGAGATGCTACCTAGACTGTAAAAGACTCAGAAGACTGTACATCTGAATATCATAACCTCCCAAGAGCATGTATTCTAATAGAAGTCTCTCGGTCTAAGCTCTCCTCCTCGCAGCATCTTCGCTGGAGAATCAAACTTCACCCAACCACAGAATGGGGCGCTGACGCTGTAGCCCATGAAATCCTGAACCTCTGGAGGTAGTTTTCTAGCAACCTCTGGCTGCACTGCTAGGTACTGATTCTCCTCCTGGCGTAGATAGCCGCGAAGATAGCCGATAGCATATAGGTAACGGTACTCGTTCTCTGTCGTGTTTTCACCCCCCGCATGATAAACTGATCCGAGGAACAACATGCCAGAGCCAGGCTCCATCTCGGCGAACGCGACACCATCCTCCCACTTTGGCTCCCTTTCATCATCCCAGAGGTGTGATTTCGGGATAACACGAGTAGCGCCATTCTCTTTGGTGGCGCGGGATCCAGCAACAAGGACAGAAAGCTGAACATCACGGCCATCTTCGTATATGTCAGCAGCACCACGCGTGACGTGCCAGCAGTGGTCGTCGCGGTGAAAATCTTGTGCTTTTGCACCAGGCCCCAGCACAATTGCCCCTGTTGCAGAAACTTGTGGGGGTGATAGCGCAGTACGCCGCTCGCCAGACCAGTAAGAGTGTCTGGATGTCACAAAGTTATTGGCAACGGCCACGATGGTCTTGTTCATAAGCACATCAGTTGAAAACGTTGGTGAGCACTGAATGAGGGAGTAGGTTCGTCGTGTCTCTTGTGGGAAGAAGGTGCCATCAGTCGGGACATCGGCATCCAGGGAAGCTTGTGCTTCGGCCTTAACCGTATGGAGTGACTCTATCGAAACGAGGTCCTTGATTATGCACGCTCCGTCACGCTTGATAATCGCGATGATCTCCTCGAGGGGTGCATTTCCAGGGAGGGTTGTGAGGCTGGGTTTCGTCTCGTCTGCGATCGCAACCATGTTGGATGGATGTGCCTGTGGAATTATTCCTGGTGCAGAAAGAACAAATTATGAAATTGATGTCACTTGGACAGGTTTTAGTCTTGATAGAAAGCATTTCTTATATCAATGTAAAGGGATCCACGCATCAACAATTCTGTATGCATTTGGGGTTTTCTCTGAGGAAGTCAGGAGTAGTAGGATAGCCGCGCAACGGATATCCTCCTTTCATCCAGCTTGTTATCTCGTGCCTTCTTGGATATCTCTGTCCCAACCTTTTTGGCAATTCTAGCGCGTAAAGAATTTCTCAAAGCGGAAACCTAGCCATTATACTCTACTAACTTTGATAAGCTGGTGCACCAGGCCGCACTATTTTGCCTCACCCCTGTAATATCATCAGCACTGTTTTGAGCATACACATACTCAGATAAGTGTACTAAAGTCGGTTCTCCTACTCCCTCTGTATCTGCCCCGTTTCATTCATCATCAACTAAGGCTGACGGGAAAGCCTCGTATTTCCTGTTAGCCATGGCTATTTATCCAAATACTCTTGTCTACCTTGACAAAACTGCCGCGACTGAAAGGATTGTTGAGATTTTGCAGCGAGATGGGGGCGTCATCATCAAGAACTTAGTCTCGCTTGCCATGATGCAGCAGATTGAAAAGGAGCTTGAGGACGACTTCCACGCCGCAGAGACCTCGCAGGGGGAAGCAGGCGGGTTCAAGCTCACCTTCCCCGCCAAAAGCCAACGTTTCGATATTGTCGGGAGGTCCAAAACATCTGATCAGCTTCTCATGCACCCTACGGTGGTCTCCACTATCGACGCCATGCTTTCAGAAGAGTTTGCTATCTACTTTGGTGAACCTCTTTACCACTCTGTTTCAAAGCCGCAACTTGCCGCTGCCTTGGCAATCAAGTGCAACCCTGGCAATCCTGCGCAAGGCCTCCACCGAGACGACACGTTCAATCATACCAAACACCCCGGGCCCGAGTCACAGATCACGGCTATCTGGGCTTCGACGGACGCGACCAAGGAGAATGGTGCTACAGAGGTACTGCTGAGAAGCCATCTTTGGGACAATTTAGAGAATCCAAATCTCCATCGTGATGAGATTATTTATGCCGAGATGCCCGCGGGTTCTCTCCTTCTGATTGTCGGGGGATTGTACCATGCTGGTGGGCGCAACAGTACTACAGATCAGTCCCGTATCCTATACACCTACTTCTATAATAAAGGTTACCTGCGCCAGGAAGAAAACCAGTATCTGAATATCGCGCGCGATGTTGTTCGGTCAAAGTCAGTGCCCATCCAGGAAATGCTTGGCTACACTGTTAGCAAACCAGGGGCGGGCTATTACAAGGGAGGCGACCCCAAGGCCTGGCTGCGAAACCCCGGGGAGGACCTGTCGGACCTCGCCACCCAGTTCTTATACTAAGGTGACCAGTATGTAGCAAATAATATCACAAAGTGCTAAGATCTTGCTGATTTGTACATCTTCAGGTATCATTTTTGACACTAAAACAGCGCCATATTGCCCCCGTCGTAAGCTTCCACAATTCCTGGCCAGTCAAGTCTTTCACATACCCCTCCATCTCCCATCCTTCGACGCTCCCAGACTACCTTCAGTATCTCAATCGCAACCGGAGCCGCACCATTCCGACAAGCACCAAAGACTGCATCTAACCTTTCCACTATCGCCAGCTGGTCGTGAGGATCTACTAACTCACAGCCAGCAACAAACAATGGCCATATCAAACATGTGGATACGTGATCGTCGGGCGGAATTCGGGCTGCAAGCAACGAAATAAGTAACAGAGAGAGCATTGCCTTCTTGGTCACCTAACCTAGAGTTTCAAGCAGACTGCTCGTCGTGTTCTGCACTCGGGAGTCACTATTCCTGGTATCCCAGACCATGCGATAGAGAAACAGTAGCGCTGCATCCCGGAAGACAATCGAGCTGTTGATCGACATCTCCCTAGGTGCATCGTCGGACAAGGAAGATTCAGCTTCCCATTCCAGCATCATACGCTCGAGCTTCTGGGCATGCGCAAGAAAGACTGGTTCACAGAGTAAGGCATCACGGATGTCGCTGTTGTAGTCACGTATTATCATCGCAAATTTTGTGGTCGAGCCAATGAAGTTGAATATATCTTCGTGGCAGCCCCAGCAGGATTCAAAGGAGAAATTTCCACTGGAAGAGGGGTCCGTGCTTGGTTTAGGGTTCATTATGGTGGGAGTAGGGATGTCTTCAAACAATTCTGCGGTCGCCAGTGAACACCCTGCCCATGCTTTGGTTTGAAATTGTCAGCGCTAGCTCCCAAGATACATGATAGACTATTCAGGATCATTACTTAGGTGAGACTTGTCAAGGAGGCGTTGACTGTACCGGCGGTTGAATGTTGCGGCGAGAATGCACGCTCCGTGGTATCCAGTACTGATCATCCCTGATCCGTAGTCCACTGAATCTATTCCGCCACTGGATTCAATCTTATCGCGTAGTTGACTCAGCCCCTGCACCGACCTCCCATCATGATAGATCTATTGGGCTGTCATCAATGTGTTTTCGGACCGGAGAGAATAAAGCAGCGGGTGTCTCGACGTATCCCATACCTGGAACACAACCAGCAATATAAATTCTGTCAGGGTTCGAACAGCTGTGTGGGCAGGACTTCCAAGCTCTGCCGCACACATTTGGAAAGATTTAGCCTAAACCGTGTTAATATTGTATGAACTCGAGGACAAATGGTGCGGCGACGTACCCTGTGGAAGAAGGCGCGAGACTTGTCTCCAAGGTGGGCTTTCCAACGATGCAATGCTGATATAGCCAGCACAGCATACAGCAAGCTTCTGTATTGAAAGCACATCGGCAGAATCTGGCATCGATAGGGGTTATGCGCGGAATCGTCGAATGCTACTGCCACCCCGGATAGCTTTACGATAACTATTGAATTGAAGCATTAGCTCGATTGGGGTATAGCTTTTCACGAATCTCAGCGTACAGTATTCGAAAATGGATCTATCAGTGGGGTGAAACAAGACTTCAGTGGCGAAGTTGAGGGGTTCTGGAAAGCTCGGGATTGCCTTCGAGGTCTCTATCTGATAAATCTGAGGTGAGGTAGAAGGGGACCATCCCTTGCCGAACGGTCTCCTTGGGTCGATGAGTGGTGTATTGTGGGGTGAAAGGTAAAATTCAACTTGTTCTGTATCTTGAGGCCCTTCTGGATGTCGAGGCAGCCGTGCGGGCGTCTGCTCATGCCCGTCAAAATCGTTGCATTGGGACGGAGAAGTGTGGTTCAGGAAGGAGAAGTCGATCATGTCCAGCTGAACTTGTTGACTGAAGTCTGTGGGTTGAGATGGATGTAGAGGGTCCTCCGACCGTTGTCTACAATCAATGTTCTGCGTAGTCACCTCTGGACCAGGATAGGGCAAAGGCAGATCCAGGATACAGCCGCCGGCGGAGGTGTAATTCTTCCAGATAAAGTTTTGCAAATATCCCTCGCATTGAATGCCATCTACTATGCACTGCCAGCACTGTGGGCGGTGCTCGTCGCACCCTGGTGTCGTTTACGACATGAGCTGCACCCATTTCGCGACCGGCTCTGCACGCGACGTTTCTTTGGGGTCTTTTGTATTTGGTCATTCATTCTATCCTCCAGTGAACTAGAAAAGGACTAACGAGAGGATGAATTGATTCTTTGATGATTCTTTGGGAGATCTGAGGGGAAATGTGATGGCTCCAAGTAAGCTAAGAGTTGAGGAGAGTGGTGATAAGAATCCCTGACCTAAAGGGAGCCAAAAGAAGTTATCAGTGGACCTCAGAAGATAAGGACAATCGGCGACCAATCAACAAGCTCCGATAGATAGTAGGACGGCGCGGAAGTATTACTTAGGTTTAGTGAGTATAGATTACAATAACAAGTAAACAGCTTGGCATCCTCCCTTTTACCGCTCACATTCCTTGTCGCCTTGCAATACCTCGATACACTATACCTTAGATAAGGCCGCCTGCTCCGTATCTTACTTTCTTTCTCTTCGCTTTTGCCCATGTCATATAGATCAATAGACTCCAGCGTGGATTGGTCACCGTGTAACTCTGTCAACTGGAGATTTCGGATCATCAACGGTATTTTAAGGCAATGCAGTTAACAGAGAAAGCTTACTGGCCAGTGAAGTGATACTTAGCATTAATTACCGATATAAAGGCTTCAATGATCAAGGCACCGACCAGGACAGCCAACGCATAATCTAGCGTCTGTCAGAGTAGGGCGGTAACACACTCTTGTCTCTTCCACACAAGACGGCGGTTAAAATTGGCACCACCAATAAATTGGTCTTGGCTCGAAATTTGATAGCTCCGTACCCAGCTCACGTACTGAACCTTTTTATTGAGAATATCAACGTAGTGTTCATGATTGCGAAGGAAGCGATAGTATTGCCAACATGAATCAAACAGATGAGGGCGGCAATGGGTGAGGCAAGTGTGCTGGCAAAAACAGTTTTTGATAGCGTGCGATGGCTTTTGTTGAATCTGGTTTTCTGTTGGTAGCCATTGGCTTGTTTAAAAAATTTTGCAGGAACTTATATTGTGTGAAAACGCATGGCACTGCCTTACAGCCAGATCCTGTTTAGCCTTCTAACCTTGGCGCATATGGGACGTTAGGTACCTCTATCGAGTGCGTAAGCCATCTCATAAGAAATCAGGATACAACATGGACCTGTAATTACTTGCAATGCTCCTTCCCCGTGGTGTTCGGCCCTGCGAGGAATAGACTTACAAGAGTTACATAGCAAAAAGAACATAAAAAGACCACCACTCGTGCGTTGTTGATTGAGCAGTAGAGGATAGCGATCAGGGAAAAGCTACAGGTAGTTGGTACTTTATTATTTTCCTTCCATCCAAAGAGTGCATATCTGTGCACTTGAGGGCAAGTTCAATAGCGGAATTCAAATCTATGGTGCAAAAACCAAGAACCACAGCCATCACAATCAAGCTATAGATACAGTATTAGCATTAAATATCGTAATAGAGGACGAACAGATCAAGAGCTGTTGATAGCGGCACCAATACGGTTTGCTTTTGGTGCATATTTTCGAGAATCATGCATCTCTAACTTTCATTAGCAGATGTTTCAACTGAGTGCCCGGTCGTGTTTACCGTGAGATGTAAGCCAGCATCCAATTATGTAAACCTTTCCATTAGTCGTGTTTTTCTTTTTCAAGGGTAGAATGATCCACAGCAGAAAAGCACAAGACCTAATATTGTTGACAGAAGAAATCTCAATCTGTAATTCCCTACTGCAAGTGACAGATGGCTCACATGTTATGGTCCAACAATTCAAATCATATGGAGTATTGTAGCCCAGTAGTGGACTCAAAGAGTTTCTGTAAGCTGTAATGGAAAAACATATGTTGGTCTGCCAACAATTTAAACTACAAAGTATTTTGTGGTATCTTAACTAAATAATATGTCAAATAGGTTAAGATTGACGTATTTACTCTTTGTACCTAGAAAAGCGTGTGTACTGATATCCGAGTAAGAACAATGCTTGGTCGTTGAGATATGAAGCTGCAATTTCTCGCCTTAGGCATTTTTGGTTGGCCCCCACTAGGATGTGAGGCCCACTCGCTCGTGGATTTCGTTAGCCAGTGCTGAATCTGGCTTATCACAGTCTTAAATGGGAATAGCCCTAATTAAGATACCTAACATCACTGACCAAGGGTTAACACAGAGTGAAATGGCTGCTTTGAATCCGTTTTTGTTATCAATCTACCTCTAGTAGTTGCAAGTATCCATATAATTTAGAGATAAGGATTATCCCAGAACAGTAACTTGGCCCGGGATAGCACTACCTAAATAGGTAAGGTGCCACTTGTACCTACTCCTTAATCAAGGGCTGCTTCCCGCGTATATCAAACCCGAGCTTGGCTACCTGAATTGTAGACCTGGATCGTCGAGCTCGATGCAGGAACTATTCTGCCCATTCTCCAAGTCCACCTTGTTTAGGAAACGGTTGGTAAACGCTCAGGCCCCTAAAACTGCTTTAATAGGGCCTTTTACCGCCGGCTGTTCGTGAGGTTCTACCCAGTATTCGTCCGCAGCCCTTTGATCACTTGCAATTTCTCCCACAGACCGACAATCCCATTCCACCATGCCTTTCCCGGAATTCGACTCCAAGGGAATGGAGTACCGATTCCTCGGAAATACCGGCCTCCTCGTCTCAGCCATCGGCTTCGGCAGCTGGTACACGGTTGGTGGACAGGTAAAAGATAATTCAGTAATCGAAAAATGTATGGAAGAGGCGTGGAACTGCGGAATAAACTTCTTCGACACCTCTGAGTCATACGCCGAGGGCCAGGCAGAGATTGAGATGGGTAATGCGATCAAAAAACTTGGCTGGTCGCGAAAGGATTTTGTGATCTCGACTAAAATCTTTGAGGGAGGTGTAAGCAGTGACCCGACGATCTCAAAAGGATCAACCTGGAACAAGGTGCGCTAACAGATAATCTGGATACGCAGCATGGCCCCAACGACATTGGGCTTCCCCGGAAGAAGATCATGGAATCAATACGGGGGTCATTGGAAAGATTGCAGCTGGACTATGTTGATATCGTCTACGCCCATCGCCCCGACTACTGCACCCCAATGCTGGAGGTTGTTCGCGCCTTCTCGGATCTCGTTACACAGGGAAAGGCCAACTACTGGGGTACTTCAGAATGGAGCGCATTCGAGATCTCCGAGGCCCTGGCCGCTGCACGAGAGCACCATTTGATTGCACCGGTTGTGGAGCAGCCACAATACTCCATTATCTCTCGATATCGGTTCGAGAAGGAGTATGCTCTGCTTTTCTATAAGTACAACTACGGTTCCACTGTCTCGTACTCCAGTAATAGAAGAAGCGTTTGATACCAAATTCTAACAACGTAGTGCCTACAGGTCACCCCTTGCATCTGGCCTGTTGACGGGGAAACTGCTGGACGGTATCCCAAAGGATTCACGCCTTGGTGAGCTAACGCTGCCTGTATTTGTTCCCGATCGAGCTAACTTGCCTGATAGCATCCGACACTGGGTTCAATGAAGACAGATCAGTCATGGCTATGTATCATGGGATCCTAGCTAGCGACAGTGAGTTATATTTTTAGTCAAGTGGAACCATATGAAACATGCTGACCCTGAACTTAGCTGGAAAGAAATACCTTGAAAGTGTAAGAGGGTTAATGAAAATTGCAGACTCCCTGGGTAGCTAGCTTCCAATCTATTAACCACCATTCAAAGTCAATCGTTTGCTTATCTTTCATGCAGGTTGCACATGCGCTCAACTGGCACTGGCATGGATCCTCAAGAATGATAATGTCTCTTCTGTCCTTACCGGAGCTTCGCGGCCCTCTCAGATTTCTGAGAATGTGAAGGTAAGTGCACATATCAATTAGGCAGGGAACGAGACAAATATTAATACTAGACAACTAGGCGGTTCAAGTCGCTCATAACGTGACTCCGGAAATTATGGTCCAAATAGATGAGTTGTTCAAGAACAAGCCGACCAGAGCCCTGGACCCGTTCGGAAGATGGATGGGAGGGTCTTCAAAGAAGACGGATATGACATTGGATCCGTGGTAGATAGCCGTGAAGGCACTCCCGATCTAGCGGGTTGACTATCTGACATACAGCCTCTGCCCTCTTATACGGCAGCACAATGGTACTTTTGCTTTTGGAAAGTCGTTCAAAATTAGACCTCGCTTCTGTCGTCCACCTCGCCTAGCACCTTATGCACTTGGGTAGTCAGGAATACTCGGCCCAACCCGCGGGTCAACCAACTCTAATCTTTAGAAGGAAGGATAGGTAGGTATAGTATCAAGGAGTAGCAACCCGTGTATTAGATAAAGTACGAAATACTCCGTCAGGTAAAGGTAGCAGGTCAAGGAAGATGAATTTAGACCTCGGACCGAGTCACGACTTTTTAAGTCCGACCCTGGTTTAAAACCGCCCATACCGATTCCAGTGCGAGCCTATGTGATCTCGAGCGAATCTGCAATCTGGGATGGACTTGAGAGAGCTCTGGGATGGAAAGCAAACATGGCAAGTCGTGACATTGGTTGTTATCAATAGCCCCGCAATCCTGGGATCTTCTCTTTTGCTCTTCTCTTCGGTTTAGCTACCTCCGTTGAATGTACCAATAAATCTTCTTCCATTGACTAGCTTGTAACAACCCACTGGTTGCTCAAAAGTGCAAAGTAAGTAATCCTCGTGATATGAATTGATTCTGCAATTTTGTTCTGTATTTGTAACGTCTGGAACAATTCGAGTTTATTTGCGGTGCCAAGATAATTTCAATTACATCGAGCCTGTCGCCAACTTCATCAGTTGTTCTGCAGTTTTGAGAACGCTTCCTTTCTAGCATACTCCAGTGCCCTAAGTATGACAGTCTTTCACGGAACCTTCTTCGTACCAGCTGCCGCTTTAAATTCTACAGATTGGCAAGAGGACGTTATACCAAAAGCCGTATAAATTGTTACACGTGGGAAAATCGGAGGTGAGTTTGCTTGTTTTGATCTCAGGACTGGCGATGGGAGCAAACATAGCCGGATTTGGACGAGTTGGGCTTACCAACAACTCCCCTACAGAAAGATCTTTCCTCCATTCTTCCCTCGGTCTTGTTACCTTCGTTGAATACACGGATAGTTTTCGAACTTCTTGTCTGGCCCATAACAAGGACCTTCATTTTCATAAAATTTCTACGCCTTATCTTTACCTAAATTGTATGGATAAGAATGCCAATTCATCGAATACAATACTGCTGTTATCACCTGTCCTAGCACTTTGAATGATACATGTCATGAAACTACCAAGAATGAGCGGAACCCTGTTCATCTCCCCCGATTCAAGTACTACTACTATGCTCAATCTTTAATGCTAAGACTAGATACTTATAGAATGTTCTAGATTTATGCGGCTAATAGGTTAGTAATTATACATACGCTCTTTGCGTGTAAATATATAATTCATGTATCGGTGGATAAAATGTCTGGAATATAGTATTTTACCGCTTATTCTATAGTCAATCTTACTAAAATTCAGCGACATAGGCAGTGAAGGCTCGGTATTCCTTTTCTAATATAAAAGCATGAAGAATCAGTCCTGTAAGCTGTTTCTTCACGAGTCTCCTCAACTTCCTTGATATTCCTTTCCACGTACGGGCGCGAGAGTCTTCCACGCGTGACCCTCGCGACCCTCATATACTGGCTAATTGCGAGATATGAGACACACTGCTAAGTGGGTTGTATAATAATTTATGAAATTATCAGTCTTTAGATCTTTAAACCCCCCTGGGCGTTGTGAGTCACACTAAAATCTCTTCTTCGTCTCTCCTTGCTTAGCTCTACCAGTACCTTCACTATATACTTTGTCTCTACACATCTTTTATCTTCCGTCTTCCTCGATATACGAAGGAGATTCTTTAGATCCGTTTCCCTTGGTTACCCTATCAACCCTCAGCTATTACCACAAGAGATCCCAGGAAGCTAAACAGCCTCAACCGTTAACTCAGACTTCATTCAATCTCTACCTGCACCTCCTATGCCCGACTGCCTGCAACACGTAGGCCCCGACCGGCATAGACAGTACATTCTATATAGTACTATGCCAAGAGATGATTTTTTCCCTGGTGGTTGATGACAGAATATGAGATGAAAAAAAAAAGAATTCATTGGGACACACACCTAAGCCGAGTGTTGGAAACAGTTTGAACAGGTAGCAGATATGAAGACATGGAAGCCTATGGCTATGTGTAAAGTATGCGCCGCTACTCTGGAATATCCAGGCCTTTGCCGCCATGAAACTTCTTTCACGGATAAGCATATGAAGGGTCCAACCTGTTGCAACAAGTTTACCAAAGAATTAGTACTAAGCAGATGACAGAGGATGCTGTGAGGTAAAGCTCTGTCTCTATTTCAATGGAATACATTTATTACTAGGCAAAGCACACTCCGAAAGCTAAATCTACAGTCTTCACCTAGGAGAGATTCATGAATAATGTGCACCACTATGGTGATAAGAAAACGAATCCGAAGGCGATTGCTTGTGATATTGCCGCAAAATGTAGGGAAGACTGCCCAGCTGATGTAAGATTGTGGAAGTTGGCGGTCTCAGCGACTTTCTAAGTTTGTGGAGCCACGGGCCAACAAGCATTAAGTAGCTTCGAAAAGAAACATCTCATGCTACGCAACTGAAGCTTGTTCCATGGGCATACATCACGGGTGGGTGGGTTAATTTGGATGTTCCCAGTGTCTCAACATTGGTGTCTCCTGATCACAAAGTGGGATCCAAAACAGCTTGATCTCCAATCAAATCACTCTAGATGGCCTTAGATGAGACTTCTTTGCAACCTCTATATCGTATGAATTTACACTGATGTTGTCCTGGAGGAAGGTCATGCGATTCTATTTGGATGCCACTATCGATCTTAACATACAGAACCTAGGACAAATTGAATCTCAGATGAGAGGTCACTCGCAAAAATTGATGAAATAAAGGAGACCACCAAAAGTGTGGCCCATTGTGGTTTTTCAATTTCCTTCAAATATCACACAATATGTGTTGATTTCAGACGTGAGCCCTGAGGAACTCGAAGCCTTTTGTCAGAAGACCGAATACACTATCCCCAGGCTGCACATTCGAATCTAGGCCATGTTGCCCTCCTTCAACAAGGACCAGTTCGGTCTCGACACCGATACTCTTGAGATCGTTGTATGCGCGCTGTGAGACTCTTGCTGGTACCAACGTGTCTTTGGTGCCATGGATGAAATAAGTAGGAGGGAAATTTCCTTTTGAGAATAATGACACAGGATCCACACGGTCATAGTTTTCGTCCCCCACAGTCAATTTCAATAGTGTTCCTCTCTGCAATGCATCAAACATCCACGCAACACGGTAGTTCGTGAAATCTGGCCCAGATGGTCCCATTGGAGGAGGACCGCTGCTTGGAGGAGGAACATCATTCCATATTTGGCCCAGAAAATTATCATCGAGTTTAGAACTAGCCGAGGGTGGAGAAACAGCATTGTGGTATACGTGGTCTGAAAAGTACTTCATACCATATATGTCGAGGATCGCGAGAGGTGGATGAGATAAACCAGCCTAAACCGTTTAATCTTGAGTATTAGCATGATTGCATCCTCATGTCCTTAAACAGAGCGAGGAATGAGTTTCCAGGCACCATAATGGCCACAATTCGTCCTTGCGAATTTCTTCACGTACCATTAGAAGTGCCAACGCAGCGCCACAGGAATGCCCGAAAGTGACAATTCGCGAGCCATCCACACTGACACCAGCGTCATTTGACAGCAGGTCGGGCAATTTGGATTGGGACCATTTGTAAGCATCAAAAGCATCTGATACTGGTCCTTCATACACCGTGATAGTGGGGCATAATCGGTAATTAGCAGAAACGACCACAAAGCCCAAGTCGACAAGTTTTGCTGCTTGATAGTGAGGCAGCATCTCTTTGGAGCCGACCGTGAAATTCCCACCATGAAAATGCAAGGCTATGGCCGAATATGTTAGGGGCACAGGACCAGACAAGGCGCAGCTAGAGTGGAAGGGCCACGTACCAATGGGTAACCTGGAGCTTGTATTTGCCTTTCTAAAATAAACGTCCGCGGCTATTGGGACCCCACTGGCCACTTTAAAGACGTACTCCTTGCGTACTAGCATGTTGCAGAGCAAGTGGCTTTCAAATCAACAATGTTGTCATGTATATCAATGACAGGATAACCTTCAATTGACTGTAAGAAGCTGTATGAGCCTCATGCAGGCCATAAGGAAAGTATGAGATATAAAAGACCCTTGCGATTTGAAGCTGGGTATATGTTAAATGAGAACAGATGGGGCTGCTCGTGGCATCGAATACGTTTCCCCACCTAGCCTGTCCCCACCTAGAATATAGGGGGCCATCCCAAAGCGCCCCACCCACCGTACTGACAACATAGAAAGCCCACGGTGCGTTCTGAGTGCGAGAGGGGAGACCTGATTGAGCTATATAACAGGACCTCCAGAAGCAGTAGGGTGGCGCCTACTGCGGGGGTCTAACCAACCTTATACTCGAATGAGATAATCTCGAACGAAAAGGAATGTTATTAGGATGTAATTTGCAGCGGTAGTTCCACAAAATAAGTTGCAATATCCTCAAGAATTGAGTTCCATGGCCGTACAAGATTCTTCTCGGCTTCTGGGTCATCGATAGTATATACTCTTTAGAAGACTGAGCATAACTTTCTACATTCTTCCGTACGAGGGGTGACGTTCGCGCCCTGGAAATTTTCAACAAATAGTTGGCGGAGGTATATCACCCCTGGAAAGATATTTGAGGGTGCTTACTCAAATTGAGGCTGGTGGAAATTTTGTCTTAGCCCAAACTTCTACTGGCCAACTTTCGCTGGTTTAAGCGATACCTCTATTGCTAAATCTAGTTAGTCACCGGAAGACTATCTAGTATCTGGCAAGATAGTGATATCGAGTCTACTGAGACGGCGTCGTTTGTTGGTGCATAGAGGAAGATTTGATCATTATCGTTTCAATTTTGGATACAGGAGGCTTTAAGTACAGGTCACTGCGCGTTCGAAGTTGATCTGATTTACAGAGAAACAAAGCCTCCCTACATGGCGTTTGTTTTGGTTGCATTTTTCTTTAGTTTCTTCGGGCATATAATCCCATCTAAAGAGAGATATTCATAGACAAGTTCCAGCAGCGTCGATGAGGATGAGTATGACGTATTCGATAGATCTGCTATAGTGGAATACGTCCTATAGTTGGATACGCGGGATCAAGTCCATAAGTTTCTTGGCTAATGTAGGAGGCCCTTTGATGCACGATATTAGCCGAACATAACCATACAATTATTCGTCAGGCCAGATGAGGGTCGAGACTTACATTGCCACACCGAATCTTCTTGAATGAGTTCTGCGGTAACAGCAAGAGGGAGGACTTCTTCCTGACCTGCTGTGATACTTTGCAGACCTTCTAGCTCTGCAGCGCATTCTTCAATCAGAGCTTCAACGCTGGGATTACGTTCCAGTGCAGGATAACACGATTTTTTTGCACGCAGATACCAGCATAGTAAAAGGCCTAAGATTTCGGTATTAGAGCAGGTGTGTAACACGGAACGTTTGAACAAAATGAACGAGGACTTTTTTGTAGTTCAAGGAAGGTGGGAGACGAAGAGTGCAACATACTGCCCTCACAAATAGAATTAGCAGAGATTGGCCCGAACTGAAATGGTGCTCTTTTCCGCAGATACTTGATTCCCGTCCGACAATCATATCTCAGGGAGTCTGCCGCGCGTAAGAGGGCGATGTGCAGGATGGACGCATGTGGATTGGCACAGAGCTGATGAAGCTCGTCTAATCCAGTCAAGCTTGTCCATTTATAGAGTAGCTTTTTCATGATTGCCAGGTGCTGGCTACCATAGAGGTGATAGTAGGCAGAATCTAAGAATGATCGCGTGCACTGAGTCAGTGCGCCGGGACTTGATTCAAAGAAATTGTCATCAGCTATCTGGTTCCTCCACGTCTCATCAATACCTTGTAATGATTTTTGCAAACCACGGAAGGAATCTGCGTATAAGTCCGAAGAACCTGAGCCTGCATATGATTCAAATGAACAGATCTGGTGTAGGACAGATGCAACGATGGTGAGAAACCCGAGGTCAGTAATCCCTAGGTCAGGCTTCTGGCCCGTCAAAAGCTTCTCTGTTACATCCGAGCTATACATCATGCTAGGAGTTAGTTTCCATCCCATCTCGTCCTTCGTCCACTCTGCTGTTGGTGATGGAAGCGGAAATCGAGCGTGGATGAAGGGAATATTGACGTATTTGTGTTTTAAAGTCGCAGAAAGAGCCGCCCCCACAATGATGCTCCCTGCGATACACCTACAAGGTGGGTTAGAAACTGTTCAGAAAGGAATACACCATAAAGGAAATGTGACGGAGAATCTGCTGGACTCTGTTATACCTTCTCATGGTCTCTTGATCGACCCATTCTTTGTATGTGCTTGGGTCTGAAGGCCTTAATACGTCAATGGCTTCTTGAGCAAGCTGTGAACAGTTGGTTATTATCACCCGGAACTGGGATTGTTAACAAACAGCATACCTGAATCGAGTGACAAAATGTTTGGGTTATTTGCCGTTCCATGCGCACATCACCACTGTATGATCCAAAGTAAGTTGCAAGTAAGTATGCTTGGAGCAGCCATGTCTGAAATTTTTCCTCTGTGCCTTCGCACAATGAGATCTCCTCAATCTAGATAGCAAGTCAATTCAACCCGGGTGAACGGAAATATATCTTCTGGGCAACTACCCGTTGCCTTACCTTGGAAAGAAGTAGCAGTGCAGCCATGTGCATTTTTGTCGCAGTAGCTGATTCATTCACATAGAGTGCTCCACAAGCCATTATCTCTAGTAAAAGTGGTGCTGCGGTGGGTGCGTCAATTAGTTTCCCCATTGAAGCAACTCCCTGGGGGAATACATACAAGGCACGGCAGTAATTTCGAACGTTGGGCCATGCACTATGGGTAGGTTTGATGCCATATGTGAGAAGAAGGCTTTCACGAAGCGAACAACTGCGTACTTGGACGGGAATTGGAAATTTGATAGCCGTCCTTCGGGATCCAAGCGAGCGACGTTCGCCTGGACTAGAGTATAATCTGTGTCTTCCAGGGTAAACGATGCCACCGATCTTCGAGTATCGGATTGAGGCGGCGATTGATCTGGTACAGTGAACCCTTCATCAAGCATACCAGGGAAATCTGTAATCAGATCCCTGGGCGAGGGCTGCACGAAGATTTCTGAGTCTGATTGAAAGATCTGCTCCATGCTCCAATTTTTGAAGGGGAATACTGGCTCTGAGGCAAGGATCTGGTCCTGGGGATGACAAGGCTGCAAGAGTGAGGGCAACATGCTGGCAAAGAGAGATTCACTCAGGCCTGGACCTGACGTTGTGCTAATATCCTGCGCTGTCGCCGCCGTCGGAGATGTGGAGAGAGTGCGTAGAGACAGTCTTTCTCTATCCTGTCCTTGGTTGATAGTCATCACGGCTTCCATGCCGACAGACTCAGGTGGAGAAGCACTGTCGGAGGTGACAGACGCAAACTGGCTACGACACCGACTTTGGGTTTCTTGACTGGGGGTTTCTTTTGGCGGAGTGCGGACAGATATGTTTAAAGGTAGGTCTCTATGGAAATTGCGGGAGTGGCGGAGAATCACGTCCCGGCGTGATGAGGATACGGAGCAGTACCGGCATGTAAAGGGCTTTTCAGTGCGGTCTGTTGAGGCAAGGAAAGCTTCCAGTTAATTCACTCCATAAATACGAGAGAACAAGGACCGTGGAGCTTACGTGTCTTTTGGTGACGCTTCAAATGTGCCAACCGATTGAAAGAGGAATTGCACTGGAAACAGGAGAAACGTCGAGGCGTGTGTTCGGAGTGCCTTTGTCTAGGCATCACTTGGATTCTTTTTGGCTCTGACTAGCTTTGTCTAGAGAAGGGGGGGTGGTTGAGCCCAGTGGCCCAAGGAATGTAAGGAAGGAAGTTTCGGATAACACTCGCAGTCGTCTGAAGGCTCTCAAGCGAGCGATGAAAAGACAAATTACAAAATTGAGGCGGTGAGATATCGTTGAGAATAATCCAACAGAAAGCAGGTCATGACTTGATGCACACACTGATCACATGTGACCTACTTTGTTGACAAAGGCAAAAGAGTGAGTTCCCTTAATACTCCGTAATGCGGGGGAATTTCCTGGTTCATGACTTGGGGTTAGCGCTGCTAAGCCGGCCGCAGGGTTTTCCCCGCACATCGGAATTTTTAAAATTCTGAACGGACGGTACTGGGCATGAGAGGAGGCTCTACATTGACCTGAAAGTGCAAAGCCCTCACTTTTCCTCCACCAACTTTGGCGTCTTTGTGCTCTACGTCCTTTGTCTTCCTGTCCCTTCGTCTCATTCCCAATAGTAGGCAGCTTAACTTTGCAGCAGATAGCGTCAATAGGATGTTCTTACTAGCTTTCTCTCCATTCTCTCTCATCGACCACCATCAGCCTTCAGGAGTGCGACAGAGACACTTCTTGATCCAATCATAAACCCACACCGAGGATGCCCTCCTTCCAATATTTGTGGACTACCATGACTAAGCGGAAGTCGGGGGATCCACAGGGACGGGAGGCAGTCGGAGGTCATGAGTCATGACGTTAGCCAAGGTCCTTCCCAACGTAGTTACCGTGACGCGCCTGGTATGCGTATAGTGCGAGTGAGATCAAGCGGAACCCAATTAGGCTGAAGATTTGATGGTAGATATTGAACATGTTATAATTTCGGATTCGAATAAGACCATACAAGGATCTTTTCGAATACGAATAGGAGAAATCCCTATTCGATTCCACCCCTAAACATGTACTCAAGGACAGGTTGAATTACTCCCTACTTGGGCTAATGCTCGGTGGTTATAATACCGGCATTGACAAGTGCACCAATTACCATACTAAACATAACTTGAAGCAAATTCGGGATACTGGATGACTAATCGCTTGTCTGGTAACTAACGTAATTCACAAGCGAGTCGTACACCCAAGCGAGCCGTACACCCCAAGACACCATAGTAAATGCGATTTTTCAGGCCCTTAGATATCAACAACGAGAAGTTGGTTTTACTTCATTCTCGGTGTTATGGTTTTTCTTAGCGTAAAAAATAGAATAACTTAGCTGAGATGTATAATAAATAATTATTTACGTGCATTACCAAAAATACGCTGGCAATGACCGACGCAGATATATAAACCAACATTGCGTTGCCCCAAAATACTTCTGGACGTGACAAATATATATGAATTAATACCTCAAGTACTAGAATATCCTAAGAATTCATAGCAAGTCTCGAGTGTTGAAAAATCAAGTTGTGAAATATCGAAATTACTATGGTGTTCGGGGTGTACGGCTCGCTTGGGTGTACGACTCGCTTGTGAACTACGTTAGTTAAGTTAGATAGTACTTTGTGCGGAGAACCTTCAACTTGCGATTTTCCACTATAACGCCATGACAAATTAATATATAGCTATTTGTTAGCGCCCGGAGTGGCAATGGCGACTATTCAGCTACTTCAATCATCCACACACTTAAGCAGAGTCGATGCTGTGGTTTCACAACGCCGTTCCTCGCCATCATGTCCAGACCAGATGTTTGCCAAGACCCTACCCGGAAGACTGGAGAATGACCAAAACCTTAGCCAGATGTCAAAGCGAGCTGAATTGGTATAGACTAGCATGTATATGGACGAATGAGAACTACCTGAATCAGAAGAAAAATTGATTGATTGAAGAAAAGGTCAACTCAAACGAATGGGAAAAGGGGCATGTTGAGCTACCCATGCCGGTGTATCTGAGTATTCAAGTGACAATACCGACGTTGACAAAGTTTACATCAGCTTCAACAACACCAATAAGGAGCTCTCCACTATGTTGTTTTGTTTGAGAATTCGTTCAATTTATTGCGAGTCTCCTCATCAGAGACTGCGGATGTAGTGAGGTTCCCTTCCACAGCAAAGAAAAGGTACAGCAAGCGGTAATTTGGCGGGAAGCTCCTGAATAGGTGTTTCAAGAATAGCATGAACACGTTGCTCAGCGTCAAACCTTGAAGACCCTGCGCGTTCATCACACGCTGATAGGGCTCCTCGTTAAGACTTATAGCATGTTTGAAAAATGGATGGCCGGAACAGATATGCTGGATGACTGAGTCTAATACAGTCAGCCCTGTAGACAAGTCGAGCATTTGAAGATATTAACCTACCTGAACCGGCGTTCATTCCAGCTTGTGTCACGTTCCTGGCGTCACCACCAAAGTCTCTGATTTGCGGATATATCCAATATATAGCGACCCTAAATATAGTGGTGACCTTATACCCAGCGTGGCGGAACTCTTCGGCTATCATAAGGGTATTCATTACTCATGCGTATGACCGTGGATCAACGATGAAGGATAAAGGAAAAGGAAGGGAGATGGGGCACTTCAAAACTTAATCAAGACCGAAATGATGGGATAATCCTTACCATGTTACAATTCTTGTTTGATCATAATGTGGCCAGGAATTCACACCATGAAAAAACCGCCTTCATGAATGAAAATATAGACTGTTAGTCTCCAATCTGCTGGAACATTCCCCGGTACAGCAATAATTAGATTCAAACAATCAAGGCCTCATTGATGGAGATCCGATGTTGCGAGGTGATGCTGGATTTGAGCTTGTTGCACCTCACCACCATTTGTGATCGATAGAGCTCCCACACTGGTTTACCGTTGCAGGTACAGGTCGATCAACTATTTTATTTCTCATTTGCTTGACTCAGTTTGAATCGCATTGCTAATATTTCTGTTGCTTCCTTGGATAAGATTTGTCTCGGCAAGCCGATTCCTCAATTTAGCATATCGAACCCCAAGGTTTTAAGTTCGCTTCAGTAGCACTTTTCCCTAGAGCAACACAGAGGGATGACATCTGAAGGGCTGTTCTCATTTTGACGAGGATTCCATGAACTGCGTATTTGAGTATGCTTGGAGCTGCAGGGCAGGGCAGGAACGACTACGCTTGTTCCAGCATGTGAACTGGATCCATCACAACATCAAAGACTGTATTGGCCTAAATCACAAGATCCTCTCCTTCTACCCACTGCTTACACTGCCAGTATAACTTGTCGTGCATCTTTCCATTCACATTGGATCCATCGCGCCTGTGGCCGGGCAAATCTAGAACCGGGGCGACTACTCCGAGTCGCCGCTGGCAGTAGATTAGATATCTGTACCCAACAGGATAGGTTTTGAGCTCCTCCTGGTCCAATTTAGGAATCTTATTTGGGTTGACTGGTATTAACTTGTCCTTTTCATACCAATGGCGGACGTATCTTGCACCCCATTTGCCGTCCACTTTCTCCCAAAAGAAGGCGAATCGGCAGTCACTCTCAGCGTCTACCTCACAGCCCTCCAACAAACATCTCTGTGTGATGGTGGCCTTGAGCTTTGTCACTGCCCGCGTAGCATCCACATTGATGTCGGTTGTGCAGCCATGACATCTATGCATCTTTGAGACGTCAGTGTTGATATAACGTAAAGAAATCGGCAAATGCAAAACGCACAATAAAAGTCCCACGATCCATTCCCTCCTTTGATGCCTGGATAAAACTCTCATAATTAACCCGGCCGGACCAAGTAGTGTACACATGAGCACCTGGGTGAAAGATAGACGCAAAATTTTCCCACTCGCAAGCGTCCCTATTTCAATACTCTTTTTAGCAAAAAATGCTCTAGGTAGATAGCAAGATAACAGAGAGCTCAATTCACCTATACATTGGCCAGCCTTCTGCCAGCTCTCTTAGCTTGAAGCGCTCGACTGCAAGAGCTTCCGGTCCATTATTACGAATCACGCCCAATGGTCGCGATCCTTCTGGGAGATTGTGCAAATCAGGCATTTTTCGTTCTTGACATAGGCCTCTCCGAATGGTTTGATACCGCGTGGCAAGACAAGGAGGGGTAGGGGGTCAGGAAGGAGGGAGAGGGAGAGAGAAAAATCTGTCAAGTGTGAAGCGATAGAAGCGAGGTTCCTAAAGCTTGTTTAAAGCCCGTTTGCTTCAAATTCCATCAAGTTTGTGGGGAAACAAGGGGCATCTTGGATGATGGCGGAGTCCAGCAAGACGAGAATCCGTAGGATACGGACATTATACCCACCAAGATCCTTCAAGTGGGCCACCGGATATCTTGCTTCACGCAATATCCCTTATGTATAACCCCGCTCAAGGTGGCCACTCAAACTCGAGGGGGTTCTATGGTTTCCTGAATTTGACGGGTGGCTTCTTCAGTGGGAGTTATAACTAAGAAGAAGCCACCCGCTAACTGTGGAAAACCAACGTCACCTGATCGGGTGTCAACCCTTCTCTAGGGTCGGTGGATATGTTAGGTGGGGCACTAATGGTCACCCTATGGTAATGGTTACACAGATATACTGTGAGAGAATTTAGTGTTGCAATGAATAAGAACCGTTGATCAGGTAAGAACGCAAGACGGGAGGAGGCAGAACGTTAAGCAACAATTTGTCTAAAATACTGAAGAGTACTGTGACTAGTGCGGGGTTAGACAGGATATCTGTCGAACCATTTGTGCAGTCTGCGCGGCCTGCAAGAGCCGAGGTGTCGGAACGGAGGCTAGTGGGTCATATTGGCTCAGATGTGGATCTTACGGGTGCACCAATGAAGATCACACAATAGGTCCGAAATGCTCAACTGCCCCCTATCTGGCAATTTGTATGGGCTTGTAGGTCTCTGAAATATCCTCCATCCTGCTCGGAGTCTCCACTTATCCCGCCCGCTGCATTCCGACAGGAACTACATAGAATCGGAATACTGCTCAGCTGGTCATACTGATGCACCAATAGGATATTCACAGGTCTGAATTTCTATACTGCCCCTGGCTGGCAATTTAACAACTTAGTTCCTTGCCGACCGGATCACACCAAAACACCATATTAAACGCCATATATCACAACTTCATTATTCAGCGCTCAATGCTTATGATAACTGTTAGAGTATCTTAGTATTCAATGTATCATACTAGGTGTTTCTATATGCTCGAAAAATATTTTGAGATCTGACAACGTAGAGATATATCTCTGCATGGCTTGGTCTGAGCGCATTTTCGGTAATACAAGTAAATAATTGTTTGCTGAAAATGTTAGGTGTGCAGCGTGCTAAACTATTTCTGATGATATAGGATTACAACATATGAAAGATTCAAGTAGAAACAGCTTCTCGTTGTGGAAATTACGTCAGGTGATAGAAAAAAATAGAGCTGTCTGTGTACCAATAAAAATCATGGAATGTGCTCTGGTCTATTGAACTGTGAAAAACAGCTATGACACGAGGGACGGGCAACAAAAAGGGAAGGCTCGAAACTTCTCGGTTCCGCATAAAACTTGCATGACCTAGTTATGCGTTGACAGCGCTTTGGTATCCACGTCCCTCAAATTACACTTTCTCGAGGTCAGGGATGCTAGGCTCCCAGGGCTTGGTTGAGACCAAAAGGATTCGCCTGCGCATTGCAGCCAAGAAGGTGACCACGGTTCCTGGTGAGCCACTGGCCACGGCTTGCCTCCTTGGTTCTCAGATTTCTTCTTAGTTCGTCCCAGGTTCTGCCATGATCAGTTTTAGGCCATCTCCTTTCTTGACAAACCTTAACCCGGCATATATTGCATAGCGATGACGTATCCAGTCCAACAGGCAATATCTCACAGGTAGACTGCGGCACGGTTTTGGTTGCGGTTAGCAAGGTAAAAACCGTAACCAAAACTCTTTGGTTTTAGTTGCCACTTTGCCAATCAAAACGAACCCGCAAATGCCTAACTTTCGAAGATCCTCCCGATTCTAGTAGTCTCGTGATATTTATGCAGCTATAAAATAATGCTTTTTTACACCATTTTTTGGTTCTTACAGGCAGATTATTTTGATACTATTCCTTATCTTTGGAAAGTTTCTGAAATCGAATTGTATTCAAGTCTAATTAGGATATGTTAAATGAGTATTAGTATGAGTTTTATCCAGAAGAGTAAGTGCCAAGTGAGCATTGCGGCGAGCGGGTGCAACTCGAGGTTTGAAATGCCCACAGGGTTCAGATTGATTTCTTGCGTTGTGACACTATCCCAGAAGTATGACGTGGTCGCTTGGACCAATCCTTCCACCGATATGGGAAGGATGCGTTCCCACATTGAGAGAGATGTCACGGTGTGATTAGCGCGCGACGGGCCAACTCAGGCTCGACCGGTCGCGTCCGACGCTCGGCTAGCAGGCCGTCTCTTAGAGCCGTGGACGACCATTCGAGTCTGGCAATACCTGCTGCGCGAATCAGCATATAAGCAGTTCTTTTACAGCGAGAATAGCAATGATCAGGTAGGTCTTCGGACGCAGACTCTTTGGCATTCTGATGACTGATGCAGACAGACTGTAAACACAATCCGGGACAGCCTCGGCAAGCGCCCGACGCGCCTGCCCGAGACGCTATAGAACTTGCTGCCTGCCCACTGCTCAATCCGAACCGTCGAAAAAGAGCAGCAAGAGCCGTTCAAGGTTGCGAAGCCCTATACCGTCCCGAACACGACATTTGCGAGAATAGTCGATCAAGCTTTGCAGGCCTATTTTGCTCTGCTGAAATTCACCGATCACATTCCGGTTGTTTACGTCAAAGGCTTGACTAACAAGGCCGATGTATACTTTGGCAAGGGACAGGGTACGTTGAAGATTCATCACCGAAGGTTGAACTACGCTTCCACACACCACCAGTCGTTCTGTCGGTCCTAGTCTCCAAGCAGCCTCGCTGACACGATCGCCCCGTTCTTCTGTGGTCATGTAGTAGAAGAGCTCTTGGTTCGATCGATTGCCTTCATGTTCAAAGCACATCCGAAATCTCGGCCGGCAGAGATAAAGTGCATGCGTCAAATTGGACTGCGATTGCGATACCTGCCGCACAGCATCAAGTTGAAGCCATACCCCAGGGGTATTCTGGTCAGCTGGGAAGATAACGAGACGGAGGCATTTCGCACGCTCGGGTCTGGCGGCCCGGACTACCATGTTGTGCTGCATGAAGGCAATTGTGCAAGTGCCGAGACGGCGCTTCTCCACGAGAAAGCAGGTCAGTGGCAATCGGCCATTCAAGGAGATACAGCTATCTCGTCATATAGCCCTCCTCACCGAAGTAATGTCCTGTGGCTGCCGTCAGCACTTCGCTCGTCAGACACACCGAATATGCCTCTTTACCGGTCTATCGCACACGTCGACATATTATGCTATGATTGCGCTGAACGAGGATCGGGCATTCTACGGAGTTCCATCTGATCGAATCTCGCCAGGGCCGTATGAGAATGTCAAAGCTACTCTCCAGTAACATTCGGACAATGTCTGCACTCTCTGCAGCATATGAGGCTTTGATGGGAAGGCCCAGTGTGGGACTAACTCATGCAACAAGAGCGCAAACGGTAACTTCATTGTATTCGAATCAAGTATGATATATAATAACATTCTACGTGTTCCGCAGGCGTTCGAGGTTGACTCTAATTCGTCTTATTCAAAGCTATTGCACGCCGTCATGCTGTCGAACACCCCGATCTTGCAATCTCGGCATCAATGATCACCAAAGTTTGATGAATTATTGAGGGTGTGTCTTACTCGTGTTCTCGCACATATGCAGCGCAATTTGAGTCGCCGCCGTGACCAGACTGGATTGATCATCTAATAACTGCCTGGGCATGTGCGGAAACATTGCGAGTGAATATTGACCCCTGGCCGTGCACATTCTATCCATTTGCCCACCGCCGACGTATGCACCACCTTGTGCTATGATCGGTTCAGACGCGACGATCGGCGAAGCGAAGGAGTCGTGTCAGCCAGACGGGCTGACCGACGAACACTGCGTCCCGCGCCAGACATTGTTGCTCTGCGGCGCGATGACACTGGCTGCGCCGGTAGACGGGCTGAACCGGCCCGCCGAGGGTTTTCGATGGCATCCGTCTCTTCTGCCACTGGAGATGCATGTACTCTCTCGTTTTCAACTGCTGTGTCTGCATTTGTCGGGGTCGTCCTCGGCGAGCGGAGCAGGGCATCCAGAGCGTCGTCCCTTCGGCTACGGCGTATGAGCATTGAAGTAACTGGGGAGGCTAATCGAGACTTACCAGGCACAGCAGGACACGTTAGATGCCACCTCGCGCTTCTCCAGCCACTCCTCCACGCAGCCTAGGTGAGCTAATCCCCGGCACTGTTTGCAACGGAGGATCACGCTCTCATCCGCTTGGTCTTCGTCGTCACCCAGACAGAATGGACAATGTATATGAGACACCTCGTCGCTACGAGTGAGGCTGTGCAGTTCCAGATGTTGCATCCCCGCCCCGATATTCAACCCGGATAGAGTGGCTGGTTCAGCCGACGAGATACACCACGGAACACTGTCGGTGCGCAGCATCGATGCCGTGACGTATCGAACTGTCCTTTCCAATGGCTCGAGAGGAACGGAGTCACGGCCCGGTAGCATTTGTCTCTCCTAGTTCTGACGAGTAACCCTGCGGGGAATCTCCGACTCTGAGGGACTCGTGAGGGTGGGTCGCTGGCTCTGACTGGCATCCGTATTAAATGCGACAGAAGCATCCTCGGAGATGTGACCGGCTTGTTCCGGGTTGTGAGCCACGGCCTCATACCACTGCTGGCCAACTAGGTTGGCCTGTCGCCGCCGGTGCCATCTGGCACAGAGAAAGTTTTTTGCAATATCACATAAAATAGGTCGTAAAGTCGAGAAGTCGAGTGATCGTGTTGCAAGATTTGCCAGTTGCTGTTGGCCAGCCTTGATGTCTTGGATTTTGATGGAGTTCTTGCACGGTGCGCCCGTCTTGGTAGTCCCGCAGCAGATTCGAGCCTCCCCGATACCTATCTCGTGAAGAATAAAACGGCCCCACGGTTGGTAAGAAGACATGACT